TGCCATTGGAACGCAGTGCCTCGCAAAGAACTTTCCTCAATTCTTGCACCTGCTTAATCGCACCTCTAAATGCAGAGTGGTTGCTAAGCTGCGCCGGAAGATGAACGATGAGATAGCTGTACACCTCCCAGTCGCTGCCTTGCTGGAAGATGTACAGTATCGCATCTAACCAAACGGCAATGTCGAGCTGCGTTTGACCAGCTTGTTCGTTCTCGCTATCCTCGGCGGATTCTTCGATATACGACGCAAGGATCGGGCTAACAGACGCCGAAACAGGCTCTGGGAGTGCATTGGGGTCGGGATGCAGCCAGGTAGGTTGATACCTTTGTGGTTGGCCAGACCCAGGCGGTTTGGCGCCACTGGTAACGCGGATCGGGTGCCCTCTCTCGTGTGCTTGAGACTGGCTGAAAGATATGCCTCTCGACAAGCGACCCGTGCCATGCTCACCCCGAGATAACCTAGCGGATTGTGAGGCGGCAGCAGCAGTTTCAGCCTGCCTCCGGTTCAACGATTCTTCGGTCCTGTACAGTGTAGCTGAAAGGGTATCGGTCTCCAGATGAATCGTGAGGAACACGCGATTAGCCCAATCACACCGCAGGCGGAACAACAGCTTCATGGCCGTGAGGCGTGCGTCGATCTCACAATGCGCGGATTTTGCAATGTTCACGAGGTAGTAAAACATTTTGGTGCTCTTGGCGGCGTCTATATCCATGAGGCGCATGAAGAGTTTTGCATAGCCGCGAGTGACAACCTTGGATGTGGTAGGGCCTGGCTTCGGGTCTGGCCTGTCAGGCGTTGTTGGGGTCCCCGGTGTGTTCGTTGATGATGGAGATATCGGTGATTTGAGCCTGTCCCCAACGACGATTGCTCTGAGAGTTTCAACAATGTAGTTGAAGAGCTCCATATCGGACGAGACAGCCACGGATACCATGAGACTTACGACAGCATCCAGAACCTGCACATCAGTCTCCTCCGTCACATCAGCAAGGATAGTCCTGACGAGGGCAGGCACGAAGTCGTGAGTCTCGTCATGAACCAGATCCATGATCTCGTACGCATCCGTAATGCTGTTTAGTGCGCGAACACGCGTCGTTGATGAACGGGCGCGGTTTGAGAAGAACGCCTCTACCACGAGCTTGAGGTTCTCCTCCCATCGAACATCCGAAGGCGAGCAGCAGCGGAACTCTTGGAAATAATCAAGCACGACGCAAGCAGCCGAGTCCGGTAAGATTCTATGAACGCTTGTGAAGAACTTTACGACGGTCTGCCTCGGAATGAATTGATTAGCGCCGCCGCGGACCATGAGCATTTCCAGACGGCTAATCAGACGAAGAATCTCGGAGCCGATAACCTCATCGGGTTTCTCTTGCTCATCCTTGGAGCTAGCTGACGACAGCGAAGATGAAGATGGGGACGTGTGGAAGCTTCGAGTGATGCTTTCGGAGTCGGGATTAAATCCAGGGATTGTCGCCTTCCCCGAGCATTCGGAGGCCACCTCAAGAAGGACCGTCCAATCTTCGTCAACGGCAATCTGATGAAGCTTGCCGTCACCAGAGTCGAAAAGGAGGTTAATGAGCTTCAACACCTCGCCCTGCGCCTTGATCGAACTCGTCGTCTTGACAGTGGTAGATAGGCCGTCCACAAGCAGCGCAAACGGCACGGTAGGATACCCCTTTTCGACGGTCTTGGAGAGCAGCTTTTGGAGGACGGAGAGCGCGCCGCGGATTTCTCGGTTCAGGTCCATTTCGTTCACTCCCTCCACAGGGCCGGTGCGAAGAACATCCAGTAGTATCCTCACTGTGGATTGGCCGTTGTGGGACCTGCAGAGAATCGACAGGGTGTTCCAGGCATCCTTCTTCAGATTTGGCACTAAACAGTATATCGAGCTGAGAACCGTAACGCAATTCTTGAGCCGCTGAGGAGGAATGGAGCGAAAAGTGACGATAGCATTGATGACCGAGATGCAGGACCGAAGGTCATCCTGCACGCTGGTGTTCATGCAGATGGTCAGAAGGGTGTCGATGAGACTGGACACGGACTGTTCGTCGGCAACTCTAAAGCTAAATTTGATAACCTCAGTGATGAAGGTGAATAGCTGGGACAGGTTCTTCTCCTCGCCGGAACTCCCAGATCTCGCTTGCCCGATCGCCTTGGAGACACGAGACGCATGCCTTCTGGCCTGGCGGACCTCCCTATAGGCTTCATGGAGCCAGTTCCTCAACAGTGGGAGCACTTCATAGTCGAACCCGGATAGATTCCTGCCATTCTTCGTGAGATCGACGAGAGCGGCTAGTTGCAGATGGAAATCCTCCGGATTCGTAGACGCAGTCAACGTCTGGAAATATTCCTTCCTCTCGAGATCCGACGACGCAGAGTGCTTCGCACATTCGGTTAGGAGCTCCCAGCCAGCCGCCCGAGTAGCGTTCGACTTGCTCGGCTCAATCATGTCCTTGGCGGCGTGCCATATATCCAAAACGGGGTTTAGGGGGTATTCGGCAATAGCATGGCGGAGGGCGGCCGCGGCCGCAATGCGCTCGCTCGGGGAACCATTGCGTAGCTGCTCGAGCGATGCCATGTGACTCGGAGACAAACCATGGAGACTAGTGGAGCTAGCATTGACGGGCTCGAGCGTGGGCGGTACAATGGTAGAGGGACCAGCAGCAAGGGGAGGAGGCGTCCTAGTCAGCCTGCCGCTGGTCAAGCCCTTGAAGACGCTGGCAAGGCCGCTTGGGCGGCTCGAATCTGGTGACGGTGGCGCATCTCCTGGAGGCAAGGGCATAGGAAACTCGTCTCGACGCTCGGAGTCGGGTTGGCCGAATGAAGCTAGTCGTCGAAGCATGTTAGCAAAAAAGAAGGTCCTCGGTTATTCTTGAGAACGGAGGAGCATGGCGCCAAAAAAGCCCGTGTAAAAAAAAAAGATCGATTTCGTAAAGAGTGCATGGAATTGGAGACGAATGAGGTTTAGATGGCACACGAGCGACGTCGGTAGGCTAGTAAAACCCAGCAGTCGCTCCGATCTAGGAATGGGACGGGACCGCGCGAGTCGTTGTGGTAGATCGGCAAGGTTGCACAGCAGATGGCCCGCGTTCATGGAGGGGGAGATGGGTTGCGGAGCGAAGGAGGCATGAATTAAACTAACTCCCCATGCGGTCGCTGGAGAGCACGAGATGAGGACATAGGGAGCACAAGGACCGACGCAGCGAACCCACCTTCAAGGACTCAGTATAATACCCGCTCGGTACGACAGGGCGGCGTCTGTGTGCGATACGTAAACCCCGGAACTAGCATACGGGTTTGCGTATTGTATGTATATCGAGATCACAGGCTGTGGCTGAGGCTCAAGAGAGAAAGTTGGTCGGGAGAGGGGGCCGCCATCAAAATAGGGCAGCGAGCCTAGCTGCAGGCCGAGGTGGGCCAGATATCAGGTCGTGTCGTGTCGCACGTCAGAGGCCCCGAGACTTGTGTCCGAAAGGGGAGCTGGACGCGGGAGGTGGTCGCACCCGTGCTAGGTCGCAGGGCGGCAATTCCGAGGTGTTGTCGTCGGCGAGATGGATATCGGCTCGGGGGTTGGTCGAGGATCAAGTATGTAGGGGGTTGCATGAACGTATCCAGCGGAGCTCTCGGGTCCGACGAGGGGGGAAATTATCGTGGATCGTCTAACATTCGAACAGATAAGGTGTGTGTGCCTTGGCTGGCTGAAGTCGAGTTTCTAGGGAGCAACAAGAGGACCCTGGGGACTTAAGGTGGTTGAAGAGGTTCTTGGTGGTGCTACGACTTTCGTAAACTACTTTTGCTCCTGCTGCTGCTTCCGCTTTTGGTAGTGGGCGTGATCAAGGAAAGGAGGTCTCTTGTACCTTGTTGTACACCTCTTGTACAGTACATTCGAGTTGTACCTTGGACGAGGGGGGAATCGCTGCTTTCGATGCTTTCGGAATTAGAACGGTGTCCGCCGTCGCCAGTCGAGATGATCAGATAATGGACCATGAGGTAAGGCCATTCTCGCACGAGGACGAAAGATGGAAAGGGAGCCATCTTAGAAAGGGAGAAAGTTGCGGAACGGAAACCGAAATGTCTAGACTTCATGTTTTTTTTTTTTTCTATTTCATTGTCTACTTTATTTTTGGGGGCGAGGAACCATGTTGATCCAAGTTCCTGCATAATCCACCTGTGCGAAAGGCTGCACTGCTGCGCTCTCTATTACGAGCCTGTCAGATTTGATTAAGATGGGAGAAAAGGGAGGGAAAAAGTATTTGCAGAAAGGAAAACAGAGTTACATGGAAATACCTCCTGCTTCCACTCCAGCCAAGCCTCCCTCACTGGACACCATCAGAATCCTGTACACAGTTCAGTGAGATACTGTGAGCCTGACCTTCACTAAGAGCCTCTTATGGCGCAATCCGCTTGACCCGACTAACACTAATGTTGCCACTCTGGTTGACGCTGAGCAATGCAAAGAGTAAGGGACTTACGATACCCAGCCGCTAACTCCCCTTAAGGACGACGATGTCATATCCCGACGCCCCAAACTTGTACCCGTACAGTGCAGATAATAAGTTCACACCTTCAGCTGCGGTTGCTTCAGAGGCGACCTCAGCGATAAGACTGATGAACAGTGGAACAATACGTCGTTCTTCTAAGAGGACATAATGTTGTGTAGTGTGCTGCGCGGTGCCGTGTTCAGGTCCAGTGCTTGTGCTTGGAAGCCCATCAATTCGTGAAATAACTCGCAGATCCGCTTCTCCGCAAATGCAAATCAGAGAGGTCTCGCCGAGGTTATCAGACAGAGGGGAATGGTTGTTGCATTTGGCCATATAATCTACCAGCCCATATCGAGATGAGAGTGTTACCATACAATCAATCATCAATGCAAAACAAAGAAATACCCAGGGTCCATGACTCCGTATCGGGCAGGGCACCTGTCACATCACAGTTCAATCCCCGGCATGTTTTAAAATTTATCATTCCCAGCAAGTCAAGTCCAATCAAGCGTAGCCACGACCCTAAAGAGGGGACTGGACATCCACAATAAGCTTACCCAACACTGTCCGACTCATAACTTCCTCATAAGCCTGTATCCACATGGAATCAGTATCAGTCTCTCGTAGCAGCTGCAGGTCTGTTTGTCTACGTCGACTTACCTTTGGTACGTCCTCAAAATCGTACGTCCTGTTGATAAAAACCTTGATCTTTTCCTCCTCGGCCAGTTGTCGAACTTCTTCCATCGCCTCGGGACGGTCGTCATTCATAATGGCGACAAACCGTCTTGGGGTGCCGCCAAGGATAGGTGGAAGCAGCGCGAGACGAGCCGTCGTCAGCAGCGCCGAGATAGCTCCCCACATGGTCCATTTCGTGAACGCCGTACCTACAGTGACGTAGACCCCATCCTTCTTGAGATAGGGCTCGCAGTGGGTGAAGATTTCGGTTAATCCGTACCCGTCGAGAATCGCATCGAAGGGGTCATCTTTGAATCGCTCGGCGAGATGGTTCCAAACAGCTTCATGCTCGTGGCGATCAATGACCTATAGGCATCAAGTTAGTATATAATATACGTCGAGCAAAATAATGCATTTACGAGATTGAAACAAAGAGAAAAAAGAAACTGCTAGCTAACCTCATCAGCGCCAGAGTCCTTTGCGACGAGGACACCTTGCGTGCCGCAAACGGCTACCACTTTCCCCTCCTCGCCAACTGCGTTGCGAGCCATCTGGAGCAATAAGTGGCCAACGGCTCCGTTCGATCCATACACTAGCACCCTTTGCCCCTTTTTTAGCCCGGATTTCTTGGTCATGGCTAGTGCTGTACACGACAAAGCACCGCCAAGACCTGCCGCATGCTCCCTGGGAATATTTCCCGGCGTCCTCACAACCCGCGAGGCCGGCACCAGAACGTACTCTGCAAGGGCACCCGAAGGAGCGGCAGCGCCCGGCATTCGTTTAAAGACACGGTTCATTGGCACAAGGCCGTACACATCAGTGCCCACAGTCAACGGCGGCTCCGGCGGGGCCTTTACTCCTTCGGGGTCAACGGCAACCACTATACCTGAAAACTCAAGCCCGGGGATGCAGGGCTTATCCCGCATGAAGGAAGGCGCGATGTTCATTAGGAAGGCATCGCCAAACGCCGCTGTAGCCTCGATAACTTTGACCAAGACATCGGAGGAGCCCGGCTTAGGAAGGGGAGGCAAAGGTAATTCGGTGAGGGTCAATACGTCTGTTGGCTTGCCGGCCTTTGTATGGACCCAAGCGCGCATCTTCTCGGGAAGATTTGGGGCTGTTGTTGTTGGAGAAGTCATGATCACATCCGTCGCGGTTGTCTTACACGTGGGGGAGAATCTAATGTTTAAGGCAGAAGAGTGTGCAGTACTTCTTAAGAGGTAAGATGATAATATCAAAGATGAGGAAGAGGCAACCAGCTGTCGCTTGCGCGCAGCAAACAACCTCCAACGTATTTACCCGCCGATGAAGGGTCCTCTTATAGTTAGCTGTGGAACATCATGAGACACATACTCTCATCAATCCTAGTCTCCTGTCATTGGGGAGGATTGACCACGTTTTCTCTCCCTTCGCATGTTTTGGCCTCATGGGGCTGAGACCATGGTCGTGTCTCTGGCCTGAGCCAGGCTCTCTAGGCCCAAAGAAGCTAGAAGACCTTCTAAAGCGGATGCCTGGAGTTCAGCTCGTGTGAAGCCGTATTATGCACTTAATAGCAACTCGACTTCCTTTGTCCCTAGGGATCCCCAATCAAATAAATATGTAATTAATGCAATTAGGAGACATCTTTTTTTTTTCTTTCTTTTTTAAGGCAAACACCTGGAATCAGCTGGTCACAGCGGGCACCACCAATGGAGGGGTATCTGAGGAAAGCTCTGGAAGAGGGAAGGTACTTCGTACTTTGTCCATCCCGCTTGCTTGCTTGTCGTCTCCCCCGCAACCAACCATCAATGTTAATAGTGCCAGGAACCAACAAAAAAAAATAGCACTGAGCCCTTGCTTGAGGAGATCCCCCGCCAACAGTTGCTTGTATTGAATCTTCCTTCCTTCATCATCCTCACTACAGAATCCGCAGAGTAACCATGGCGTCCAACATTGGCGCTATTGCGCAGCTGCTCGATGCCACTCTCGATCCAGCTCAGCACCGCAAAGGTAAACAACATCTACAGATGCAATGATGATGAACATCGAGAGGGAGAAGCTAATGGAAGCAAAAAAACAGCTGAGACTGCTCTCAAGGTCGAACAGGCCAAGCCCCAATACTCCCTAAGCCTCCTAAACATCGTCGCCTCGGAGCCTCTGCCGGCGAAAACCCGACTTGCCGCAGCTTTGGCATTTAAGAATTTCATCAGGAACAATTATGTGGTGCGTAATTCTGTCGCACTCGTAGAGCTTTACCCCACTCGCCGTGTGTTGCGCTGACCGCAAGACAGAACGAAGAGGGACAGTACAAACTTCCTCAGGATGAGGTCAACACCATTAAGCAACAGCTTATTGGCCTCATGATCTCCTCTCCCCCAGCCATTCAGAGCCAACTCGGCGAGGCTGTCGCTATCATTGCCGACTCCGACTTTTGGGAGCGGTGGCAGACTTTAACACAAGTATGTTTTTGGGGGCCTTGGCGCAAACGGGACGGCGAAGTGAAACACAAGTGACAGACTAACAACTCTGCGTGCCTATAGGACCTGGTCAGCCGTTTCTCTGCGACCGACCCGAAGGTTAACATCGGTGTGCTGGAAGTCGCCCACTCGATCTTTGTGAGGTGGAGGCCACTCTTCCGAACGGACGAGCTATACACTGAGATCAACCATGTCATTTCGACATTCGGCCAACCATTCATTCAATTGCTGATCGTAAGCCGCTTTGACAGCATCTGCATTCCCTTGTGGTGGTTATATGCGCCAGAGAATGGCACGCTAACCAGCCGATTACTTTGCAGACCACCAACACACGGATCGAGGCGAACAGCGGAAACAAGGACCTCCTCAGGGGCTGGTTCGAGACATTGAGTCTCCTCGTCAAGATTTTCTATGACATGTCCTGCCATGACGTGCCGCCCATCTTCGAAGAGAACCTGCCGAGCATCTGCGAGCTCCTCCACAAATATCTCAGCTACGCGAACCCCCTGCTCGCTACCGATGACGACTCCGAAGTTTCCATTATTGACACCGTCAAGGCTGATATCTGCGAAGCTCTAGAGCTCTACACTGTCAAGTTCGACGACGATTTCTCTAAATACTGCGGTCCATTCATCACCAGAGTATGGGAATTGCTGTCGGACATGGGTCCCGAGACCAAATACGACATCGTTGTCAGCAAGGCGCTGCACTTCTTGACGGCAGTTGCGTCAACGAAGGAGCACGCTGATAACTTTAACCACCAGGATACTCTTTCGCAGATTGTCGAAAAGGTTATCCTTCCCAACGTGGCCCTTCGCGAGTCCGATATCGAGCTGTTTGAGGACGAACCGATCGAATTTATTCGACGCGATTTGGAGGGTTCCGATACTGATTCGAGGAGGCGCTCTGCGACCGACTTCCTTCGGAAGCTCCAGGAAAAATTTGAGAGTCTTGTGACGGGCGTAGTTTCGAGGTACATCAACCATTACCTCACCCAAGGAGAGACGGATTGGAAGGCCAAGGACACGGCTATTTACCTGTTCATCTCCATCGCCGCCAAGGGCGCCGTTACTTCGGCTCAGGGTGTGAAGACCATCAACTCCCTGGTCAACGTCGTGGAGTTCTTCCAGCAGCACATCGCTGCTGACCTCATGTCGGACAGTGCAGAGCCCATCGCCAAGGTGGACGCTATCAAGTACCTCCACACTTTCCGAAGCCAGCTCTCCAAATCCCAGTGGATGGATGCTTTCCCTCACCTTATCAAGAACGTCGGCTCAAGCAACTACGTCATCTACACTTATGCCGCCATTGCCGTTGAGCGTCTTCTCTTCCTCACGGACGATAACGGCGTTCAAATGTTCACCCGCTCCGATGTTGAGGGCTTCTCCAATGAGCTTCTCGAGCGGTTGTTTATGCTGATTGAGAGGGAGACTACGCCGGCGAAGCTCCAGGAGAACGAGTTCTTGATGAGATGTGTGATGAGGATACTCATCGTTATCAAAGATGGAGCTGCGGGCATTCTCGATGGCGTCTTGCAGCACCTGATTGGCATCACCAACATTATGAAGCAAAACCCCAGCAACCCCCGGTTCTATTACTACCATTTCGAGGCTCTCGGTGCCCTTGTGAGGTATTGCTCGGCATCCAAGGCTGATGTCCTCAACGCGAAGCTCTGGGAGCCCATCCAGCTCATCTTTACGGAAGACGTCACAGGTAAGCTCGTCTCCCCCCCCCCTTTTCCCTCCCCAACATAGCTACTGTACTGACCCTAGCGATGTATAGAATTCATGCAATATGTCCTGCAAATTCTTGCGCAACTTCTCGAGTCTAGCCCCGCAGATTCAATCTCGGCCAACTTTGGCGCGCTGCTGGATCCCATCCTCAACCCTCCGATGTGGGAGGTTAGGGGCAACGTCCCTGCGTTGACTCGTCTGCTCGCCGCGCTCATCCCACGGGCAGCCAAGGATATCACGGCGGGAGACAAGATCAAGCAAATTCTCGGCATCTTCCAAATGCTCCTTGCCGGAAGGAAGTCGGAACTCTATGCCTTTGACATCCTCGAAGCGACCATCAAGTCTTACGAAGGGTAAGCTAACCAACGTGCTAATAGCAATTAACTACGGAACACGCTCCTTACTAACGAGAATGTCTTTGCAGGAATGTGCTTGATCCGTACTTTGTTACTATTCTTGAGCTCCTCTTCAAGAAGCTTCAGAGCAACCCTGCCGACTCGCTCAAATTGAGGTTCGTGCGACTTTACCACCTCATCTCGGCGCGACTCGAGGAGGGATACGGCGCGGATTACTTCATCAAGCACTCGAACGCGCTGCAAGCCGGGCTTTTCAGGCAGGTATACCCGGCCATCATCCTCGTGGAGACCGACAAGCTTGCGCGCCCCGTCGATCGAAAGCTCGCCGTCGTTTCTTACACCAAGACGCTGTGCGAGTCGAAGGCGTTCGCCGAGGAATTCCTCAAGGGCTGGGCCAACACGTGCAACAAGCTGCTCATGCTGCTGGCCAACCCGCCTACGATTGCGGCCGGCCTCGGCGACGAGATCATCACGGAGGCTGATGTCGACGACATTGGTTTCGGGCTGACATTTACGGCTCTCAACACGTGCAAGCCGGCGGTCAGGGACGATTATCCTGAAATTTCCAACGTTATCCATTGGGTCCGCGATTACATCAAGGAGGCTAACACGAGGCACAACGGACTGGTCTTTACCTTTATCGAGACTAGGTTGGCGGATGAGCAGAAGGAGGTGTTCTCCCGCATCATTCAGTAAAGGGAAGACGCTGACTGCGGACCACTTCGGCGACATCAAAACCGAGAAAGCCTTGAAGAGGGAGTTCGCTCGATGAGGTGAGGAGAGAGCGAAGGAGATAACTCAGGATTGACACCAACACAAACCAAGCAAAGAAGGCACACCACATTCCACCATACCCGAATATTTACGAGTCACGGCATCCTTTTTGGTACGAAATGTTTTCACGCCACAACACGAACCGCCAACCCACAGCCCTGGCAACACCAATAAAAAAAATCATCGTCCCTTCAACTTAGAGAGTTGAATTATCAGTGTGTAGGAGAAAATCCATCTTTTTACAGCTGCGCGGGAGAGGTCCCGTGGTGGCAGCTGCCGGGGGGGAGGTATGGGCAGAGCCAGACTAGAGGAACATGGCCTGCGTTTTGCCAAAGCGTCTCCCTTCTTATGCTGCACGAGCTGAAGATGGTGCCCAGGTAGTTTCTGGGAATAGCGTACACGAGGCCTTTCTAGATTCCATCTGATGTAGTGCACAGAGGATGTATGGCCTCGAGCGGCAGAATTCTCTGCATTTGAAATAGAAATAAAATACTTTTTCTCCCCCCAGAAAGGATTATGGGCATCATGGGCTCTGATTTCAGCTCTGATTTCCCAAGACTCAATGTGTGTAATAGTCGTGCAATACAACGTAGGAGCCCATCAACCGCGCAGGTTGCTTGGCATCGCCCGTGCGGGGCTTGTTGAAAAGGCAATGCAAATGTGAGGACTTGCAGTTGAAACATTGAGATTCGGACCGTCCCCATGTTTAGGTTGATGGTTGCTATCAATGAATTAATTCAGACCATCCCCGAGACATTGTGTTTCACGACACAGATACATGTAGGTCGTACTTACTTGGTAGTATGTATAAAAGGCGCTGGAGGATTGCGCCAGCTCCGCTTCCTCCGTCAAGAGAAAGGCCCCTGCTTCTTTGCCCAGCTTCTTTGCCCAGAAACCCAGCTGCGACGTTGGCCTCGTTTGAAAGTTCCCGAGACACCGAGAACCTGCACTTTTCTTTTTTTCTCCCAGCTTTGACGGGTCATTACCGACGATATAATAGCACACGGGGCGAGAATCCCCAAACGAAAGAAAGAAGAGAGAAAAAAAAAATAAATCAAAAAATCAAGGGCCAAGTTAAAAAGAACAGAAGGAGGAAATAATACCTCATCGCCCAAGACTACAAGATGAGCTTCCTCCTCGCGTCCTACCGCTGGATCCAATCCCAGCGCCAAGAACTGCCCTACCCAACGCAAGACCTCACAGGCAAAACCATCATCGTAACAGGCGCCAACTCGGGTCTGGGCCGCGAAGCAGCGCGGCACTTTGCGCGGCTCAATGCGCGGGTAATCCTAGCGTGTCGGAACCGGAGCAAAGGCGAGGCGGCGCTCGCAGACATCCGTGGCAGCTTAACCGGGACGGGAACGCCGCTGCTGGAGGTATGGGATTTGGACCTGGAGAGCCACCAGAGCGCCGAGGAGTTTCTTGCCAGGGCGGAGCGGGAGCTGGACAGGGTGGACGTGCTAGTGAATAATGCGAGCGTGGCGATGGGGAAGTGGGAGGTCGTGGAGGGGAGGGAGGCGACGGTTACGGTGAATGTTGTTTCGACGTTTCTGTTGACGGTGGGTTTGTTGGGGTTGTTGGGGAAGACGGCGGCGAGGTTTAATGCCGATACGCGGGTTGTTGTTGTTTCTTCGGAGGGAGCTGCTGCGGTGAGTTATACGAATTCCTCTTCTTCTTCTTCTTCTTTTCCCTCTTCTTCGTCTGAATTTTTATACTAAGATCCTCTCAGGCTAAATTCAAAGAGCGCAACGAAGCCAACATCTTCAACGCCCTCCAAAACGAAGCCTATTTCCAAGACCGCTACTTCACCAGCAAACTCCTCCAACTCATCTGCGCCCGCAAGCTCGCATCCACCTTACCCCCGGAAAGAGGAATCATCGTCACGTCTCTGAGCCCAGGCCTTTGCAACACCGATCTCTTCCGGAACGCCCCGTGGTTCGCGCGGTGGATACTCGGCGCCATGCTGAGCCTGGTGGGGCGGTCGGCGGAGATGGGATCGCGCACGTTGGTGAGCGGCGCGTTGGCCGGGAGTGAGATGCATGGGGAGTATATGAGGCATTGTGGGAGGGCGGAGTATCCCGGGGTCGTGGAAGGGGAGGAGGGAGAGGCTTTGATGGGGAGGGTTTGGGGGGAGTTGTTGGGGGTTTTGGAGGAGGTGAGGCCTGGTGTTACGAAGGGGTTGACGGGATGAAGCAAGGGATGGATGTGTACGAAGAATGTATGTGCGGGCTTGATTGCCTTTTGCGAAGTTCGGTCTGATGGTTGGCGTTCACGGCGATGCTTTAGATGTACAGAAAGCGCTTAACCCAGCAGTACTCTAGATCTCAGGTCGAGTGAAAAGGTGTTTGAAGAGGGCAAGACATTAATATTTTAATTTGATTTTCATTTCATTATATATATATATATATTTTTTTTTTCTCATCTCTACAAGGATGGCTGGAATGGAACGTAGAAGCTCTGCCCAATTGCCTCTCGTGTCGAGCTTGATGATGTTCGGCTCGAAGCTTAAAGCTCCGGAGCTCTTTACCTCGATTAAGCGAACCTCGGCATTGGTATTGGCATTGGCATCGATCGAGGACCTTAGATCTTGGTCCCCTCCATCATCTCATCCTCACTTATATTTAGTCTATTCCTCAACACACACCCTTCTTGTCATGTCTACCTCTCCATTTTTTGTCGTAATTGATCTATCTATATCTTGTACAATATCACGGAACTTGAATTATAAAATTGACTCTAAACCATCCCGCTCCAACTCCGTTCATCATGCCGCCCACACGGCCTCTCACGGGCATCAAAGTCCTCGAATTCGCCGGCCTCGCCCCAGGTCCGTCGCCCTCGATTCCCCTGCTCCTTAACCCCCCAAACCCCACCCCATATTCTAACTCTCTCCCTCCCCAGGCCCCTTCGCCGGCATGCTCCTCGCCGACGCCGGCGCCTCCGTTCTGCGCATCGACCGCGCCCCCTCCCCCAACAACCCACCAACACCCACCCCGGACTTCCTCGCCCGCAACAAATCCTCCATAACCCTCAACCTCAAGTCACCGACCTCCCTCCCCCTCCTACACAACCTCATCACCAAGTCCGACATCCTAATCGACCCCTTCCGGCCCGGAGTCCTCGAAAAGCTGCACCTGGGACCCTCCGACCTCCTTCCCTTGAACCCGCGCCTCATTTATGCGCGCCTCACGGGATTCCGCCGCGATGGAAAATATGCGACCATGGCGGGCCATGATATCAATTATCTAGCTGCGTCGGGCGTGTTGGGTTTGTTGGGGCGTAGTGGCGAGAAGCCCCATGCGCCGTGGAACCTGGTGGCTGATTTCGCGGGGGGCGGCTTGGCGCTCGTGCATGGTATTTTGCTGGCTCTTTTGGCGAGGGAGAGGACGGGTAAGGGCCAGGTCGTCGAGGGAAACATGGTCGACGGGAGCTCGTACCTAGCCACTTTCCCGCGCTTGGCGTTGAAGACACCCTTGGCCGATAAGAAGAGGGGCGAGAATGTGCTCGATGGCGGGTGTCCCTGGTACGACACCTACGAGACCAAGGACGGAAAGTACATGTCCGTTGGAGCCCTAGAACCCCAGTTCTTCAAGGCTCTCGTACAGGGGCTAGGTCTGCAGGCGTTAGGGTGGGAGAAGACGCGGGCCGATAGGAGTACGTGGGGTGAGATGCGGAGAGTCCTCACCGAGACGTTTAAGACGAAGACGAGGTCCGAGTGGGAGGCCGTCTTTGACGGGACGGATGCCTGCTGCGTGCCCGTTTTGGAATATGCTGAGCTGGAGACCGATCTCGAGAGGGAGGGTGACCAGAGGCATATCGTTACGCTCAAGGATACGCCTTGCTTTGAATTTAGCGAAAACGAGGGCGGAGAGCCTGGCGCGAGGAAGGGGTATACCGCTGACTTCCTGACTCCCGGCGAAGGTGGGGAGGAGGCCTTGGAAGAGTGGTGTGGGCTAAAGAAGGGACGTGATTATGATGTTGTGCAAGGCGCGTTCGTCTCCAAGGAAGGAAAGTCGAAGCTGTAAGGGTAGGTGATGCGCGTGTAGTATCGAAACTTATATGTACATACTCTACGTCGCTTGTACATACAACTTCATGCGATCAATCCTCGTAGTGTACATCGGCATCAGCGTTTTCGCCAGGGAACACCGTACTTCCGTTTTCAATCATTTCGAGACCAAAAGTGAATCAGGGCATTCATCGTGTTCTATTAACTAAGTCTTTCCAGCAGTTGGGATAAAAACAACATCTCCCTTCCTCCGCTTCCAATCCTCTTTCCCAATCGCTTGATATCAACAAGAAAACAGAAAGAAACAAACGACGATTCCCGGAATAAAATAAAACAACAACAAAAAGAAGAGTCTACTCCTCCCAAGCATAACATGTCGACATTCATTCTCCCAGAGCGAAGAAAAAAGTTGGGAGGTGATATACACCAAGCGTGCCAATCGACGGCGTTCTCCGAGTTCTGGCTTCTAGTTATCCGTCTCTTTTGCCAAATGGGGGGGCCTCTATAGGGCGACAATCTACTAGGACCCTCGTAGACACTGCGGACCAGGAGATACCCCGTTAAGTCTGCGGTCTCGTCGGTACAACGAGGGTCGTGAAATGGCGCAAGAGGGTCGGGTCTAGAAGCAAGAGCGGGGTATATCTCGATGCCGGCGACAGCAGTTACAAGACACTCTTTGCCTCTCGGTGGATTTACTGCACTTGGCCGACAATTTCGCTGGCCTTGGCGAGGGACCTAACCATGTCCTGGCACTCCTTCCGACGGCGAATGGTGAAGTCGCTCTCCTTGAGCAACTCATCCAGAGTGTCTGTCCTGTACATGTTCTCGAGGAGCTCGCGCTGCATCTCATCCTTGGTGAACCTATTTTACATCGTTAGGCGGTGTTGTTTCGACTTGTGTAAGCTGAGGAGAGGGAGGGGACTTACTGGACGAGAGTAAGCATGATGGCCTTGGGAACCATATCAATCATGGTTCGCTTAACAATGTTAAAGTACGAAGAGATGAGCAGCTCTGAAAAATTGTTAGCATACACAGGTGACTCAGTTGCCAAGGCCGGGGGGAAGAAAACGTACTGATAACCTCAACCTCAATATTCTCACGCTCAGAGAGCGTTCCAGAAGCCTTGAGTGTAGGCGGGGGAGGCTCCATCGCCGCCGCCTTCTTCTTGTTCTTGGCCGCGAAGAAACTTCCAAAGAAGCCACTGTTGCTCTCGCCCATGTTCGTGTCAGCCGTGGTGGGACTAGCAGCCCGGCCCGGAGTCGACGCCGGGAGAGGCTTTCCGGTCTTGGGATCGACCTGCACCGTGCGAGGAGGGTTGTGGCGCTCGTTTACGATGGCCATCGCCTATATGATCGTGGTTAGTGTGCGGAGCTATGGGAGGGTGCAAAAAGAGATGAAAAGAAACAAGACACATACCCTGTGGCCGTTCAAGAAGTCGGGGTGTCCCGTGTTAATGTAGCAGGCCTCCATAGCTACCAGATCCTTCACAAGCTTATTCGTCGGCTCCATAGCCTTTTTGAAAAAGGAAATGATAACCGAGTGAATCTTCTCCTTCAACCCGGGGTATCGGCGATACAGGGCCTTGCCCAGGAGCTGCGAGAGGATGCGCACCAGCTCGTCATAGACGAGCGACACACACTTGAGGCTGGGGTCCTCGAGCCGCTTGATCTGCTGCTTGACGATGAGCTCAAAGGCCGCCGTCCCGACGAAGAGGGCGGGCGAGGAACCAGACGAGTTATATAGTATCGTCCGGATGTCGGCGTCCTTCACCACGTCGAAGGGGTCGATGGCCTTGATGCCGTTGGAGTAGAGCTCGTGGAAGACGAAGCTGATACGCGCACCACCTGATAGCTCGCTGCTCGAGAGCTCCGTGTTGTTTCCGTCGAGCACGGTGCGCCATTCGTTGGTGAACTCGGTGATGATGTTGAGCACGATGTTGGCGCTGTTGCCCAGCATCGAGGGGCCTAGGCTGTCCAGCTCGGCGCTGTACTTGGCCAAGGAGCTCGAGATTCTGGCCTTGATGTCGGGGAGGGTCTGCTTGATGTGCATCATAAGAATCAAGTTCAGCTTGCGAGCGAGGTACGGCGTCCCGCAATACGAGCTCTTGTTCCTGTACGCCTTGTGGTTCTCGAAGAAGTTCTTCTCAGCCTCGAGAGCCGCCGAAATACTCTTCCTGTTGTCGATATCACGCTGTCCTCGGTTGACGACGGGAACGTAACCGAGACGGAGCGGAATGATGCGGCCGGCGAGAATATCAACAACGTCCGTTCCCTCGTCCATAAGATCGACCTTGGTCAGCACACCGATGGTCCTCTGTCCCTCAGGGTCCACCTCGCGGCCGAGCTTGAGACCGTCCGAGTTGGCCAGATCGACGTTGGCGGCGGTAACGGCGAGGATGATGGCGTTTGGCTTTACGATGTACTTGAGAACCATGTCTCGAATCTGACGCTCGATGTCGCGGGGCTGGTCGCCGACGGGCACTCTCGTTAAACCGGGCAAATCGACGAGGGTAAGGTTAAGGACGTTGGGCGAGTATATTCTCAGGTTAATAGGGGCGGGCGAGATGCCGGCATTTCGCCCAACCTTTGCCGCCGTTTCCCTGTCGATTTCCTCCCGGATCTTGTTGAAATCGTGAAACTTTTGGCCGGGAATGTGCAGGAACTCTCCCCACTCGTCGGGGTTGGCGGCCTTGTCGTCGGAGATGAGCTCCTCCTTCGTTCCATTGCTTTGTGAAGAGGCGGGGCGGTTGATAAGCTGAAGGATTAGGGGTCGTCGAGTGACGATACCGGAACCTCGTGGTAAGCTGTATAATGGCGGTGACGAAGATTAGCATGCGAACATTTTATAAGGGGGGGATGGACGACGGGCGGGCGCTCGAGCTACACCGGACCGCGGGATCCGAGCACGTCGGCCATAAGCGAAAAATAAAGCGACCACCGGGTTCGGGGTTCCATCCACTTACAAGTCTCGGCCCACGATATTCTCTAGTACAGAGCTCTTTCCGCTCGACTGACTACCGACGACGACTATTTGTGGGAGATCGATCGGGTTCGCAACGCCGACGGTTGTAAAAACATCCTGAAGTTTATTCACTAATCTATCAAAGGGTTAGAGTGCGTTAGCAATACTGTCGTCGTCATCACCTGCCCCTCCAAGATCGGGTGTCCGGAAATATGGCTGCCTGCTCCATAGGGGGGAAATCGCAACGGGGGAGTCTCAAAACGTACTGAATAAGAGCAGGATCAGAGATACCGCCTGGCTGGGCGAGAGACGGATGGCCAGACATGTTGGCTATTCGACGAGGAGATCAAGAAGGTGGTTGTTTCCTCGCCTCGAGTCAAGAGGGGCTGGAGAGTAGGTGCAGAGGGGGGGTCGGTGTCAAGCTGCGTTTGAGCGGGTCGCTTTCGAGATCTTTGGCTGTAAGGGGGGCAAAGTGGTAGAGGTGAAGATGCGAGGTCGTCTTCGATTATAATAAGAACGCTGGCGTTGCAAGCGGAGTTCTGGAAAATCTTGGAAAGCGTGAGTTAGGTTGGTGGAATATAGTCGAGGGTATTGATTTGTCGATGTGGTAATAGGGTGTTGATGCTAGATTAGACCTTCACGAGCCTGAAGACAAGGGTTGCCACGGCATGGTTTGGTCTTAATTCAACCACAGTACGAAGTACGTAAGTGCAGAGTGGCTGCAGCCACATTTAAGCCACAGGGGAATTACAGAGGTGGCGTCCGTGCGAACTTTGACTTTCGAACAGAAGAGCCGCTGGTTGATTTCGAGGGCACGTGATTTCGGTGTGCAATCAGCACTGTGATGCCAAAACGGTGAGATCGCTGAAGAAACGCGGAACATCTTCACTAGCAAACTTTAAATAGACACTACGGTGAAGTGTCGAAACAACTTCAGCCAGGAACGGAGCAGCTACTTGAGAACATTTAGTTTAGTAGATCATCAACAAAGGGATCACAGCCCGCTGAGAGGGGACACAAACTTTGGAAACTAGGCATTCATGTAGCCACCATGATGGAGACTTGGACGAAGGGCAAGTCTTGCACGGTTGAGTATCTCGGTTTAATGATGATTGATTCCCATTATCGCATGCTTGTCTGTTGTACAGAACCGCAAAAAGAAGAACGAAAACAAGAAAAAAAAAAAAGGAATGATTCCAGCAAACTCGCATCAGTCCATCCACCGCGATTCCGCTCCAAGACGTCAACAGCTTGGGGAATGCTCCATCCCTCTATTATAAATCATTGCCAGCAAAACAACAGCAAAACCCCGCCCCGTCAATGAGCCATTCTTCTAATTCACCAATGAAACCCTCACGCCAATATCCCATATGGGGAGTCCAGTCCTAAATAAAGATAGAATAGAGAGAGGGAAGGGAGTTGGGGGAAATAAGCAAAATAAAGAATAATAGTAAATAAAAAGGGGCGTTCATGACCTCCTGGTAGTAAGCTCCGCCATTTCAGGTAGCCGTCTAATTCACGCTGTTCTGAAAAGAAAGGGTTGAAGAGTCGCTCGGGAGAGGAGAGTCGGATTCGTCCATGCTCGCTTGTTTCGGACTATGCCTCGTCCAAGTCCAGGTTGTTTCCAGAAAATTGACCGGACTTCCGTCGGTTTTTAACATCCGGCAAACTTACACGATTTCTCCAGTTTCATATCCGTCTGAATATCCATTGTCATCGTCTACCCTGTTAGGGCTATAGGGGGGGTAGTAGACCACTTCCTCCGACTCCTCCAAATTGTCCGGATCGTCCTCAGGATCGCCTAAAGACCCAAAGGTCGGCATCTCCAGATACGGTAACTGAGCTTCGCTCTCGGAGTTCCCTGGCGAGTTTTCGGGGCCACCCTAAGCCTCGTCCTGGTTCCGCCAACCATTATAGTTGTTCTGTTGCCGAAACTGCCTGTACATCATTCGCAGTTCCTGGCCCCTCGACTTGTTCGACCAGCTGTTAAGACGTGTCAGTACCAGTCCGTCTAGTAATGGATCTAAAGAAAAGTAGACCTACACCTTAACCTTCCCATCATCGCCGCAAGAGGCCAGCATACAAGGGTCGGCAGGGTTCCAAGCGACGGAATTGCTTCTCGGATGATGACCACTAAGCCTGTCGATAGCTGCTCCAGTCTTCTTGTGCCAGATCCACACGTTGCCATCTATACAAATCGACACATTAGTCTCGTGCAATACAGTAGCGGTGGATATTTTTTTCCTTGAAAAAAAAAATGACTTGACTCCCTACCTTCACTGCCGCTGATGATAAAGCTCTCATTGGCACCTCCAAAGGCAGCACGAATCAGACACTCGCCACCAGTGTGACCCAAGAACTTGTGAACGAGCTTGCGCGTAACAAGATCGATCAGCTGCGCCTCGCCATCCTTCTTGTTGACCAGCAAATGCCTGCAGTCCTCGCTGATGGCAACGGATGTCGGGAGAGCGTGCAGCTCCAGCTCGTACTCCAGCTCGCGGGACATGCCGTTGTACACATGGATCTTCCTCTGTTCGTCAATAGCGACAAGCCACCGCCCATCCTGAGAGCCGCAGACATCCTGCGTCCTGTGCTTCCTAGCCCAGTCGTGGATGAGGTCGCCGTTGAGATTAAAGGTTCGAAGGCTGCGTCTCTTGTCTAGTGTCCCCAGAGTGAATGATTTTCCATCAGGAGCCCAGACACATCCAACCACGGGGTCCTCACAACGGTCAATTTGTTTTAGCAGTGACCAACTCTGGAGCAAAAGAAAGACACAAAACCCGTTAGCTTAATGTGCATAGAGACGGAAAGGGGAAATGCTCTCTAAGCTCACCTTAGTATCCCACAACCTTGCCTGATTATCCCGAGAGCATGTTATTAGTATTGAATCATCCGGACTCCAGGATAAGTTGCATATCTGCCCATCATCATGGCGTAGGACAGTCGCAACTCCAAAATCTGGAACGTGCCATACGACAACCTCGGATTTGGATCCACAGGCCGCCAAGCGATCGCCGCTGTGTGAGAATTGGATTTGCCAGACCTCGCCTTCGAGGTCCGTTAATGTGATGGCAACTTCCGAAGGAAAGTTGCTCCTGTCACAGTGATGGTCGGAATACAAGGACGGGGAGGCCGCGCTTGTGTGATAAAGGCAAGTGTCTATCTGGCTCTGCTTCACTTGTTGTAATAGCCCGGCAAGTCTATTGTCCGGCAACATGACCGATGGGGAGATGCATTCTGCGAGTACTAGTTAGCAACAGAACTTTCTGCGATAGGATACGGACCGTGATTTGTAGGGGAAAGGAGGGGGGAATGTGCTTACTCGAAAGCTCGGAGAGCAAAACTTGCCGTGACGTCCCATCAGCACCGTCCCAGTCAGCCCTCGCCTTCAGGTCTTCAATAGATTGACACATCAGGAGAGTAGATAGAAAATGGACTCTACTCGTGTCACACTCAAGGGGAGTTAACTCGCCCCGCAGCACTGAGAGAGCACGAGAAGTTTCACGCCTTTCAAGGTGTTCTAGGAACTTCTGCTGGCGCATCCAAAACTTCATCAGAGTCCTATCCGAACCCGGTGCTAGAATAAGTCCGTTTATGTTTGAGCCAGGCTCTCCCGCTACGACAGCCTGGGATAGCAGCTGTTCGGCTTCGGCCCAAGAACCGCTTAGAACAGCATCTCGGAATGCGGCAACAGTCGTATTCTCGAGCTCGTAGCCACTCTCTTCACTAAGAGACTTCGCGATAGACTGGTAACCCATACCGGAGAGGGCTTGGATGAGCAGCCTCGTGACCTCTTCGCGGTCGTGGCCGAAATATGTGACGGGGACGCCATCCCGATCTGCACGCGAGGAGCCGTTAAGGGCGGGCTTGTATCTACCGGCGGTGCCGTTGTTCGTAACGGCACGTCGGGCTGGCGAGGTTGAGCCGGGCGACGAGCGCAACGCAGCTCCATTAGATGCCCGTGATTCCTCGGTCTCACCAGACATCGTGTCGCCGCGTCTGCGTTTGGGGCGGTGTTCCTCGGAGGGCACGAAACTAGCGGGGGGCTGGACGGTGGCCTGCGCAGACAGGCGTCGTCGGCTGCTCTGCTCGGGGATACTATCGCTGTCGAGTGCGTGAGAGCTGGCGTCGTCGTCGTCGTCGGGATCGGAGCTTGGGGCTCGTCGTCTCCGGCCCAGGACCTGCCTCAAGGGTTGGTTGGAGGCTATGGTACTGGTGGAATGGGCGGAATCCGGGCTTGAATTCCCAGACTCCGTACGTCTAAGGTAGAAGAAGCGTAGGAGCGGATGCGGGGCTGTAGAGGTGGTGTCAAGGTCGACTGATTCTCTGTCGTCGTTTGGGGGAGTCTCAGGTGGAGGCGTTATCGGTTCGTCGGGTGGAAAGTGGAGCGGAGGTCGTCGGTGCGGTTGGGGGAAAAGGTAGTTTCCTGTCGAACTAGTTCGCTGTCCTATGGCGTGTGTATTGTACAACTCGGAAGCTAGAGGGGCTTGTTGTTTCGACTGGGCAAGTCTACGAGACAGTAATGTCTTAGGCCGATGAGTCGGGTGCTTGTCACAAGCTTGGGCACAGGGGCAAGGATACCTAACAGTTCGATGATGCGATAACGCAAGAGCCCGGTGGGTAGTAAGGAGACTGGTGCCACTTAAAGAAACGCTGCCCAGCCACCACTGTTTATCACGGGCCAAATGGGAGACTGGAGGAGAGGTGGAGGCGGAGGTGGTTGTTCAAAGACGGATGCCGAGATAGAGCTGAGCTGAGCGGCAACTGACGGAACTAGGAAGCCGTTATCATGGCAAGGAGAAGCCAGGGAGTAGACGAGGGCTATTGCATAATAGGATTTATATTTGATGTTTGTACGTTGCGAAGCCGTGTATACGAGCACACTGGGCAGGTTCGTCCTTGCAGGGTCGGAGTAGAGGTGATGTTCGTCGCGGAGGTTAGCTGGTCACGGTGGCCATGTGAGCTCATAACGGGGTTGGGAAGGACAGTGTCGGTCGTAGTGGTCTTAGTCTCGACTCAAAGCATGACGAAACCAGATTTTGCCAGGGTTTCTGCTTGGAAAGTCCGATCAATCTGCAGAACCTACGTGGAGCGCCTGGACACCCCTTCACTGGCGCACTCTAAGTGGGCAAGCACTGGGTCGGGCGGGGTGGTTAGTGACCAGCCAGGCCAAACTGCCAGCGCAGATACAGACACTGCGTGCCACCCGCATGAGCACAACAACCAGGCCTATGACAGCATCGCACGCGCTTATGTAATCGATTCCATTCCATCCAAACAGTTTGAAACGACTTGGAACCACAGGCACGGGAAATTGAAGTTAACGGATTGATACCGAAGATTCAGGCACTTACGGCTCAGCACCAACAGCACGGATAATCATGAGGACGACAAAGGTCAAATCTATTCCAGCCGCCATGGGTGGTAGAATGATCGCTGCTGCCATCGGAAAGTTTCTGGGAGTGGAAGGAATATTCCACTGCTGATTTCAAGCCCTGGTGACCTTGAAGAAGAAAGTGTCTGACCTTGCCTCGGGCGGCCAGGCTAGGACACCATACGCTCGAAGTGTCTGGACATTTAACGACAGGAGGAAGAACATTCGCTGATGCCCTCTGCAATTGTTGCATTTTATTTGGTTGCTAATTGAGCTCCCTCACACCCGCTCTGTTAATACGAAAGACCAGCTCGATTCTGCCCATTTTCCACCGCTCTCGTCTCTCGCCGCCCGGTTGTGCAAGTGGTCTCATGACGCAGGTGTTGTGGGTCTCTTCCTGTGATCGGACATTCCTCTTCGAGCTCCTTACAGCACCAGTTCCCGGCCACCGCTCAACCGACCATCCTCATCGCATCATCGCATCGCAGCTCATCATCTAACTCACGGTCAACTGCCGCAGGTGCAGCTGAGTTTGATTACCCTCCCTTCCTTCGTAAACTAGAAGGTCAACCCCAGGACCAGCCAGCTGCAGGCACGTGCAACGTCCCCCAGTTCCCCAAAGCTGAGGCGATCAACGTCAGAGCACGTATCCTCAGGCCCTTCCTTCGTCTTACACAATTCAGGAACCTCGATCCTGGAGCATTTCGCATGGTTCGCCCTCATGTAAGACATAATTACACTGCACTTACCAGCACGAAGTACACTAAAATGGCAGCGGTCATGGCGCCTCATTGGTGCATGTACATGGCTTAAGCCAAGTGCAGTTCGATGCAGGTGGATCATTGATCCCTTACTGCAGTGCAGCGGTCCCTCTGCACTCTTGCGAGAGAGCGTCGGGGCCAAACCACACTCTCAGATCGACGTATGCCGGGGTCTCTTTTTGTCTACGTCAGTCAGCCCCCAGAGCATATTCGCTCTTGATAATGATCTCTCACTTTCGAAGCAGTGTGAAGGAGAAAGTTCAATATTGAGCCATCGCGTAATTCATAACTACCCGGGTGGCTAGTGAGCCGCCAGCCTTTCACGGTCCATTCCTCAGACTCACTACCTGGAGGTGAAACAAAATTTCCATAGGATATGATTTCTGGTAGGTCCAAGGAAAACCCCGCGCAAACATCAACAATGTAACTTTTCTTCATGCGAAATTGCCCCGGATCCAAGCAGCCGGATGAGCGTGTATGGCGGAGCAGATCTACACGAGGGGAATCAGTCTCTCGGGGCCGGCGATGTTCCAACATGTTCCAGGTGCAGCCAGGCAACCAGGTCTTTTATCTGGATGGCAGGGGATAGTCTTGCTCTCAGTGGGCCGACTATTGCCTACCGGCAGGTCTACAGGCAATATAGGACGAAATATCTCCCAATATCGGGAAGCTCGTTGATGCGCCCAGTGCAGTTTATATTGGTGGTTGGATCCCGAACCATGGCTCGGTAAAGGGCACGGATGTTAGCCCACCAGACAATTGGCGGGGCAAGAAAGAATCGGGCGACTTCAAAGAGGTATATCTAGACAATGACGGGAGTACAAGTGGCGGTGGGGGCTACCAAGGTAAGGATCGAGTTCGAAGTAAGTATCGAACTCGTTCGAAAGGAATACACTGACAGAGTCAGCCTCAAAATATAACTGAAAGCGGAATGGGATCCGTTCCGCGATGGGAGATGGCGGACGCCACGGCGGAACAGGGGGTCTCGAATACACCTTCTGGAAACGGCAAGGGCTTGCAAACCTGCCAGGTATTGCCAGCATCATCCATTCTTCCATGGATGGCTCAGTCTAGTACCTGGAGAAGCATGTCAGTACGAAGGACGTGAATTGCTTTTCTGGCTGTGGTGGGCCTGTGGACTTGCATTTGCATCGATTCGCTATAAACTGCACGATTTTACTTTGCATTACTCGCTTGTTCCACTGCCCTCTTGCCAGATAGTTGCGGATGCGGAGTCCAAATCGCTCTCTAGATTGGATCGCCCTTTCAGCATGTCCTGTCCTCCCCAAGAACGGCTTCACGCAGGCCCAAGTCCCAAGCGTTCAGCCGAGACCTCGATGCGAGAAACCGGTACCAACTAAGAAACGTAGCTTCAGTAGTCTATTCCTCGTACAGCCGCCAAGTGGGCTGAATCACGGCATTCTAGCATATGCAAAGGTAGACTGAACTGCACCTGCATGCAGACGCACTATTTCAGACAGATCGTACATATTGTAATATCCACATATAGTACGAAGGGAATCAATCCGCCTCCACTCCTTTTTCTGGCTCGCATCTGAAGGCGACCCGCTGTATGAAGCAAGTTCGTGAAATACATCTCTCACTCCAAATCATGTTAAGGTACTCGATAGGAAACGGGAGCATTGAAAAAAAAAGAGTTCTTCTTAGAGGTGGAAAGAGGCATAGATGATCAGCCCAGCTGCATTATGGAGTGGGCAAGTGTCAAAATGCGGTCTGTGGATCTGGTGGTTTCTGCAAGGGTCCTTCGCAGATTAGTGTGCGATGTACAAAGTACCCTGCGAAATAGGACGACACCACACTATCCAGAGGAAGACGAGCGCGTCGGAGAAGGGAAGAAAGAGGCAAGTGAGATCAAATGGTAGAAGCACTAGACGAGATGTGGGGTAGATAAAGATTAAGGATGTCAAGTACATGCTCGGAAGAGAGAAGGAATTCGAATTCTGCTCTCTAGACTCGGGAGGAGACTTCCGGGCCGGGTGACCGTAAGGACCTCCAACCCTGTCATTCAAAGCCATGTTTCCATGTTCTTGAACAATATATGTGTATCCAGTCTGGATTAAGGGTTCTCAGAGAAATGAGGTTGCGTCGTCCTAAGATGAGTCCCCATTCTTGCTACCAGGCCCCTTGTCAAAAACCCGTTGAGGACGGGGGCTCGACTGGCGCAATGCCGCAATGCCCTAACTCAAACATGCCACGGATGCAGGCAAAATGTGACGAGTGCCAAAATGCCGGTAGTAAACATTAATAATAAGAATAATATCAATTGGAGGAGAGGATGGCAGCAATGTGATATCTCCGGACACTAGTCAGGGGATCAAACTCCGACGTACGAAGGTGTATTGAGACAACGTCGTGGACAAGCATATTACAACCTCCGGCATTCGACGGGCTGGGTTTGGTCAGAAGAAGGAGCAGGTTCAAATCCTACAAACTAAGTACGAGCTATACAAGTACGAAGCAGTGCGCAGTATCCCATGCATTGGGCAAGCTTTCAAACTCCCACCCCGAGATTGCAATACCTTCAAGGACGCTATCAGCCGTAGACGGGAGCTAGCAAGGGCTCTATCCTCCCGGATTTTCGGTGTGCTTCTTCCTCGCTTCGGCTTCGGATTCGGCTACGGTCTAAAAACAGAAATATCCTCTTCAGCACGAACGAGGGAGACACGTTTTGTTCTGAAGATCATCTTTCGGTAATGTCGCTTGCGGACGAAGAGTGGCAAGGAAAGAGAGTACAAGAAGATCAACGACTTCTCATGACATGGGTTCGGAATTTGGACAAACAACGACGCTCGGTTCGCCTGCCGGGGTGCCATCGGACGGTGCGCCTCGTACCGGGGGAGAGGGCGTGGCCTGCTCAATATTTCATAGGAGGCACGATGTTCAGAGACGGAGAAGTTCAACAACGCCTGGCAGTGCTGTGTACTTCGTACGTATTCTCGTTCTCTTCCGCCTCAGACAGCGAGACAGGCATTCACCGCACATCGGCCCCTTATCCGCATCTCACGTGTGTGGGTATTCCCGTCTGATTAGGGGTGCTCTTGGCTGAGCGAAATGCAAGGATTCTCGGATGTCGTCGGCATGCAAAATGCTCTCCCTGTACGCTGTACACTACTTCGTCCACAAACTACCGCATCGTGGAAGGATCGTGTACCTGCATGACCTAGCACCACACCCCATATTAACGCCCATCGTCGTTGACGCCAAACCCTAATCGTACGTGTGCGCGAGTATCCGTCGTTTTACTTGTAATCTACACATACTTGGAGATTCTTTGGGGAGAAAACCTAGAAAACCTAGAAAACCTTAAAAGCCATTGAGCGGACAACCGTCTCGGAGAGACACCGAGTTCGGAGTGGCAAGTGGCGAGTGGCGTCCCGGATTCCCTTCCCAGGTAAGACACTTGCCTAATTTATTCAACCCGCGCCGGGACGGTCGGCAGAGAAAAAGTCTGGAAGCAACCGCATGAGATTTTCGGAGCGTATTACCCACACAAATTTGTCAAATAGCGCAACACTATCGCCAGCGTTGAGCCTAGCTTATGCATACTTGCACACTATAAGGCCAATGTTATGGGTCAAATAGGAGAGGTGGCGATAGGAAGGGAAGGGAGAATGAAGTTTCCCAGTGTGTCCTGGTTTTTGGCTTGCTGCTGCTTCATGCATTGTAACCTCAGCTGCATAGGGGAAGCATTCGGGAAGATAAAAAGTTAGTTTGCAGTGGTGGAGGGAAGTAGCATGATATTACCTCGTACTCTTCTCTCGTTACAATCCGCTTTCGGATTGGCTTTTCGGACGCCTGCAGCACTGCGCAAGAGTCTTGTTAAGGCAAGTTGGAGATGGTGTTGTTGAGATCCATATTAGGAAGTACCTTCTTCAATGTTGTTTGAGACCTTTGGCCCGGACCTGCCGTACCATCTCCATCCCCATCTAGATGGACTCACCGCCAATATGTACTACTCCTTGTGGGTAGTCTTACCGAGCCTGCTCTGTTGCTGTAGAGCGGTCAATAAACTATCGCGAGTCGGGGCAGGATATGCCCTTTGCTCAATCGTCAACTGGCACTCCCACCACATATTGAAGAGCCAGCCAAGCCAGTGACACAGTGTTGCAGCTCCAAATCTTAGATGTCCGCCTCCGCGATCGGTTACTACACGTGGGAAGTAAGGACGAGAGTGGGAAGTTTAACCACCGGCTGTGGCGCCAGACTTGGGGGACGGCGCCATCCGGAGAATTGATATCCCACCACATAGTCCCTACGAAGTATTTTGCCTTCTGTGTGCCGTGTAGACGCCATAAAACTATTATCGCGGCGTAACCAAGTTCGGTGTAAACTAGATTATTGTGGTAGAGAATCATGTCAACCCTATTGTTAGTTGTTATGTTGACATCTCGGAGCCTTGCCGATCTGGAGTCTGATTCCTTCGTCAAGCATCCCACATTGACGCAGAAGATAACTCACATTTGTGGGAATAAGGTCGAGACAAGTTCAGGTGAGAACACCGTCCTTTCCGGTGACCCCACCGCACTGCGATCCATTTGACTTGGACTATGTGTGGAAGATGAGCAGGCGGAGTATATACACTATGCCAGTATTTGGTTGGATCAAGCTCGACAACTTTTCTAGTGCCGCGCAGACTCGATGGTGGTAAGCCTTGTCCGCTCTGAGCCAGGCCAAGTCTATCTTTGTAGTGGGCTAGTGTTCCAAGCACGAAGCAAAATGCCGAGAACTGGAGAATCATACACATACAAGTGTGCGTGGGAGAGTTCTACGCGACAATGACCCTTTCTTCGTTGAATTCAGACTGATAACGCTTCCCACTTTTTATCGCGATCCAAACCCCCCTTCATAATGCCCGGATCGCTGATCAATCTCGTCTCCACGGTTTCGCACGCACCCTCACACCTTCGAGACACTCGGCGTCGGCATGGATAAGCACCCACCCTAGTCGGTCTGGCTTCTCTCTCCGATCATCCTTGTCAAACCCCTGGGTCCCTGTCACCCTGGCCGGGTTGGGGGTGGGGAGGCGAGAGTACTTCGTAGCGTAGATTTTCAGGGGAACCCTGGCAGAGAAGTGGGAGGCTGCAATTTGCGAGGTGAATCTTGCCCATTTGACAGATTAATCTCGTCACTCAGGGTACTTCGTACAGGTATGAGTGCAGCGTTGCATTGGCACCCACTCATTAGAGAAGCAAACCTCTATCGATTCTCCATGGAAGTTCTTTACGAAGTGAACGAAGTAACGAAGTATTTTGGTTCCTGCTCCTGCTGCTACTCCCGCTGCAGCTCCTCTCATGTACTCCGGTGTGAGGCGCGACAACGAAACGCCGGTGTTAGTACAAGCGTCGATAGCACAGAAGAAAGGTCCCAGTTGGATCCGAAGCCACAAGAAGTCGGCTGGGCAAGGTTTAACGGGCGACTTAGATCAATCAATCAAATCAGGGAGCTGGTCTTGTCCAGTCCGCTCCATGTGGGCGCGGTAACTGAGAAAGACGTGCTATTTCTCAAGTAATTTTAGTGGCATCAAGCCATCCACACCACCAGGGAGGGGTTCCTGCGGCCCGCTTGACGACCTGGAAGTTGTTGCCCTAACAGAGTACTTCGTAATAAAACAATATTCAGGGATTAGTCCTCGATTCGGTTCAACGAGAGCTTCTGTTTGGATTGGCAAATCAGCAATAATAGTGCGTCGGATTAGCGTTCGCCGGCCTTGAGCCTAAGCCTTCGAGAAGTACTCAACCTTGACTCTTGGTGTTCATTGAGGTTGCGTTTGAGCGTCTTAGCCCGGTATGTTACCAGTCCTTGGATGCACATTGATCAAGCGAGGTGGGAAAACCGGGTATTAATATTATCACCTCCTCGCTCTCGCCTTCCAATTGACCCATCACGTTCCTTCCCTCCTTACCTCCTTGTCCTCGCCGACTTCGTGCAAGGAAACTCACCTCTACTTCCTGCCTCGAACGCCAGTTGAGGCTGCTGAATCAAACTTCCAACCCCTCTTACCCCCCCGTCTTTGAACGGGCGCATTTTAGTGTCCGATCGCCCCTTCTTCCTTTAACCTTTCTTCAATTTCGGAATCCCCTCCTTCCCTAATTTCCAGGCCCTCTTCCTTCCTTTGTTTTTTTTTACTTCTTTTATTTTCTTTGGTTTTTTATTTCCCCATCCCGCTTCCCCTTCTCCATTCCCACCCCGCTGTCTTACTTTGGCCTTCGATTTACACCGGCAGCTCACCTTCAAGTCAACTCATGAGAAGCGGCTGGGAGTGGGATGTGTCTGTTGCCATTCGCCCAAACATCGCCAACTCCTTAGTTGGTCGGCTCTCCTTTTATCGATAGATCGGCTTCGCTTCTTTCGAGTTAATTTTTACCACGCAGTATGCTTTTATAATCGACTCGTATTTCTAGCTTCTCCAGTCACCTTTGTATCAGTCTCCGGCATTTTTAAATCGAATCCTGCTTGTCGCTCTCTGTCCTACCCCCAAGCTGCGACGAACCCCGTTCTTACCACCGAGATGGACTCACTCGATGGAATTCTTTTGGTTCCGCCGGACCGCGGCCAGATTCTCGGCAGGGCTATGTGGAAGGTAGGGAAAACAGTACTGGGCAGTGTTTACATCCAGGGCATCAATTGACTTACACCGCTGCCCCAGGCCCGCTACGTCGTCGTTGGCCGACGAGGCGCCCCAAGAGATCCACCGACCTCGAGTTACCCACATAAAATCGCTCCCAGTCGAACATTCTCCAACAGTTCCAAGATTAGAGAGCCAATTCAGGCTCAGCATGGCGAGTACATGATCTCGGTTTACAAATCAAAGGTGCATATAAGTTTTGTTTCCGTTTCAACACGAAATCGCACCGTATCTCGAGGGCCTTGACTAAAACGCAGTTTACTCTACATCCAGGACGAATACGAGCCCTACTACCAATGTCCTGTGAATTCGGTAGCCGATTGTCAAGTCCAGCAGGTCGCTCATCGCAAGCAAGGCCCCATATTGCCCACTCTAGTCATCACCGTTGCCGATAAGGAGAAGAAACGCCGCTCGAGCAGGGCTGCAGGCCTCATTTCTGGCAAGGAATCGACGCAATCGATGCTATGGTTTCGAACCCCTCCCGACGACCACCACCACAGTCTTCACGAATGGAAACACTTCATATTGTCTAGGAAATTGCCGATGAGTCCCGAAAGCCCTGTGTCGCCTACGTTTGTCAACCCGTTCGCCTCACGATCCGATGGACGGCCGTCGAGTGGGAACCAAAAGCGATCGACCATTTCGCACCTATCGCAACAGAGCCAGGGCTACACCGGCAGAGATCGTGATGGTCCACCAGTTTCTTACAGCTCCGAGTCGCCCAGTCTCCGTTCGAAGCGAAGCGATGTCTCTTCCCCTACAAGTGGCATCCATATGAGCCTGTCGCACAGAAATCTCCCTAGTCAACACTACACGAGGGTATTACCAACCGACATTCCCCCAGACCTGCCGTCTCCTGCTGAATCTGGAGCGGGCGATCAGCACATCAATGAGTTGATTGAAGGGTGGTCCAGTCCTCAGACTCGCTCTTCGTCGTTCAGTTCCCCCCGCGGCGGACCCCCACCGCTAGATCGTAGACACACGTCTGTTGCTGCTAGTCCGACGGTGAACCGTGAGACTATTCTTGACCGAGCCTTCCAGTTACGCTGCATCCCAGGTTCCGAACGTGCCGTTCCCGGAGAAGAAAAGCTCAGCTCCCTTGCCCGTTTCGACGCTCTGATGCGTGAGTCCGAAGAACGCCGAAAACAGCAGCCAGTGTCTCAGGAAAAGGAGGTCCGAGATGCCAAAAGGCAAGGGCGAAGGGTCTGGGAAATGGGCGGCGACTCAAGCGAGTCTGAAGACGATAGGGAGACCGATGATGAGGATGACGATGGCGAAGACGACTATCACCTTGAACAGAACTCACGACGCCCCCGCCGAGATACGATAATACCCCCTGCAACTCAACGCGCACTCGAGTTCATCGCGGGGCGCTACGATCGGCCTCATTCCCCGCGGACCCCTCACACCGCCGCCCTCCCTCCCGAGAAATCGGATTTAGCCTCCACGGCCGCAGGGACAGGGGCACCTTACCGTCCCCATACTAGCTACTCGAGAACGCGACCCAACATGTCTTCCCGCACGCAGAGCCAGCCGCACCTATTGCATAACCCAAATGAGAAGGTGGCCTCGCCCACGGAGGAGCCGCTTGACGTCGAGAGACGGCAGCCAGCTTCGAACTCGAACAGCACAAAACGGCTCAGCGTCACAGACATCACCAAGAGACTATCCAGCACCAGCAGCCTGCTCCTCGTCCAAACCAACACGAGTGGAGCGAGCAGTCGGGGAAGTTCAGAACTAGATTATTTTCCCGTGCCGCCGTTGCCGCGATCCAGTCTCAGTGCACGTAGCACTGCAGCTCTCCCTAGCCTCAGACAACCCCGAGAAACAGACGATCGGGATAAGCGGTGTGGCTGGCGATCCAGTGTTGGAGTCATTGGCGGTCCCGAGGGAGGTTTTGTATGATTGGACGAAGCTTTACGGTTTACGCACATTGTTGTCCATTCCCCTTGCTTCATCCCTTTGGCACCAACCTTGCTGTTTCTTACACAGAGAAATGGTTGGAGTTGGCTGTCGCTTTGCTTTTTCTCGCTGTTGCGAACTTGATTCACCCTCTCTCGCTGCCTTTTTTTTTCCCTTCTCGCTTTCCCACTCATTTTCTTTTTTTTTTCCGAACTCATGATGCTTACGACGAATGATTTTTATTTGACCCATATCCTTGGCGTTGTTGAATTCTTCTTACTTTTTCGTCTGATATCCCATTGGGTACGAGCCAAGTGCATCCTTGGTCCCCAAGCAATACACTCTTTAACCCATGGGTCCTATTTTGTATGTTAATTAGTGTTACTTTTCTATGTCAACTTGACGGTGGAAACTCGAGCCTGAAGCAGGGGGGTTCACCCGCCCTGGCTTGACTCGATTACGAAGGAGAGACGGTGTAAAGGGATGACGGGGGCGCCTTTATTGGTAATGGCCACGGCGAAGAGGAATGAGGCTAGGATGGCGGTCTCGGAGATGCAAGACGCATCTCTCCATCACTCTACTTGCATATGTAGTGCAGCGGTGGTAGCATCGCAGCAGTCCCACGTTTCCCTTATTATCGTTAACCAGAACAACGAGTGGGACCGAGGACGACGAGGATTGGCCTGGTCGTTTTTCTTTTATTTTCTGGAAGCATGTACGAGGCGAAGCACACGATTTCGGGGCTGCAGACATGTACGTACACATAACAAAACAATATTTCCGTTGATTTGATACAGTCATATTTGATACTTGTATGTTTGCGGGTTTATGAAGAGTTACTGTATTAAACGTAGCGCAATGTTTAAATGTTTAATTCTTCTTTTCCCTTTCACTATTTTCATAGTCTTCTTCCTTGAGTATGGATCAATTCTGTTTTGTATGTGCAGGCGATGGGACGGACAGGATATCCCCAAGAGGGTGCCCTCGGGTGAGGAATTGAACGAAGATTTGATTGACTGTTGAATTGATATGATGGATGGAGTTGCTTCTTCGCTATTAACACGGATGAATTAATTGATGCCTTGATTGTTTGTGGTTTGTGAAATAAAAGTCGATTTACGAAGTAGATAACAATGAAGTTAACTAACCACTCCAAATCTCTGCCTCATCTTTCCCCTGTTCATGAACAAAATAACCGCCATTTCGAGAAAGAAAAAAAAATGGAGAGACAAAGAAAATCAACTCGGAAACTCAAATCGTTCCGCAGAAAGAACATTCACCTTCACTGCGCAATAAAATCCACCACAGTCGCACACCCATCTCTCAACTTTCGGACCTGCTCATCAGAACATTGTCCCAAACTGAGAGGCGGGTTCATGATGTAGCAAAACGAGGAGCCTTCGGAGCCCTCAGCCGACTGCGTTACGTCACGAATTGATTCGAGCCCTGAGGTCGAGAAGCCAGGGTTCGCAACGGATGCGGGTGTCTGACCCGTTGGGATGTCTTTGTTCTGGAGAGCTCGGAGGAAGAGGTTGTAAGTTGTAGAAGGATTGTAAAAAGGGACTTTTGTGCCGGAAGTTAATTCAAGTTGCTCTCGTCGGAACAGGGAGATAGAATGATAGCGGAGACTTACTCTCGTGCCCGGCTTGGAAAATGCGGGTGAAGGAGAGGAGGCCGGCTTGGCGGGTCTTGCCTACAACAGAGCCATCAACTACGAAGTCCGCATACCCCGCAGAGGCAAAGGCCGTCAAACTATTGAAAGGGATCGCTTTGCTCAAGGCTTCACCCCCGAACCCCGATGTACCGCCGGTTAGCCCAACCCAAGAGATATGAAGCGGAGTGGGACGAACAGTTTGCCTGATAGTCTCGGTCACCGTAGGCAAGAGTCACTGGGATAGCGAGATCTATGAGATGTCCGAGGTCAAGACGGAAATCCTTGCAGAGGCAATCTCCCAACAGGACATAAGCTAATTTTCTTGTTAATATAGAACATTCGAATAACATTTAGGATCTAATGTAGATCGTTGGACTCACCGGTCGAAACAACAGGGTTAACAGAGGTATAATTGATGCCCTTTCCTGCCTATATATCGATACCAAGCTTCTTTTGCGCATCCTCCCAACTCAGGAAGCCCTTAGCATAGCTCGGGAAATTGTATGTCAATTCCTTGGGTTATGTCAAATGCATTGCGCATCGAGACCTCATCGTAGAGACTATAAACGCGATCCCAACAGGCCCAGAAATGCTGGGCTCAGTGCTCGAGGTATCCTGAATGCAGAGGCTGAGAGATGCAAAGTGAATCATAGGAATCACAAGACAGTAAGTGAATCTCCTGCAGCAGCCATCTTGATATTTTTTTCGTTGAGGCGGATGTTTGCGTTGAGGCAGATATATAGAGCTTGGTGATATGTTGGTGAGAGGTGTTTGGTGAGAGAAAGAAATAAGAGAAGGTGGGTGCATCTGTCATGATAAAATATCTGATCAACGAAATTTGCAGGCAAAGGAATTAGTAAGTTCAGAGCTTCTCAGGAAGATTGCTCCTTCCATCTGTGGATGTGGAAGTGGCAGCCTCAAGGGCTGTGAGGAGGAAGGTGCAAGGGAGTTTGTGACTTTGACTTGTCTCAGCCTTGGTGTCTTGGTCTTGGGGGAAGTGGACTTGAAGGAAGGACTGGGATTATACAGCTTCAAGTGACCCTTTCTTCCACCTTGAACTCATCACCCAGCCGGCAATAGCCTTCATCACAACGTCCTAGAGGATGGCAGACACACGAAGGTGGCTACCCGGCCCCGTACCTTAATTGCATTACCGGCACGATGGAATACTTCTGCTGCTAGCCGAGTAGAACTCAACCCCAAACAACCGGACCATAGACTAAAGCGGAGAATCCGATGATTGTCTACCATTGGGAGAGATTTCTGGAAAGGTAGAACGATGGGAAGTATGAACGGTTAGCTGGTTCTAGTCCTTCGTGGGGATGGGCACATATGGAGTGGATTTTGCCATCACTTCAAGTACGAAGTAATGGCAGGAGACCTGTAAATGAGGCGTTCAGCTCGTCTTATTTATTGTACTGCAAGTTTGAGGCTGCATATGTTACCATCGTTCAAGTCACTTTATATCCCTCCTGAGGTGGGGAAAGGCGAAGAGCGCAAAATGCTATATTCGAGAACTCCTCCGCCACTAGGGATGACAAGCTGTATCCCAATACCATGGGTATAACCATTTGACCTGTGGTTGAACCGGCCTTGCCTAGGGCCATGCCTTAATGGGAACCCAAATGAACACTGAACTCTTATCCATGTCGTAACTCCACGCGCCGTCTTCGCCAGGAAGCTGATCACTCCGACCTTGAGACCGTATGTTAACTAGCGCCGTTGTTGAAACACCGTTTATATCTATGCCCAACTCTCTCTATATCTCCTTTTTAGATTTCACTTTCTGTTCTTTTCTTTGGTTTTTCTGTTCATCACGCCTTTCCATGCTTCTCCTCGAATCCATATCCACCGATGCCCGTCGAGGCATACGTTGTCCCCTCGGTACGCAAATGACTCCTCGGCCCTCTTTCCTCGCGATCATCCCTCAACCAACCGAGCACAAGCTGACCCAACTGGCTGTTCCCATCCGCCGTAGGCTCCATAGTCTCGAAGAACTCATCCGCTCGTCCCCACTGCCTCACCTTGCCCAGATGCAGGTGAACAAGGTGCGTCGGCCAGCCGGCAAGGTTATCCAAGATGTGAGTGGCATAGACAATAGTGCACTCCCTAATTTCCGTCTCCCTCTTCAGCCAGCCCAAGAACTCAGATCTGCTCAACACGTCCAGATCCACCGTGATTTCGTCGAGCAAGAGGACCCTCCACGGCCGAATCAAGCCCATGGCTAACTGCACCCTTCGCCTCTCGCCGTCGGAGACGGCGTGCATCCTCCACGCGAGGTCGATGTCCAGCACGGAGACTAATTCATCGCGGCGGTCGGGATAGGCATTGCCTCCGACGGAGCGTAGGAGCTCTTCAACGCCAATGTCGGTATGCACAACGGCATTGAGGACCCATTCGAGACCAAGGTAAGTCACGCCCTCGACGATGTCCTTGAAAGGGTCGACACCGCAGACGTGGATGGAATCGCTGGGTCCTAGACGCTTGCCGGCGAGGAGTCGGAGGAGGGTGGTTTTACCCGCTCCGTTGGCGCCTATGAGGAGTGTGCGGCTCCGGGAGGGGAGGTCGAGGGTGATGTTGCTGACACCCGTAAAGTAGTCTGGGAACGTGTATGTCAGGTCGTTGACCTGGATGGTTGGCGGGCCCTGAGGAGACATTCTGACTTAGCGAGGACGGGGGATGGATGAGAGAGCAGCCGAGGGATCAATGTATGCGAAGTTCGTGCTTCAAGTTGCCCGTCGAAGGATTTTAGTTTGAACGAGGTAGCATTGAGTTTGAATTGGGGTCCGAGGGATTTACGAAGTACGAAGTGGTTTAGTCGCGGGGTTGAATTACGAGGACTCCTATGACGTGATGGTCAACTCGCCACTTGATCGAGAGAGCAATCAGGAACATGGAATGTTTCATCGAATGTTCCCATAAGAGATATGTTAGGGCTAAATTATCTACTAGCAGGGTGGATGGATTGACCTTGGTTGCTTCAAGCTGTTAGTGGGGTGAAGAAGTGCCTGGTCGGTGAAGCCCAGGCTGATGGAGATCGATGGTTCAAGCTTAATGGTTTGTCATGTTGGCGAACGTTTAAACCGAAACCAGTTGACGGGTAATTTTTACATGTCCTCTCCATGTTCGAGTATTCGAGCATATCAATACTTCGTAGCATAGCTGCAATTGAGGATTGATGTTTCCCACCTGCTTGAGCCTATGAGCTGCTACGCCGTCACTGCAACCCCCGCTATTCTAAGGGTAACACGGACCCCGCGGTCTAGTTTGGTGTCTTGGGCTGGACGCGTCCTATCCAGAACCCCACGCCAACATCTCCAGCCAGAAGCTCAACCTCGAACCTTTCTTCCACTCGCCACCTGCACTCACCGCAAGTCCAGACTTCTCAATTGGACACAATGGTAACACTCGACGAGGTCCCAAAGGACCTCCTCCAGAACCCATCGTCAGTCTTGCGCCCTTCTTCCCCTCTGATGCACCCCACCCACGCTGACAAGATTTCACCCCTCCAGCACCACCGACCACGAAGCCCTTGACCGCGTCCCCTCCACCTACAAGCCCCTCCACACCTTCAAGCTTAGCAAAGACCGCTCATACCAGCAGCAATATGGCGACATGTACTTCCTGCGCCTCGCGAAAATTAAACCCGCCGTGGAGAGGGTAGCCGCCGCGGCTTGGGACGACCTCGAGATCCACAGCGAGCGCGTGAAGAAGGTCGATCGCGTGCTGGACGTACGGCAGGGCGATCTGTGCTGGGTTGCAGGGACGGTGTACATGGATATGTCTTTGAAGCCGAATATCTTAGAGGATGTGTCCAACGATGTGCGTATTTATTTCTTCTCACGCAACGCGAAACCGACCTACATCTACTAACCTGTTGGGGATGCTGCAGCGCTGGCTTTCGGCCCCGGTTACTACGGAAAAGTACTACTCCGACGACGATACCGACCAAATAATGCTAGAAGACGAGTCAGGACGCATTCGACTGGTAGGGAATAAGCTGAAATCCGTACCCCTCGTGACGGGATGCATCATCGCCGTCATGGGAACCGAGACCGTTAACGGCGAGCTCGACGTGGCCGATATTAAATTTCCCGATCTTTCTCCCCAACCCGGCCGATGGGCGCTCTGCAAACCTCCTACTTCCCGAGTAGAGGACGAAGATGTCGAAATGTCCGGCCAAGAGTCTCGAGTAAGGGGGGGCCCAAAAGTCGCTATCGTATCCGGACTGAACTTTTCCAGCCGCGACGCCTCATATGCCATGGAAACCAACCTCTTGCTAGAATTCCTCCTCGGCGAAGCCCTCGACCCTGCCGCCCAAAAGGATATCGCGCAAATCTCACGGCTAATCATCGCCGGCAACTCCGTTGCCCCCGACCAGCGCGAAGACAAACCCGACAGGAGAGGAGCCCACAAAAAGTACGGCTACGATGCTAGTTCCTACAATTCCACGCCTTTCGAGCTCCTCGACTCCTTCCTCGCCGAGATCCTCCCCTCTATACCCGTCACTCTACTCCCCGGCACCAACGATCCTTCCAACGCCGCGTATCCCCAGCAGCCCGTGCACCCAGCCATGTTCCCCAAGGCGAGGGCGTTCGTACCGGTTGATACTGCTTCTGAACCTGGATGGCTGGACTGCGTGACGAATCCGTGGGAGGGTGAGGTTGAGGGGTGGCGCTTCTTGGGGACGGGTGGACAGAATGTGGATGACGTTTTTAAGTATATTGGCAGCGACGATCGCTTGGGCATGATGGAGGGGATGTTGAGGTGGAGATGCGTCGCCCCTACTGCTCCAGACACTTTATGTATGTGTAGATCTTGTTTTTCACTGCTGCATCCTGATATGGCTAACCTTTTCTTACAGGGAGCTACCCGTTCCAGGACGATGATCCCTTCGTGCTCAAAATGTGTCCCCACCTCTATTTCGTCGGATGTCAGCCATCCTTTTCAACCATGACCATCGATGGCCCGCAAGACCAGACCGTCCGCCTCGTTACCGTGCCTTCCTTCTCGGAAACTGGGGAGATTGTCCTCGTCGACACGGAGACGCTGGAAGTCTCCGCCGTCCAGATTGTCACGGTACCGAAGACCCCGGCGTAGAATGGATTTCAAGTTACGAAACTTCACGTAGTATGATACCCAGGCAAGAGTAAGAGGGAGAAAAGACTGAAGATGAGGGTTGGTGGGAAAAAGCATAATGGAATATCGGTACATTTTTTTCCAGTATAGGAGTCACGAAACAAAAGGGCCATGATGTTTTGGGATGAGACGATGTATTAATCTTGAAAAGTCAAAATTACCCTCGCTACTATCCTCTGTTTTCTCGCCCCTTCCCCCCTTTTCTCCTAGATGGAATGCAGATGTACCGGGAGTCCAAAACCCTTTCTCTTTTCGAATGTCGAATGCTGGTCTGCGGTATCTCGTTTTCGACTGCAAATGTGTAAAGCAGCACCACCAAGGGACTAAGTAAAGAAAGGATTGTTCGGCAAGCGGAATTTCCACTTGCAGGAGGGAAAATAGGCCATCACTCTCCTACATCAAGCCGGGAGCTCCTCGCAAAATGAACTCGCTCGGTAAGTGTTTCATCGCTGACCCATGTTCAAAACTCCATCTCCTCCTCAAAAGCCTCATCATCATCCTGGACTTCCTCATCTCCCTCCCAATCCTCATCCGAGTTCCCAAAGCGCGCAGGTCCCGAATCTCGATCCGTCCACTCAGCCATCAACTGTGCAATGTTCCTCAAGCGCTCGTATCCCTCCCTGGCCGCGTTCTCCCTCTGCTGGATAATAGCCGGGTCGCCGGTGACGTAGCCCTCCACGCCCCGTCTGGCGCGGCGGATAGCGGCGCCATGCTTTCGTTGGATGAGGATGCCCATGCCTTTCCCCTTGCGGTTGGTCATCGAGAAGGAGATGTTCTGGCAGGAGACTTTCATGATGCTCTGCATGAGGATGGTGTCGGGCTCGAAGTAGGCGATGAAAGGGACGTCGTCTCTATCGCGGCCGGCGGCGTTGGTGTGGAAGCGGAGGGTGTGGATGTGCTTGACATGGGTGAAGGGGAGGAGGGCTTCGTTCATGCGTTCCATGTAGCCGGGGCCGTAGCGGTTGCCCTCGAGGCGGAAGCAGATGTGGCGGATGTGGGAAATGTGCTTCTCGATAGGGATGTTGCGCTCCTTGATGGCACCTTCCTCCTCGTCATCGTCCTCTTCGTCATTTCCGTTGTCGTTGTCGGAGTCAGGGTTGAAGGAGGAATCGGAGCGGTCATCTGGGATATCGGGATCGGCGCTGATGCTGGGCACGGCGGCGCCCTCGAGGAAGAGAGGAGGATCCCGCATGAGGTATTCGAACTCGTTGTACCCATAGAGGATGGGAACGCCGTCTTCATAGAGCGTCCTGCACGTGTACATGATGGAGACATGCAGGCCCGGACGGGAGCGGTAATAGACCTTTCGCCAATTGTCGTGAACTAGGATGGAGGAGTCGGCCACGAGGAGGAATCGCATGATGTGTTGTCGAATCTCGCATGGGAAATCAAGGAGACTCGTGGTAGCCTTGGGGGTTTGTGTCTGAGTCTGAGGGCTAGACTGGATATTTTGTCCACTGCTGTTTCCGTTGGTGGGGGTACGAGAGACGACGGAAGGAGCAGGAGGAGTAGAAGGAACTGCCGGAGGAGAGGCAACACGGACAATAGTGGCAGCGGAAGGAGAAGGAACGGGGGTCACGAGGTGAGAGGCCGAGTCAGAGGTATGCTCAACGCCGCTGTCATCAAGGGCACACTTCTCTATGGCGCGTATGATGGCAGCCCTAGGGACGATTTGGGACAGGTTTTCGGCTGTGTATGGCATGAAGAGGTCGTGGGGTTGAGGGAGCTCGAAGTCGTCACCCTCGGGCATCCGCATCAGCCTCTCGAGCTGGCGACGCTTCTGAGCTCGGGAGTTGGAAGGCGGCATTGTCGAGGTTTGAGCGGATCAAGTGGGTTGGAGTGGGAGCCGATTCCTTGGAAAAGAGATGCCAGAAGTTGTTTGTTTAGGTTTGTAAGAGGAGAGGTGCAAGAAGAAGAATGATTTCCTCCCCTTTATAGTTTTTTTTTCAGGAAAGTCGTGATTCACAGATCATAGATCACCACGATGGAAGACTCACAATCACTCTCAGGCAGGCAGCTTCGCGGGCTTGAGAGTGGGCAAAACACTCCAATCATCATGTATATATAAGAGAAAGCACAACCACAGCCTCGTCTCTGGAGAGTTCCCAAATGGCCAGTCTCTATGCAGTTCCTAAACAGCTGCCTCACTGCCAAGTCCGCAAACAACTGCCTTGTTAGCAGCCGCTCTCCAATCCTCACATCATATATGTATGTGTACCACCACCTTGATGGCAGAGTTAAAGAACAGCTGCCCTGGAGGAAACCGCTCCACAATCCTCATATATATATATATATATATGGGAAAGAAGCTGTACAGCTCCGACAGTGAGGCCGTCCAAAAAGACCGCTCCCCCATCTTCGTATATAGAGGAGAAAGAAGAACCGCGGTCCCGCCGCGCGCAGCCGGCCGGTCGGTCCTCCATAGCTCACAACCAGCTGACTTTGGAGCCTCGCGTCCCGGTTCCATCTATTCGGCGTAGGCGAGTGGCCACCTTGACGGCAGCCGCTCACCAATCCTCATATATATAGAGAGGAGAAATCCCAGAGCCTCACCGCGTGGCCTTTTTGATCGGTCTACCGTACATCGAAGCCCCCTGAGTTTAGAGCGTCATTCGCTGGTCCCATCTGTTCAGGGTAGGGGACGGCCGCCTAGTCGGCAGCCGTTCCCCAATCCTCGTATATATAGAGAGGAGAAAGAAACACCAAAGTGCCTACCGTTAGGTTCTCCAACGTCCGCCTTGGCGGCAGCCACTCCACAATCCTAATATATAAAGGAAAGCAACGCCGCAGCATTGCATCACAGTTGATGAACCGCCACCTTGGCGGCGACGGTTCCCGAATCCTCATATGTACATAAAGGAAAAGAAAACACCACCGTTTCGACGGTGGAGTTCTGGAACGGCCGTCTTCGGAGCAGCGGCTCCGATTTCTATAAACTCCTCGATTTTCTGTCGAAGCCCGTCAATCTGCTGTTTGAGCCGATTGATGTTGCGTCCCAGCTCGTCTGAGACGATTCTCCTCGCATTAGCCTTGCCCCCAAGCTCGCGGAAGCGTCTTCGAAGCTCGACGAGACGTCTGTCCAGCCGGTTGGCCAACCTGATTGAGGCGCTGAGAAGGCAACGCCTATCCTCGCAGATATATGTATATATATATATATATATATATATATATCCTTCTGTCTTCTCGATGGTAGAGTGAACGGCTGCCTTGGCAGCAGCCGCTCACCAATCTTGATGTATATATAAGAGAAAGAAACACCACGGCCTTGCGATGTAACTCTTCAAAGGCCGCCGTGGCAGCAGCCGCTCCCCAATCATTAGATATACCAGGACTGTCTTCTGCTGAGGGGGCCGCCCGCTGAAGAATTTCACCGCCGAAGCCGTGGTGTTGCTCCCCTATATATATATATATATATGTATAAAGAAAGTAATTCCCGTTTGCAGGGGCCAGTGGCCACCGGCCTTTTCAAAGAATGAGTAAGCGAGCATCTCCTTGAGGAATCGAGACTTGTCGGGTTCGAGATTCGGTTCATTTCCTTGAAGATCTGTGCCTGGGCCTCGCACCCTCGATCTCGTCATCGTCATCCCCCCGGGAGGATAGGGGTGCTCAGAGTCGGATATGGAGTGACGTTTTTAGGGTCAATCAGACTTCAACATCCTTCGATCGCGCATTTGAGGTTCAGCTAGAAAAGGTCCACGGGTCCTGGGTCAGCTCGTAATTACACCAAGTTCACAAGATATAGAGGCCAGGGGTATTTTGCTTACAATGCCCCGTTTCTTGGATAGAAGCTTGCTATAGAAGACAAGAGCTAGCAAGCCCCATTGAGGCAGCTTGGAAAGACTTATCTGGGCTTATAGGCCGTTAATAATTGTAGTGCTTAGAAGGACACTGCAGGATACTAACCAAGAGCACAAGCCCAATCGGCCTCTTTCAATACACCACCGATGTACTTGTGCAGAAAATGTAAATCCGCACAAGTGCACTAAGCTTTCCTTAGTGACAAGGAAAGAAAGCCAAGCCATAATCTCTTATAAGTAAGAGACTTGGTCAGGGCATGCCCTGACCATATATATAGTAGGTAATGGGTGGAGAGAGAGCCATTCGATATAGCTATAGTAGAGTAGAGCAAGAGCAGCCTGTAAAGGAAGTTGGCGTACCAAGGAGGGGGGTTAGCAAAAACACTAAGGATTGAAAAGGTCATGGTTAAGGAGGTTGGGATAGACATACGGGAATGGAAAAGCCAATGGTAGCCAGATAGCAAGTTGGAGATAGTAATTGAGCTTATCGGGATGAAACCCAGGAATCAATAACAGTGAAAGAAATGATGGGATGAATGTTGAGATGTTGAGATAGAGAGATGTTAAGATGGTGAGATAGAGAGATGGAGCCTCTTCTCGAGGGGAATGTTGATGTGGAAGAAATTTGGTTGATTATGTTGTCTTTGTGGGAATTTAAAGGAAATTTTAGGGTACACTATAAAATCCCATGTGAAGACTGAATTACTCAAAGTTGGTGAATCATTGAAATTGTTGATGTTGTTGTTGTTGTTGCCGTGTGTGTGTTGGAGGAAGTTGAAGATGTGGAAAGTTCGACCAGGGCAGGCTGGAGCAATGATACTGACTGTAGACAAGGGGAGTGGACGAGAGGATTCAGACCCAGAAGGTGGCAGTGGACAAAGCAGTAAACACGACCTCGGCTTACAAAAGTTGATCTATTTCTTCAGTGGAACAGAATATCACAAGCCGAGTATTGTAAGGCTTCGACGGAGGTTAGCAATGGACTGTGTCTCTCTGGCTGAACTGATGATATTGGCACCAGAGACTTGGATAGACCGATGATCAGCCAAAAAATGGAACAGAGTCCACTATCCTAGCTAGCTCGAATCGTAACCGAGATATAGCCTCGTCATGCTACCAGAGGGGGAGGTGTTTTCAACCCCAGCTCTTTAGAGCAGAAAAAATGACGGGCTCTCGTGGCGCCTCTTGTTCTTGCTTCTGGGGAACCAGAGGCAATAGACAGGGATGCTTCGGAATGAAAGCTATGTGTACATTGGCGGTTACAAGCGCTACATGCTTGACTCGGGGTCTTATAAGTCAAGAGCGAGAGGGACTTGGTTACTGCGGAATCTAAGAATAGATTATGTCTTCAAGAGGCTCGATCGACTCAAACTCCACGGGTATCCTAAGGAGGCAACGGCCAAGGAGAAGTGAGAGCACTGATGTCTGTTCCCGTCAGGTTTCTTGCTAGAGAACTGGCAATGCCCTCCATTAGATGATCCATATCATGACATGATTGCACTCATCCCTGATTAGGAAGTAGTTTAAATCCTGACACGCCAACCTGTACAAAGCCATTGCCACCCGAGCTTCAATGGCGGCTCGTTCTAGAACGTGTCCGCAGGATGGTGTCTCTTTCACTCCGCGGTCAAGAGGTGCCAAGTCTCATGCCATGTCACAGCGACATCTCCCGACCCCAGACTATGATCCGTGCCCGGCATCGGTATGAGCAACGACCACCCTCAGTCCCAATCTCCACTCCCCCCAGCCCCCTCCCCTTCCCACTGTGTGACCCCCGATGGTTCGGAGTCCACGGCTCTGCCCGGCCTGGGCCACTCCTAGCCGATACGACAACCCACAGACCCGAACCGGTCCGTTGACCTGTTCCCAAGACACCATGGCCCAACACAAAACGCTCAACAGGTCATAGCAACGCACAAGACCGGACGGAACGATGGCAAGTGACACAAGCCACCATGAAGCCAGTCCGAATCTCGCCTCCAGGTCGTCTTGTCTCACCGGTCCCGTGGCCACCGCCGTCCGTGTGTACGTATCCGTATATGTATTGCACGTTTCGAAGTATACAGTTACAATGGGGTAATAGCTTCGCAATTGCTGAAAGCCCTTACCATGCTAGTCCAGATTCCAAACAATAATCGTGACATTTTGCAACACGTGTCGATGTTTCTGATGACACATGAAAAAGAGCACAAGCACCTTCCGCGCGGAAATCAGGAAGCTACGTAATATACTTGTCCGTCAAGGTACCGCGTCGATGGATCCTTTGCCCTTTATTAACGTTCTCGGACTCCGGGACTTTCTTTAGCTTCCTCGTGTATGTAGTCTCGCTAACTCGTCACCGGCGGTGGCGGTGGAAGTCCGCTGGCGGAGAGATGCGGCTATTGGCGGACCGGCCGGTGGATAGTTACGGGCCAAGCCAGAAGGAGTCTAGAAGGCAACGCCAGAAAACAATGAAAGGAAGCGTAGGGAAATAAGAGGAGAATAGGCAAAATAAAAATCTCACAGTTGCCAGTACCTTTTGTACTTACGAAATCTTGACAAAGAGATTCTGCATCTGGGGCGCAAGTGGAGATGGGAATGTTGCAATCCGAATTCCAGGTGCGCTGGATGGATGGCTGATGGACTGGCAAAAGAACCTGGCTCCGTATCAAGAATGATGGTAGGATTGAAAGGATTGATCGGATCAGATTTTAAAAGTCCCTCTGAGGATGGAGTAGCTTGATGGAGACAATGGGTAAAGACACCAAGACGAGTCTTTCAGGAGTTCAAGTTGCGTATCAGTATCGGGGCTCGAGGTAGGTAGAAGCCGGAAGATATCAATGGATCCTGATAACGCGGCTGCTCATCGAGCTAATCTAGTTATTAGGTCAATCGCGCCCTTTTGCGCCCTTTGAAATCAGTGCCTACAACCAAAACATACCAAGTCAAGAACACAATTCTCGAGCAGAATTCCGTGCTCTGTTCCTCGGAGATTCCAGAGGGATCGAGACCATGTAGGAAGGCAAGCCATGCATGGTACTTTACTACTTTCCCAACATTTTAGCTTTCGATGCATCAGTACAATCGCGACCTCAGACCCCGTGTTGTTGCCCTGTTGCCCCCTTGCCCTGAGCGTACCTGACCCATGACCCGGTACTTTTTCCTTCTCTCTCCGGGTTCCGGGGCCTGGGCTGGGGTTGTTCAAGTTGACAGCGGTTGAACGGCTCAGCGCTTATCAAACCCAAACGAAAGGTCCCGCGTGACGATCGGGACTGTCGCGGCCCTACTTGGATGGACACTAATACGCTTCATTGTTCCTGGGGAGTCTAACTTTGATCTATTGCTTTCGGTGCCGACTAATATAATAAGACTAGCCTAGACCCTCCTCCGACTTTTCTCTCCACACCGAATAGTCCAAGTCCCTTTCTATCGCTCCTCTCTGTCGTGAAGCTCTGTATATTCATTGACGGGATTCGAATCGAAGACACGTCAGTTGATATTAATAGCCTCTCAACTATTTCACACTCGGTTCTTTTTGTTTCCTTTCTACATAGATTCCTTCAACAATTCCTCCAGACACATCCACAATGAAGTCCCTTCCACCCCTCGCCCAGCAGCCATGGCGCCGTACGCCGTGTATCTACAGTGAACCGCTCTCGAGAGCCGCCGGATGGTACTATTCCTCCTCCTTGTTTCTCTACGACACAACATAAAAGAAAAAAAAAATAATTAAAACAAACACCCAAAATGTAAAGCTCAAAATGGCTAAATAACAAACTAGCAACATCTGGCTCAAGCTAGAAAACCTCCAGCCCTCCGGCTCCTTCAAATCCCGCGGCATAGGCAACATGATGTTCCGCGCCGCCTCTTCCTCCTCCTCCTCCTCCTCGCCCCGCCGCTTCTACTGCTCCTCGGGTGGCAACGCCGGCCTCGCCTGCATCACCGCCGCTAACGCCCTCAACCTCCCCGCCACCATCGTCGTGCCCACCTCCACAGCCCCCATCATGGTCACCAAGCTGCGCGATCTCGGCGCAGAGGTCCACCAGGTCGGCGCCAGCTGGGCCGAGGCCGACGCTCACTTGAGGGACGTCGTCATGGCCTCTGATCCCGACGGTGTCTACGTCCCGCCCTTTGATCACCCGGATATCTGGACCGGCGCCGCTACCTTGATCGATGAGCTCGTTGTGCAGATGGATGTGCCTGTGCACGGTATCGTTTGTAGCGTCGGAGGCGGCGGGCTTCTTAACGGCGTCATGCACGGCATCGAAGCTACGCCGTGGCCTGCCGGCCAGAAACCGAGCGTATTGGCCGTCGAGACCGAAGGCGCCGCGAGCCTCAACGAGTGCGTAAAGACGGGCAACCACGCCACCTTGGACGCCATCACCTCCATCGCCACGTCTCTCGGCGCGCGGAAAGTCTCAGAAAAGACTTACGAGTGGCTCCAGAGTGAGATTCTTCACTGCATCACCGTCAAGGACTGGGAGGCTGCCATGAGCTGCGTTCGCTTCGCCGACGACGCGCGTTTCGTCGTCGAGGTTTCTTGCGGTGCGACTATTGCCCCGGCCTACTTCGCCGGGTCGGATGGTGAGAACAGGCTACGCAAGGCCTTTGAGAAACCTGGTCTGCCGTGGGATGAACATAATGTCGTGTTGGTGGTGTGTGGTGGGTCGTCCGTCTCGTTGGATGTGCTGGATAAGTACCGGAACGAATATGGTCATTTGGCGGCGGCTGCTACTGCGACGACGAAGAAGACTACGAATGGTGTGAATGGTGTGGCGGCGAAGGCTGCTGTGAACGGTGTTTGAAGGATGAGAGGCATCAACGCATCGTAGAGACAGGGAAGAAAAAAACGGTGTTGGTATAGTTGGATTGCATTTCTGATTTTCCCCTCTTCCTTACCCGGGCCAGCAAGGGAGCGGAGGGAACCCACCTTCAAATCCTCCTGCTCCGGTGGCCCGGGTGGGTTCATGTCCGATTTAACCTTAATAGACTCCTGACCAGACACCCGAGAGCCCTTTGCCGGATCGGGAAACCTTTGCACCATTGAAGCGTGTCTTTCTCTCAGCCGCATGAGGATAAGAATCACTTGATCACTAATTATAGCAACATCATTTCCCCAGCATCACCTTACGAGGTATGGGTTCTGTTAGTTCATGTGGAAAAGAAGGGACAAAACCGTCTGCGGAAGGGTCCGTTGAACTCTTGGCGGCATCGCACTATTTACCTTAGTGGGGACAAGGCGTCTGTGCTGAGCATCCGGGGCTGAAGCCAATTTCGACGCAGACCGCCGGTTTAATCGCGGCCTCTATTTTGTTGGTTGACTAGCATATCAGGTGTGGCTCAGTTAGAGAGCTGGCACTGGGAACGGCTGAAGGGACCTTTTGTTTCGAAGCCACGTTCCATGGGTTTTCTCAATTAGGCACGACAAACGAGCGACTAAAATCTCGTGTAAGAAGATGGTTGACTTGGACAGCCATGGGCGATAATTGATCTCACGAGATGAGCTACGAATGCGAAGGCTGACATGCACAGAATCGGCTTGTCGAGTATATAAGGCCTGGGTTTCGATGCCTCACCCTGAGGAGATCCCTTCCGTCACCAGTTAAAGATATCATTGTCTTGAGTTGTTCTACATACGCCACTATAATATAATCTAATCAAATCCTTCTCTTCTTGTATCATCTTCTTCTCTCAAGATGAAGTCCTTCCCTTTCCTTGCCGCCACCGCCGTCCTCACGGCCTCCGGCGTCCACGCCGGCTTCAACACCGCCCAGACCATCAACCCAACCAAGTTCCTCGCTCGAAGCGCCTCCATCCACGCTCGTCAAGACGTTGACACGACGACCGCCGAGTTCTGCGGATCCGATAGTACGTCCTCCTCATAGGTCCCAACCACACAGCCGTCCCCCGACCCCATCTCCCAAGTTCCCATTCCCTCCTTGTTTCGATAGCTGACCCCTATCTCCTCAACAGCCGACGGATATGACTGGTGGTGCGAAGACCCCCAAACAACCTGCTGCTTCGGCACAGACATCTGGCAGTGCGCCCCCATCACCGCCCAAGAATGCTGCATGACCGGCTACTACTGCGAGGCCGGCACCTTTTGCTACATCGAGGACGTAACACAGGACCAGTACTGCCTTACCCCCGAGGAGGTCGCCATCGTGCAGGATGACGTGGAGTCCGGAGCTGGTGCGGGCGCTCGTATTAAGCCGACGAAGTCGGCGGTGGCTGCCGCGGCTGCGCAGACTCATGGGAGTAAAGATGGCGGAGATGATGACGGGGATGCGGGTGGCAAGAGGAGGAAGGGTGGCTCCTCGGGTGGTTCGGACAACACGAGCGGCGCGGATAAGGAGGTCGTCGGGAGGATGATGGTCGGCTTTGTTGCTCTTGGTGCGCTTGTTGCTGTTGCTGCTTGAAGGAGGGATACACGGTAGGGGATGGGAGGCATGTGAGTGGTACCCTCGCGGGTTCTTGAAACATTAGTGGATATATCAATAGATCTAGACTGGAATTTCTCTCTTTTATTTTAACCCGCTGCAACTCAGTTGGCTGGATCATAGCATTTCCATCTCGAGCACCTTGCCAGAGAGTGAACGTGTAATCGTATAGCCATGCTCTCGTGTAATGAGTAACTCAAGATGAGAAGTGTAGACAGGGGTGAATTGAGGTCCGTCAAAACATGTCTTGTCATATCAATAACCTGAATCCTTTGCCATAACTAGGCGTATAGTTTCTCCCATCCTCCACTATCTGTCCCAGTGGAAGCTTCTTGTACATCCCGGGCAGGTGTTGACCGTGCCAGCCTGCTCCATCCGGAAACTGCCGGTATGCCTCTTCGACGACAAATGCTCGTTCATCTCATAAACGTATCTCAATTCATCATCAACCGAGATGGGGGTATCACTCTTTCTTCCTTTTTTTCTCTTTCTTTTTTTCCATTGCCGGGTTTACTTCCTCGACCTCTTGTCACCTTTGGAAGTGGCCTTCTCGGCCTTTTCCTGGTCAATAAAGTCCTTTATAATCTGATGCATATCCTGGTTTCTCCGGCACAGGAGCAGGACATCATCTGTGGAGATGGTAGTGCGACCAGCATGGTTACAGAATGCCTCCAAATCTTGAGCGACACTCTCTGCCTGGATGTTAGCACCGAGCCCATTAAAAAAAGAGCGGAAAGGAAAAATAAAGGTGTCGCCGAGGGAGGGTGGGATGAGTCGGGATGATAAAAGAGCATACCCATCTGGGTCCACACCACCTGTGTCAAGGCAGCGATGAACTGGGGGGTGGCATTGCGGTTCTCCCTCATGACCTTGGCATCTACCATCTGGCCGACGGCGTACCAGAGGGCCTGGGTGAGTATCTGGGAAAGAGTGTTAGCTGGCGGGAGGAAGAACTCGTCGATGTAGGGTACTTTTGGTTTATGGACGTACCTGATGACGGTCGTTGGCCTCGGCGTCTGCCATTGTTCGGGAAGTGGGTTTCGGGGTGGGATTTGTTTGGTGTGAAGCAGACGCGGGGCACCAATTCCGAGACGCGATGACTTGAGAGAACAATCAATCGATCTAAATTCTTGGCGGCGAGGTCTGGTCAAGCTCGGTGTCCATATGCAGCTGACTGCGGGTCGTGCTTTGCATATCAATTGATACTACGCCGTTTCTAGAAGCCGTGCCAAGCTTCAGCTCTCAATGTGGACAGATCAATTTCAACAGAGAGGGCAATAACTCGCAATGTGCTTGATGTCTAAAACGACATGATGCTGAGTCCCAAAATGGGGACTTGTGTCGACCAGAACAGCATCTGTTTGACACTTCAACTGTGATATTAATTTGAGGAGCCTGGAGCCTGGCTCCTGCCGCCTGAATTGATCCAACCGCCTACTACGCAATTGATGATTAATGCTCCGCGGCTGCACTCAATGTTCAAATCAAATACTAAACTCCGCCAGCAGAGGCCCTAGTCAGGCCCCATGTCCCGCCCCAAGCCTCTGTGCAACCCTGCACCACGCACTGAAGAGCCTGGCACGAGGCCAATTTCACTGAGCTTATCAGCACTTGAACCAGCCCCACGTGCGGACTAACCGGAAGCAATTGAAGCTGCACGAGGACTTTGGGAGCTCTGTCCAGATGCGCCAAATTTGAGCAGAGAAAAATATCGTCATACCCGCGAACTTTCTTTTCTTAACTTCCACACAACCTTTCAAGCTTTTGCATCCCCTTTTTTTCCCCTTCCCGCCTGACATATCCATTTCCAGACGAGATTCTACAACTCCGATCGGCGCAAGACTCAGTGTCAGTCCCCTCGTGGTCACCCACGTGCACCTCGTCGATCAACACCACCCCCGCCTGCCTGCCGCGAGACACCACCGGAAAGTAAAAAGAGAAAAAGAATAAGACTCCAACCACCACCATGCCCGTCTCCGACGTCGCCACCTACCTCCTTCGCCTCGCCGAAGAGCGCACCGCCGGCCTTCGCGAAACTTGGGAATCCCTCAACCTCCACCGCATGATCCGCCTCGTCATCATCATCGGCGGCTACCTCCTCATCCGGCCCTACCTCATCAAGCTCACCGGCAAGTCCCAGATGGAGCAGCACGAGCGCGAAGACCGCGAGGCCAAGAAGCGCGCCGAGATCTCCCCCAACGAACTCCGCGGCATGCGTGTCACCGCCGACATACCCGACGCCGAAGAGGTCGACACCTCGACGTCCACCGATTGGGGAAACAAGGCGAGGAAGCGACAGAGGCAGGCGTTGAGGAAGATGCTTGAGGCCGAGGAGAAGAGGTTGGAGGAGTTGCAGGAGGATGAGGATGATAAGGATATTGAGGAGTTTTTGATCAAGGAGGATAAATAGGGCGGGCCAATATCGACGCCAAGACTTCCCTTTTTACGAGTGAAATGAAGGAAAAGAAAATTGTACATTTTTAATACGATTTATGCTGGTGGTGGGAAAGGGGTGAATGGCTTCAATGGATATAGAACTGCTTTTTTTCCCGTAAAATCTTCATTTTTCTTCTTCTTTCCTTCATTGCATGCCTTGTCTGGCTGATATCTTCAGCTCTGAGTTGCTTTTCGGGACAAAGTTGGTATTGATTGCTTCGTCTTATTTGATGATCCAATCTAACGTTTCACAAGATCAGCAACAAAAATCCTCCCTTCTTCATCACCCAGCTTCCAAGCCGATCCCGAGAGACCTCAACCGCTGTCTCTTATCCGACATATCAATTAGGGTAGAAAATTTAGATAGAAAGCTATTCTCGATGTAGCTGAGGATAAAGAAAACAACAACCTCTCTTCCCTCCCAAACCCATTCTTCCCACCCTTCACACCACCCGTCAAAAAAAATGGCCGACCGTCTCCCCAGCTTAGGGGCATTCATCCCCCTAGCCTCGGACGACGACGCCCTCAACTCTCCAATGCCAACCCTGATCCACCTCGAACCTCCCAAGTCCCCCGCCGCAGCACCAAAGCTCACCCGCCTCAACGGCATAGCCCTCGTCATCAGCCTCCAGATCGGCTCCGGCATCTTCACCGTCCCCTCCTTCGTTGCCACCAACGTCACCAACCCAGGCTGGGGCGTCGCCGTCTGGTTCCTCGGCGGACTCCTCGTATGGACCGGCGCCGCGTCCTTCATCGAGCTGGGTCTCAGGATCCCCCACAACGGGGGTATCCTGGCGTACATGCGGCGATGCTACGGGAACCCGGCGGGGTTCCTCTTTACGTGGGCGTGGGTGCTCATGGCGAAGCCGGCTACGAATGCCATCATAGCCACCATCTTTGCCGATTACATTACGAGGCCGTTCGTTAACGAGCCTCCTGCGTCGCCGTGGGTGTTGAGGGTCATGGCTTTGGCGTGCGTTTGGGGTATTACGTTTCTTAATGGGAGGGGTGCTACAGCGGGGGCGAGTGTTGCGAATAAATTTTTGATCTTGAAGCTTTCGGCTGTGGGTATCATTGCTCTTGTGGGTAGTTTTTACTTTATCACGGGCGCGGGGGAGGGTGTGCCTAAGTCGCCGACTGGGTGGTTTGGGGAGCCGCTTGATCAGCCTCCTGTTGATACGTGGACTTGGATTGGGGGATTTGGCACGGCACTCTTTGGTGCTTTGTTCTGCTACGGAGGTTGGGAAACGGTAAGTATATGAACGGATTGCTGCTCCTACGCATCCCCTCTAAGAAAAACGTCGTTTGACAAGCTTCTAAACCTTTTCATTATCTAGGTCGGCTTCGTTTTGGGCGACATGAAGGACCCCGAAGGTGACCTCTCTGCAGTCATCAACGGATCCATGACGGCTGTCATCATCGGCTTCACCCTCCTTAACGCCGCCCTGTATACCTGCCTCCCAATGGACGCTATGCGAGCTAGCAGAACAGTCTCTGTGGTAAGAAACTAGCAAGCCCATTTCTCCCCTCCCATCCCTCCACGATTCGGGAGCTCATTCTCCTTCCCCGAAACAGGAATTTGCCCGTCAAACCCTCGGCGCCTGGGGCGGCGTCCTCCTCTCCATCATGGTCTCCATCTCCGCCATGGGCGCCCTCAACGCAAACACCTTCGCCACCGCGAAGCTCGCCGTCACCGCCGCAGAGGTCGGCTACTTCCCCGAGATCCTCGCCAACTTGCACTGCAGCAACGCCCGTGACGAGCCGTATTATCTAGATAAGATGCTCTCGTGGGCGCCTAGCTTGTTGGTCGCGCCTGTGCAGTGGTTTGCGGCGTCGACGAGGAGGCTGCGATGGCAGAGCCAGGTGCCGATGTAAGTTGGAATGGAACTCTGTGTAGGAGGGACGAACTTTTTCTCCCTTTGCTAACGATGCTTTTCTTTGCACAGATTCTCGCTAGTTTTGAATGCGATGTTGACTTCGTCTTACGTATTTACTGGAAGTTTAGGAGGTCTGGTTACATTCATCGGCGTAACAGAGTACATCTTCTTCTTTTCATCCGTCGTTGGCCTTCTCCTCCTTCGCAATCGAGACGCCCTCCGGCCAAGCCCTGTGACATATCGCACATGGACGGGGAACCCTCTCATATTCAGCGTCGTCAGTGGCCTCTTGATCTTGCGCGCTGTCATCTCCGAGCCTATTCTGGGCGTGGCTATCGTTAGTGCTGGGGCCGTGGGGCTGGCGCAGTTCTGGCTCAGATTCCGACGGGGAGGAGTCGCTCCGGTTGGAGGGCATTGAGAGCCGTTTCTAATCTACGACGGTATCTGGACTCTTTTTCCTCAGTAGATTCCTTAGTTAAATCCTACCAGACCGAAGGTGCAAACCTCCGGGCTTTGCCTCCGAATGTTAGCTCATGACTTCTTTAACATTGAACGCTACATCGATCCCAGTTGCGCTCTCCACGCAATCATCAGTACTAGGGCCGAGGTAGAGGGCGTCTGCAACCCACGATGATGATGAAGGAACGGAAGCGACTTTGCCACAAGCATGTCGGATACCCAACAAAACGATTGTCGTCGCCACTCTGGAAAGTAAACTCCCAGATCTGTGCTGTCTGTGTCACCCATAATTAAACTCTCTCGCTGGCCGAATGGTACGGCTGACGTCAATCTCGTCCGAACAATTCAAATAGGGGGTCGTTTCATCTCAGGATCCGGTTTGTCCAGGGGCCGTTTAAAAAATAATCAAGAGCACTGAGCATCAATCGCATCTAAACTCATTTCATGCCGCCTTCGCTTCGGCCCAAGGGTGTTGTCCACCAAGGCGTGCCGGCGGCTCATCTCACATCCCGCCACACCACTCATTTCTCAAGGGACCCTCAATTTCTCCGCTTTGGGCAGCGTTCGACGACGGCTGGTCCGGTTGGGTCGACAGGATGTGGAAACGGAGCAGAATTCAAATTGTTCGTGTGTAAGTTGGGCACTAGACGAGTGGATGTTAGAGAATAAACTAGAATCTCTGTTGCTTGTTTCGTTGTAGGGTCAACATGGTGTTATTATGTCATCAATTCAAGAGCACCTCAGCCTGAGATCTTCTCAATTTAATCTGGAAGCTGCGACAAGAGACCAGAGTCAGATCCTCCATCATCACCAGGTCAATATCAAATACGGAGAGAGTCTTTCAATGGGTGTTTGTGGTGCAGTCTTTCTTTTGTTTCACTCTTTTATTACCCCAAGACTTATTTTGACCTCCGATGAATCACAGTCTTCAATTGTTTTCTTTTCAAGTTTTTGTTTACCTGTCTCTTGTCCCACTGTTCCACTGGGCCTGAAGCCATAATGCATCTCTGATCCTTCCACCCACGAGACTTTTCTACCCTGCAACATCCCTTTTAACCCCACCTCAGTTCCACTGGGCTGAGCTTTCTTTGGCCTGGTCTGCTCGTCCGGGTTGTCCCCCATCAATCCGATCTCATCCACGTCATCCTGTGAAGTATTGGAGCCTTTAGCCAACTGGCCCTGGCCCTCTCTCTTTTGGGCCATTCAAATTCAGCCATCATTCAACGGGCATTGATCTTCTCTTCCACAAGGCCATACCCCCCCCACCTCGGTGCTTATTGGTTGACCGAAGGGAACATCTTCTGACTCCCCTTACCTCCCGTTGCTTGATCAATCCGCAGTGTCTTACTCGCTGCAGAATTGCAGCCACCACAGAGGGAAAAATCATAATATTGCAATACACCGCATCCACATCCTCACCCAGACCACAACTTAATCTAGCCCTCTTCCAACATCACCAGAGTCTTCTTCCTCACTTTCCTCCGTGTCGCCCAAGCCCATGCTGACGGTTGGTCGCCATATCATGTAATAAAATCGACATTTCTCTTCCTTACTTTCCTCCAGCCCTCCTAGCGCAATATGGCGGAACCAAAGTTCGACATACATAATTTATTGCAGACGGGGTCCTTCCCAACTGCTCGGGGCCGTTCTAGCGAGAGAGGGTAAGTGTCGTCCAGCGTTGTCGTGGCCTACGCGCTCCTCCTTTCCCGCGCTGTGTCCGTCGGTCCGTCGCTCGCTCCCTGCTGACAATCTGCTTCTTGGTTCAGTTCCTGGGAGTCCCTGGAGCGCAGTCCTAGATTCTATAGCGGTACCAATTCCCAGCTTGACGAGCCGGTGATAAGCCTGGCCGACCCAGAAATCCCTCCCCGATACTCAACCCCGCCCCCACCACCGACCGTCGAAGACAGCGAAGATGTCGACGGAGAATATGCAGACGAGGAGCCCAAGTTCCCGGGCGACATAGACCAACATCCTGTCCTCCTTGAGAACGAAGACTACATCTACGCCCACAACCCCGAGCAGCGCTTCGTCTTAGTTTCTAATCCTAGCGACAGCAAGCCGCAGACCGTGAAGCCTGACGAGGATGCTGAGGGGCGTCGAGGACGTCCACCTAAGAGGGATACCCCCGACTCGAAGCGAACCGATTCCCCAGTAAAGAACGATGGTGGCAGCTCTCCTACCATGGCCGCAGCCGCCGCCGTTGCTGGAGCTGCCGCAGCTTCGAAGCTTAACGCCCGGGGTAGTTTAAGGGAGAAGAGACCAAGCCTGAACAGGAGAAAGAGCCCGCATGACCTCCCACGACTTGATACCGAGATGCCTAGCGGAGGTGAGCCCCAGCGGCGCACTTCGCGACACATTCGCAGCCGGTCTTCGACTGCGACATATAATGACGACTATCGATATCGCGAGCCGTCATCTCCTGATTACGGGGGCGGTGGACGGTCTTTCCGAGATGACTTCCTCTCACCCGAAATTATCAAGCACGGCCCGCGAAACCGTGAACAGGCCTATTACCCGAGTAGCACTCACACCCAACCAAGCAGGCCAAAGGAAGAGTTTGATGATAGGCTAGACGGCCCCTCCTTTAGTCGTGGACCTCATTCAGTTAGTCCAGTACGGGTTGGACGTTCGCGCCCCGGCTCCGAGTACCCCTCGAAACACACGTCTAGGAGATCGAGCAGAGGCTCGCCACCCCGACCAGAAACCTTGCGCGGCCCGGCATCCAGAAGACCCGAATCCCCGCCTCGCCGTGAGACCAGACCGCGACGCTATGATCCTTATTCCGACGAGGACGTAATATCCGAAACCGCTTCTACACGCCGTAACCCCCGAAAGGCTGTCGTGGTTCACGATGAACGTGCTTCAACAGGGAATCTTTTGGGTTCGGGAGATTTGAGGCACATGGCTAGCTCTCGGTCGCGATCGAGGTCTACTACCGTTGGTGGCGCGAGCCCGAATTTGTACCCTGATGCTGCCCCGCGTGGCCCTCGCTCTCCGGGCACTTTCAGTTCTCAAATTTTCGAATCCCCCGCCATTGCACCTGCGTACCCGACAGTCGACTTTATGCCCTCTCATGACCCCGTGAGTTATCAAGGTAGGGGCCATTGGGACTCTAGGCCTAGGCCACGCGATCTTCAGGGATACGTCCCGAATCCTATCCAAATTTCCGGCCCTTCAGGCCCTCGGGAACCGATCGACTCTGGCCGAAGCCGGTATATGCAACACGCGTGGCAGCATTCTGAGCCTCGGAACCAAACACCAGCGAACGCTTCCAACCCTTTCATGCCAAGCCCGAGTATCCGACCCTCCCCTTCTCCGCAGAAGGATATCAGTGTCTTGAAGTACTTTGAGGATCCTCGGCACTCCGGGTTGCCCGTCCTCCCGCAATGCCCCAGGAAGGAACCAGTAGCCGGCATGACAGACTGGTTGACCCTTCCTCGGTGTGATAACTTCAACATCTGCCCAACATGTTACGCCGGACTCTTCTCCGACTCTTCTTTTCGGACGCACTTTATCCCCGCTCCATGGCGACCGATGGACCAGAAGATTTGCTGCGATATCGGCGCCTCGCTCTGGTACCCTATTGCCTGGCTTCTGACTACGAAGAAGAGGCTACCGGATCTACGGCTGCTGACCAGCGTTGCGGACATTAACTGGAATACCACTGCTGTCGGCGAGGGATGTCCCGGTGGGCGTAAAATGACTCGCATCTGGCACACGATCAAGGACCCTACGACTCGGCGTGCGGTACCGAATTTTACGGTGTGCTATGAGTGCACCACGGTCATCGAAGCCCTACTGCCCAATTTGCGAGGCATCCTCGTCATTCCGGAAACATTAAACCCCAAGTCTAGCGGCCAGTGCTCCATGCATCCCACAGGGGATCGCCAGATGCCGCTCCTCTACTTTGACGCCCTCGAGAAGGCGTCGGAAATGGCCCTCACCAATGGCACATCACCTAGTATCACGCAGCTTGTCGATGACATCAGTAGCATCTCGTCACTGTCTTTGACCCGGGTCACCCGCGTCTCCGATTGTCCCCGGGATAAGACTATGCACAACAAAAAATGGTACATCCTGGCGTCGCTACCCGAACTCACCATCTGCGACGACTGTTTCGAGGAGGTCGTGTACCCGCGCCTCAGCGAGAGCCCCAGCCTGACGGAGAAGTTCTCGATATATGCCTACCGGGTGCCCATCGCGACGTGTCAGCTCTACTCGGAGAGGATGCGGGCTCTCTTTGAGGAGGCGTGCAGGCGCAAGGACCTGCGTCAGCTCGAGGATGCGGTGATCGAGCGCAAGAATAAGGAAGTTGAGATTCAGGCGAAGTTGAGCCAGCTTAAGGCCCAGCCGCAGAATGATCCGTGGATCGAGGAGGCTGTGAAGAAGCTTGAGCAGTTGTGGAAGAAATGGGAGTAAGAAGGGCGAAAGAATAAAAGAAAGAGAGAGAGAAAAAAAAAAAAGAGTTTGAAAGAGATGCGATCGAATGTTCTTCTTGTTTAAAACACGAATACATGGAGACGGGGATAGAAGATGGGCAAGAAGGATGTCTACTAGATGGGCGAACAGGATCCCTTTGATCTGCATTTTCTGGTTATTTGGGGGAATTGCCCCAACTGATGCCTTGATCCCTCTGGTTTTGAATGACACATAATGATGATGAACGAGCGAGCGAGTTGGTAGTTTGGTTGTGATTATTATCAATAAACGGAAGCATTGTGCATTCAAACAACCCTGTACCTTGATTGTAGTAAAAACTGGTTAAGACCGACTACTCGAGGAAGGATACTGGCTTTCTCGAACATTTTTTGGTGAAAATATGTATCCGGACACAAGTGTCGTCATCTTCCTTTGGTTTTCCTGGGCACAAGCCACAGCCTGAGGACAAAGGCATTGTTCGGTCGTCTTCGTCTCTACCGGCAACCCGTCCCTTTTCATGAGACTTGTGCCGCAATGGTACAGACATGTTTTGTCTTCCTTTGGGAGTGCTAATGCTCCATTGGAACCTTTGCGGCGACAGAGGAAAACAATTCGCCTCTCGCATGATCTCAGGCCAAGTAGGTTCGACGCCGTGAATACTGCTCCTGTCCTCACTCTTGCCATTGTGATTTAAGGGTAGAGTTCGACCCTCCGGTCTTAATGACCGCGACGGGTGGACCGAAAAAAAAAATAATGATGGGACGGTTCGATATACTCTCCGTGCCGCATATCAGCTAAATTGGTCTCAAGAGCAACAGAGGTTCCTCGGATCAAGACACTTTCTCAGACAACCTTCACTCCACGTCGTATGCATTTATGCATGACGGAGGATAAACGAGGACATCAGATTTGAGTGGGGTTGAATTGACTTCGACATCACGTGACAGGTCCTGTTCGATCCACCCCACCAACTGTGACTTGGCCCGTGCAAGACTCGGTACGTACCCCTCGCAATTAGGGTCTGCCCACAACGAATCTACCGCAAAAAAATCATATTTGCGAAATTTCTCTGCTCGAAGGGAACTTTCACGATCTTCCATACTAACCACACAGCAGCACCGGAGCCAGCAGTACGTTTTTTTTTCCCCCAAAACCACACGACCAGCTCTCTTCCATTCACCAAAGGATTCCAATCCTGAGATCTGAGTTCAATCAAGTTCGCCATCTCTAACTGTAGATTCAATTTCAACAGGCTTTTCATCGACGGAAAAGAAATACCGAAACGATGGCCTCCCGACCTACCGTCAGCATCATCGGCAAAGATGGTCGCCCTTCGGGCAAGACCCATGTCATCCCCGCCGTCTTCAACAGCCCTATCCGACCCGATATCGTCCAGAAGGTTCACACTGGATTGGCGAAGAACAAGCGTCAGCCCTACGCTGTGAGCGAGAAGGCTGGTCACCAGACCTCTGCCGAGTCTTGGGGAACTGGTTAGTGATGAAGCCCTTGCAGAAGAGTTTTCTCTCGTTTTTTCGAATACCTCTAGTGGGACAGACAGGGTGGATTCGGTTCGATTGGGTTGTGCCTCCATTTTTGGGACACCTGGATTGGTTTTAGACGACAATCCTCCTCTATGGCAACGAGGCCGTTCCCTGATCGAACCACTGGGGTTTCGAGGATATCGACGAGATATATGGGAGGAGAAAATGCTGGACGTGAGCTGTGGTGCTGACTTTGGAATTCCTAATCTAGGTCGTGCCGTTGCCCGTATCCCCCGTGTCTCCGGTGGTGGTACTCACCGTGCCGGTCAGGCCGCCTTCGGTAACATGTGCCGATCTGGTCGCATGTTCGCTCCCACCAAGATCTGGCGCAAGTGGCACATCAAGATCAGCCAGGGTCAGAGGTGAGTCTCGAAAAAAGAAATCAGCGATCCTAGATATCCCCGCTAGGTCGTCGATGAAGACCCACATTTTTTAAGGAAATGGTCGAACATGGGCTAAACAAAAATTCTCTTTCCAGGCGATATGCCACCTGCTCCGCCCTCGCCGCCACCGCCGTCGCTCCCCTCCTCTTGGCCCGCGGCCACCAAATCTCCAAGGTCCCCGAGGTTCCCCTCGTCGTCGACTCCGCCCTCGTCGGCGGTGACGCCATCTCCAAGACCTCCAACGCCGTCGCCTTCCTGACCGCCGTCGGCGCCGGTCCCGAGCTCGAGAAGGTCAAGAAGTCCCGCAAGCTCCGCGCTGGTAAGGGTAAGCTTCGAGGCCGCCGCTTCCGCCAGCGCCGCGGACCCCTCGTCATCTTCGACCCCGAGACCGACGGTCGCGAGCTCTACAAGGGCCTCCGCAACATCCCCGGCGTCGAGACCTGCCCCGTCACCGCCCTCAACCTCCTCCAGCTCGCCCCCGGCGGTCACCTCGGCCGCTTCGTCATCTGGACCTCCGCCGCCTTCAAGGCCCTCGATGCCATCTACGGCTCTACCACCGAGCCTTCCGCCCTCAAGAAGGACTTCCTCCTCCCTTCCAACATCGTCTCCCAGGCCGATCTTAGCCGTCTCATTAACAGCTCCGAGACCCAGAGCGCTCTTAACGCGCCCAAGGGTGCCAAGATCACTCGCCGCAAGACCGTCCAGAAGAAGAACCCCCTCAAGAACAAGCAGGTTATGCTTCGCCTGAACCCTTACGCCGCGGCGTTCGCCAAGGCCGCTGCCGAGAAGAAATAAGGAAATTCTGTGATGGAATTTCTTTTCTTGTTCTTGTTTTTTCTTCTTCTTCCTTGGTAATCCGGTTAACGGTGGTGTGAAGGCAAAAAGGGCTCCCTATCGAATTTTTTTTTACGAGTATGAAGGAGGGGCGCTGTTGAACGATACAGACAGCTGGGCTTCGAATAAAAAAGAAACGTGTCTAGCATTGAATTTCGCATTCGGCTTGTGTTACGTGGGGCGTAAACGGGTAAACTTTTTGAAGACCTCTTAACGATAAATGAGAGCTCAAAATGAAAACAACAGCGCATTGTCTTGCCGTGTGCCTACGCCGCCTTTACAGACACACACTCGTAGAAGGATAAAAAAAGAAGAAAAAGAGACCTATCTTCATGTGGGCTTCATCAAGTCGTGACACTTTTCTTTTCATTTCACTTCGTAGACGTCGTATCTAGACTGATTTTCAAGTCATTTTCTAATGTACAAATCCTTTCCATGTAATCCCGAGATGCTTAACAACCCATCAAGCCTCCTCCAGCACAAGCAGCATTGACACCCACACCGGCCATACTATCAAACTCCTCGTACAACCTCTCAAGGCGCTTCACGTCCTTGATATCAAAGAAGGACTGCAACCCCTCGGCGAAGCGGCGAGCCGAATCGTCGATGTTCTCCTCAGCCTCGGCGGCGAAGCAGAGGCGGAAGTAACACCAACCGTATTGCTGACGAACGGACCGGTTAGCAGCAAACATGGTTCCGGGAGCGACGAGGACCTTGTAAGGTTCGTGAGTCAGGTGGACCACCAGGGCAGTGGACATGATCTCGCCAGTGAGGGTGTACTTCTTGCCCTTCTTCCTAAAACAATCGTGATTGACAAGCCGAACATAGATCCAAATGAACATGCCTCCGCGAGGCCACTTGAAGCGGGCCAGATGGTCACTGATGACGTAGCTCCAGTCCTCGGTGGGATCATTGTACACCTTAGTCCGATGAGTCGACTCGGAAATGATAGAGCACATGCGGTTCATGCGACGCTCATACGAACCGCGAAGGCCGGCGAGCCAACGGACCCACCCATCCATGGACCAGCCTGTAAAGGACTGGCGCTCCTTCAGGCTGAGTGACATGAACCGAGCGACGGTTTCGACCTGATCACCCAGAAGAAGTTGAGCGATGATACTCTGGACAAATCCAGACGGCTGCTGGGTACTAGTCTCGGTAATACTAGAGAAAAGAAGGTTGACATAGGGATTAGTGTTTGTGGTTAAGCTTAAATATGTTAGTGGAAGATTGCCGGGTGGTCTCTTACCGGACATATCGCTCGATAAGAGCTGGCTGGGCAGTAATCCATCCGAGACGGCAGCCAGGAGCGACCGTCTTAGAGAACGTGTCGAGGCGCACCACTCGCCCATCGACATCGATACTCAAGAACGATGGGACAAGGGAGTCGATGAACTCATAGCCGGATGACTTCGCCGGGGGAGTGGGGACATCAGGTTCGAGCTCAATCTGATGCCTAGAGCGGGTCTCTGCTACGGCAGCAGATGGGTATTGCAAGTACCAGTACGGTTCATCTTCAACGATGATCACATCGTACTTCTGACAAATAGCGTAGATTTTCTCCTTTCTTTGCATAGGCAAGACACCACCAGTTGGGTTATGACCCATCCTTTCAGAAACATGTTAATATGTATAACTCTTCCCTTCTTCTCCTTCCCCTTTCTTCTCTTTTTCTTCTACTGTCTTCAAAGGTGATATGAGTGCAGTTATCATCGAGATGAACCACACCATCATCACATTGGGGCAGGAGCTAGGAGATGGGGGGTAGGGGGCAATAGAAACAAATACTCACGTCACAGTGTATAGGAGATGAGGCCGCTGTCCGTAGTCAGGATTCCAATTTTCCAAAACATCCTCCAATGCACCCACACCATAGGGCAAAATGCCAGTAGGATCCATGGCAATGGGAACAATGTTCATGCCACGGGGTTCTGCCTGGCTCAGAATATTGGGGTATACAAACATTTCAACCATGATGCTTTGCTTCTCCTCAACGGGTCTTCCGACAGTCCAAGGATTCGTGAAAAGCTCCAGCGTTTTGGAGAAGCCGTCAGTGGAACCACAAGTCATAACGACTTCAACGCCATCGGAATGGGGAACGGCAGGATGCAGGACCTGCTTGGAGAATTGGCGGATAAAAGAAACAAGAGGGGGATAACCCTCACTCGTACCATACTGAAGGGCAGTCTCTAGATCAATCTTCTTGACCGGATCCTTCTCGGACGAGGTCATAGGGACAATGATGTGGTCGGTGGCTTCGCCGACCTTGTCATTCTTGCCATTGTCGGGGCTCGGAGGCTCGTGGGGGTCATTGGGGGTAGGAATCCGGCTGTCGGACTGGACAGACTGGGCTTCGAGTGTCTTGAAGGGGAAGAATTGAGAGTTGGGGAGTCCTACCATCAAAACATTAGGGTAAACTGATACTTGGCATATTGTCAGGCAGGTTACTTCTTACCTCCAGCCAGATTCTTGATGCCTGGGATGTTGAAGAACTTGTAGTACTGCTTGATTGAACTAGCCTTCCGCTTCAAAGTAGTGTTGGAAAAGTGATGGGAGAGGTTCTTTGGAGGCAAAAGCTTCTCCAGGAGCGGTTCAGGGATTTCCATATCCATTTTGGGCAGACCTACGAGTAGTGATCGTGAGTAGGCTGATGGAGATGAGGATGTTTAGATTGAGGATGAAAACGAGAGGTAGTAAAGGAAATAAGAAGTTTCGGGAAGGGGGGTGAGGCAAGGACGAAAGAGGGTAAAGATTTTTTGGGGCTTTTTCTCTCTTGAAGTCCCTTACCTTGATCACTGCTGGATTGATCTGCTTCCTGATGATTTCAGGTGTGCTCCCGGAGCTTTGAGATGGAAGTCCTGAAGTTGTTATCTCCCCGATTACAAATCAGTAAATACAGACTTGGGCTGGGGTGTTCCTGGGGAGATTAGGTTAGGGTAAAGAGAGGAAGAGGATCCGGGCGGAAGTGGTTGCAGCAGGAGAGAAATAGGACCAATTGATGGCAATGCCAAGGAGGGGAAAGTTATTGCTTGGTCCAGTCAACAGTGGTTCCTTCCATACAGGGACTCCTTGAGGACAATCAGCAATGGGGAAGCTGCGATGGTTAATTCTCTCTCAATAGTGTTACATCACAGTTCTTCCTCAGCTAATAATATATGTCACTCCTGGCTTGCAGGATGCTCCGGACTTTATATGTTTGAGCAGAACACTCTATTAGATGTTTTGATATTAATCGAATTTATAACGTAGCAGGAAACCTTCAATACACAAGATGATAAAGAGCAGCTCCTTGAGGGCATAATGACATGGCTCTACTTCGTAATCTGATACGGGTTCTCGGCCTGTTTCGAGAGTGGTTCTTGACCCAGTCCACATGGTGTGGCTCCTGCTCTTTCCTATTTTGGCCAGGTCCCAATTGCATCCCGCAGATGGACCCCACACTTTCCACATTTAATCAGTGACAGATTATATAATCGGTCGTACCACAGTGCACAAACCAATCCAAGGACACTGGGAGATTCCGGTCGTTTGGGTCGGGCACTTCTTCAGATGTGGTGAGCCGTCAAAGTCGTCTAAACGCCGCACACTGGGCGAGAGACCTACGATCGGTTGTGATCTGTAGCCTCGTTTTGTCTACTTTGGGGCTCGCTTGCATCCTCTCGCTTAAATACTCGCCAGCCTTGATAATTGTCATTCCCTGCATTTGGCAACCTGAGCATGCCGAACTCTCAAGGCTGTATATTGAGCCCGGATCTACCCTCAACCCCCCCATGACCGCTATTGCAACGCCAGTTCAGGCGGATATCACATCTCACACGGCTCTAGTGGCGACGGGACATTCTGCCGCAGGTCAGGTGATACGGAGCGCTTCCTGGACGTTTTGCACCTAGGCCCAGTGCCGGCCTAGCTAGACGACGAGCAGCATGTCCTGACGACGATCCATCAGTCCTCATCAGCTGCACTGACGAAGCTCTCGACTAATTCAGGATCAGTAGGTGACTGAGGAACTTCTGGAGTCGGAGGCCCCAGTGGAAGTGTCGTAGCATCAAAGCCCACCAAGTTATCCTCACCGTCAACACACCACCCCTTGATCTCTAGGAAAGCAAAGAGGTCTCTCTTAACGGCTGCCGCGTTTTCGTAATGCTTGCGCACCCAGCACTTGCGTACGATATCTCCCAAATACTCCTCCTCAAGCACTGGTCAACAGCCAGTCGCATCTATGTACCGGAACTCGGGGTCTACTTCGCTCTGCCAGGGGCGGCCGCCGACAAAAGGATGCCGAGCAGTTGCGATCTCGTAGACAAAGGTCGCCCAGTCAAACAGGTCTGTTTTCTCCGTGAAGCTTAGATGGGTGCCAACCCAATGCCAGTCCGTCCGAAGGGGTTCCAACTGGGCAGCCGAGAAATTGGGCCCGAGGCGTAACTCGCCAATGCTTAGTTGGTCACGTTCATCAGTGAAGTGTGCGTGGTGTAACCCGAAGAGCGTAAGAGCCAGATTCTCCTCTGGGGATGCCAGCCACGCGGCCCAGGTGCCAAAGTCCGCCACGAATATCTCGTGTGAGTGGCAGAATTCCATGGCTGAGAGGGCGTTAAGTGTCCACTGGTAGAGTAAGGGAAGGAACGCTGGCTTGATACGTCCCTCATCATACATGACGCGCCGGTGCTTTCCTAGAAATTGCGGAAGCATCATCCCTGTCGGCTTCGCAATAATTCCATAGCCCGTCCATTCGTCGCGGCGTAGCCAGCGGGCAACATGTGATTGTGCTTGGCCTGTGAGAGATATTTTGTGGAGAGCGACTGAAGCTTGGTGGCAGGAATCATTGAAATATGTATTGTCTCGAAATGGGGCCTCGGGATCGGTGTCGACTGCAGGCCCGAGCTCCTGTAGATCTTTAGAATAATCGAAAGATGCAAGCATCACAGCTGCCGGTTCAACCTCGACGGCGCAATAGAATCCGTCGACATGGTCGACTTTCGCGTATCTGTGGAAATGGGGCCTTGTCTGGGCTTGCAATGGAGGGCCGTGAAAGAAGGGGTGGTAACGGGGCCTCCTCGTCCGGGCCATGGTATTGATGTATTGGGATTCGACTGACGTTCCCTCTGCAAGTATGCTGGAATGTTATCGACTTCTTTTTTCCAGGTATTTCAAATATTGTGTTCAATATTTTTTAATTAACATGATAGTACTTCGTACCAAAGTATTAAACGTCAATATCTCCTTGTTGCTTCAGCCTTCAAGTAGTCTAGCAATAAGAGTAAATCCATTTTCGGGAGTCGAGCTCAAAGAACTGCCACACAAAGCTCCTAGTGGATTTATTGAACGTCGGATCCCTGCTGATCAGCAGAAGAGGAGTGGGGACGAAGAGAAACCCATTACACTTCCAACGTAATAGAAGTGGCAGTAGGAAAAGGACTGAAACAATGCGATTTATACTTCGTACAGAGCTATTTGATCAAATCTCAAATGCCAAGATCAGGGTTAGTCAGCAGCAGAGTCCCACTGTCCCACTGCGATGCGCTGTCAAATTGCGGCCTGTGCTGTTTCCCTCATTGATGTTTCCTGATCTGAGGCGTTGCATGTGCCTTTGGGCTTCCTGGGATTGGCAGGTCTTGATGAGCCTCCTAAAACGGCAGTTGTCGTAGCCTGGCAGCAGTGACACTCAACCTCAACTGAGCAACAACCTCAACGACTCTGCCACAGGATCATGCAATCTCGATGGGTCTCAGTCAGTCTTCACATTTACGAATTAAACCTCTGCCTTTGCACCTGAAATCACTATTTCCCCTCTTTCTTTCAGGCTTTGCCTGTTCCTGATCTTTCCCATACGTCGCAACTCACTTTTTTTTTCCTCGATCCGCGGAATGTCAGCCCGAGCGTCCTCTCGACCACCCCCTCAGCAATCCACTACATCCCCGTCGCCGTCGCCGCTCAGCTCTCTCATCCAGCCCACCTAAAGCCCCGTGGAAGCGAAAATGGCTTTCCTCGAAGACCCGCGCTTGCGACAACGATGGAACCAGATTTCCCACAACGCCGAGGCCGTGACGGAGAATGCGGCGGCTGGAATCTGGTCCTTTCAGCACAACTACATCAACCCCTGCGTCGCATCTCTCACGAATTCGCTCGACCAATGTACTTCCTTATGTCTCGGCGACCGCGAAGAGCGCGCACGGCGGAGGAGGGAGAGAGAACGAGCGAGGGGCCGAGCCGAATATAGTTTCGATTTCTACGATGACTGGTATGAGGAGGAAGACTCGGGCCTGCTGGGTGGATGGAATTACGAGGACTGGGATAGATTACTGGCCGGAAGCGGGTCGACGCGGCGGAACACGGGAGAAGTCACAGATCAACCGAGGAGGAGAAGAGGAATGAGCTACGGTACGAGAGGGCCGAGGAGGAAACCTAGCCAGGACGACCCAACCGTTATTCCGAGTACGCAGCCGATCGGGTTTCTTGGCAAGCTGCCGTGGAAGATTGGTGGTACGTTGCGATACAAACCGAGCGCTGCCGACCTCCAGGAACATCCGGGACATCATGAAGCGGCCGACGAGAATGCGCCGCTGCTTGGCAGTGATACCGACGATTATTACCCTTACGATCCGCATACGTCGAGAAGAAAGCGCAGCGGTACGACGGGATCCGGCGACACGTCAGATTCGTATCGATCAAGAGGAGATTTATTCCCTAGTGACGGCGAAGAGGATGCGGTGCCGCTCGACGATGAATTCACATTACCACTCGATAGGGTTGATGATAGGAGTAGTAATAGGACGAGGAGCAGTAAAGGAAAGAGGCCGGCCGGGAGCAGACCGATATCGCGAACCGTTTCTAGGACGACAGTCGCATCCGGTCATTCCGGATTCTCTAGCATCAGGAGGAGAAGTACGGATTCCCTGAATGGCGGCCCGGTTACACCGTCGATTCATGATCTACGCTTTGAAGAAGAACGAATCGCCCGCGAGGAGGATGAGGAAATCGAGAAGAAACGTAATGCAGCTGCGCAGCTGGCCCAGAAGAAGGGCTTAGCTGCCGGCGAGGACATCTCCACCAGTCCAGATGCTAGGCGGGACTTGGCACCAACACTGGACGTCGAGGCAATCCCAGAAGTAGAAGAGCCGGCCATGTCGGATGAGCATGAAGAGGGCCCGAAGGTGGAGACCGAGGAGGCCGAGCCTCCACAAAATGCTGCGGGTTCCCAAGATGGCGAAGAGCGGGAGGAGCCAGAGGCTCATCCCAAATCGCCCCCAGACGGCGAATTCATACCCGCGCGATTGCCCATGTTTAGATGAACCTTCATACAGGCGCAGAAAGGATCAAGGAGCACATGGAATAGACGAATTGAGGAAAGGGAAGACTTTGCACGAGTGTTATGGCAGGCAATGTGGCAGTACATCTTTCATTTCTCGGGACCTGTATTAGATTTGTTCTTTTTTTTATTTTGCCTCCTCTTCTTTTTCTCTTTACCACTACTTCGACAACCGTTTGCTTCAATTGATATTGGCGAGGAGCTGGGAGGGATGATAATGATATCTAGAAGATGAGCAGATCTTAGACGAAGAGCTTCGGCGAAAGGCATCAAATGCTTGAAATGGGCAGGTTGGCTCACTCGAAGCTCTTCTTGACGAATACCTCGGAAAGCTATTTCGATCCGAATCCCGTTGCGCAGATTCCCATTGGCTTTTTCCCATAATAAACTATGATAATATGCTGTTCTTCCCCCAAAAAGCAGTTATGCGGGTGGGTGGGGGAAACACAAGCGACCCAAGCTCAAGCTCTTGAACTTGGGGAAAAAGTTGCCTCGGCATCTTCCCCATCTTCCCCGCAAAAATGCGGGCAACACGCTAAAGTTCGGTCAACGTCTCTTGTCGGTAGCGTGGCTCCCACTTGACTCCGATCCACAGCTCCGGGACGTGATCCACTGCTCGTGTCTGGAGAAGTCTGGACATCGTTTGATTTTGACCTGCTATATTCTAATTTCTTTTTAATATCCCCGAAGTCCCCAACAAATTTATCCCACCCTCCCCCAATCTTCCCCATTATTCACTGATCTCATATCTCCTACGAAGTACTTTTGCCTTAATTGTTCACTCACTACACCTAACCGCCGACTCGGCAACCCTTAAGACCCTCCCCCAAAACCAAAGATGGCGTCCCAAGGCCCCATCACAACCCCCCTCACCCGCCTCCTGGGCATCTCCCACCCCATCCTCCTCGCCGGCATGGCCCGCGTCTCAGGCGGACGCCTCGCAGCCGCCGTCTCCAACGCGGGAGGCCTCGGCGTCATCGGCGGCTTCATGTACACTCCCGACCAGCTCCGCGAGATCATCGCCGAGATGAAGGCCAACTTTTCGCGACCGGACCTACCCTTCGGCGTGGACCTGGCGCTGCCGCAGATCGGCGGGAATGCCCGCAAAACGAACCACGACTACACGGGGGGTAAGCTCGATGAGCTGATTGATATCACGATCGATTCGGGGGCTAAGTTGTTCGTTTCGGCGGTGGGCGTGCCGCCTAAGAGGATCATTGATAAGTTGCACAACGCGGGGATCTTGGTCATGAATATGGTTGGACATCCGAAGCATGCCGTGAAGGCTTTGGAGCTGGGCGTCGACATCGTCTGTGCTCAGGGTGGTGAGGGAGGTGGACATACCGGTTCTGTTGCGAATTCGATCTTGATCCCTGCCGTGGTGGACGTGGCGAGGAGGTATCGTCCTGCTGCGTTGGGCGGCCAGCCGGCTCTCGTCGTTGCTGCGGGTGGTATTTCGTCCGGCAGGTCACTGGCGGCGTCATTGATGCAGGGAGCCTCGGGCGTTTGGGTCGGTACGAGGTTCGTAGCGTCCAAGGAGGCTTCATGCAGCGACGAGCATAAGCAGGCCGTTGTGAGTTGTACCTTGGATGATACGCAGACTACTTTGGTGGTTACGGGGAGGCCGTTGAGGATGAAAACGAATGAGTATATCAGGAAATGGCATGAGCGGCCGGAGAAGATCAAGGAGCTGTGCGATAAGGGTATTGTGCCTTTTGACCATGACTTGGATGAGGGTAATGACGTTGATTTCCCGCATTTGATGGGTCAGGTGGCGGGTGTTATCCAGGAGGTGAAGAGTGCGGGCGAGATTGTTGATGAGATGGTGGGTGAGGCGGTGGAGATGCTGAAGCTTGGGGGAGAGTATCTGGGTAACTCGAAGAGCAGACTGTGAGATGGGACTTGCGGTTCTAGTAGTGAGATACTTGTAATCGATATCTATTGTTCATGTATTTATGTACAAAATGTAGATAATATGAAGAACACATGCTTTATTTCGATGCCCTGTCGATGATTATCGGCTCAATTGACCGATATTCGTTGAGTCTGATGGTAGAGACATGAAAGTGTTTGGAGCGCCGCTGCCAACCACCCTTCGAGTCCAGTCCACTCTTCCTTCGTACATGGATAGGTTTCCATTCCCTTTCTTGAATTCTAAATTTTGTAAATTAAATTAAGGTATTATGAACGATTCATTTACAATATCGCATTCGGAGCTTACAAGCGATGCCAACGAGGGCATCACTAACTCGAGACGCAGGCGAACTTTCTGTCAATTCGTACTATGCAGTTGTCAACAGCCGGCAATGCCGACCAATCCGGATCCTGCAAAAAATTTGGCCCAAGTTCGACCGATTTGAACATCCCATTCTCATTCATCAACCAATTCGAGCAGCTCCCTCGACGACCGACAAACCACCCCAAGCGATCTCGAAACGCTTCAATTGTCAGATGCGAGATCAATCGACCGAGAAAAGATGATCCGCCAACCCCTCATCCGCCTCGCCGCCGGCGCCATGGCGCGTCCCGTCCTCCCCGTTACCCTCACGACCCGCTGCACAGCCAGGTAAAGCGCCTCCCACCCGTTTCATTCTTTCGCTTCATCACGACCTCGCGCCGGAGTCCCGAATTTTGCTAACTAGCTATGGCTCAACAGGCTCTTCTCCTCTCTCCCTACCCTCCGCCCCTCCATCCTCCCCAACACGGCCGCCATCGCCCGCCCGGCCCCCATCGCGCCACTCCCCACGACGACGACGCTCGACGTCGTGCCCCAGACGTCCATCTCGTGCCACCCGGCGTTCATGGCGGCGCAGGTGCGATGCGGACCGCGGAACACGATGCAGAGGAACTCCAGGTTGAAGAGGAAGAGGAAGCACGGGTTCTTGTCGAGGATTAGGACGAAGAATGGCCGGAAGACTTTGTTGAGGAGGAGGGAGAAGGGGAGGTGTCGGTTGTCGAACTAGATGGGAAGATGGTCCGCGTATTGGGGGAGAATAGGAATGGGGCCATGTACTCCATACTCTAAAGGATTTGGAGGAAAAGGGGGTGGGTGTTGTTTGGAAGAGCTGTTTGAGGGGAGGGATGTATGAGTAGGTTTGACTCGGATAGAATTGGAACGTTCAAGGACGTTGTGTACCTTTACGAACTTTTGGCTGCACTATAAATCTCTTTTCGAACTTGCAAAATTGGGCTGCTATGAGAGACCTTCTAAGGCTTAAGCTCTTAAGCTTCTTGATTGAGATCAATTGTTTTCATGTTAGCGAGCGAGATACAATGGGCGGCTTCTGTCCCTTGTTTTCGATAATGGGGGTTTGCGGGAAAGCTTTCAGCATGGTCTACACTCCTGGGAGTCGTAAATATATCAATGATGCCACCCCGCAAGCTCAAGGGCCGATTCGAGATTTGATATTCCGACTCGGTCGATGTACGAGGCTTGCTGTTCACGGGGATACCTCCTCTCTTGAGCCTCTCTCATCCGTCTTTAGAAACTACCTCGAGTGACTGCTGCGTGCTCGATATAGTTTGATAAAGATACACGAGCCTATCGGGTGTTTTGAGCCCTCTCATTCTCAAGGACGCTCATTTGAGACTCCTTCGTCTAGCTACGAAGAGAATGGAAAGAAGCACTGTTGCATTTTTGCGGTTCCATGTGTCTTTCCGCCTCTCTTTGTTCTCTATCAGCCAACATCCACGGCCAGGGCATTGGCGGATATTTGGGTGAGTTTCGGGTTCGGGAGAAGGTAAGAGCCGAATTGATCAACCACGAGAAAATACAAACAACCCACACTTTTTTGGTGTAAAGAAGACGGTAAACCAAGCCCAAGCCCCAAGCTTTACTACCCATCCATGCCAAGGCTCTTTCCCCCCCCCCGGTTTTACAAGGGTTTTTGGGAAGATGGGATCAGGCTCCCATGTTGCCAAAGATTGCACCGCTTTCAGTGTCGACCACCTTCGTGGGCTAAGGCCGAGAACCGCCCAATGTTCGAGAAGGTCGAGAACTGCTCATCCAATAACCACAGTCCATTCGGCAGCCACAAAGCGGTGACGGGCAGATGGCGATCGATTCGTTCTGCAGGATGCATCAATTGATCCCCTGCGTCAGCCCGAGTCAAAGAATGCACAGAAAAAAGCAGGGTGCCTTGGGTTAGACGATGCGGCTGATCGTGCCGAGACATCGATTGATATCAGCATAGCTCGCCTCACAGCCCGGAGCCTAAAGCGGGTTCCGGCCTCAGATATGTATGAAGGAAAGGGGAAGGGAAAGGAAAGGATTCGCATTCATGAGTGAGGAGCGACATTCGGGCTGTTCGGCCTTTGTTGTTTCGGTCGCGGGTTTTACAATGCCAACGCTCATTCACGTCGGTACTATCATGCCACTAAGAGAAAGCATAAGAAACTATTGATGGGAGCATTGTGTGCCGAACTGGGGATTTTGTTGTGGCAACAATGTTGTAAGTTGCATTGCTGGGGGCGCACTGCAATTCTGCGTCACGTACGAAGTCTGTAGGAGTGGTGAAATCCAAAAGTCCCAGAGTCGTTGCTCAAGCCCGGACTTGGACTTGGACTCGGACTTCGATGCCCGCAATTATCAGCTCTTGGTGAGGATGATTGACGAAGTGCGATGGCGTTCGACGGCGGCAGCTGGCTCGACCTGCCCCCGATGGTTGGCTCTGCGCTGTTCTTCACCCCGGCACATCAGGATCATCCCGCACCAATCGCAGCAGCTCGATGGCATCAGCCACTTGATGCTGGGCGCATGTGCCGTTTGGGCGATTCCCTGCCAGGTCCAGGGACGGGCTGCGACTCTATGAGTGGACACCTTCCCCAGACAGCAATATTAATCCACAGGTGACGAATACTTTCATTTCCATTTCCCCAGAAACCAGGGCCCGCTCAACACCTCGCGATATTCGCAGCTCTCCTCCCTCCTCCCTTTGCTCTCGAGCAGAGAAAATGCCCAACTAGGGAATCTGGCCCGAATCTTCCTTCTGACCGCCAGTGTGCACGATGACTCTCCGATCTAATAGATGCAGCCTCCATGCCGATCTTGGTGGTGTCCTCCGCCCCGGGTTACCTCTGCGCGCCGCGCAGCAACGCTGGCTATAATACGCCGGCTGCTACGGCTTGCTATTACCCCGGATTGTGGTCACGATGCCCTTAACATGACCACCCACCAACTTCTGCCGGTACCACGGTACCACCCTAGACGTCCGCGCGGATGGGAAAAAGAGGGTATGGAGAAAGAATAAGGCCACTGGAGGGTTTGCGGTCAAAGGAACCCGCCAACACCGCCACATTATCCCTCCCCTCAACTTCCGCAAAGAGCTGTTAAAGCCAAGATCGACATCGACTGCAGGGGAACAAGTAATACGTGGCAACCGAGAAAAAAAAAAAAAAAAAAAAAAAAAAAAAAAGTGACGAAGAATAAGGGCGTCCCTTGCTGCCCTAGCAGCACCCCGCGGATTGCGCGCATTCTCCACGGCCCGATTCCTGATTCGGCTGTATCCTCCGAGTCTGGCGGCAAGCTGTAAGCTTGTGATAGCCAGCTTGGCATCGTAACCGCTCCCGCCCTGGTCCGTTCCTTTTTTTTCGCTGCGCTGTGGTGTAAATGACATTTCAAAAGATGACATGCGGCGCTGAATGAGACATGCTTTTTCTGGCCAACTGGCCGAGAGAGACCCCCTCTTCTTTTTCACAAGAAAGGACGAACGCCATGGTCTCTCGCCTTGCTTCTTTCTTTTCCCCTCCCGTCTTTTTTTTTTTTTACTTTTTTTTTGTGGCGCTCTCGGACTTTTGTATGTCACTTGGGTAGTGAGCGAGAGGGGAGGGGCGGAGAGCTGAAGAATGAGGAAGTATATGAAGAGGCGTCTGGATCATCGTGAGTTTTTCTCGAGTCCGGTGGTTCTCTGTGTTCTTGAGTCCAAGCGCCGCTCTTCGATCCTGTTCCGGTCCTTGTATATACTGCCTTGCTGTGCTTCCCCTTTCCTTTACTTGAGAGCCTACATTGTCCTATCGAGATGGTGTCGTTCAAGTCCCTCGGCCTCTTTGGCATTCTCGCTGCGGCGAACCCTATTGAACCAGGAGTTCTTGATCGTCGTGGTGCGTCCTTTCCCTAATGGTGTCCTCTTCTTCTCCCACCTGTTTCTCTTTACTTCAAAGGTCTCAAACTGACACCGACACCACACTCCCTGACAACAGCTATCTCAGAAACTGATCTCAACAACTTCAAGTTTTGGGTTCAGTATTCGGCCGCCGCTTACTGCAACGTTAACAATGACGCGGGATCCTTGGTCACCTGCGGCTCAGGCCAGTGTCCCAGCGTCCAGTCAAACAGGGCCACCATCGTTCGGACTATTTCGTAAGTGATCCAAGACATCTAAGACATCCAAGACATGACACATACCCCTTGACACCCTCTCTTCCTTGTCGGCCGACATGAATGTTGGGTAGTAGTTAGTGTGTTTAAGAGGTGTTTCTTGTGCCAAGACTAACACGGCCATACAGTGGTCCAAACTCTGGCCTCTCTGCCTTTGTGGCCGTAGATCCCGTGCAAAAGGCTGTTGTCATATCTGTCAGGGGCACTATCAACATCCGGAACTGGATCACCAAGTATGACACCTCCTCGCCCAATCACGCAAAAGCCACCCCCCCAGCCACTAACACGCACACTCAAAGCCTCAACTTTGGCTACACAGACTGCCCCTCGGGCTTCCCGTCGGGCTGCACCATGCACTCTGGCTTCAAGCTCGCCTGGGAAGAGATCTCCGCCTCTGTCATTTCCTCCGTCAACAGCGCCCTGGCCAGCAATCCTTCCTACAGAGTCGTCTCGACTGGCCACTCCCTCGGCGGTGCCGTCGCCGCAATCGGCACTGCCCACCTCCGTCGTACCCTATCCCGCTCTATCGACATCTACTCCTACGGCGCCCCCCGCATCGGCAACTCCGTCTTCGTAGACTACCTCTCCTCCCAGTCCGGCAGCCACTTCCGCGTCACCCACGGCTCCGACCCGGTCCCGCGCCTCCCTCCTGCCTTCCTCGGCTTCCGTCACACGACCCCGGAGTACTGGATTGCTAGCAACGCCGGCGATGACGGCGTCTGGGGTTCTAATGAGATTTCTGTCTGCACCGGAACCGTTAACCTTTCTTGCAATGGCGGTACCGTCCTCTTGGATATCATTGCCCACTTGACCTACTTCCAGAGCGTTGGTGGCTGCTTTGGTGCCACTCGTAGGGAGGACGATTTGGTCATCTCGGAGGAGGCGCTTGCCGAGAGGCTTAAGACTCTTTCTTTGCTCGACCAGGAGTACTTCAAGAACCATAGTGAGTGATGAGGTTTTGCCGTTTTCCTTTTCTTTTGGATTGAGGTTTGGGGAGCATGGGTTTTTGGTTATGGGCTTGATTAAGCGTCGAGAAGAGTTTCTTGGGGAGCTATTGCATGGGAGGTTTTCGCACAAAGTGCGAGCGGATGCACGGGCCGGAGACGTGAATGGCTTCCAGGTGTACATATGAATGCCCTGCCAAACATGAACATATCACAGATGACTATATAAGCGTTGTTCCGGGGTACTGGCGCCTACTGTACCATCTCCAGCAACAATCGATGTGTTGCGGCTGAAGCGCTGAGGAGCCACGGGGAAAGGAAGGAACCACCCATCACCGCATACATCCTCGGTGAAACAATGCAGCCTTATAGTTCCAGATCAAAAGCTGGATCAGTATCGGGTAGCTCCAGGTGGTGCACCTATACGAGCGTTCGTGTCAAGACCTGAACAAGGCATCATACGTTCGAAACCGTGAATTTTTTTTTTTCCTCTTTTTTTGCTTGTTTTTTTTTTTTTCCTTCTTTTTCCTTTCCTTTTTAATTTCTTTTCTCTTTTCTCTCTTCTCTCTCCGCCCTAACGGGTGGTAGGGGAGTTTAATGCAGGTGGAGAAACATCGCCGTATTGTATTGAGAGTCAGAGAAGCGAGGTGTGTGTCAGTCAAGGTGTTTCGCTAGAGGAATGGCCCTCGTAAAAATAGTTAATGTACAAAATCAATGACACCGACACGTGGTAGACAAATCATAAAACGTCATAACTGTCGCAAAACAAACCCGTCCTCCGTAATACACCATGTCCTTTGCCCTAGCCTTGTCCTACCCTTGTCCGAACCTTGTCCGAACCTAACCTTGTAAAAACAGTCGTTCCATTCTCACATTCATACTTTTTGGTTCGCACCTTAAATCTTCAGTCGTCGTCTCCTTCGATGATCATACCTCTGATGTTAGGGACGCCGATGAGAAGCTTTCCTCGAGGAACCCTGACAAGACCCTTCACGAGCATGCAGCCAAAGACCACAAGCTCTTTAAGGGCGGGGCAAGCCTTAAAGATGCGTTCAATGATATAATCAGTCACCGACTCGCAGAAGGAGAGCTCGAGGTATTGAAGCTTGGGATAGGTTTTTCCCTCGGCAAAGACCTCCTCAAAAGCATCCGCGGAGATGTAGCGTGCAGAGTCGAGGTTTAGGTGACGGATCTCGGTTCCACTATGATTCATGAGTGCACGAAGCGCACCGGAGCAGAAGCCGATGCCCGATTCGTGGTTGCGCGCCTCCTTCGCCTCTAGATGTCGGCACTTGGCGAAGTCGACGTATTCCAGCTCGGGGTTTTTCCAGTCAGTGAACAGATTGACAAAGCCTTCATCCGTAAAGTCGCTACATTCCGTAAGGCGCAGCTTGACCAAATTTTGGCAACTCTCGTGGGTGGCACCGAGCAATTCATCGTCGCAAGTGACGGCACGCCGGAGCGAAAGGGTCCTCAAGCCTTTTCCAATTTTCGTAACCATGTCCGCGCAGGACTGCCCATCAATCTTGTCGTTCAGTTGTAGGCTGAGATGTTGGAGATTCTTCAGTCCACTGATGAGCCTGATTCCCTCGGTAGAGAGCTTGGCAATGTGTTGTAGGCTGAAGCTCGTAAGGCTTGGGCAGTGCTCAATGACTGCTGCAATCACGGGGTCGCCAAAGTGCTTGTCTGTGAAATGAACCTTCAGTGTCTCCAGAGGTTCTCCCTTGGCAGCGAGGAACCCAACCCAGCTCTGCTCGCTGATCAGATTGGACCCGTGGATGGAAAGGTGCGTAAGCGTAAGGTGCCGTGTCACGAGATAGTTCATGACGTTGTCGTTGAAATGAATGCCATTCCTGAACTTGAAGAGTCGCAGCTTCTGGCAGATGGAGAAACAACGAATGAAATCCTCCTCCGTAAGCTTAGCAGCGTCATAAATCCGAAGTTCTTCTGTCGATGGCTCAAGGAATAACGTGAGGGTGTTCGAATCGACGAGACGCCTTTTCGAGAGCCGCTGTGCGATCTTGTCAATGAGATGTGGAGCCATGTCTCCAAGCGACTCAACGAGGTCGACATTCCGAGCCAAAGTCTCTACACACAGAGTGGTAAGGCTTTTGGTACCAATCTTGAAGGTTCCGTTCATGATTTGGCTCTTCATCTGGCGCTTTTTGCCAATCCCCTTTGTGGCTGGCTTGGACTTCGGCCTGGGTAAAGACTTATCAGGCTCGGGACGTTTGTCGTCCTTGATAACGCGCCCACAGTCTGCGCATAGCAGACCGCCGTTGGGCCCAGCCTTGGTGTACGGTGTGATGGTGAACTTTTTCAAGCACAATTCGCAATGATCGACCTGTCCCGCTCGGGATCTTAGGAGACTCATATAGTCTTTAACCGAGTCGTTGTCATCACTAGAGACGTCGGAATCATCCTCTGATCTTTTGCGCTTCTTGGGCTTCTTGGCGGTTGGAGGCGGCTTCTTCACAGGTGTCGACTTCTTGGTCGCAGTCTGCCTAGTCCTGCGAGTTGGACGCGCGACGATTTCCTCCTCCTCCTCCTCCTCCTCATCATCATCATCCTCCTCATTCTCCTCTTCTTCTTCAGTCGTAGCAGGTAGACTTGGCGCATGACCGTTAACGGTGTCGTCGCCAGGCTCATCGTCGGCTTGAGCTGCGCCGCTACGTCTCAGGGTCCCACGCTGAGCAGCACGCCGAATATTACGTGCTGAGATGTTGTAGGTCTAGAATCAAGTCCGTCAATATTTCTCTTAGAACGGAAATATGCATCTCCAAATCCCCAAGCATGACGCACCGAGAGGAAATCCGAAAGCGCCGTCGTCCTATTGAGAGGCCTAGAGTCAGCTGCCATGAAAGGTGAGTAGTAACGCCAGCTTGAGGTCAGAACACATACGGTCCTGTGATGTTTTGTCCTCTCTGAGCCCGCCGTGTATTTGGGTGGTTCGCTTGGGGAGGTCCCCCTCCTTGGTTGCCTGGGGCTGACATCTTGATCAATGAATTCAGATGCTCAAGCCGAGTTTCGCATGCTAGTCCAAGCCAGGGACAGTAAAACTTGAGATGAAGAGGGGGGAAGGTAGATGCTTGATGGTAGAGTGGGTGAGTGGTCAGGTTCTGAGCTGGCTTTAGCTTGAGGAATCACGGTAGCAGTGAATGGACGTGGGAAGGACTTCTGGTCCCCGATCAGGAACTTGACACGAAGTCACGTGCGAGCCCCTGAGCCCTTCCCCATCCACTGGAGCCGGCAAAGTTGGCCTGACTCACGTGAGTTCGTGAAAATTCGTGATTGGACTTTCCCCTTCAACGCGAACTCTTGCCACGACCAGAAGGTGCATCCCCCCACTCCCCACCGTCCTGTCCCTTCTTGCTCCAGCTGTTATCGAGGTACCCGATTCATAATCCATCCCTCACCTTCCACACCACCTCAGGGAGCCTCCTGAAATCTTGATTTCTAGACTTAGACCTCTCAGGTTTATTCTCCTTATTCTATTCCTTACCCAACTTCCTGTCTCGAGAGATGTGGAAACCCCCCTTTCTTTTTCATCAATCGATCCGTTTGTTTCGACCAGGCAACACTCAGTTCGTTGGCCCTTTTCGGGTTATTTGAAAATTGTATTGACCTTCTTGATCGAGTCTTTCCTTCACTCGCTTTGATCGACCTGACACTCTTTCCTCGTACTTTTTCCCCCCTTCGTCATTTATCAATTTCCGTCCTTTCTCGACGTTGATCCGACTAGTCCGCTGTGATGGCTGGCCGTCGGCTTCGCAGCTCCCTGTCAAAGACAGATAAACATGTTCCAGAAATGGGATTGAATGGTATGCTTCCTCTGCACCAACACCTTTGTGTTGAAACTTCCCTGGAACTCTTGACCGTATCTTACGCAGAGGCTAACAAAAGCTTCCCGACACAGGCACTTCTACCCCTACCCATGCACCCAATGGAATGTTATCATCCATGAACGGGACCCAAGACACACCAATTCGAGTCACCCGGAGTAGACGTGGCATCAACACGCCTGGATCCTCCCACTCTGCTGCGAATGGTGCCTTAGGCGTCGCAGGCTCTCCGGAAAGCCAGGTCTCTGTCTCTCAGGGGGCCTCCACACGTAGTACGATCGAGATCCGCCTTCCTAGGAGGTCGTTGCGGGGCAGAGAAACTCCATCTACTGCCGAAGATTCGGTCAATCTACCATCACAATCTCCCGTCATCATGATCTCCTCAGATGATGAAGAGCCTGTGCGGGGCTCGTCCCATCGTTTTGGTGCTAGGTCTGCCAATGGTACCACGAGTAAAAGGCCCAAATATTTGCAACGAGATGATCTGTCTCTAAACTCAAACAAGATGGATTTGGAAGAAGAGGAAGATGATTCGATCGTCTACACAGACTTCATCGTTGCCCAGCGACTCCAGGCAGAGGAATATGCACAAGCCACCAACGGGAGCCTGTTAGAACCTCCAGCGAAGAGAGCCAGGACCGAATGGAGCCGCTCTCTCCTCTCTGCTTTCCGTTCTGGTAAGAGCACTGGATCTGGCGCAGGTCTTCCAAATTCTCTCAACGGTCGGGCGAAGAATGGTCTTGGTGAATCGGCCCCTATCCCTGCACCGTCACGTGTTCCAGAAGTTACCATCACCGGAGGAACTCGAGCTGCTCAGGCAAGTGATTTCATTTCAGCATCCCAACTGCTCCAACAAGATAAGGTCGGCCTTGGTCTACCCTCGGACTTTTCTACTGGCGTCTCCTCCAACGATGTCACCGATGCCAGTGACGGAACGTCCGATGGTGAGGAGGATGATGATGATGAGGAAATTGAGAGCGAAAGTGACGAGGTTACTCGAAGAGTGGCGCTCGCGGCACGAGACCGCCGTGCATTCGGTCGACGCACTACAGCGCGTGCCGTGCGAACCGTCCGACAGAGGCTAGAAAGCTTCCATCCAGAGCTCCCGAATTTGTGGATCAACCTCGAAAACGAACCGCCCATCATACCGGTTCAAGCGGAACAGCCCCCAACTATTCATCGCAGAATGAAGGGCTTCCAGCTTGAGGGACTCTCATGGATGAAGCAAATGGAGGAATCCAAGTACAAAGGCGGCATCCTTGGAGATGAGATGGGCCTAGGCAAAACTATTCAAGCCGTTTCGTTGATCATGTCCGATTTTCCCGTCGGCAAACCTTCGCTTGTCCTCGTTCCTCCGGTTGCCCTTTTGCAGTGGGTATCTGAGATTGACTCGTATACGGACAAGACTTTGAAGACCTTCGTGTACCATGCAACGAACGCGGAGACAAAGGCACTCAAGCTTAACGAGCTGAAGAAATACGATGTCATCATCATGTCCTATAATTCTCTGGAGTCGATGTATCGCCGGGAGACGAAGGGCCACAAGAAGAAGAGAAAGGGGGATGCTTGCACCGTGGAGGTTCATAAGAAGCCTAGCATTATCCACAAAATTGACTTTCATCGTCTCATTCTCGATGAGGCCCACGAAATCAAGGTACGCCGCCGATCTTCCCAGGGGGCTCTATTACTTCTCATCATCTGTACTAATCACCCATCTAGACTCGCACTACTTCGACGGCCAGAGCCTGCTTCGCACTGAAAGGAACATATCGATGGTGCTTGACGGGCACTCCTTTGCAGAATGTCATTGGCGAATTTTTCTCCCTGGTTCAGTTTCTCAACGTCCGTCCGTTCAGCAACTATCTCTGCCGAAGCTGTCCCTGTAGATTGGAGACGTGGAACTTTGGCGAATCTAAGCACTGTCTCACCTGCGGTCACGGTGCGCTGGGCCACTTCTCCGTTTTCAACCAAGAAATTCTCATCCCGCTCCAGAGACATGGCCAACACGGTCCAGGTCGGGTTGCATTCGAACGGCTCCTCCTTCTCACCGACCGCATCATGCTTCGTCGTCTCAAGAAGAACCACACAGAATCCATGGAACTTCCGACCAAGGAACTCCGTATCAGTCGTCAGTTCTTCAGCGAACCCGAGAACGATGTGGTGCAAAAGATCATGGGAGACGCGAGACGGGCATTCGAATCGTTTGCTTTGGATGGAACCATTCTGAACAATTACGCCAACATCTTCAGTCTCATTATGCACTTACGCCAGACCGCAGATCATTATGATCTCGTCCTGAAGAAGGATGCGGATGGTGGTCAGAATGTTCTAGAGTGTTGTGTCTGCGAATCCCCCGCCGAGGATGCTATCATCAGCAAGTGCCGCCATCACTTCTGCCGTTCTTGCGCGAGAAGCTATCTCGATAATGTCGAGAGCCCTGACTGCCCCAAGTGTCACATCCCTCTATCGATTGATCTTGTTCAGCCGGAGCTTGAACAGGACCAGCTGCTGTTCAAGAAGTCGTCCATTGTGAACCGTATTCAATTGGAGAACTGGAGGTCATCGAGCAAGATTGAGCTCCTCGTCCACGAGCTCTTTTCTCTCCGGTCCGAAAACTCCACGCACAAGTGCATCATCTTCTCCCAGTTCACATCGATGCTCCAACTGATCGAGTGGAGACTTCGCCATGCAGGGCTTACAACTGTTATGCTTGATGGCACCATGACGCCCGCACAGCGTGATGCGTCCATCAACCACTTTATGAAGAATGTCGACGTCGAATGTTTCTTGGTTTCGTTGAAGGCTGGCGGAGTGGCGCTGAATCTAACGGAAGCGTCCCGAGTCTTCCTCGTCGAACCGTAAGTTCTCTCTTTCTTCTACCGCGCTCCTCCTCTTCAATTGTGAGGTGTATCCTATGCCATATTTTCTTTCGCTGACCCGTGTACCATAGATGGTGGAATCCTGCTGTCGAATGGCAGTCGGCGGACCGATGCCATCGTATTGGCCAAGCCCGACCATGTATCATTACCAACCTTGTGATCGAGGACTCTGTGGAGAGCCGAATCGTTATGCTGCAAGAGAAGAAGACACGCATGATCCACTCGACTATGAACAAGGATGCCGAGGCGGCTCAATCTTTGACGCCCCAGGACATGCAGTTCTTGTTCCGAGGCATCTAGTCGTCTTTGGTCCAAAAAAGGGGCTCAGGCTGACCCGATCTTTGTTTCGAGTTTACGACAACTCTACATCATTCCCCGTTTTCTTGGGGCTGTTGTTGTTTTTTTGTTCTTTTCTTTTTTTTTCGATGTACTTTAACTGGAATGGTTGTGGCATGATTTCATGAAATGGGCCGTGGGATCGGATGGGATTCTCACTTGTTTCAAGTGTTGTAAGTTATACGTTTTAACCGCGGAGAGCTCTATCTCTTTTATTGTTCTCCTAGGCAGGCAGATATGGGGAAGATAATGCAACACAATGTTGTGTACTTCCTCTTCAATATGATTATGTCTTATGAAAACAAAAGTGGGAGGCAGAAAATTGAGCATATAGATGTCGCAAAATGAACGTAAAGGATGTTGGGTCCGTTATGGAGAGCCTTGTTGGCCGCATGAGCATGGGTGCCATACCACACAAAGGTATCATACGGAGAGATGCTACCCAGGAGAGGATGGGCAACCATAACCACAAGCACGGTGTCCTACGGCTCTTGTTCCTTAGTGAAGCCGTCGGCTCCTTCATCAAAATGGAAGCCAAGCTCCTCTAGCGTCCTGGCCTTACACCCAGTCTGCTCGAAAGCGAGCTTCGCCTCCGCAAAAATCTTCCTCTGCCAAAACTCCGAGGGCCCCCAGCGAGGCGGTTCCTTTCCCTTGGCCTTCGCTTTCCCCACCCAGTCGTACATCTCGTTGATGTAGGCGGCGTCAGCCATCTTAGGAAGCACGTGGACGGCATCCCCTCTCTCTTCGTCGAGGTCGCGGGACTCCTTCCTCTGCTCCTCGACAGGTGGCAGGTCGAGGGCGTTCGACCAGACAGCGGCGAAGACGGCAGCCTGGGCCTCTGCGACGGGGAATGGGACGGCGCGCATAAGGAGGCCGGGGAAGACGAGGGTGGGGTGGTCGATGGAGAAGAGGTGGTGGTAGAGGCCGTGGACACCTTTCCCCCTCGTGATGAGGGAGGACGGGGCGATTGTGGGGAGAAAAGGGTAGCTGAAGAGAAAGCCCGTGCAGAAGATGACGGTGTCAATGTCGGTAATAACGCGGTCATCCACGAGGCGAACGCCGCGGGACGAGGGGAGGAACTCGACGATTTCGGGGATTTCCTCGGCACCTGCATGGGCGAGCTTCTCGGGCGGTGTGGGCGTGTGGACGGAGAGGAGAAGCTCGCGGGCGTGGCGGTGGATCTGGTAGGCGACGTCGAGGCCGGAGGGACCATTTCCTACCACGAGGACTTTTTGGTCTTTGAAAGTGAGAGGGGAGCGGAATTGCTTGGAGTGGATGGTGGTAGTTGGGTGAGCTGCGTTGAATTCGGAGAGGTTCTTGATGTCCGGGATGAAGGGGACGGAGTAGTGGCCGTTGGCGATGACGATGGCGTCGAAGGTGTGATGTTCTTCTTCGCCCGTGATTGTTGAGCGGGCTACCAGATGCCACTTTTCCTGTTCTCCCGCGCCTACATCCTTCTCTGGCTTCACGTCGACGACCTCCCTCGAGAATTTGATCAGATGCTTCACCTCCTGAGAATACCGAATAACATAGTCCCTTATAATCTCCCTCGTCGGATACACCCTGGCCTCCTCCGGAAACGGCACGTCCTTGAAATTCATCAACGTAGCGGGGATATTCGCATGAAGCTCCTCATACATGGGCGACATGAACACGGGTGCACTTCCGTCGGCACCCTCGCCGCCGGACCCGGGCCTCAGCGGCGCATCGGGCGGGTAGAACGGATCCGTCTGGGCGCCCGTGGGAGCGGGAGGCGCCGCGGACGTGTAGTGCCAGACGCCGCCCAGGGCGGACTCGGGCTGCTGCTCAAAGAGGACGATGGAGGCGAAGGCGTTTTGGGCGAGGAGGTATTTGGCGGATGTGATGCCGCTGGGGCCGGCGCCTATGATGGCGATGTTGGAGATGTTAAAGGGCTTGGAGGCCATGGTGGAGGGGTGGGATCGAGGAAATTGAGGTTGGTGAGAGCTTCAAGGTGGGGGCTGCTTGAGATCAGGACCCCGCGATTGTTCTTTTTAAAAAGAAAGACGGAAGAATAGGGCTGTAAGGAAGAAAGGCTGATAATAAGTGTTATTTACATGTTTTCTACTCTCGTCTAGTTAGAGAGAGAGTAAGCGCCTATTAACTTCGTAATTGTAGCTGAAGCGGAAACCCGCAGACTCATGCGACGCGGCGGATGCGTTTCTTGGCTTTGAGTCAGTCGATAAGTCGCAATCGTGCCGGGCGATTCCGCTATCGGACTGGCGGAGCCGATGGAGCCAAGATCGGCGACCGATGGACCGACTCCGTATATGCATGCCGTTACGGAGTACCGACTTGTGGAACAATGAAATAGATTGGAAATGAACTTGAACACTACCTGTGCTTTGATATTTCGAAAGTCTGTAGCATAGACAGACGTCGAGGTGGTCGGAATTGCAGATTCGCGCCCTCGTCTTGCCGGACTCCCGATTCATCTTGCAGGCGAGGACAGAGAGGATGCCGCTATCACGCCCATGGATCTCGAAACGTTAGGGAGGGTTTCTAGACATGGTATCAAGTTGGGAGATCTCTATCGTCGCTATGCCACTATCATGCCAATATTGTACAAGAGCCATCGAAATTAGGTAGCGCCGCCACGCTCTACCGATCTTGGATCCCGGCCACGGACCAAAAGAGAGAAAACAAAAAATTTCTCCATGTCAAAATGCTATCCGGAACGCCCTCTAACCGTCCTGAGTCTAGATAATATGCCCTCCGTAAGTGAGATCGGTTTCCACCTATAGCACAAAGATCGGGCATCCGTATCGTCGTCGTTGTTCCCGTCTATAGTTTTTTTTTCCTCCCCCTTCCTCAGCTGCTCGGGAGTGGGCGAGTATGATGACTCGCCGGCGTGTAAGTGAAACAAAGAACGCGTAATCCTCGCGCCCCAAGATGTTCTCCGCATACTCCCTTCCCTTTTACTCATCCTTAGGCTGCCTCATCCACGCATCAATCGCCAAACCAAAAGCAGCAAAAGCAGCACAGCCGCCCGCCGCCGCCTGCGGACCAGCATTCCTAGCGAGGATGGCGCCCGTTAGACAACCCGATATCGCACCGTTGGCAAGGTCGTTCTTCGCGCGGAAACCCTCGACACCGCACTCGATGCCGGCGAAGAGGGCGCCGACTTTACCGAAGTTCCGGGCGGTGGACCAGGACCTTTGCCCCATGTCCTTGAAGCCGTGCTGAAGCTGCTGTCGAAGGGGGAGCGAGGTGATGGGTGCTGTGCCGGCGCCTCCGGCGGTGTGGTAGGGCGTGTCGTAGGCCATCTAGAAGTGGAGGAGAGTTAGAAGCGCAAAGTGGCGGGGGGTTGAAGGAAGAAGACAGGGGCGTTTAGACGTACCGACGCCATGAATAATCCGAAGAGACCGCCCATACCGAAACCCATCACGCCGGATATCGCGGACTTGACGAAGCAGTTTTGCATGGCATTCTCCATCTGTTCAAGGGGTGGTGATGTTAGTTTATATCCATGTGCAAAAATGTTAGACGAACCGCGAGGAGGAACGGGGGTGACGAACCGTCTTAGCCATAGCAGCTTGCTGCTCGGCTTCCGACAAGCCTGAATTAGGTCTGGGAAAATTCATCGTTACGGGATGGCTTGTCGATTTCGGTCGTGGGAAAGCCGCGATGGGTTTGATGCAGGTTTCTATAGTGTAGTAGATACGATCCTCGATGCGTGGAAATGGGAGCTTAGGCGCGATAAAATTTTTGGGTGGCCAGTCGGAGCTTATCGCGATAAGATAAGAAGATCGGCCTTAGATAAGCCCATGGTCTCGTGCATGCCACATCGAGAAACTTGAATCTCACGAATAATCAAATTCAACCAAGCTCGGAATCAGAACTAGGTTACACCAGGATTACGAAGCAGGTAAATCTCATCTTGATGTCTCATGGTTTGTGGAAATAAGTGTTGCTTCGCGGATGGCGATCTGATAACGGTGTTTCCAATATTTTGTCTCCGGTGCTCTTGGGAGTTTGCTCCGAGGACATCATCGACGATGAATTGGAGGCGCGAGTTGGGGTGTTGTGTGCACTAAATAATTGGCCTGTTGTGATCTTGACCCCAAGTCAATTGATGTGTTCTTCAGTGGCCAGTCCAGGTACTGAAGTTGAACTGACACAACACTGCCTGGCCTGGCAATCATGTTAGGCTTGTTCTGAGGCACTGTGCTGGACGATGGTTTCACTCTACTTCGTACCCCTCCAATTGATCCCTCAATCACTCTCAACACTTGACATAGTCCGCCACCACCTCCGTTTCCCTCTTCCCTCTCCAATCACCTCGCCGAGCCGAAACACCAACACCAAGCCTCTGTGTTTGTTGGTGCAGCCATCCAGTTTTCCACGGAAGTAGGCAACTCGTTCGAATTCCCATCAGCATCGGATCCGCATCCGACGAAAGTAACCTCAAACCGCCGTTGCACTATAGTGGACACGACCTCACCAGCCGTCGTCAATCTGCGCTCTCTTCGTCCTCCGTATTTAGGGCCCCTCAATCCCAATCTCGATCCACAGTCCCCGCCGCTGAATGCACCAGACCGGTGCTAAAATCGCGCGATAGACCCGGTGACAGCACCCAGAGACCAACCATCGTCCATCGTCCCCGTCGATGCCACTGCCACCTTAACTATTTCCACACATTTGATCTGATCAATCGCTTCCCGCACTGCATTTCCCCCAAGTCCCTAGTGTAATGCGACTCACCAGCGATACCACCATATTATCCCATCCCCTCTAAACATCGGTTCACACTTTCTTTTCTATACCCGCCCTATTCGAATACGGGGAACTTTGCGCCCACCCCCCAGCCCATTTGAATCTCCGCCATCCCATTTCCGTTTTTTCCATTTCCGTACGTACGATTTCCCAGGTGTGCACCATTCCCGGCCCACTGTCCACTGTCCAGTCCACTGCCCACAGTGGCATAACCAACCGCGAATATGGGGAACAACCCCTCCTCGACGGCGGCAAAACCTGCCGCCGCCTCCTCAGTGCCAACCAGTTCTGCCTCGTCTTCCCACCACGATCATAATCACGGCCACAGCCAGGGCCACAGTCACGGCCACGGCGTAAGCAGGTCAGCCAGCAAGCGCGATTCTAAGGGTATTATGGCGATGCATACGACCCAGCGAGTCGCTGTTCCACCCGAGGAATCACTGGCCTCGGCCACCCGCTCCAACGTTATCAACCATCCGAAACCCCTCTCGCAATCCGTCTCCGGTCTCAGCAGTTCGTCGTCCCCGACAAACAACTCCTCCAACTCCTACTCCCACTCCACCAACACTACCGGGTTTAGCACCCCGCAGCAGCAGCAGCAGGTGAAGCCGTCCGAAGCTATCCCCGTGTCCGACGTGCCCTCCAAACCCGTCGACGTCCCCAGCGAGCCTTCGAGCGCTAGGTCTCACCACCATGTCGCTCCCGTCGCTGAACCCCTGCTCGTATCGCAGAACAGCATCACCGACCTGTCCTACCTTACCCGCCCACCTAGGCTTCCCCTACCCATCGAGGAGGAGCTCCATACCCCGGGTTCTCCCATCCTTGCCGCCACCGAGGCCCCAGAACTCGCCGAAATCGAACCTCTCGAGGCTGATGGTTTTACGAGGAAGTCGTCTGCTCTGAGCAGCACGAGCGTCGACGATGAAGAGGATGAGGAGGACGGGCTCGTTGTCGATAAGACGCGGCCTACAGTTCCTACGAGACTGGAATGGCTTCGGGGTGGTGAAAAGGTCTATGTGACCGGTACTATTTTCCAATGGAACCGCAAGCACAGATTACATCCTGTGTATGCGCAGACTATTCCGTATCCCCCCCTTCCCTTCCCTTTCCTTTTTCTTCCCTTTCCTTGCTAGGCTGCGCTTTTGTCCCCTCGAAATTTCCAATGAGCTAACCGTTCTTTTAGGGAGGGGCGCCCGGGAGTGTTTGAAACGACAATCAACATTCTACCGGGAACTCATCACATCCGGTTCTTGGTGGATGGTATTATGCAAACCTCGCCCGACCTGCCCACCACCGTCGATTTCGGTAACAACCTCGTCAACTACATCGAAGTTAGCCCAGACGACGTTCCTAAAGGACAGTTGACGGGCGAAGAAGCCCGCAAGAAAGCCGAGGCCAAGGCCAAAGAGGAGCACAAGCTTCACCGAGGAAGATTGGCGCTCCCTCCCGACCAGTACACGAGCCAGATTCCCAAGTACCTGGTCGACTTTGATCTGGCCGACGATTCGCCGACCTACCAGCACGCTTGGGCCGCTATAGAGAAGCTGCCCACGCCGCCCACGCTGCCGACATTCCTCGGCAAGCCCATTCTGAATGCTGCTGCGCCAATCAAGGACGATAACAGCGTTCTTACTCTGCCCAGTCACACCGTGCTCAACCACTTGGCGACAAGTAGCATTAAGAACCATATTCTCGCCCTTTCTGCGACCACGAGGTACAAGAACAAGGTATGCTATGTTCACTTTATTCGGATATAAAAAGAAGAAGGGGGAGCTAACAGATAGGACACTAGTACCTGACCACCATTATATATAAGCCTACCAAGCCTACTGGTCTTGATGACTGAAGGGTGGGATGGTTCACGACCCTCCCGCCAACTATCGGGCAGATTGGGCTCAAAAGAGAGGAGGAGAACTTAAAAACGGTACCAGTTTAGGGATATGTCGCGGATACGAGCGATTCCGGGTTATTCATATGTCAGCGGCAGCGAGGAAGGAAAAAAAAAACCCGGTCAATGTGCCTCTTCTCGCAGTAATAACACATGAACTATGATCGGGGCATGGGAATAGATTAACTTGGCCGGATGGTGCCAATAAATGCAAATTGGTTTCTAATGCGATTTTCCTCACATAGCCATAACCTGCCGTGTCGCAATTTTCCATTTCCATATTTTGTTTTCTTTTCTAGTTCTGTTTGAGTGCAAAGGGTATCTAATCCCTCCATTTGATATACACTTCGTCCGTCCTAAACCGCTGCGTACAAGTAGTGTCCTCGAGGGGCGTGCGGAACCCCGTCTCGTAGGCCAAAAGCCCCGCGTGCGCAATCATGATGCCATTATCGATGCAAAACCTCTCGTCCGTAGCATACACACTGCCTTCCCTATCCTTCGCCATGGCGCCCATCATCTCCTGCAACCTCTCGTTGCACCCGACACCGCCCACAATCAGCACCTGACTACTCCCCACATGCGCCATGGCCCTCTCGGTAATCTCCACAAGCATGGCGAATACGGTCTCCTGCAACGTAAAGCACAGATCCTCGGGCGTGAACGCCTGCTTCCCCGCCTTGATGTCGGCCTTCATCTGCGCCGCCAAGGCATCCGCCGACGCGAGGATGCCCGAGAACGAACAATCCATGCCCTTGACGGTATACGGCAGATCGAGCAGCTTGGAGCCCTTCTTGGCCAGCTGCTCGATGTTGTAACCCGGGGCCGGGTCGTTGCTGATGTTTAATGTGCGCGCGAAGCGGTCGAGGCAGTTCCCCACGGCGATGTCGAGCGCCTCGCCGAAGATCCGGTACCTCCGCTCAGCGTAGGCGATGACCTGGGTATTCCCCCCGCTAACGTACAGTACCACGGGGTTTTCAGCGCCCGTAATAGCGCGCCCCATCTCGATATGTCCCACGCAGTGGTTCACGCCCACCAACGGTTTCCCCCACATAAGCGCCAACGCACGCGCCGCCACAGCAACGCTTGTCAGCGGCGCGCCCATCCCCGGGCCTTGGGTGAAGCAGACGCAGTCGATGTCGTCGACGGATACGCCCGCCTCTTTGAGGGCCGAGAGGGCCACGGGGACGAATTGGGAGCGGTGGTGTTTGGCTGTGTCTTTCGGGAGGAAGCCCGTGCCGGGCGGGGAGACGAAGGTGTGGCGGACATTGGAGAGGATGGTTACGGTGGGGTTGGTGACGGGGCCAGTGTGGTGGATTATGCCGATGCCGAGTTTGTTGGCGGAGCCTTCGCAGCCGATGGCGATGCGGCCTTGTTTCCGTTTGGGCATGGTGGCGGTGGTGGCCTTTGCGGCTTGCGAGGGAGGTGAGGTCTTGGGAGTTGGTTTGGGGTGAGGTTGACGATGCGATGGTGGGGTTGCGATGGAAATGGTGGGGGTATGTAACACTGTATGTATCTCAGTGCAGGCCAAGAAAAAAGAGATCAATATTACCAAACGTTTTGCGCGAGGGAGTCAAGCCATGCCAGTATCAAAACTAGGCGAACATCCACCGCAACCCAGCGCACTTGAGGCATTGTAAATCTTCTTCTGTCACTGGATCAATCTTCTCGAATCTGATATCTTGGTGGGGCATCAATCAAGACCCTGTCCCTCGCCGTTGGAGGGGTAATCTTCATCATTCCCTGATTGCTTCAAATTCAATTTCCATCAATGGATTTGATCAATGATGAATTAGTGGGGGGCTGGTTGGCTTCCGGGCGGGTCCCCGTCCACTGGCTCAAAAGCGCAGCCTTTCACTGTAGCGACAATTTGGGACCCATTTACAAGGGGCCACTCCACTAAAATCCCCCACAAGAAAAAAACTCTCAGTATGAAAATATGAAAAAATACAATTTACATGCAAAAAGACAGAAAGAAACGCGCAATTACATAAGCCGCCCCGCTATTATGTTCGGTCTTGGTCCAATCCACAAATGTCACCAAAGCCGGAATGATGTCTTGGCCCATAAGCTCCAAAGGCGCTTGCGCTCCTCTCTCCCTCTCCAATTTTTGGAAAACACACAAAGTCCGCCCACACAACTGCACACAAGTTTATGGTCTCTTTCCTGCTACTTGTTTTCCTTCAGCTGCTTCTATTGCGCAGGTTCTCTTTCGCCTACTTGTTTCTTTTTTGAGAATTACTCTATGAGACCACTTCTGTGTAATATCAGCCCTGGGCGGCTGTGGTGTGCCTGGGATATCTGGTATCATGGAGGAGAGGGTAAGCAACATTGGCTGGAATCCCTTGCCTCTTTTCAGCCCTTTCTCGCCTGATACTAATATTTAGAAACCTTACAGACCCTGGCCCAGATTTTGTTGCTGGAATATCAGGAAGCTACCCTGAAGGGTAGACTCACTTGCACTAACGTCTAGGGCACTCTCCAGTCTTGACTCCCCTCGCTCGATATATCCACAAGTTTACAGCTCTAACCCGATATTTCTCGGCCACCAAGAACCAGCAGCAGTACCTAGAAGTTCTCTGGACATTTGGAATATATCCAAGGCTTGAGGCGCGCTGGCGCCAACACAGTCTTTGGTACACGGTCCTGGGTATCCATGACACCCAAGCAATGGAGGCGGCGGCCCTGTGGAGATGGACTGATAAATGAGCAAGAATCACATGGTAAGCAGAAGTTCCTGTCAAGAGGATTGTTTCATTATGTACATCTTGTTCCTTTGCTTCTATGGCTTCCTCCCCCCTGCTGGAGCTGAAGCTGGAGTCGGGGCCTTCACGCCGACTTGACCACATGCCTACTCGCCTGGGTCGTTCTCCGCTCTCCTCCATCCTCTTTCAATCATACATATATATATTGGTACACTCAAGGGCTGACCTTTGTTTATTTTTGTTTTTGTCAGGGTCCTCAAGAAATATTCGTCAAAAAGCCATACCATAACTGAAACGGCTCGACTCCACCGCGGCCTTCCGGACACACGGGATTCGGGATATACCGATTTTTTTTTTTGTCGATCGCGCGACAAGAATCGGTGAAGGATGAGATAAAGAGGATAATCGATACACCTGCCGTCTTTTTGTGGTAGGTGCTCGAGGGCTGGACAGGGTCACTCAGGAGGCTGGCCGCTTCTGCGCCTGCTGCTGGGCCAGCTGGGCCGCTTGAGCCTGCTGAGCGGCCTGGGCTGCCTGGGCCACTTGCTGTTGGCCGTGAGGTGAGCTACCTGCTTGTTCTATTGCCGAAAGTTCTTTCGGCCTCTTCCACATAAAGTTGGGAAGGGGTACAGTTGATCGGAAGCGCAGGGCTGTGGTGTTGAAGGGATCCACTTCATAGATGGGGGTGTCCTCGTCCTCATCGGAGTCATACTTCCACCTATCTGACGTGTCGTCGAGTAGTCCTCGCGACACGCCGAGACCCCGCCGATCTATCCAGAGCCTTCCCAGACGACCGATACGACGTCGGAATGCGGGGTGTCTGGGAACGGGCGTCGGCAGTTCCTTCGCTCCTCCAGCCTTGAACTGGAATGCCGGCGGCTTCTGCATTACGGGGGATGGCGGCGGCTCTTCGTCGATATCCATCGAGTCCGAGGCGCTGGATGCGGGAGGTGTCATGAGATACTGCATCTTGGCTGGCCGGAACTTAATATGTTCCATACGCTGGTCGTCGGGCGGAGAGAGGGGCCCCATGGTAAGATCCACATAATCTTGGTTCCACTGGCGGTGGTAGAGCACCTTGTTTTCAAGATCCAACCGCAATTCGTTCTCCTTCTCAGCAAGTTTGTCCTCTAGGAGAACAAGCTCTGGCTCCGCGGGCCTGGTGTCCACACGCGCAGGTACACCCTTGGGGCCACCAGGGGGCTTCTGAAGGGCAGGCACCTCGGCGGCCTTCCTCTTTTGTGGCTGGTCAAGAGTTAGCCCGGATCCAGGAACACCAATATGGGTACTTCGTTGGGGATATCTTACCTTCTGGTGGAAGAGGTCCTCGTCCTCCGTCTTGATGCCGAGTCGGATCTTGATGGCCTTGACCCTCTGCCTCTGCTCAAAGACACTTCTCTCAAAATTCATCAGCTCACGCTTGAGTAGTTCTCTTTCGCGTGAGAGGACGATGAGCTGACGGCCTTCCTCCAGCTCACGACGCAACTTCTTGAGCTTCTCGGCGCATTGTACATCGCGAGCCCTGGTCTTGCGGGTTTGCCTAGCCTCTCTCCTCCGGAAACACACATATGGATCCATGTCATCACTCTCGGGATGCGTCTCGAACTTGAGCGAGGGATGGATGGTCTTGTTACCGACCTCAAGCCGACGAGACTTCCAGTACTCGTATATGGCCTTGGCATGAGGCATAATTTGAGGCGAATTCAGTGAGTTTAGAGACGGTACCATGGCGTCATATGCTACCACGGTGTTGTCGACGGACGCGAAGGGTGTCTGCGCAGAGGCAGTCTCCTCGAAGATGTCCATCATTCGCTCAAAGTCATCCTCCGTGAGCGCATCCGCCGCTCCCTTCTTACTGCTGTTGTACTGCTTGAGGAACTCATCGTCCTCAGCCGTCATGTCATATTGACACGACACACACTCTTCTACCGTTTGCGAGAATCGGATATAAGACTGCGGTCCTGAGAACCGCATTCGATAGAGATCGTCATACTTGATTTTGCTTGGTTGGGGAGGCGGGACCGGGATTTCTTGGTCATTACTGGTACCCGCCTCTTTAAGGATAGTCTGGAGATGGTATTCCTGCAAGAAAGAAAGGCGAGGCCGTCTCTGTTAGCCTCCTGCAATGCTAATACTGTTGAAGGGATTCGAGGTCTCATATGCAAGGGAACGGCAAGTTCCGTCCGACTGCACCAAATATCACATGACTAAGCACGTGATATAAGGACATATCATGGGATATCAGGGGCATCAGGGGGAGGTAAACAACGAACATTTTCCTCGGCTTGCTCGACACCGGTCGCGATTTGGTTATCAGTTGTGAGAGCTTCATAATCGCTTCGATCGATCTGGTCCTCCCGGTGCACCCCAAGGGCGGTCTTGGGGCTGAGCTTCTTGACTCGCACCTTCCTCGTAGACATGGTGGGTACGGCCAAGGGGTAAACCCCGAATTTTTGGCGGAAAATCCGCAAAAAAAATTCGATCAAGTCATGCACGAATGCCAGAGACGTCGATTTATTGAAAAAAATTGATGGATTTGCGTCGTTGGGGTGGATGTTTCGATGGTCGAAGTGGGCGGTCTTGATGGCTTGACGTTGGGACCTGTTTTGCCGCGGGCGAAAGAAAATTTTCACACGACCCCAGCGCTGTCTGTCGTGTTTTTTGCTTGGATGGGCGGGTTGTTTGGGGGAGTTTTAAGTACCTTTGCAGTAGTAAATGGGTGGTGATGGTACTTTGGAGACGCTGCGGGGGGGATTCTTGTCCTCGCCTTTGCCAGACGACAACTTCTCCCAGACACCTGCTGTTTCTTTTGGTTGGAGGGTGAGGTCCGTGCGTTGTTTGTCACGTGAGGTAAACTTTATGGAAGGTTGTCTGAATCAGTCATTATTGCCAGGCAATGACCAATAACATGACATGACGGGGTATTAAATGACTGGGCAGGCGCGACCAGGCACCAGGATTCTGAATGACTCTGGAAACCTTAGATTACATGATGGAATTTACACGTGACTTTGAGGCAACTCTGAAAACTCGGATTGAGGCTCTTCCTCGAGATTGTAATCTGGTGGGATTTAAGACGATTTAAGAGTGACTACTATCATGGACAGGTTGATATGACATTCCCGGCGATCAACGACTGATCCACTAGTTTGTTTGCTGCAGCAGATTGAGTGAGGTGCTGTGGACTTGGCATCTGCGACCCGGATCACTTCTCGACATGTGTGGTCTGTGCTCGTCGAGCTCCCTCTCTCTCACCTGGGAGTTTGTTTAATCTCGACAGTGAAAATCGATTTGATTGATGGTTGATGTTTCACTGGACCCCGCCCCCTCACTCCGACCTCTGCAGGAGCCGCCAGGCTTCCAGTAAGATTCATGCCCGCCATTTCAGCCCAATTGCAGCCCCTATAAAACAGACCAGCACCTCAGAGGACAAGGCAAAGTACCCCACCATTCGAAAAGGGAGGCAGGCAACCTTTGCTTTTGTTTCCGCCCCTGCCTCGCTCCCTCTTCCATCTGCTTTGCCGCCTTGGCAGAATTCCTTCCCTTTCCCTCTTAGTCTTGTGCTACGTTTTAGACGACACCCAACCTTCGAACACGCTCCCCCACACCGACACCTTACCCAATTCCCGCCTTTTGGGTCGAGTCAAAAAAGATGGGCAACACTACCAGCGCGGTGTTGGACAATATTGTCCAGGGGTCCAATTGTGAGCATTTACTTATTTCCCCGCCTCTCTCTCGCCTGCCCCTCGTTCAGCCTCGTCTAGCAGCGAGGAGATGAGACTAGTTCGGGGTGGGCACGTGGCCCAGACTTGGAACTAGAATTGCTAATGGGTTTTGGATTCTAGTTGATCGGGAAGAAGTGGACCGTCTGCGCAAGAGGTTTATGAAGCTCGATAAGGCATGTTTTTGCCTCCCCGGGCGGAGTTGGGCGGATCGAGGGTACTGGGAAACGAAGCGATGGGGCTAAATGGCAGGGAGGGAATTGAATACTGACTCTGGATATCTTGGGTGGTGGAATAGGATAACTCGGGAACGATTGAGCGAGAAGAGTTCTTAAGCTTGCCTGCGATATCGTCGAATCCGTTGGCGACGAGGTAAGGATACCCCTACCGCGAGACGATTGATATTCCCGCCACCCACACTCATGGGCACGCCTACATTTTGCCATACTGGGGAAAGGGAAAGTGGGGGTGTGAGGAGCGCGGAGTAGGGGTAATAAGAAGGATGGTCTAACCCGCTTTTGTCACACAGGATGATCGCCATCTTCGACGAGGATGGCGGCGGCGACGTCGACTTCCAAGAATTCGTGTCAGGGCTCAGCGCCTTCTCGAGCAAGGGTAACAAGGAGCAGAAGCTTCAGTTCGCCTTCAAGGTATACGACATCGACCGCGACGGCTACATCAGCAACGGCGAGCTCTTCATCGTGCTCAAGATGATGGTGGGCAACAACCTCAAGGACCAGCAGCTGCAGCAAATTGTCGACAAGACGATAATGGAGGCGGATCTGGACAATGACGGAAAGATTAGCTTCGAGGAGTTTAAGAAGATGGTGGAGAATACCGATGTCAGCAATAGCATGACGTTAGGTGAGTTGGATTTTCTTCTTTCTTTTCGCTTTTGGCTTGCCTTTGTCTATCCAAACATCGAAGGTGCTGGCGTACCCCACCTGTTTCGTGGACTTAGTTCAATGCTCTGATGATGCCTCCTCCACCTTTTCATCATCTCCCTATGTTTCGTGGGTCACCTACTGACTGCTCTCTTCTAGACAACTTCTGAGAAATGTGGTGGGATTTTCCCATCGTGGCTTGACGAACTTGGATTGCAGTGTTCCTTTGAATTTGTGGGTTTGGAATGGAGCAGGGCGGTCATGCTTCCGGAAAATACTTGGCTCAAACGACTTCATAGTTCTCCTCCTTTTGTTTCCCGTTTATTTTCCTGTTTCGTTTCTTTACTTTTGTTCGTCGACTCGCAATACCTTCTCCTCGTTTGAGCGTCTAGTAGACCAACATATAGGGGACATGACTTTATGATATGGCACGCCTGTTCAACGCCATAATGTCAAACTTGTGATACAACAGAGATTCACTTTCTTCCTTCCGGGGGGCGGGGGCGTGTGTGTGAGTGTGTTTTCCTATCTAGTGATTACTTGCAAACCGTCTTTCCGTATGTTTACATCGTGAAGAGGCGACCCATGGCTGATTCGGTTGAATTTGTTTTTCCACTTTGTTTTTTCAATGTTTTTCTTTTAACGGCTGAGGATGCAGGACCGACTCCCATCGTCCAGGATACATCCAACAGACGGTCCGGCACTCGCTAGTCCGAACCGGCCCGCGGGTATCTTCGGATCACCCTAACACAAGAGGCCAAGTTCGGAACCAGAAAATTCGGCTCCACGGTTCACAAGTATGGTTCGCGGTGCGGGTGCTGAAGCTTAATAGGACGCGACGAAGGAAGGATTGGTACACTTTCGACCGTTTGTAAACAGCTCAAGTTTCAGTTATCCGTCGATGCAAGACCCTTCTTGTTTATACACTGCTCTCTCATCTTTGGTTCCTCATCTTTTGGTTTCTCATCTTTTGGTTGATCCCGTTTACACCGGCGAGTAGAACCCGGACCTCGCCGATCCACGGTCTGATGTGTTCGAAATGCGAGAGAAGGACTTTAATCTGGTGGAGGGCCAATATCAGAACTTGTATTATTAAATGTGGGTTGTGATAGACACCCTCCAAACCACCAAAAACAATAAGCTCTTTCTCTACTAAGAATTACGTTCCGTGCTCTAGAACATCGACTCTGCCATATCTAGGCAGTATTGAAGCTCCTTCCCGCCGCTTTGAAACAAGGTCCCCTTTGCGGTGGGTGTGGTGTATTCGCACTTTATACCAAACCCTCTCGAAACGGGGTTTCCATGCACGGATGCTACTCTAGAAGTTCATGCCCTTCATAACCAGGTTTGGGAAGAAAAAAGAAAAGTTAGCAATAATACCATAATTGACATCTAATACCCAATAATAAACCCTAATAGCGGCGTAAGAACACTCCGTTTCTTGGAGTGCCATCTCTCGTGTTCCCGGTCATCATCTTCTCCCGGAAGTAGGGAAGCTGCTCAAGACTTCCTGCTCCATTGCTTCGCCTTCCTCTATTTTTAGATGTAAAGTATCAGTGATGTGGACTCTCCACCAGAGCGTTACATGTTGCTTCACCGAACAAGATATTTCGGGACACCGACACTTTTTTTTGTTCTCGGGTTCCCCCTTCGACTAAGCCCCCTCCCAAGTTTCCGAGGCAGGGGGTCGCGAGACAGCTCACTCCGTACGATTAGGTATTGAGGGGAAAGAAGGAAGCGGGGCCGGGGTGTCTGTGGTTTAGAAGTTGCTGCAAAGAATATCCCATTGTAACCTTTAATACGCCGTATTATAGACGCCACTGCGCACGAACATCGCCGATCTGCGAATGCCACTTCAAAGTATCAGTACTTGGCAGACCCTCTTCTTGGGGGAAGAGGGGCAGAAAGAAGAAGAGAAATAGGGAGCGAGGGCGAAGGGAACCAGGAATCCTGATCCTGCCCAGGGAGACGGTGCCATCCTTCTGCCGTTTTTGTTTTATACGCAGCCACGGTTCAAGGAGACCAAGCCGGGCAGACAGGAGCGCAGCTGGCTCTGGGCACCAAAATATTTTAATGCCATGGATTTGTATCAGAGTCCTCCCCGCTTCGACGAGTTACAGAGTTAACACCTCCTGGGGAAGAAGAGACCAAGGGCTCTTTCAACTTCGTAGGGTTTATTTGGAATTTGTTGAGGGGGGATGGGGGAAAAAGATCAGTTTCCGCTCGTTCCCCGTTACCGCCCAGGGGGGCGTTACCAGAGAATAGGCACAGCCCGGAGCTCTCTGACTAATTTACCCTACTGCTCGTGTGTCGTCATCCTTTGTGCCCCTGTCATGATTGCGATTACGATCAGTTACTTCATAGTCCCCGGGAGGTTCTGATTATAATACTCCCGTGGCTACAAGAATACTGAGTGTAACGAAGGGACCAGACCTGGCCTAGAAGCCCCAGTTGAACTAATAGTCGTGGCAGCCAAGGAGCTACTGAGATGGGTTATCCTCTTTTCATACCATCTCCTGTCTCATGTGAGCATCGAACGGGGAATCCAACAGCGAGATATTCTAGCTGTGCGATTTTAATACCATACTAGTAATATTGCGTCGCCGTACGAAGTATAGTCCGACCATTTTCCTAACCTTGATATTACTTCGTAACGTCATGGCAATAGTCTACGAAGTAGAATGTTGAGCTATGAATAGTTCTGTACAAAGTGGTTTTGGCCGGTAACTTTTTTTTGCCAGGCTGATTCAATTGGACGTTGAGGGCATGGACGAGATTGACCTGTTCGCCTGAAGTTTGTGGCTGCCCTACGAAACACAGTGGATGGAAACGGGAAGAGCGGTCTGGTGAGCTTGGGTGTACTGTTTGCTCAACCAACTAAAACGACGAAGTACACAGGTACTAAGCCAATTGATCGGTTGATGCGGTGTAGTTACTAACCAGCCAGGCGTCCAAGTTCAAGCACCATGATCGAGCCTGCCGGTTGAGTCTAAAGGGAGATCTTGATCGCCGCTACTCATTCGACAAGCCACCTTGACGTCGTACATGTACATCAAATGATTGATGGAAACTGCAATGATCAATCAAATCGAAGATTGAGGGTCTTGATTGATACCAATGTATTGAGGTACACACGAGTTGGGGCCTACGCAGGTACGAAGTAAATGAATTGATATTACTATTCGTGGGTAGCAGATAGCAGGTGCACCTTCTCTTAGCGTCCCCAACGATCTGGCTGGGTTTCGAAGTATGGATGGGGTGGGTGTACACTACAAAAAGCTACAACTATTAATACCTTGTGAAGTAGGAAGTAATCATTCGCAGAACCCGAAGTCCCACACCCTGAGCCGCGCTAGTCTCCCCAAATCCTTTGATCTTCAAGGCAGCTGCGCTGGAATCTTCGTTCAACCGGTCTGTTCCGGTCAATGTTAGCCTATGGAGGACCAAGTACGAAGTACTTCGTAGGGCATGGCGGGCCTTTAAAAAAAAAAAAAAAAAAACCGCTCTTGCTGCCAACGGGTCCCGTAGAATTTTCTCTACGCTCTCATCCACCCGACTGGACAGCCGTATACGAAGTAGCTCGCTCCGTCTCCTCGATCTGGTTCATCATCAGCTGGCTCTCATAAAATGCTATCCGCGATTTGCCCTCCCATTTGCCCTTGGGCTGCATCGCGCTAATGCACTTCATTACTAGTAGTGGATTCTGAGACAATGAGTTTGGAGTATAGTATCCAAGTACACTTGCTTGGTCGTGTACTTTTATCCTCCTCGACGCTAGCGTGGTACCGAGAACCTGGTCTCTAAAATCTTCACCAGTGCTGCATGCACTAGGGAGGAGTGGCTCTTGTCGATCTTCAGAGCCGGGGCGAATGGAAGAAAAAAAAAAAAGCTCAATATTCCCGGATCGTCATGCTTTCGCAGATGAGGATGCCCCGCACTTCAATTCCAGACTTTCACCCCAGAATCTTTATGGTCTGGGTTGGGCCAGACGCCTCCAAAATGTAGAGGTACATTTCCTCAACTTACAACCTCAAATCTGTTGAAGTAGTGTACCTCCTGCTGGCAACTCATCCACTGCTCCGAATTGAATCCTCTGAGCGTCTCCAAAAGGGTTTTGGTGTGAAAACCCTAGTTAAGAGTGACCACCAGGGTACCTACGAAGTATTCCTCCGCCAGGCGAGTGAATCCGCAACAAGACGCCTTCGATTTTGAAACTCCAACCTGCCGAATCCTTCCCGAAGACCAGGGACCAGTACCGCCGAGCTGGTTAGACACCCCCGCCTCGCACCTGCACTCGCACTCACGCTTCACACACACTTTGCCTCCCCCAGCCTCTGTGGGTTTGTAGTTTTGGAATACACTTCAATGCATGAAATCTTGGTTTCTTAGCAGATGCAGGCCTGCCCTATGCTCCACAAAGTTGACCTCCTTGTTGCAGGGCCTGAGATTGTCAGTACTGATAGTACTAGTGTACTTCGGACTTGCGAGTGTAGGGGCTACTTGAGGGCACTACCCCAGTCTCAACCTGTTGCTTCGTTTCTTCACCGGTTGAACAGTGATATCCTTGATCCTTTTGTTCTTTTTTTCCTCGCGAGAAGTCTGAACGTTGATGCCCAACGAGCTTCGACAGTGCATAATATCTTGCAAATTTTAGCAGCCCCCCCAATTCGGCGCTTTCGACTTGAAAGAGCATAGCGTCTTGGGGAGTGCAACCTGTTACCAGAAAACGAGCATATCTTCGTATACCATCTCCTGGGCTCCAAAGCCGGCTTTCGGAGGAGAAACAAATCAGCCGCTCTTCTTCCCACTTCCAATTTTAGCTCACCAGGAGGAGACGAAAGTGATGTGTAGAGTGCTGGAATCCACTTGACTTCGGAGGTTTTCACGCCTAGCGTGCGTAACGAAATTCTCAGTACCTTGCCGAGGTAAGCATTTGCACGTTTTCTTGAATAATAGGATTTTGACCAAGTCTCGCCCATAGTAATCACGTACTTTGTCCATCCTCTCTCATGTTATGGAACAACATGGATAAGAACAGGGCCAACTGCTCTGCAAAGGATTCGTCCTCACCTTATTTCCCCCTGCACCGGAAAAAAGAGATAATGATGGAAGACAGCGTGATGAATCAAAATATCCAAGAAAAAAGGTCGAAAAAAAATTCAGAAAGAAAGAAAAAAAAAAAAAAAAAACCAGCGCCAGTGCATGAGTAGTATACTTCCGCAAAACGCCAAATATCCTCTTGCCCGTGGGGACCATCTCCTGTTTCTGCTCTAGTAGATGACTTGGCTGTCTAACATAAAATCATGTCCGTTCCCTGGCCTTTTTGTCCCTTCGCGAACCCACTAGCCAAAGCTCGAGCCTACCTGAGGCGAAACTGGGAAATAACACAATAATTTACGCCTCGACTCCCCAAACAATGCTGCAACTCCGCTCGCCGCTCGACTTCCAAAGTCGGAAGCGCAATATCAACTAACTGGTCCATAGCGTATGCATTGCACACGCACACGCACACACACACACCAAACACCAGGTGCCCAAAGTCAAGGAAATAGAGGGAGGGTCAGCTGTCACTTTCCCGTAATTTAGTGCAATCCATTCCATTCGGGGTATCATCTCTCGTATCCACGTAGCAAAATTCTCCACCAGATCAGACCTTTCGGGGGCGGGAGGGGAACGGAAAGAAAAGAGAAATCACAAAAGAAACTGATCATGCCTAGGCAAGACCATTGAAGCAACACAACAGCAGAGCGTAAATGAGCGGTGACAAAGAAAAAGAAGAAGAAGAAGAAGAAACCATGAGGCCTGCCTCACCAGAACCTAAAATAGACACCGGATGGAGGAAAACGGAAGCGGCGGCTGCCATACCGAGGCATTGGAGCAAAGAGCCCAGTGCCGCTTGAGATCTTATCGCGGAGAGTGGGTCATAGTTGAAGGAACAAACGGAGGGCCCGACAAACGAAGGAAGTGGGGAGGGAACCAAAACTGCATGTCCTCCGTGGGGCCTTTTCTTCAGACTCGCTGCGAGATCCAAGGGCTTCCGGAAAGAATGTGGAAGAGAGCATCCTGCGACCTTAGGACACTTCCTTAATGGGGATGTTGCTGCAAAGCAATAAACAGGTCTGGGAAGGGAGGACTGGCATGCTTCACCCGAAACATGGCCTTGCTTAGGGGATCAGACCGACCACAACTCCTCGAGCGAGGGCTCTGTATCGGAGAACTTGAGTGTCAGACAGGGGAAGTCTGAGGCGAATGCACAATGAATAGATCGGTGAAGTACCGGTGTGCATCCACGACTCGAGCAACATCCAGAGACTCCTCTTCAACCGCGAGTAAATTTAAGGGGATGGTTGGTGGAAGACCTCCGTTTATGACCCGCCGCTCGGACCAGCCTCATCTCCAGATTCGCAAAGATCGAGGCATTCGGTGAGCACTGGGCGCAGCACTCTGTCAGTCACTCTAATAATTCTCGGGCAAACCTTTCACTTGCTACCCCCAAACGAGCGCATAGTCGATGCACACACTTACCCGTAATGATTTGCTCCTCCCAAACCCCATACTGGTAGTCCACGAGCCCATGCCTCTCAATGCCGTCGCAAAGCCTGACGAGTTCTTTTCCCATCTTTTCCAAATCGTCCTTGGATAGTAGGCTGTCGGCTCCCCGAGGTTTTTGTTCCGACTCCGTCATGTCTTTCTGCTTCTGGAACAGCCCCAGCCATGCATGGTTGAAGTTGTTCCATAGTTTGAGCCGATCTGCATGGAGGGTTCGGTCGTCGACATTGAGGCCTGCCAATCATAGGTTACATCCTGGTTAGTTTGGCGAACAGACAATGGTTTTTTTGGAGGGCAAAGACAGATCATGGACAGAAAGGGGGTGCATGCAACGAAGTGGGATGTGCCTGCATGTGGTCCATGCATTGCATGTACACTACCAAAAAGGTAGTGATTGTGAGTGACAGAAATTGTAACATACCCAAATCCACAACTTGTGTCAACAGCCAATTAGAGACTCCCAAAAGTGTCTCACTTGCCCTTTTCAAGGATCCACTCCGAATATCCTGAAATACGGTTGCCAGTCGGGTTTGGTAGTCGGCCCACCGCTCTTCCATTCCTGGTCCTGCTGTTGCATAGTCGGATTCCTCAACGCCTACACCTGCTGTCGTAGCCTGGGAGCTCCCTAATCCCGCTCCAACGGAAGGCACTGCACCCGAGAAAGTTGGCATTTGCTGTTGTTGCTGGTACGCACTAGAGGACTGGGCAGCTGGTAGAGCGGACGCTGTGGCTCCCGAACCAGTATCGGACTGGAAGTACTGGGGCACTTCGCTGGGCATCATCGACATGGCTCCGCCCTGGCGACCTTGGAATTGCTGGGACGTGTCGTAGGGATTCTGGGCGCCCGTCTGGCTGACTGGATACATCATATTGGGGTTATAAGCTCCGAACGTCTGCTGCTGTCGCGTATCATGACTGTAATCCGCTGATTGGTATGGCATAGCGGCCTGGGAGAGGCCCGTTCCGGGGAAGGCTGACGCCGAATCCTGATAGTATCCGCCATAACCACTCGTTCCACCCAGTCCACGAGTCGCTGACGTGTTGAGCGGCGCTGGCCGAAACCGCTCAGTCGCACTGCCTGCCATGTTGCGCCGAGATTGCTGGGGGTCTTGTAGTGGATACCGGGGGTTGTTTACGCCGTGAACAGGCGGTTCATTCTGCCTCCTACGATTATGGGGGTCGTCCATACCCCGCGGAGCTTCGTGTTTCCGAAGCTTGTATCGGTATGCAAACCTCGAGCGTATGTGTCAGCCGTGAGAGACAATCAGACACCCAACTAAACCAAGGGGGGGGCGCTGTGGTTTGAAAATGCCAGTTGCGCAGACTCCAAGGACGGCCGCCGGTCGAGTAGAGGTTTCGCAAGAGTCGTCAGGTGGCTCGAGAATGACGCCGCTCCTAAGTAGTCGACAAATAGTCGGCGCCCACGTGTGATTTCAAAAGATACCGGTACCTCCACTTAAGAAAGAAGAAGGCGCAAGGATATGTGGCGATAAACGCTTTGGCTAGACTCCGCTAGGAAAAAGACGCCGGCTCGATCAAACGATGGAGGCGACGAGAGATGTTAGTCAAGGAATCGAGTCAGAGACTCGTCGCGAAATGCGCGCGAAGGAGAAGGCCAAAAAAAAAATATCGAGGAAAAAATTGCGGGAAGTTAAAGTCGAAACGATGTTTAGTCGGTGTGGTGGGGGAGATCCAGGGATATATCGAGTAAAAGTCCGGCTGTCGAGATCGGGTGCAACCTTAGTCAGGGGTGCCTCTGGCTCTAAGTCTGGAGAAGAGAAGAATGGCTGGGCGCAAGTTAGTTTATATGACAAGGCGCCGCCTTTTCTCAGGAACGGCAAGAGGTTGAAGGACAGATGAGGTAGGGTCTAGCCGACCGAATGACCTATCCACACGAAGTGGAGGTAGCCGTCGTATTTAAAACGTCCTCCCACAGACTCGCACACCGTACTAAGATATTCCTGGCGCCACTTATGGGCCAGATAGTGTCTCGTTGGAGGCTGACCGATATTGGTGTCTTGTGGGATAGCTTCAAATTCTCCGTTAGATGGGGTCACACCATCCCCAGGCGTAAGCTGTCGTAGGACTGGCAGGAGAGACGACTTCCTGATCAGACCGCGCACCGAGATGGTAGGTTTCCACTATATGGATGGGTCCCTGGTCCGGCTATTGTCGTGATAGTCGTGAGGATGCGACAACGGCTGAACTGGCTGCAGCGGATGGCAGGTTTCGAGCAGCTTCTAAGACCCCAGGCCACCGGGGGTTTGAGCTACGCACACGGGAGAGCAGATATAAACCGTAAAGGTAAGGAAGCTAGTGGTTGTGGAAAAGGATATGACGGTGGAACGAAAGTAGAGGGGCTAGTTGGGACGCCGAAGGTTGCAAGGAGTGTAGGCGTGAGAAAGGGAAAAGCTTCTTATTGTAAGTCTCGTTCATGGATTACTGCAGGTTAGGCAAGATGCGAAATATTTGTGGGAGAGCGATGTCGAAGGACTGAAGGGCATTAAGAGTCAACAGATTAGTCCGCGTAGATGTAGGATGTAAATGAAACAGATCTCGTCCGGGTGGAGTGAAGGCGAAGAGGACTACCGGGGGGAAGAAAAGAAAAAAACAAAAGAAGAAGAGAGGGTGATCGAGTGCGCTGCATGGAATGGTACTAGCAATCTCCACCATCGATGCACGACGAGTCGACAAAACTCGATATTACTCGTAGGGCAAGATGGGGGCAAGCCATGCGACTAGGTGAAGGTTACAGTAGTGTAGTCGCGCAGTCTATGTTGTAAGGTGGAGGAGTGCATGCGTGTATGTTCATGGAAATCAGAGGGGGAGGGGTGTCTTGGTGTGGTGTGGATCGAAGGCGGGGAGGGGGGGGGAGTCTGGATGGCTCCCTCAGGGTACGGAAGAATATGGAAAGAAGCTACGATTTGCTTGGCCTAGGGTCAGGAAGGAAGGGGGAAAAAAAGAAGCATGGAAGACCTTGACTTGTCCATGACAAGGCAAGAACGAAACCGGGCATGTTGTACTTGTATACTGTACATCAACAAACGAAGTACATACGGACATCCAGAGAGACCAACAGCAGTGTACACGACAGCAGGGGAAGGTTCTAGGGGTGGCCTGGCTTTGGATAATGCGGGTAAGGAAGGAGCAGACAAGATAATATCCGCGCTGGAGTGGACCAGGCAGGGTCATGGTATGGAAGGCAGATCAGAGCTGGCTGGCTTAAAACCCGAACCGCCCAACAGCACGATAATCCTTACAGGCTGCTGTACGTAAGGTGATACGTACAAGTACATCGAGTACACTTCGCTCGATGCAAGCAGGCGGGGCCCTAGCATGGCATGTTGGAGGAACATGGAAGGCCTTGACACTTGCCGAATGGGATAGGACGGGGAAAAATGGGAAGGAGAGACTAGTAACGAATTTGTGGAGCTGCGAGTGTGTCATGAATGTAGTGTAAGTGCAAAGACCACAAAGTGCAGAATGCAAGAGTGCAGGAACCAGGCATGTGCAGATGCAATGCATGAGGATGAGCCCCCTTCTCTTCCCCTCCATGTCACGCACTCTAGAACATTGCGAGGCACTGTTTCGAGGTACGGGCTACTGTAACACTGGATCTGTAATGCCCATCGAACAACGTATGAAAATCGACGTGCCACTTACCTGCCCCCCTGAGGCTAGCCTAGTTTTATTGCGTGTTGTGAGAGCAGCCGACTCAAGCGGGGCGGGCGCTTTGGCCTGGCTTAAGATTGATTTGATCGTTTTGACGTGTTGCGGTGGTCTTGTGAACTCGCAATTTGCAAGACAATCCAGCGCCGGACAGAATGCTAGTGGGCAGTGGTGGCTGATTTCATTCCTAGCGGCCTTGGCTCATATTAGTCGTAACCTCCCATTACTTGAAGCGTGGCGTTTTGGTTTGGCAGAGACTTCATCGCTCAATGTTGCAGACGGGAGGGTGCTCGGTGGTGTTGTGTAGTGCAAGATGTGGAGGATCTGCCGTCAATGTTGTCTCTATATTGTACAGGTACAACAGGTACAAGGTTCGAGACGGGTGTCCGTCAGTGTAGATGAGGGTCGGAAAGGCATGTTGGGGCTCTTCTCCTACCGGATGATAGTCTAATCAGCAGCCGGGCGATTGAGAAGTCCGCCGGGCTATTTCCTCATACGAAGTACATACCCATATATCTGCGCTAAGGAAGTAGCGGCTTTGACGACTAAGGTGGGGGGACAGGAGAGACTGTTGGATAGCCGTGGCGAAAAAGGCGCGATGGTGGATATAGTGAACGCATACAGCCGTACTGATGGAAGGTGGCTTACAGGGCGGGGGCAGGTGCGTGGGGAGTAAAATGGATATCATGAATGGCTTGGTGAGATGAAGGAGAAACAGAATCACTTACCGTGATGGGACGTGGTCAGATGATGCGAGTAGACTAGTCCGGGATGCACAAACGAGAAGGGCCGTCAAAGGGTAGAAATCCAAGGGAACGAAACAAAAAGGTCAGAAACTCTGGTAATCCTGTATTCATGCGAACTGCTGTGGAGCTTGACCAAGATCAAATGTTGGTGTGAGGTGGATCAATCCGACGGGGTTACGACGGCTCTCCCCTTACCACCTGGCGTGATCGCCTCTGTGGCTGGCAACCCAGCGTTCGTTGATAACTTAAAAATAAGTTTGGCTCATAGTAATCGAACTGAGGACAGGCTAACCCCTGCTTCGGAACGAGGTCGCGTGGTTAGAGTGGATCTGAGCTATTCTGGTGGAGGGGAAAGGATTTGGCACAGCCTCTTGTAAGTTGGCGCAAAGTGAGCATAGGGGTCAAAATGATCTCTTAGTTTGGAGACTTGGAGTAACAAGTGACCTCTGCGCTCTCTCCGGCAGTGGAAGAGGGCATCAAATAGATCGGGGCCCTCTGCCCATCCTGGTCGATTTAATTCATTGCCATCTGCTGTCTTCCTGCATTGGTATTGATACGCACAAGATTCCTGGGCAGGGTCGAATCGATCAACTCCCAAACCCCCTTGCTTAATAACTTGACGTGGCATGTTTCGTATACACTGGTAACTTGAGGCGTATCCAAAGATATGACGTTCTAGTTCTTGTGTTTGATTTCTACCATGGCAACGCCAGAGCCCAACCTGGGACAGACGGCCTGGCCGGTGTAAGAGAAGGTGGTGAGTTCACTGTTGTAAACCAGCCAGGACCAGACCAGACCACGTTTACCGCATGATGGCAGATTTAAGGGGCGTGCCGACTCTAACTTCGACCGGTTCCATTTCCGGCTCCTGTTCACCCACAATGCCATGTGGTCCGGCTCGTTTTGGTTCTCTAAGGTAGCCTTTCTCTTGTTGCGCCTAAACTTTAAACTTGGCTGCGACAAAAGTGCTGGACCAGCAATCCATGCCCATCCAAACATGAACCAGCCAGGCATTATTTGGACATCGGGTTCAGAAGGGTTCGGCCTAAATTCGGCTGCTACTATTACAATCTCCGACATGTAACATCGCATGTGCGTAAATTGCTGTTTTGCTGCCTTTTGCCTGGTCCGTCAAGGCGACAGCCGGGGAAGCCGATGGTGTGGAAGTGGGGATTGGAGTTGCTGCGACCAAGACGCGAACCTCACCTCCACTCTTCCGGACTACTTCGTAGCAGCCGGTGTTCTAGAAAGAGTCGCGAAGCCGCGGAGCGTAACAGCTCCAGGATAGTAGGATAGTACGAGACACGCGCTACTTCGCCCGGTAGGGACATTCCGTACCTACCATTTCTAGCTTGGTGTGCTAAATGGATGCTAAATGGAGAAGTGGTCCTCTCCCGAAGACACTGCAACCAAGAAATGCCAGAAGCTGCCTCTCAGCTCCTCGATAACTGGCTTCTAGGGTAGTAAGCAATACGAAGCAGGCGTGTTGGCACCATTCAGTATCACCATCAGCATAATCATGGAAGGTATCGGGGACGTCGGTGATCTAAAAGCGGCCCGCGGTGTCTAAGTAGCAAGCGCAACTCCACCAGCATTCCTGATGGGTGGACCTCTCGTCACGATAATTAGGCGAATGAAGGGTCACGAGAATAGATACGAACGATTATTCGATATCTCGCGATCCACTTGGTCCTGCGCGAAATATCGTGTTCGAGGAATTGGGGGAAGATGGATGCGGCTGGACGATTCACTGACTGCCCGCTTCTGGGACGGCATTGGGCTGGACTAGTGCGCCCTCCCTCCCATTCCCATGCAAGACAGATGGCCCACATCCTCTTTTCCCCGATGTCAAGTGTCAGAGGCCGGGCAACTGCGGCGAGATAATTTCTCCGCGCGCACGTTTGCTCCTGCGACCGCCGAACAGCTATCAACAAGACCCGAACGACGAAGTGGTACGAAATACTTCAAGACACTGGAGTGGAAAGCGACAGGGGATCCCAACAATGAATGATCCAAGAAAAGAATTACAAAATTGGAGGGTCGAGGAATAAACAGGGGAGGTCTCTTAACCTCCGATGTCTGAGGGGGGTGTCCTGGTCAGGGGAACCAGCAATCAAGTCGAGGGAATTTTTTTCCCCCCAAAAAATTGCTGCCATTCCTCCCAGCTTGCGTAATGATTAGGAGCCAAAGTACCAGTACTCGGGCAGAGGGCAAAGAAGCCCAGAAGATGAGAGGATGATGGCGGGGGTCTCTGTGTTGTTTAAAATAAGAACCTTGAACCATGTCGGAAGGCAGGGGAAATCGTAGTTCGAATGGAGTGTCGTCGAAAGAAGCCGAGTATCCCTTAGCCAAAATGACCGGGGTTCTGGCTCCAATGAAACACGACGACCCATCGATTGCATGGGGTGGGCTTGGTATCGAGGTACCTCGATACATCATACATTAGCTCATCGATACAGCTGCCCTTTTCCCCATGTATTCTCCGGTGGGAGCAAATGGTAACAGTTGTACACAGGTAACTTCGTGCTTGTACGAAGTAAGGCAAGAAGGGTCTGACCCCGCGACTCAAGGATGGTATGTCTAATGTGGTGTAGTACGAGTCCAGCTGGCAGTAGATGCAGAGGAGCAGAATAACTTGCGACGCACAGGTTATTGCATCGCGGAAGGTCCAATTTGATTGATATCAAAAATGTCAATGGGGAAATGTGATCATGTGTGGGTACGTTGGACCAGGACTGCCGGCAGGAAAAAGCTTCAAAACACTGTGCGAAGAAATCAGATTATGCTGCCAGGTACCTACCCGGGAAGCTCCCTCCACGCAAGCCAATTTTGCCAATCAGCCGCCGTCGATCTGGCGTGGGCTCTCGGAAAACCCTCCGAAAGAGGGCGTTCTCTCCGGTTCTCTTAGTGTCTTGGCCCCGTCCCTGGTCGAGCGGAATGTCTGGCGCTAGCATCTTGAATCTCACACAAGCCTGCTCGCATATCGTACTTACATCTTGCATGATCTCACTTCTTCTTTTCCGCTGTACATCAATGTATACTAGGATATGTATTCTCACTATCACAGTTGAGCGGAAGGATCGAATGTGAAGCCCACACTCTGACGCGCATGTGACAGGAGGGTCCGTAAGATATCGTCCTTTGACATGAATGGTTACTGGCAGGAACACCTTTGCCGTTTGCATGCGGAAGGCAATGTAAGCCCATCGCCGTTGCCCTTCCGAGTCCCCACTTCCTTAGTCCCACCTTCCGTCGGAACCGCCCCAGACTTTCTCCAAATTCGTGAGTTTTTAATGAGGAACTCGCTACCGCGGTCACGACCGAACAGGATTGTAACGTACGAAGTACAGTCTTGTGTCGTCGGATGACGTGCATGACCCTGGGGATTCTGCAGCTTATTTGCATTTTTGTGTTTTGCTACCTTTTCTGCGAACTTGGGGTTCCATACAACTTTATACGGTTGCGCACCAGAGAGGTTCAGGATCGATGGTACGTAACATGACTTACAACTTGGCCTGTCTGAATAACTAAGGAAGTATTATTATAATACACATGCACCAACAGGGACTTGCTTTAAACGGCACGGGGGCTTACTGCAAGTGACTTGTTTCACACCCCGGACGGCACAGAGCGAGATAATGGAGGTCGATATCAAGACACGATAATACTATTCGTAGTAAACAGTCAGAGTCTTTCGTGGTGGATGAGGAAATCCATACGAAGTACGCCTGGGAAGGTCGATGTATCTGAGTAGATCTCAGCCTAATGATGAACAGCCGCCACTAGGCCCGTAGATCCTGGATACGACGGTTGCAGTGAGGTGTCCACATCCCATCTTCACACGCAGCGCAGCTGCACCGATCGCCACGATCAGCCAGCTCGAGCTGGGGAAAAAGAGAGAGAGAAAGGAATTTAAAAAAAAAAAAAAAAAGTTTGCGAAACTGGTCCTAGTTATTTTATTACGAAAAAGGAAACATCTATCAGGCATTTACGGAGATGCCGCGAGGCATGGATATAATGACAACTTGGCGCTCGCAACCTGGTTTAAGCATTTCCCCATTCTAAAGCACTGATCTCATACAATGCATATCGGAAAATGCGCTGCGGCTCTATCGAAGAAAGATCAGGCGCGGAATAATAACAACAGAGTGGCTTCTGAAACGCTGGTCCATTCCTGCAGCCCCTCAAATCATTCGAGAACGTTTCTATGGACCGTGATGCCACATCAAAACTAAGGGTCTGTGCTCTCGGTTCCCCGTCATATTAAGGAATTAACAGGCCGGCATGCATGTCGAGTCATGCTGATGCTGTTGCGTTGGATGGTACTTTTTTATTTCCTGCCAACGGAGTGTGAGGTGTACTACATGTATGTTCGGTTGGTCGGACTCCGGGTTGCGGCTTGGATCCTGGTGGCTTGAGCCTAGTTTATATCAAGACGGTATATACGTCCCATTCTGGTCGATGGAATGTGAGCACTCACCTACAGAGTACAACCGTACAAGTACACATCCACCTCAAGGACGCAGTCAGTCTTTTTGTCCGACTGAAATCTGTCCCGCCCATCGGCCCCCCACGGCATCCCTGCACCTGCGGGAGTTGTAGTATGAAGGGTTGGCTGCTCATGCTCTCAGACTACGACGTATGCGTACTAATACTGCGTATATTGCGTATGCCATAGTCTGATTAGTTGAAACATTCTGTTCAAAAGAAGGTAAACTACTGCAAGTACTTTTGTAGAAATCGAGCCATGGTCAATACTTTAATTGTGTTTATGGGAAGATGACAGCTCAGCAACTCCGGGGCAACTCCCGGATCGACGAATCTTATGATGATTTGTTTCGTTTCGTCCTCCTCAATCTATCGAGCTTCGCAGTTCATGATGCGATGCAACCGTGGACCAACAGGATGGAAAAGTCGTATTGCCGCTTACACGTCTGTCGTACATGGGAGCGCATGGAGAACATAAATTGCTTGTATTAATCTGTTTTATAGCCATGAGCCACGAACCATGAATGCTAACCAGAGACCCCGTGTTTCCCGGTCTGACCGAGGCAGAAATGCAAGAGGATGGGGTCCGAGAGCATACGTTGATGGCGTATGCAGACGGTGTACTCATATGACTCGTGCCTGTGAGGTGCGGGAACTGCCGTCGGCAACATGGCAAAATGCGAATGTGGAAAGCGAATCCCGGATGCCACGCCCGGTTGTTATTCGGAGACGTCATGTTGCACGACATGATGGATGGGATGGCAATCCTTCAGAGGCCAATGCGCATCCCTAGCAACGGATAAATAACATTCGGGGGTAATAATAGAAAGAAAAGTAGGTTCCAAGAAACCTAGGGAGCTGGGAGCTGGGAAATAGAGAGGAGATGGCGATTCTGTGAGGAAGCAAGCGAGGAGGACGACTTGCAGATCATCGCGAAGTTGGGTAATTAGTTACTTTTAGGCGACAGAAATGGGTTTCAACATTGGGAATCACCATGTCATCGAGAATGGTTCAAGAGGTGCTTTTTTTGGTGCTGGTGCTAAATATGACATCTGGTGGTACACTGTATCTGGATATGCTGCGCTAAGATTACATTATTGCCATCAGTCATGACCAAAGAAATGGCATTGAACTGAGGCAGGATGGCGCCGCTAGCGGTGCCGTTTCCCTCGAAAACAATTCTCTTATCGCTTGACCCAGGCCGGCCTCTTCCGGGCCTTGAGGTGACCGGCCTTCTTCCTCTCTACCTCTCTTGGATCTCTCGTGATACAGCCGGCTACAAAATGGAATTGAGTTAGCGAACATCCACGACGTTAGAGAGAGACCTTTGTAGGGATGCGTATAATGATAACTCCAATACTAACCTCGTCGAAGAGCGGGTTTCAAGGCCGGCTCGTGAGCAAGCAAAGCCTTGGCCACCGCCAAAGTCATGGCCTCAGCCTGACCAGTAGGTCCACCACCTTCCACAAGCGCCCACACATTGTATTTATCCAAGCGGTTCGTAGCGTGGAGGGCCCACACCGCGCTCTCACGGTCATGGACACGGCCAAACGCCTCGGTGAGGGTCTTGCCGTTGATAAGGACCTCGCCGGTTCCCTCGACCACCCACGCCCTAGCGACAGCCTCCTTTCGCTTGCCGACACCGATAGCCCTGCCGAACTTATCGACGGGAATGGGCTTGGGCTTGTTGCTGAACGGATCGATATCCTTGGCCCAAACCTCCAAGGCTTGCGTGACCTCCTTTGGCGCGAGAGCCGGGTCGATTGTGTTTAACCGCTTCGCAATCTTGAGAGCCCTTCCGAAATGAGAGGCCTTTACGTGTTCTCCGGTGAACGCACGATAATCCTCCAGCGTCTTCCACGCGATTCTGGGAGCCTGTTGCGAGGGAACCGTCGGCAGCTCCAAGTACCTGGTCAAAAGGCCCTGGACCTTGACGAGCTCGTCGTTGAATTGGGGGGTTCGGGAGAAGTACGAGGGCGATACGGGCACCGTACGCGCGTACTTGATCTGCGATAGTTGAAGCTCGGGCGCCGCCATGATGGATTTCATGTCGAAGGCGCCGCTAGTCTCGAGCTGCGCGACGGCGTTCTGGTCGATGCTGCCGCTCTCCGTTTGGATGCCCCGGGCGAGGGGCCGCACCACGGGGACATGCCATTGTGGGCACCTAATATTCCGTAGACACCGTAATTGCCGCGTTGAAGCACCGAAGACGTTCATTGTCGTGAAAGTCTTGCCGTCGAGGCTTGTCACGAGATGCTGGGTGCTTGCGAGCCTTCTCACCAGAGACATGAGAATTTCTTTCTCGGTTCAGGGACTCCGAGGTGGACCGTGCGTGGTTTCGAGGTCAAGCCACACAAGGCCGTTGCCAGGCCAGAGGTCAAGCCACGGAAGCCACCACGTTGCAAGTTTATGACACACTTGCCCAGCCAAAGCTCTGGCGTGCTGTGCGGGGAGATTAGAGGTGGGACAAGCTGTCCAGATTTTCTTTTTTCTTCCCTTCTGCTGCCTCCTCAATTTTTTTTTTCCAAACCTCTCCCTTCTTCTCCCCAACACCATCCCACTTCCCTTGCAAAGACTCCTCAATAGTCAATTGTTTCAAGGAAGTTTTGTTCAAAATGCCTTTCGGAAAGATCTTCACTTTCCCTGTGAGTTCAGCTCTATCTTCCTTTCTTTCTCTTTTCCCCTCTTCCTCGTCGTGATGCCCTAGCCATCGAGAGCCGGTTACTGATGCCGAACTTGACACCCCTCAGGAGAACCCCCGCACCACCGGCATTCTTGCCGTGGCGAAGGCGAACGGTCTCGATCTCGAGGTCGTCGAGGCCGAGGCTGGCAACCCTACTGCTGAGCACCAGAAGGCCAGCAAGCTCGGAAAGGTTCCTGCCTTCCTCGGTGAGGACGGCTATGCTCTTTCCGAGTGCATTGCCATCGCCATCTACAGTAAGTGTTGACAAGATCTTTCCTAGCTGTCTTGATTCTGTTCTCTGCAAAGCAGAGGCTTCTCTTCCCCTTAACATGATGACCAATCTACACTTTTACAGTTATCCCTATCCGAAACCCTCGTGTGGATACCCCAAATCTGATTTTTCTCGGGAATATTGGCTATTGTTTTTTTTCTCATTTGCAAGGTTATTCGAGCCATGTGTTGACCACGTTATCCTACAGTTACTTCCCAGAACGAGAAGACTACCCTCTTGGGTAAGACCAAGCAAGAGTGAGTGCCCCCGCACTGAAGCAGGAGCCAGCGATTCAAGTTGCTGACCTCTCTTTTTCTTCCCAAACAGCTATGCCTCTATCCTGAAGTGGCTCTCTTTCTTCAACACCGAGGTCCTTCCTCCTATCGGTGGCTGGTTCCGACCCCTCGTTGGCAAGGACCCCTACAACAAGAAGGCCGTTGAGGAGTCTTCCAAGAAGGCTCTTAGGGCTATCGCCGTTGTCGAGGAGCACCTCCTCCACAACACCTACCTCGTTGGCGAGCGCATCACCCTCGCTGACTTCTTCGCTGCCGGAATCATTTCCCGTGGCTTCCAGTTCTTCTTCGGCAAGCAATGGCGAGAGGAGAACCCCAACGTAACCCGCTGGTTCCAGACCATCGTGGCCCAGCCCGTCTTCGACGCTGTCAAGACCAAGTATGACCTTCTCGAGGTCCCTGCCCTCACCAATGTAGCCCCCAAGGCTGCTGCCAAGCCCAAGGAGGCTAAGCCCAAGGAGGCCGCTAAGCCCAAGGCTGCTCCTGCCGCCGAGGCCGAGGAGGCTCCCAAGGAGGCTCCCAAGCCCAAGCACCCCTGCGAGGCTCTCGCCAAGCCCAGCGTCCCTCTTGACGAGTGGAAGCGACAGTACTCCAACAACGAGACTCCTGATGCCATGAAGTGGTTCTGGGAGAACCTCTCCTTCGACCAGGACTACTCTCTCTGGAAGGTTAAGTACAAGTACAATGACGAGCTCACGCTCACTTTCATGTCGAACAACCTTATCGGTGGCTTGAACGCCCGCCTCGAGGCTTCCCGCAAGTACGTCTTCGGCTGCGCGTCGGTCTACGGTGAGAACAATGACTCTATCATCCAGGGTGCCTTTGTCATCCGTGGTCAGGAGTACCTGCCCGTGTTTGACGTCGCTCCCGACTATGAGAGCTACGAGTTCACTAAGCTCGACCCCACCAACCCTGAGGACCGCAAGTACGTCGAGGACGAGTGGACCTGGGAGCGTCCTCTTGTCATCGATGGCAAGACGTATCCCCATGCCGCTGGCAAGGTCTTCAAATAAACTAGTAAAACCCCCTAGTTCGTTTACGTTAGTTTAGTTTAGGTAGGACTTCTGCTGCTGGACTTTGTCGCCAGGGAGGAGTAGGATGAGACATGGTAAGGGAAAAGGGAAGGGTTATGGTCGGTAAAACAAAAGGGAAGGGCAGGTTAATGGGAATAACGAGTTTGGCCTTGACTGGTCCAACATGAAATGATGTGTACATATGAGGAACGCGGACGGCATGGGCGCGTCTGCTAAACGAAGAGACGAGATGAATAACAAAAGAAACATGGCGATGCAAGCAGTTTTCAAAGTGAATTTCCATGTGCTCATTTCATAACTATAGTGAATTGGTCCCTTTCTCCCTTGGCATATATGGCTACCACTTGCCGTGCCCAAATGCAGAACAAAAGAAACAAATTCATTGGGTATCTCCACGGATTGAAAACGAAACTAATTTAGAAGCCATCCCACTCGGGACTATACCGCAGTAGGTACCCCAGCATCTAGACACCCTTTAGGCCTGGGGCCTGAAGGGGCTAGATTGGATGTACCTGCTGACATCCTCCTGGTAAGACAGCTTCTCCAGGTACTCGTGCACCTGGTGAAGAATATCGGACTCGCCCAAGCTCGGGACGAAGCTCGGAACGTCGATATGGTTGAAAGGCTCCGACTTGGCCTTCTCGGCCGAGTCGTCGATCAGGACCGTGTTGGTCTGGTCCCAGCGAGCTCGGAACTCTGCGTTGGGATGCGCTCCGACAATGCTCTGATCGCTCCAGACAGTCTTGAGGCGCTTGTAACACTGGACGCGCCTGTTATAGGAGTCCGGAGGCAAGTTGAAGCGGTCTCGGTCCCAGACGGCGACGATGCGCTCGCGCACATCGGGGGGAAGCAGCTTATCGCACATGGCCTGTACGTTGCGAGGTTGTGCGGAGGACCAGATGACAACTGTGAAGTTGTCGACGCAGGAGCGGACGAACTCCTCGGCCCAGGGGCGAGCCGTGAAGCTTGTGGGTTTCTTGGACGCCTTGGGTCGGTAGAGGAGGGTGCCGTTGAGATCGAGGATGACGAGGAGGTTCTGCCTGGCGGTGGTCGGCATGACGGGGAGGTGGGCCTGGGCGATGTACTCGGGCATGGGGACCGGGACCATTTTCGGGTCCTCGCCTAGATAGATGACGGACTCGGGGTGGCGAGGGATGCTGGGATCGATCTTGCGGATCTCGCCGAAGCTCATGCTAGTGGCTACCTTTGAGTTTCGCCTCATCTTCTTTTTGGACTTGCGTCCTTTGATTTTAGGGGCGTTGGGTGGTTGGGCCTGGCCGTGAGGCGGGTTCGAGTTTTGTTCCTCGGGTTGGGAGACGTTCGCAGTTGAACAAGAAGGTTCAGCAGCGGCGTCTTGAGGACTGAGAGGCAAGGTAGAGGACGTCTCGCCACTCTGTTGTGTCCGTTGGTCAAGGGCTTGGGACTGGTTCTGCCTCCTCTTCTTCTTCTTCTGCTTCTTGTTGTGGGGAGACTTCTGATGAGATGGTAGAGTCGAGACATGTCCAGTGGGAGGTGACTGGGACACATTGCCATTGTCATTGACATTGGGATTGTGTGCTCCAGAAACATTGTGGTTATGACCATGAGCCTTGGCTCGATGATGCGTGTTAGGATTTCCATGCTGGGGCAGTGAAAGGACTGCGTGTAGGTCGCCATCTCCTTGGGATCCAATGGGGATTGGGTTGGGATTGTTGTGAGTGTGTCGCTGGCATTGGCGATGCTTTGACTTTCTCTTAAAGACAGCCATTTCTGCTAATGGATCTAAGATACCCTCAGATGTGGAATAGCCCAAGTCGTAAGTTAGTTGTTCACTTGTTGTGATTGCTATTGCAGAAGTAGAGGTGTGGTTTCTAGGTGGTTTGTGGTGTGTCTTGAGGGAGACTCCCTCTGTTGCAGTATTAAGGTCTTGCTGCATCATAGAGGGTTTCCCAAGGCGTGATTTCTTTCTGAGATATGCTATATTTCTAGAGGAAAGAATGAACGGGAACCCATTTCTAGAGAGGCTAGGAGGCCTATGGATGTGGAAGCAATGGCGACCCAGTGGTGATGGGGTGGGAAGGGCTTGCCACAATTGACGATGCTCTGGGGAGGGTCTTAGTGAATGAAGAGATCTGGCTAGAGTATGCTTGCACATCTAAGACGAAGAAAAAAATGGAAGTAAAGAAGTGAGTGAGAATAGTTGGCAGATATAAAGACGCGCCTTTTCTTTCTGTGGAGAGAGGAGGGTGAATGAGTGAAGTTGACTTGATATAAATGCCATACAAAAAAAAAATTATAAAAATGGAGAATTCTGGCTCTCAAAGTGTACCAACTACTCTGGAGAAACGAGCCGGAAAAGTTTGGCCTGCTGCAGATCAGAATTGGTCTTTGCAATTGTGTTAGCCTCGATTTAGTCAGCTCAGAATCATTTACCACCCAACGACTCGGACGAATGAATTGTCTTCACGCATCCATCACTGTTAACACTACGAGTATATCTTTCTGGTCGAGGGACAGGGCCAAAAAAAAAAGGTATGGAAAAATGAGAGACCTGCCCAAGTCCATGCTGCACGCCTCTTAGCAGAGGACTGTGGGTTTTCCGAGCCAGGTAAATTCCGCCACGAGATGGTGTTCGAATGGGCTATACCCAAGGAGTATGTGCTACACAGAGTCTCCCTACAGACTTTGATGGCTCGCGGGCTTGAGAAACACTGTCCAGTTCGAAGTGGCCTTCAACTTTTATCGACCTTGGAATTGCGATGCCGTATTGCGAGTGACCTCCAATCTGCTCACCCCTGGGAAATGGGTCTTCATCTGGCCTTTTTCGCGCGGACGTTCGGGGCTAGAGCTCCTTTCGACTGGATTGCCCACCAGCTCTTCTGTGATTGTATGTGGCCAGAAGATTTTGATTCCGAATTCTTTCGACACTTGGAGGATGGAATTGGCACTGGTTTGATTGATTGGTGGCTTTGGATACTGGCTTTATCGAGGAATATCACGAATTCGAGCTTTTCCGAGATCTCTTGGTTGATAGAACGGTCGACGATCACATTAACCTTCAGGAAAACTGGCCCGGCGCTGTTGTTGATTTGGCCAGGCATGAAGAGATCCATGCAGCTATCGAGGCAGAAGCTACGAGGATAGGTTTGTGAAAGTGGCCTTTTCTTCTAGCTCTATTACTTTGGTATCCGTCTGTATAATGCTTGGCTTGACTGTCTGATCTCCGCTTGATATTGAGAAAGGTTGCCTTGGAAGCGGTGCATGGAGAATAGAAAGTCGAGTATGGCTGCCATCCTGGGAATACTTCGATGTATAGCCCCACTGCCACATAAGCTAGCAAATTTCCCAACGTTGAAACAAGCAAGCTAACCCCGGATTTCATTGCATCTTCATTGAAGTTATTGATTGAGTAGCTAGTAGGGTTGATATGGAATCCTGTTCAAGACGAGATTGATTGCACTGGGAAGCCTGGTTGAGCCCAGGATGGTGGATTGATTGATATTATGTAGTGGGGGTAGCCTGTCTTATCTTATCGGCTGCCCGCCAACCTTTATTTTTTTTTTTCTCTCTTAATGGAACAATTCAAGTATTCAGGGAACGGCGGTCAACAGCGCAACTTTCGATATTTCAACCGAACCCTCTGATTCGGAATCGAATCGCCTGCATCTCTCAATCTAGACAAATGCTCTCCAAAAAACGCAAAGCCGGCAATCTCGGACTCGAAAGGCGAGTCCGAGCCCGAAAATACGACGACTCCGATATCGAATACGACAGCAGCGCTAGCGACGATGCCTCCGAAGGTCCTGAAGAAGAAGAAGTAGCGCAATTAAGCAGTGATGAGGACGAAGAAGACGATGACGAGGAGGTATCGGACGATGAGGACGAGGACGAGGATGCGCCCGCCGTCGACCTAGGCCAAGTTTCCTTCGGCGACCTCCTCAAGGCCCACACGGCTCTAAACAAAGAAAAGTCTCAGCAGACGGCGCAAGACAGTACTTCCAAAGAACGCTTCTTCGCTCGCGACTCGAATGCGAAGCCCCCCAAACCTGATAAAGCCAGGACAAAACCCAAGCGCACGAACAAGCACGCACCCATGGAAATGTCCAGCAAGCGGCCCGTCCCCCGCGGCAACGATTCTATTTTAAACGACAACACGCCCAAGATCAAGCGGGGCGATCCGCGCTTCGACCCCCTCGTCGGCAGGTTCAACGAGACTGAATTCCGGAAAAACTACGCCTTCCTCGACCAGTACCGCGACAAGGAGATTAAGGAGTTGCGGGAGAAGATCAAGAAGACCAAGGACACGGTCAAGAAGGAGGAGCTAAAGAGGCAGCTGAAGTCGTTGGAGGGTAAAAGGGATGCGCAGAAGCGCAAGGATGAGGAGAAGCGGGTGCTGGAGGAGCATAAGAAGAAAGAGAAGGAGCTGGTGAAGCAGGGGAAGACGCCTTTCTATTTGAAGAAGTCAGAACAGAAGAAGCAGCTGCTGAAGCAGAGGTTTGAGGGTATGACGAAGGGACAGGTGGAGAAGACTATTATCAGGAAGAGGAAGAAGATTGCCGCCAAGGATAGGAGGGAGTTGGCCCAGCTAGAAAGGATATCGGAATCTAGGTCGAGAAGGCAATGAAAATGAGGAGTTCTGCTGATTTTTTTTTTTTTTTTTTTTTTTTTTTTTTTTTGCTTTGTGGAGAGCGGGTTGTCTATTATATCTATGGTCTACATGTTGGTTTCCTTTTCTTCTTCTTTATCCCCATGTGGAAATCATGAAGCTATTATATACCCCTAAGAAGTCATACATCCAATATAAGATAATACAGAGTGATGGAAAAAAAAATAGTACAGAGGAGGTGTATAAAATCTTAGGCCTTGGCTTCATCCAAGTATCCCCCGCGCTTGAGGCTCTCTTGGAAGAGATCCCTACAACGCACCCTACTTCCGAGCCTAGCACAAAGTAGGAACGCACCGCTAAGCTTCCTATGAAGGCTATACGTCTCTTCGGGCGGCGGCGCAAGCCTCTCCCTGAGCATGACGGGGATGAAGCTCTTGACGCGCTCAGTAATAGTTTGATCCGAGAAGTCGTACAGCTCGGGCGCAGACTCGAGGAAAGGTTCCGCCAAGGTCAAGACGGAGCCAATATGCGCATCTAGCATAGTCTTGCTCTCGTGGCCCGTAAGGTACCCAAGGTCCTCCGACAGCTCCTTGACCTTGCCTCGATCTGTCCGCGAAGCAGCAGCAAGGAGGCGAACGTAGTGGTCGACGAAATTCTTAGGATATTCCCTCGAGGCGCCAAAGTCGAGCAACTCAAGCTTGTTGTTTTCCGGGTTGTACAGGAAGTTGGTCCAGTTGGGATCCGTCTGCATGAAGTGGAACTCCGTGATCTCGCGAAGACAGAGTCGCAGAATCTGCGTGCCGATCCAGTCCTTTTGCTCTTGCGTGAAGGTGGCTATCCGAGTGACGGCAGATCCCTGCATGAAGTCCATCGTTATCACCTGCTTGCCCGAGGCTTCGAGGTGCACGTCGGGGACGAGGAAGACGTTTTCCTCGCCGGCCATGAGTTCCTTGAACCGTTTGAGGCATTGGGCTTCGCGCTCGTAGTCGCATTCCCAGCCGAGCTCGGTTCGCGCGTTGTCGATGGTCTTTTCGAGGTAGAGGCCCTTAGGTAGTAGTTTCGTGGCGGTCAGGAGAATCCCGAGATTATCTAAGTCGGAGTTGATGGAGTCCGCTACGCCGGGGAATTGGATCTTGACGGCTACGGGCTTTCCGGACTTGAGCGTCGCCTTGTGGACCTGTCCGATGGATGCCGCAGCAATGGGCGTCTCCTCAAACTCTTCGAATAAATCCCTCCAGTTCTCTCCCAGGTTAGACACCAGGACCTTGTCCCTCTGGTACGACGGCATGTAATCTGCCCTGTCCTGCACCCTTTGGAGCACCTCCTGGATCGGGCCCGGTAGCATCTTTGAGTCCTGGAAACTCATCATCTGGCCCATCTTCAATGCGGCGCCTCGCATGCGTGAGAGTTTGGCGACGAGGCGCTCCATGTTGCCTGGGCTCAGCATGACCGAGCCTTCACCCCCGCCTCCGATAGCTCGCGTGAGGCTCTCAGTGAGGGCTCCCCCGATCATGCCAGCTGCTAGGCCGCTATAATTCCATATTCGGCTCAGCCGCGTAGCTGGGACCTTGGATTCTCGGAGGACGTATGCACGGCCTTGAAGTGGATTTGGTTTGGGGACCTGATCATTAGCGACTGAAGGTTTAGGTGGGAGGGTCGCGGTCGTCTCCGGTTGCGGAGAGGGTGGGAAGACCTCTGGTTGAGGTTTAGGAGTTTCAGCAATGGGAGTGGTTTCTATAGATGGTGTTTCCGGTTGGGGCGACGAGGCTGCTTGTGTTACCTCTGGTTGAGCGGTGGGCACTTCATCGACATGGGTGGTTTCAGCTACAGGCGTCGTCTTCGTAACTGTTTCGTTCACAGCCTTGTGTAGTGGTGCTGAACTGGGCAAGTCCGCCCACGGTGCTGGATACTGAACGGCAGGTCTAGGCCGAGCGGCCTTTTGAGCTCCGGCTTTGCCTAGCGACCCCAAAATCTTCGAGCCCTGGCTAGTCCTAAACACATTGATATCGATCTCTGGCGGGACATCGTCATGCTCTCCTCCAATCCTCTTCTCTTCCTGAAATCCTCCTCTACGGAGTGGCTCCTGACCCTTCGCCGCAGAAACAACTGGGTTAAGCGGTGAATGCACCTCGGCGCCCGTAGAGACCGGGAATGTCGCGCCCGTCTTATGCTTAAGCTGGGACAACACGCTTCCAGACCCCAGAGAGCTTATTGCTGCACCTTCGCCACGATGAGGCACATTCAGTGTCTGAGCATGGGATGTATGCACTACTGCGGGCTTCTGCACCTCTGGCGCCGGCTCGACCGGCTCATCCACCTTCGTGACTGGCTCTGCGTCTGGCTGTTCCCCAGTCGGCGCTGTATCGGACGCTGTCGTTTCCGTTGTCGTCTGGTCGTGTGGAGCACGGGGGGGTTGCCCCCGGACACTAGCAATGCCAATGCCTGAAGTCCGACTCAGCGCATCGAGTTGGCGCGCTCGGAGGGCTGCGTGGTGAGAGGCGACGGATCGAGTCGCGGAGATTACCGCTGCCAGGTCGACAGCGAAGTCGGCGAACCTCATCGGTGCGGTGTTTGTGGCCGTCGGTGAGGGTGCATTCTTAGACCCTCGTAACCGTGAAGAGTGGAGGGCCGGTGTAAGTGGGCAATGTAGTTTTACTTCACAATTCTTTGTTCTTGAGATGGAATGTTGCACCGTGGATAAATTTCTGGAGAGCTTCGTTGAAGTTTTCGCTACAAGGATAATAGCTTCTCAAGACTCGCTTATTATATATGCATGTATCTAAAAGACAATCACCCCACCCATCCCACTTATTTCCAACTCCGCTTGCGCCTGGATATCAATGCTGTATTTTTACCGTCCGTTTAATTCTCATAATCCATTCATTTTGTAAATAAAAAAAGAGCAATGTGTTCAGCTTGGCTTCGGAGTTGATTTCAACTGTGAGCCTCTTGTCCTCATTGGTGTGGAGGATCCAAATGGACTCGAAGCACCCCTGGGGGTAGCATTGCCAACACGGTTGAGCAGGCGCTGAGCTGCAGGAGTAAGACCCCCAGAGACCCGTGGGCTAGACGGGAACTTCGGAACAGGGACTCTCTCAGCCTTGCCCGTGAAACCGTTCCTTGATGACTCACGCCTCGACTGCGCGATCCGCTCGACCATCTTGTGGTGGAGAGCCTCGCGCTTTCTCTTTTCTTGAATCTTGAAAGGGTTGGGTGTTGCGTCTCCCGGTCCTAGGTCTATCACCGGTATAGACCGCTCGGGTACGGCTGGCTCGTCTTCGTCGTCAACGAACTTATAGCCGTTAACCCTCGGCGTCTCATCACCACCCGTAAGAACGCTGTCCGTCTGAAATGCCTCCCGCACTTCTCCGTTCACAGCATCTCGAACGGCCGAAAGCGTGGGAGATAGTGGTCTCGGTGGTATAATAGGAAGCGGCACTCTCGTATTCTCGTAAACGACTCGTTTCGTAGATGCAATCTCTGCCATCTGCACGGGGTTCTTATAATCGTCATCGACTCCATCAGGGATGAACATTAGGGCGTTTTTCGGTTTCGCGTTCCAGCTATCGGGCCGTGCAGGTCTGTTATCCGAGTTCGTGATCTCCTTCTTGCCCTCAATGAGTAGGCGCTCCTTGATTTCTCGCTGCTTGAGCATCTGTTTTGAAGGAAGCTTGTTCTCGTTCCATATCCAGCTATTGCTGTCAGCACGCTTCTGGTTCTGCTTATCCACGAGCTTATAAAAGCTCTCATTGTCCTCGCTAGTGTAGGTAGCCTGAAATTTGCCCAGGCTGACGTTGGTGTTGATTTCCGTCTTTCGTTCAATAATCGTCTCCACAACGGAAACAGGAGTGTCGCTTCCGTAGACCGAAGGCGTCCTCCCGCCGGCTGTCGTGGATGGCGCAGGCGTCGCGCGCCTGGCGGGAGTGAGAGCCTCGCGTAGTCGCCGATCGGCGTTCAATATCCATGACTTGTCCCTAGATTCGAGCGCATCGAGGTATTCCTGCTGGGCTTCCGTCTCTTGTAGGCCGGGGAAGAAATCGCGAGCGATGATTTTGGAAAGCGCTTCGGTGTAGGAGTCTTCGTCAATGACTTTCTTCGGTCGCTTGACGCGTTTGACCTGCGGTGGCGGAGGCATCAACTCCATGTCATTCCGCTTGCGCACCAATGCCATCGAGTTAGATGGAGAAGTCATCTTTATCTAGATAAAGAAGACATCGATTGTGTTGCAAGAAGAGGACTGATGTAGAAGCCTGAAAATGGACAGGCAAATAGGCTTCCAGGAGCCAGGTTTTGTTTTGATGTTGGTGTGGATGGAAATGGATGGATCTTGATCGATGTACGAAGTAGATATATGAAGAATGATCACTTATCAAGGGCCCCACTGAAAAAAGATAATCAGCCAAGAGAGTCAAAAGACATGGGGAGATGTACTTAGTACATACAAACAGGTACCTCAATACACACTATATCCCTCTCGGATTATTATCAGCTATACATTATGACATGTACGTGGGGTCCGGAGTTAACAAACTGAATGTTCCAGTTACTAAAATACAATGTACCCTTTCTTACTGCAGCCTTGTTGACGGGAGGCAAAAAAGAGAAACTATCAATCAATCATTGATGCTAGCCTTTGGTTGTTGTTGCCGCCGCTGCAAACCCCACACATTCCAGAACATCCTCTCTTTTAAACTCTCTTGCCCACAGACCTATTTTTCTGTACCCCCTTCTTTCGCTGCCTCTCTCTCCATACTGTTGAAATCCTCACGTCCCCTTCTTCGTTATTCTCACCCATATCTGCTTCATTTTCTGTGTCGCAGACCTTTAAAATTATATTCGAATCTACCCCTCCTCCCAGTCCTTCTTCTTTCTTCAGCCGCATTCGGCCTCTGAAATCCAAGATGACCACTGCTGAAGAGCAAGCGATACAACACAAGAATGCTGGAAATAAGGCATTCGCAGCACACGACTGGCCAAAAGCTGTCGAGTGCTATACAAAGGCTATAGAACTGAACGACAAGGAGCCCACCTTCTTCTCCAACCGAGCGCAGGTATGCAGCCCAGCGCCCAATGTTGCCCCGCCTTGTTTGCAGCCTCGCGGTAACTAACCAGCCGTCTTCCCCCCCAACAGGCAAACATCAAGTCCGAAGCGTACGGTTATGCGATTGCCGATGCGACGAAGGCGATTGAACTCAACCCAAAGTTCATCAAGGTCCGTTCCATTCCCGTTTGCGATATTCAAATCCCGACCTCTGGTAGCCCACGTGCTCATTTTCCATAGGCGTACTTCCGGAGAGGCCTTGCCTACGCTGCCATTCTAAAGCCCAAGGATGCGCTTAAGGACTTTAAACAATGCGTCAAGCTCGACCCGAGTAACAAAGATGCCAAGTTGAAGCTCTCGGAATGCCAGAAGATTGTGCGCCAATTAGACTTCTTCGCCGCCATTGAGGTCGGTGAAGAGCCATCTGCGGCCGAGGGGCTCGACCTCGAGTCCATGGTAGTAGAACCCGGATACGACGGTGTACGACTGGGCGACGAGATGACGCAAGAGTTTATCGACGATATGACGGAGCGATTCAAGAACGGAAAGAAGATCCACAGGAAATATGTCTACCAAATCGTCATTGCTGTGAAGAAGCTTTTGTACGATGAGCCGACAATGGTAGAGATGGAGATTCCAGACGATGTCAAGCTAACAATCTGTGGAGATACTCATGGTTCGTGCATTTCCCCGGGTCTCAGCTCGTGCAACATCCCTGGGACCCCCGTTCGCCTATTATGTTACTAATTGACCGCACTTAGGCCAATACTTCGATTTGATGGAGCTGTTTAGGAGAAATGGAACGCCCAGCGACAAGCATTACTACCTGTTTAACGGCGACTTTGTTGACCGGGGATCATGGTCCACGGAAATTGCACTCTTGTTATATGCGAACAAGTGGCTCAGACCCAAGTCGTTCTTCCTTAACCGTGGTAACCACGAGACGGATGATATGAACCGAATTTATGGCTTTGAGGGCGAGTGCAGGGCCAAGTACAACGAGAGGTATGTCATCTTGTGGGATGCGCAGTTGCCCCACCTCGTACCCGTGAATTACCCCTGTACTAACGGCGATTGATTCCAGGGTTTTCAAGCTGTTCTCGGAAAGCTTCTCGGCCTTGCCTCTGGCGACATTGGTCGGCCAGAAGTATCTTGTCCTCCACGGTGGGCTCTTCTCCGACGACAACGTCACCCTGGACGACATCCGCAAGCTCGATAGACATAACCAGCGACAACCTGGCCAGTCTGGTCTCATGATGGAGATGCTGTGGACCGATCCTCAAGATCAGCCTGGTCGCGGACCCAGCAAGAGAGGAGTCGGTCTTCAATTCGGTCCAGACATCACGAAGCGGTTCTGCGAGAAGAATGGATTGGAGGCCGTCATCAGGAGTCACGAAGTTCGTATGGATGGTTATGAGGTGCAACATAACGGCAGGTGTATTACTGGTAAGGACGGACCGCTCAGTCATGACTCAAGTTTCTACGACTTGAACAGTGTTGTGCTAACACGAGACCTGTTTTTCAGTCTTCTCTGCTCCCAGGTATTGCGATGCGACGGAAAACAGGGGCGCTTACATCAACGTTGGCCCTGACTATAAGCTCGAGTTTGAACAATTTGATGCTGTTCCTCATCCTGATATTAAGCCAATGGTAAGTGTTTATTCGAGTACGTTTACCTCACCAGCGGTTTCGACTAACATGAGTTCCAGGCGTACGCACACAGCTCCCTCATGTCATCACTGATGTGAGCCGACACCGCGACATGAGTGTGTGATGAGATTTAGACGTGAAAGTAGGATGCATTTGTTGGATCCAGTTGCATAGAGTTCATCGGCATGGGGGAAGCAGGTATAACGCTACTACCTGCGGTATTCGGCCCAGTTCTGTACAGTGTTAATGCATCTCAACAACCACAAACTAGTTTTGAAATAGGCGTTGGAGATTGTGCAAAGGATTTGGGTGGAAGGGAGGAGATTTGCATCCATCATACCCATGATGAATTTAGAACAGCGAGAATACTTACTTGGAAGGAATCAGATGGTTTTGTAGCCTCATAGCAAATACCAAATTTACAACCCGAGATTTTCCTTCTCTCTTCTCTTCCTCGCTTCTTTTTTTGGAATCCCCGATCTTCTCCTTCAAGACGACCACACCTCCTCCTGGCCATCCCTCCCAACCATACAACCCAACCAATCTGAACACTTCAACAACCGCAACACAACACGTTCGCCCCCATCACTAGTCCCCGACCAAGCCGTAACAGCGGCAGCAAAAGCAGCGAGATCCGGCGCCGGCACGCGAACCCAACAGCGATTCCCCTCCGTCTTGAGCACGTCGACGGATACGGCGCTTCCCGTGTCTCCGAGAAAACGGCTAAGGGCGGAGGCGCAGTAGGAGCGGACCTGGAGGTTGTCGAGGTGGTGGTCTGAGCGGCCGGGGGAGTCGGAGAGGAGCTCGAGATGGGCGTAGGAGAAGGGGGGGTTGCGGATTGTGTGGGTGCGTATTTCGGTTGATTTTTTGGATTTGGGGAGGGGCGCGGAGGTAGTGGTGGTGGTGGGTTGGATGTCTTGCATTGGGGTCGTCATGGTGGGCTGGGTTGGCCGGTTTTACATGCTTTCTCGGATGAGGAGTCGGGGATTTTGATGGGTGGTATCTTTTTTGGGGGAGATGCAGAGCACATGCAACACAAGCTTCGAAGTACTTCAATACTTGGAGAAATGTGATCGATTCAGCCCTGTGGACAGTTAGACCCACTAGAATGACACCACCGGGGGTGTGCTTCAGTGGGTATTTAGCGGGTAAAATTGGCTAGACCAGGCCGAATTGATTGAGCATCTTTCATTTGATAAGCCGCCACCATCAACATTGATAACCCTAGAAATCTCCAAGAGCCGCATTTCGCATTCCAACCTAAGACGACATCTTTCCATCAAGAGAAGCTCTCGAGTTCCGCAAAAAAAGCCACCCGTCCTACGATCACCCGGCCACCATGTCTCAACAAAATTTCGTCACTCCAGGTCAACAGCGCTACCTCCGCGCCTGCATGGTCTGCTCCATCATCATGACCTACAGCGTAAGCGTCCCTTCCCAGAGCCTCGATGATCCCAAGACAGAGTAACAAATACGCTAACGCATGCCTTTCTTTCATCTCTCCAGCGATTCCGCGACGAAGGCTGTCCCAACTGTGAAGAGTTCCTCCACCTCGCCGGTTCCCAAGACCAGATCGAAAGCTGCACCTCGCAAGTCTTCGAGGGTGTGATCACGCTGGCGAACCCGGCGAAGAGCTGGGTCGCGAAGTGGCAACGTCTGGACGGATATGTGCCCGGGCTGTACGCGATTAAGGTGTCGGGGCAGTTACCGGATGATATCAGGCAGATGATTGAGGATGAATATCGGATACAATATATTCCGTGAGTCTTGCTCCCGCGACGAGTAGCGTCGGAGTTGGATGTTGCTAACAAATGCGTGTAGTCGTGATGGAAGTGCTACTGAGGTGGATGCTTGAGGCGGTAGTAGGCGGATCAAGGGACGGAGCAAAACAAGGAAAACCATATACCAAATGCGCGGCGTTACGGGCACAATAGAAAACAGGTGCACATACTATTCGTTTTAAGTTCTATCCATTGTATTCATCAGGGTATCGTAAATAAAACCACGCAATATGAAATCATCGAAGTACATCATGAAATATATCCCATCCGTAAGCCCCCTAAAAGTTCTTCCGCTTCTTAGCAGAAGGCCCACCGAACCCAGAAGACTCCCGCGCCCTCTTCCTCTCCATCTCCTCCTTCATTATCCGTTCCGCCTCGCTCATCTTCTTCGGCTGTTCCGCCATGACTGCCTTCGGTTTGCTCTTCTTTGCTTGCGCAAACACATTCTTGGCCTGCGGCTTAGACGACATCTTCATTGAAAAGCCTCCCAACCCGGCAGGCTTAGTGTCCTTCTTCTCAGATGACTCGGCTGCGTCCTTGCTCTCGGGTGCTTCTCCTTCTTTTGTTGTTCCCAGCGATTCGCTGGTCTTATCCGCAACCTCCGCTTTCGAGTCCTTGCCCGCCGTCTTGGGACCAAACGAAATCTTGAGAGCCTCGCCCTCTGGGAGGCTCAGCTCCTTTTCCTTCGCTTCCGTTTGCTCCTCCTTCCTCTTCGCCGCCTGCGCGGCCTGCGCCCTCCGTATCTGCTCCCGAATCATCCTCGTCTCAAGCTCCTCATCGCCCTGATCCTGCAGCGCCTTCTTCCTCAGCGCCTCCTGTCTCTTGAGCGCTTCGGGGGAGTTATCGATCCACGCGATGTGCAGGCCCTTTTCGGTATCTTCGACTCGGCAGATGCTTTCGCGGCCGAGGTACTTGACGAATTCGGATAGGGAGTTCCATTTTGTCGCGTTCATGTGGATGTGGTCTTTGTTGGCGATGTACTCTTGGTAGAAATGATTCGCGTTGACTTGCTTCTCGCCGTGCGCGGTCTTCAAGAGGCCGATAAAGTCCTTGAGGAGTCTGTCGCTGTAATCTTGGATAAAGGCCTTCGAGTTCTCGCCGACAATGACCATGTTCCGCACATGCGACTCCGACATGCAGTGCATCCTACAGGAAATTCGTTAGTTTGTGTTCAGCATTCAAGGGTGGCGAATAGGCCCGGCAGGCAACAAGACTAGATCGTTGGAGCGATCGATACTTACTTGAATGCATTCGCATCTCGACATGCTTTCTCGCAGACCTGGCAGTACCATCGTAATCGCGTAAGGCCCTTGCTCTTAAGCTTGTTGGAGATGGCTTTGGTCGATCCTGCCTCGGCTCTCCCCATTTTGGAGGTGGGGGACTGGGATGTGGATTGAGATGGTGTGCTCGGCGACGAAGAATGGGGTCAGTTTTCACTCAATACAGTCTCAGATGGATAAAGCGACGTGGAAAGTCGATGCACGGTCGAGAGTAGTGTTTGGAGAGGATATTCTATGAATATTCAACGATAAGAAACATCAAGTTTAGGCACGGCTCTGGTCAGGAATTATCATGTTGAATAATCCAGTCAATTGGTTGCTGACTAATATCGCGGAGAACATTCGAAACTCAACACCATCCGCGAAGGCAAGGAAATTCCCAACTCAGAGACACGAACTCGACCATAGTGGTGATGTATATATGTGTATTACACATTCCCTGATTTGGCTCACAGGGCCCTCCCAGTTCCGACCTTGAAGGAGGCTAAGTGCCCAAGTTGGCAAGAAAAGCGAGGATCAAATAGTGTCCATCGCGAAGAGCCAAATGGTTTTGACAACATGCGAACAAGTTCGACTTCCGATTCCCTTGATTAGTCTCAAGCAGATTGAGAGACCCAAATTCAGGGGCTGGATGATCCCAGAGACCACCAAGGGAAAAAAACAATAATACATGAAGTATAAACAAGTCAGCCGTCTAAGAGGAGAAGCTCGCTGAGAGGCCCATTCCAAGGGATCAGGGGTTATTGCCCGTTGCTTGGCGAGCCGCCGCTTCCTCCACCAACCGGTCAATCACGCTCTGCTGTTCCTCGATCACTTGTCCTTGTCGTCGCACAACCTGCTCCAAATCACTAACCCTTCTGGTCAGGACGGCCATCTCGGACTCATCAATGAGCTTCTGGATAGACTCGTTGGTGCTGTCCTGAGAGTGCAAGTTGGCTGGCATGCCGCCAAGGTTGCCGCCAGTCGGCGAAAGGGGAATGCCGCTCGGTCCGAGATGCGGTGAATCTAGAAAAACGAGGGTTAGCCAGGCTTCAATCTTGTTGCTTTTCACAGCAATGTTGGCGTCGGCCGAGTAATGACGAGAGAAAAAAGCTTACTTACCGTGCTCTATAGAGGGAAGTGGCTGATAGGCGGATGGAGCGGCAATTTCCGTGACCGATCTTTGTCCGGCATCATCCTGTCCTAGATTGCTCGACTGTGGCGAATATCGGCGTCGCTTTCGGGGGCGAAGAGACTCAGTCGGGACGGCAAATAATTGATCAAGGAGACTAGTACCTCGGCGTGCTGAATCCTCATCATAATTGCCTCGCTCGCCTTCCCTGACTCGAGTGTCAAGCATGGTATCGTCGGCAGGCGGAGGGCTAAGGCGCAATGGGTCACGCCTGGCGACTGTATCATAACACGGGGTCCATCGGTCGGCGCGACCACGGGGCCTATAAGAGCTTCCACGAACTTTGACCCACGAATCAGGAGGGTACAAAATTCTATAGGGCTCCCTGTAGGAAATATGGAGCGGCGCACTTCCAGAGGAAGAAGAAGGCCGGGCCGGGCCACCAATACCGACATTCGGGCCGGAGGCACTCAAGAAGCGGCCGGTATTATCCCTCTCCTGCGACGAAGCGCCCCGCGTGGAGGGGAAAGGAGGGGGAGGAGGGTAGTCAGGGTCTCCAGAAGTGAGTAATCGCCATCGCTCATGTGACATGTACCGGTTCTAGAGGTCATGACATTCGGCTGTATACGCAGCAACCGTTTCGGAAGAGCAATATTGGAGCTGAGTCTCGAGGGCCACGTGGGGGCGAAGCCGCCACTTGTCCACGAGCACGGTGAGAATCCCATTATCGTTAATGGGCGCTCTAGAATTGAGGAGGAACTCGACTCGCGCATTGATGTAATAGTCCGCAATCTGCTCGAGGTTAACGTGTCTCTCGAAGCCCAGTCCTCCCGCAACAATGGACCAAAAGCGGGCGGTAGACTCCAAGGCTCGGAAGAAAAGCATGGCGCGAAATAGGGCTACTAGGTTTTGGTACGCCCTACCCTTCGGATCTTTTGGGCATTGTCGGTGTGGAATCTCGTTCATGAGATTACGACAATAGAGGACAGTCTTCGCACTACCCACATTACCCAATGGGTAGGATTGGGACGAGAACCCTGGAAACAGGAAATCACCTGGGCTGTCCGGGATTGCTGATTTCTTCATCATTACTGTGGTGACCTAGATGTAAATTCCTTTTTGGGGGCATGAGGAAATGGTGGAGAAAAGAAGAAGGGTGTGCAGGGAGAAACAAAACAAAGACCTGTCTGTGGAAGGTTGCAAGGGGTTGAAAAAAAAGGTACAAGGCAGAATTTATTCACACGTTCTGAGATTCATCAAGCACTTGACCTAATCTAAAAGAAGACAATGAAAGCAGGTGCAGTTGACCTTCCTTCGCATCTGAGAGTGTGATGGAAGCGGCTACCCGCGCCTAATCGCGTCTTACTCAGCGGACATAGAAAGTTGTTACGCGTTGTCACGTGATTTATTTCAGAAGTGGTCTTGTTGATGGCGCCTTGTTATAAAAATCACATGGGGTATAAGGATATCCTACCACCCAGTAGACTATTTCCACACCATCGCCACCATCTTGACCATATTGCATCCAACTCTTCCGGACCATCACCACCACGAATCGGTTGAACAACATTTTACCGAATTCAAAGTTATCCCATCTCCCCCATTGCCCCCCAGCCATCGGGCGCACTTCCAGAATAACAGACAACCACAATGTCCGAGCGAAAAGTCCTCACAAAATACTACCCAGCGGACTTCGACCCGTCGGAGCTCACGCGCAAGCGAAAGCCCAAAGACAAAGGGCCCAAAATCCAACCTGTGCGCCTAATGGCACCCTTCTCCATGCGATGCACGACCTGTGGCGAATTCATCTACCGCGGCCGCAAGTTTAACGCCAAGAAGGAAACGCCACCCGACGAGCGATACCTAGGCATCCAGATCGTCAGGCTACACATCCGATGCACGCGATGCAGCTCCGAGATCACGTTCCGGACGGATCCCAAAAACAACGACTATGCCATGGTCAAGGGTGCCGTGAGGAACATGGAGCCGTGGCGCGATCGCGCGGCGGAGGAGGAGACGACGGAGCAGAGGCTCGATCGATTGGAGAGGGAGGAGGCCGAGGCGGCGGGCGAAGAAGAAAAGGACGCTATGGCGGAGCTGGAGGCGAAGAATGCCGATGCGAAGAGGGATATGGCGGCCGCTGATGCGTTGGATGCCATTAGGCAGCGGAACGCGAGGATACAGCTTGCGGCGAAGGAGGGGATCGATTTTGCGGATTCGGTTGTGAGGGCGGAGGATGAGGAGAGGGCGAGGCAGGATAGGGAGGACGAGGAGGCGGCGCGGAGGGCGTTTGCTAAGGCGAGGGGAGAGGCAGGTGGGGATTTACTTGGCGGGGTTGTCCTCGAGGAGCTGCCGGTCCTCGAGGAGGATGGTGAGCCGCTTAACGATTCCAACGCCCCTTCTTTAACGACAACATCCGCTGTGTCGTCAAGTTCTACGTCTGTATCTGACCCCTCGATTCCCCCGGCTCCATCGTTCAAGAGGGTAGTCAAGAGGAAGCGGGATCACTCTGCGATGCTGGGCATCAAGAAGAAGAAGCCGCTGGTATGAGCACAATGATGATGATGAGGATAGCGTCTGGGATTATGAACAATTTCGTTATTTGGATTTGTTACAGTTTTACTCGTTTATGATTGGCATAGGGATAGGATACCCGGTGACGGTTCAGCCAACATAGAGAAGAAACGGCCTTATAGGCATGTGTCATCATGATAATCTTCCATCTCGTAACCGACGCAATGTTTCTAGCTCAAGTGTCTGCTGCAGTGCACGATCTACAAACGGGGAAGTATCTCAAAGGGCATTTGGATCACAACTCCACAGTTCTAAGTGTTTCATTTCTGGCTTGAATTAGGTTTCTAAAATGAGGAACCAAAGACCCAACGAAGATAGGAGTCCTTGATATGTAGTTTAATTCTCCCGAAACCGATCCCAGCTTAAACTCCCAAGGGGTTATCTTGATTTCTCATACCCGAATCCAATATCCAATCAATATTTCATAAAGATAATAACGCCGCAAACGCCTCAAATGTGCTATTGCATCCACCAATATCATGAAACCCCCCGAAAGGTTCTGGGTGCTTAACTTGAACCTTTCCTTTTCTTCAAGCACCACACTCATCCGTACTGCGACCCAACTTTTAATTTCATTTTCCCCGTTATATATTGTTTCTTGATTTCGTAAAAGGAGGTTATCGAGTCATATCTGATGCGAAGAAATCATCATAAAGAAGAAGAAGAAGAAGAACTCGTAGCGTTGTATGTGCGTTGGCACGAGAAAAAAAAGTTGATTTGTGTCGAGTCAATAAGACTCGACTTGCCTTCTCGAACTTCGTGTGTGACGACTCTTCGTGGCTAGATGGTTCTAGGAAGCGACAAATACGACGGGGTATACGTTGTCTTTCTATTTCGTTTTAGAGGTGTCGACTCTTGTAGCTGTGTATGGTTTGGACCTACGGAAACCCGTCACGGATCATGTCCGGCCGCTCGTGGAATTCGTTCCGTTCGTCGCGGTCGAGTCGGAGGAGGTGGTGGAGGAAGTGGAAGAAGTAGAAGTTATCGGTCCGGGTTGCGTCGTGGGTTTATCATGGTGGATTGGCTCTATATGCATTTCCTCCATTTGCTTCATGGTGTGTTGGCGCATGAAGCGCGTGTAGGCAGTGAGGTCCATGGGAGGGTGGCTGGAGAGCGAGACTGCGTATTTCCCTTGGTGGGTGGCCATATTGGAAGCCTTCTAGGGAATGCTCGATGAGATGGGGAGGGCCGTAAGGCCAACCTTGAGTTGGTAGGAGAGGTAGAGGTAGAGCTTTAGGGCTGTGAGTATTGGCACTAGGTAAACTAGCGCGGAGGAAGCGGAGATGAGGGTATCAGGAAGACGGCGAGAAGAGCGAGGTGTCAGAGCAGTGATCAGAGAAGTGATGGTCAGGAACTTTTATGTTTAATGTGGTCTAGAGAAAAGATAGGGACCGAGGATGCGAGAAGAGGCTGTTGAGGAGGCTATCAGGAAGAGAAAACGTAGTGGAGCAAAGAGAATAATAAGCTGTTGTGGATTCTTGGAGGATGATTTTCGTTCTGGACTTGCGTTCTTCTACCTTGAGAAGATAGTACGCAGGATTGGAAGTATAGTGTGATGGATTCAAATGGAATAGTACTAGACTAGCCAGGACAGGATAGTAGGATATTGTTGGAAGATTGACGCTGGACTACGAGGAGAAGGAGATTGCTGTCTTCGGAGCAATCTTATAAATGACGTTCTTAAGATGGAGGGGGTGTGAGGCAAGACACAGACGGAAGCGTGGGGGTGTATGACGGCGAGATCAATTGACCAATGTACAAGTACGAGGGCAGGTTAAGAGCCGAGATGGAGGTCAATTGAAGAAAACATCATCGATGGTGAGATCAAATGGATCGAGAGATCGACGAAGACCCGGCGCAGGCGAAGGGGCGGCACGAGGGAGCGTAACGAGTAGTGGAAAATGGGGTCCCGGACCTAGTGCACTTCGTAAGTGGTAAGTCTAGAAGTCTTTCGTTTTGGAGGATCCTAGGCTGATGGTTGCGCAGGATCGTTGGATGGGTTGGCGGGTTCCGATCATTCGACATGTTATCGCCTTCGGGTCGAGTTGTGCGCCACCTGCACGGGGCGCGTAGTTTACTTGGTTGGGATGTTAAGCTTGGACTTGTAGAAACGGGGTCCCGTCGGGCTCCCTCTAAGCTCCCCAGCCCTAGACGGAAGCTGGAGAAGTCACAAGGTCTAGTCTATGTGCTACCTTGATAATACTAACCAGGTACGTGGCTAATCCATTAGTTGCGAATCGAACGGTCTGGTCTGGTGCATTACCCGTAACAAGGGCCCGGTACTGTGCGATCCTCGTGAGATGAAGTCAATTGGGGCAGCCAACCCGCGTAATTGCCGTGCTTCGTACGAGTATTCCTTTCTTGGGAGGAAGAGAATAAAGAGTAGAAGCTCGTTCGCGGTAGCCGCCGTACATTGTTGGATGATGGCATCATCGAGACGACCACACCAGGAGAGATGTGTGCCTCCCTCGATGCACAAGCAATGCGCGAAGACGTGGATGCTATCTTATGGGGCGGAGCTCTATGCTCGAGTCTGTAATGGGAAGTGAGGGGGGTCAAGGTAGGGGGGGAACAAGGTAGGCATCTAGACCCTCTTCTGCTCCTCCCTTAGTCGAACGCCATGCCACACACTCCCCGAGGCCATTTGCGACATTCCCTACAGTCCCCGGCTCTATCCAGAGATGGTTACGGCCTAGTGCTGCTCGGTAGCTCCATCTACGAATATATGTTGGGATGACTGAAGATGGCGCCGGTGAACCCGCCGACGGATTGGCCGCTGTGTAGGGCTCGCATTTCTCCGAGAAGTTGGATTCGAGGCGCTCAACGTTATTCAACGATACTTCCGAACCAGGGGAATTACCAAGCGAGCCCTAACTCTCTGTGCGGTAGAAGCTGCATGTAATCCATACGCGCAGATCGGACGTAAGTAGTTCCTATGGCCGGAGAGAAACATATGATCCACACGAAGGTTCATAGAGGATGGTATTGGTACCGTTAGTATTGTTGAGGGTAAACTAGGTTACCAGAGAAGGGGACAAGAGAACGAGGTTTGGAGGCAGTGTTAATAATAGTGGTCGCGGGGAAATAGACTCCTTGGTTGGCTGCGGCGAGGAGTCTTTGACAGAGACGTGGGCAAGTGCTCAGCACCCTGATCATGCCCTATAACTGCTCTGTACTCAGTGCTGAGTCCGTAAGCTGGCCTGGGGGTAGGGAGCGAAAGCAGTTGAGCTCACTCTTTGGAGTGCGGGTGTCTCTTGGTTGTCTTTTGACTTGGTTGGGAGAGCTGTTGTTGTTCTAGGGAGCTATGATGTCATTAGGGCGTTGGGGTGGCGAAACGGGGCGTCAACGTAGTGCAACAGTGTGCTTGGTTTGACCTCTGCTGACAACACAGTATTAAAAACTTTGAATTATGACTAAACAAAAACGTACCATCGCAAGTCCCGAATTCGACAATGACTCTTCTGAACGGAAATGGTGGGGAGACCGGAGATTGGAGATTGTATTAGTTTATTTCACTCACTCTCTGGTCGAGTTGCAGCAAAGGCGAGAAGGCGCCGCGGAAAAACGATAGCTGAGGGAATAGTTTTGACGACATCGACATTTTCATGCTCTCTTATGAAAAGGCCGTCTCGGGCGGAAACAACGACCTCCTCGAGAGCCAGGAAGCTTTGCAGGAAAAGGAGCACAGAATACGTCTACATAATAATTAGTACAAGTTGACTCGAATATAAGGGCACTGGGAGAAGACTGGTGCCCTTGACGAATGAAATAGAGCAAAGGCAGTTGAAGAAGTAAATAGGCAATGCTGTCAGTCTTGGACCACACCTTTTTGTCCCTGAAATGAAAGGGCAACAAATAAACTGAACTGGTCGGGAAAGAGTCCACTCCGCAACTTGCCGGGGCTTTGCTCGGCGGAGCTTGACACGAGGTCCGTCGTCATCGTGGTGGCCTTACCACACAAGCCATGGGGGGCACACGTGAAGGAAGGCTCTGCCCCTTGCAAGATTACCGCGCTCGCAAGTTTGGGTTTCTATCCCAGGTCTGTGGTGCCATTTTTCGGGTATAATAAACCAAATCCGAGCCTTATGAAGCCATCGCAGTTCTCCTGATTCTCCTAACCCCGATGTCAACTCACCCGACACCTCGGGGACTCTTAGGCTGTCAGGCAGGTTAAGATTCCGTCTTTACTTCCCGTGAATCGGGGTGCCGTGATCGCTCTGGTGACCCCGACCTGCCAGTTGATACGGGGAAAGGTGGAGACTTGGATGTCTCCATATTGGCTTCCCCACCTCGCCCGAATCTCGGGGCTGCCCTAACGAAGGAGTGAGTCTACGTCTTGGTTCAGTCTCCCCAACACCAGCACCCAAAATTTCCCCCAATCAGCCATAAGGATAGCGATTAGAACACTCGAAAACAACCAATCAAGAAAACTCCCGATGGTCTAGTTGGTTCATGACATCTGACTGTAATGGCAACAGTTCAATCAGAGGGTCACCTGTTCGATTCAGGTTCGGGAGATTTCATTTTTTTTCTCTCTTCCCTTTTTGTCACCTTGACTTTTTGCCAGTCAGGAAATCAATTCCAATCAATTCCCTATCGAGCATCGTGGGACTCATCGTTCTCTTTGGGGTTGGCTAACCGTTGCCATGTCGTGCCGATGCTCCCCAGTTCTTGACCAAGCCTCATGCATGTAAGAGGAATGAGGTTTGCATGCGTTCTTATCCATCTGATTGATGACATCGAATGGTGATAACTTCTACTTCGCACTTACACACCGACAGCTTACGGCAGGGAAGACCCCGCACTTGGAACAACCACTGGGGGCTGACGAGGATGTTCCGGAATCGCTACGAAGGAAGAGGCCGGAGCGAAGAAGTGATACGCAGTGTTCGTTGCCAAGCTGGTCACAGCGCACGACGTCCAGGTTTCCGTCAACGATGATGCTAAATACCAATGACTCTATGTGACAGGTGCACTGTTGTTGTACAGCGGAAAGAATGGGCTTGTAGAGCCGAGCCGAGTGCGGTGTGCCCAAACCTTCCTTTTTCTTTGCTCTCTCTCCGCTCACCAAACGCTGGGCCTGTGGTCGGTTCAGAATGGTTTCAGGAATGAGTTGGGTCGTAAGACCCAGAAGTTGCGTTTGACGCTGCAGGGGCACATGGAAACCAACCCCATTTTGTGTTTCTCTCTCACTCTCTCTTGTTTACCGTTTCCCTTATTCTCCTTGGAGAACGACAATGATCCTTCTCACGCCAACTGAGAGAGCTTTTCGACCGTGCATTGGACGATGATCATCGTGCGGTCCTTGCTACTCGGACAATTTTGTCATTCTGGCCCCCATTGATCCTTGTTAGGAATTTCCGCAAAATCTACCCGAATCGAAGGGAAAATCCGAGACTCGGAAAACAGGAGCAGAAGTTTTAAGGTTGCGATAAATGAGATGAAGTACCGGAGGTAAAGTGGCTTTAACCTGAAGCGAGGATCCAAAAGGGCCAATCCGAACAAGAAAACCCGGGAGCTTTGAGTGTACATTTGCCGGTCAAGCTTAACTCACGGCATGCCTCGTTGGAGGCTAGACAAGAGAATTCGCCGAGTGGGAAAAATCGCCAGGCAAAAAGGACGATCACCAAAGGGGACCTACCGGCATCCGTTGTTCATCGGTGCATCAACTTCAGCTTCATGACCTCATGACTATGAGGTGGGCCAAGCCAAAAGCCCCGTTTTGCCTTTTTTTTCTCTCTCTCTCTCTCTTCCCTTCATCACTTTCCTTCCAATGTGTCGCTGGGTGATGGCGATCCGGTAAAACTGGTGTAAACGTCTCACCCGCGACGCCGTCCCTGCTTCATGGGCGTCGCGGATCTCTCCCACCGGTTCCGTTTCAGCCTACCTTTCCGGATGCCTCCCCCAAATCCGAACCATTCCTTTATTCGCCATTCTGTTCAACACCCCTTCGTTTATTTGCTCAACGTGCCCTATTCTGCTCTTCTTGCGTGATGACGAGCTTTGGCCAAGCCGGTAGCTGCGGCCGATGCCTTGCGCCGAGAAAAAAAAAGACAGGGTCGAGATGAGCGGTTGGAGGCGGTGGGGGATGTGAGGGATCCCATGGGAGGAGGAACGTGAAGCTGTGGATGGGAGGGGGAAGAAAGTGTCTATAATGTCACGATCGTCCGCGTCGCGAGTTGAGAGGCGCATTTAGGTCTTCTTCTCTTTTCTCTTCTTCTGCTCCTCTCTTGTCCTCTTTTTAATCAGGCGTACCACTTTTCTCTTCTTTGAGTTATAATATACTGTCGCGTCAGCTCCAAGCATTGCGCTTACCAATTGTTTCTCTTATCCCGTTGAGGATATATTCTTGAACTTTTACACGATGCGCTTCCAGACCGTCTCAATCCTGACGGCGGCGTCTCTGGCGTCAGCCCTCACACCCCAAGGCTTCACGCCGGGCAGCCAGAACCAGCTCTTCGTCCAATACGGCAACCAAGCCGCCCTCAACGGCCAAGTCATTCCGCGCGACTGTAAGTTTCTCTCTGTCTCTCCCCCACCGGCGCATCAACTAACACGAAGACCCCCCAAAACCAGCAACCCAAGTCCAGCCCACCCTCGCCACCACCCAGCGCCTCCAAGGCACCTACGCCGTCATAATGGTCGACCTCGACATCCCCACCGACACCGCAGGCCAAACCAACACCCTCCTGCACTGGCTCCAAACGGGGCTCACCTCCTCCGCCCAAGCCACCGCCTTCAACACCACCGGCGGCACCACCCAGAGCAACGGCCAGGTCTTCCTCCTTCAGAACCGCCAGAACGCTGCGCCTTTGGCCTCCTACATCGGTCCTAACCCGCCGGCGCGCAACCCGCTTAGCCACCGCTACACGTTCATTCTTGTCGACCACTCTTCCATTAGCACGCAGGGTCTCAACGCGCTTACTACGGCTGCGCAGACGAGGATCGGCTTCAATACCCAGGACATACTCACCCAGGCTGGTCTGGCGAGCCGTGTCGTCGCTGGTAACTTTTACAACGTTACGAACCCGGGCCCTGCGGGCGCCGATAATGGCAACGGTGGTGTCGGCGGCGGTGTTCAGGGGACGCCTACGGATGGAAATTTGCAGGCTACGGGGACGAACACGTTCATTCAGCCCGATGCGTCTGGGAACGTTCAGGCAGCGGGCGTGGTTACCGTTCCGAGGGTCGGAATTGCTTCGCTTTGTGTCGGGCTCGTGAGCGCTTTGATCTGGGCTTTCTAAGTTTAAGGGCCGTTTCTTTTCTTTTTCTGTTTTTCGTTTTATTCTTCTGCTTTTCCTTTTCTTTTAATCCCCCCCCCCCTTTTTTTTTGGGGGTGTTTAAGCGCTCTCCCGTTTCTTATTTTGCATAGCGGAGGGTATATCCTATGGTGTTTGTGAGGGAACAAAAGGAAGGATATGGGATGGGATGATTGGTTTTGGGTTTGTATGATACCTGCAAAGCGAAGGAATACGTGAGAAACGCGGCCCTGTCAGTTCGGCTCTCCTTGTCTCTTTCTTTCTTTTTTCTTCTTTTCTCCTCTTCTTTTGTCTTGAGCTTGACTTGTTTCTGAAGATTCCTCATGACCTCGGTCCTTTTTTTTCTTTTCTTTCTTGCTCTATACTGTATTTCGTTCTATCATTTTATGCTGTTTTTCTTATTAGCCCGGATACCAGTTAGACACTTCTGCTAGTTTGATAGTATTTGTCCTTGATTTTTCATTGTTGCCCAAGTCTGTTTGATATATATTCGTGGCTTGCAATAAAGTCCTCGCCTTCCTTCCCGGCTGCTTCTGGTGGGCTTATACTCGCATCCACATACAAACACGGATATAACTCGAAACGAATCATCCGTGGAAACGACACGCCAAGGTGAAGAGACAAGGTGCAGACACCACGGGTACAAATGAGATCAAAGGCTGTTAGCGCAAAAAAGACGTGCAGTTTATAAAACTTTTATAATGGAAGCTATCGTACTTGGCCTGCCCTATCCTTCGTTTTCCCGGCCTATCCGCCGCCCTGTCTGAACTGAACCGAATAAAAAGTCCATGGCGCAACTAACCTTGATACATTGGTACAGTACGTAGTGTAAGTATGTACCCTTGAGCGACGCGCTTTGCCGTGAGAAAACAACAAAGGGAAGATAAAAACCAAAGGAGGTCGACCTCTCTTGCAAGATGGAGGAGCAACAGATGGTTAAAAACAAAGGGCCAAGGGAAAAACTAGAAATCGAAACAAAAAAGAAGACGGTGTAGAGACCGAAGGACAGGAAGACAGATGAGAATATGGCTGCTGCAACCATCTATCGTTATCATCATCATGCCTTCTTTCCCCTCATTTCCCCTCATTTCTCCCCTTCCTTCCCTCAGGGCAAGAGTCCAAGAGCAAAAAGGAGCTTCATCCATCCATCCATCCATGCTCCTCTGTAGCAGTATAAAAAGGGGTATTGAGGAAAGACCAAGAAACACCAGAGTCAAGATACTGCCTACACTTCTTCTTTGCGCCAATCCATGTGCCTGCCGCGGCATCTATCCGCATTCGTCGCATAGAAACCGGTACCGTCATCATCATAGAATTCTTATTCAGCGAACTTTTCTTCTTCGTGTTGCGTCGTCACCGAAACTTTGTCAACCGAGAAATAGAGGCTTTCACTTGAGGAACAAGTCCGCGCCGTTCCTCACAGTCCGGGTTCGATCTACGTGATCGAGTCCAAGCACGTCATCATCTGATGAGGTGATATCCCACAGAATGTCGTCTATGGTGTCGGCGAGTCTGGTCAGTACATAGCTCCTTTGGGAGGGAAAATGATTGTCAGGTTTTTTTTTTTTTCATACCGTCTGTAAGATATTGAGGTTTGGAGTAATGAGAACGGCGGATGACCGCAAACTTGATCTTCTCGAATGACTTTCCCTTGAATCCTGTGCGCTTTTCAAGCCGCTTCTTCGTCTCCGAGAAAGGCTCACCCTAGAAATCAAAGCTGTGTTAGTTTCTGTGCCATGTCCATGCAACGGTGGGCTCTAAGACAAGGAGGGGGAAAAAGAGAGCAAAAAAAGAGCAACATACCTCGACGAGCAAGAATCTGAACGGCACACTGTGGGCCCGGCTCGGTTCCGTGTGGAAGTGGAAAACATTAATCAAGCTGTTATCAGCGGCTTCCAGCTCCTCTTCTGGGACCCTCTCGGCAAAGACCTGTGTGTAGTCATTCATGCTGATGACTGGGTAATCCCTCTTGAGCTCTCTGAAGAAACGGTTGTTAGACGACTCAAAGATGCGGATTCTTCCGCCCTCAGCTTCACTGGGAATATTGGCCTTCTTGACAAGTGCTTCGATGAGATCGTCTATCGTGCCGTTTTTGTTGACAAGTAGGTCAAATGGCTCCTATTACATTGATCGATCTGGTTAGGCAATTGCTCTATTGCGTGACACGAGTTGGGTAGCCCTACCTCCTTAGTGATGCCCTCGCTCAGGAGGGTCACCTTGATGCTCTTCTTGTGTTCAAGCTCGTCCAGGCTGATCTCGAGAACCTCAAAGAATAACGCGTCCATGCGATGGTTTTGCGCTATTTGAGAATACGCCGCAGTGTTGAGCATTGCAAGTAAATTGCTGTTGGGTAGGCGCTTCACGGTAGCCTTGGGATTGGAAGTCGTGCTGTTGACAGTCCAGAAGCGAATGTGTGTCGGGGGAACTCCCAAGATAAGGCCAACGCGCTCAGCGACCGTATCGTAAGTAACCTTAGTACTCATGGTGAGATCGAACGCTGGGTACTTGGCCTCATCGCACCGGCTTGGGTGAGGGCAAAACTTGACGGTCTTCTTGTTGCACAGGAAATCATAGTACTCAGAGGCGTTGTTGAAAAAATCGCTCGTTTGTTTGTGACTGCTTGACGGTTAGATATGAATAACAAATTTCTTGAGAGGATTCATCACTCACACATCCGCAGCACGTTCCTCGAGCACTTTGCGCTGTTCTTGAATGCTCTTCTCGCTCTTAGGGTCTAGAAGGCGCTGGAAGCACACGATGTCACCGTCTTGCAGTTCGGCTGCCTTTAGAGATTGTTTGGGCTTTAGCGGCTCAATCATGGTCGGTTTGATCTCCTGTAATATGGCAGTTAATATTTGGGATTTTGGCACTAGTAGTAGTTCAAGGCTTGGTAGGGAGGGCGAGGGGGTTGTATGAGGCTTACCTCCCACAAGAAGATTCGCTCGTCCGACGGGACCTTGTCGCCCCAGCCCATCAACCTCAAGATATGAGGAGTGATGTCATCTACCTTCTTATCCCTTCCGATATAGATCTGTCCAACTCCATGTAGCGTCTGAGCCGGTAGATCGAAGCACTTGAGGAAGAGTAAGATGACATTGCTCTTGTGGATGATGGCGGGACCGCCCGAAACATTGTAGGCCGGGAACACTCCGTTGCCCTCGGCGTCGACTTCTTCGGCTACCTCCACCCACAGACGGAGAGCGGGATCCCTGTGAGAATTCACTCTATGATAGAGGTCTTCCACAGTCGGTTGGAGATCCAAAACCGGCACGTCGGGTCTAACAGTTTTGTTCTGGCGGTTGACCATTACCCACAATCGGAGCTTCTTGGGATTCTCGCCCATGTCCTGGCCAATCTGCGCCACGAAATCTTCAAGCACTAGCGTTCGCTTAACACGGTAGTGCCTCGGGGCGGAATCGTCCGTCTTCGGATCGGCGTCGAAGTGCGCAAGGTCGGTACCGCCATATTTTCGGAATGTTTGAGGGGTGATGACCTTGACATTCATGTATAAATGTGCCTCTTGCCTCTCCTTCCGAAGCAGCTCTTTGGTGCGCATTTCTTCCTCAAACCGCTCCTCTGTAGTGGCTATTTGTTAGACATCATTGATCGAAGGAAAAAAAGTATATCGGCATTCCCGGGGGAGGAAGAAAACATACTCAAGTGCTTCGGGATGTCCTCTTCCGTAACGGGAGTCAGAATCTTGTCGAGGCGGGATTGGCGGATGTACACCAACATGTACGCGCTGTTCTGGCGAAGGATGGGGGTTCGCTTCTGAAGGGGCGCGCGACCGGCGGCTGCTGAGAAACGGGCCTCGCCCCCAAAGTTCTCCTCCAACACCTCCCTCATGGTAGCTCGGGTCACCTTGTCGTCGTCATACCTATAGAACCACCCGTCCTTGTTCGGCTTCAGGAATGCGTAATAATGGCCAGTGTTGAGGTCGCCGCTGTGTACAAGAACGCCGTGCAGCTGGTAGACCCATGGCTCTGACTTATCCGCGTCGTCCAAGAGGAAAGGAGCGGCGTCGAAGACTTCGGGGAACTCGTAGCGAGCATTCACCTTCATCATCATGTCTCGTTGAATGTCGTACTCGAAACGCTTCAATTGCAGGTGAAGGACGTCGGGGAATGATGTGAAGATGACGCCCTTGTTCGCGTCCTGGAGTTTGAACTGCTCGCCGGCGTAATACTGGTTCTCTCCTACGAGCTTCTCCACCTGGATATAGTCTAGGAAGCTCTCCTGAACATTCTTGTTGCCGCTGACGTTGAGCTGGATATCCCAAAAGTCCTCGATTCGGGAAGACTCGTAGTCGACGTTGATGCAAGAGATGTACGTCTTGACTTTTCCACTAAAAAGCTGGGGTAGGACGTTTTCGGCCTTCGTTCCCTTCATCTTCTCCTCCATGCGCTCCATGAGCTTTCGCGAAAGTTCCTGAACATCTTGCTGTTCAAATATGTGTCTCGTCTCCCAGCCGAAAGATTTCGTTAGCTCGTTCGTGCTGACAGCGGTCTCGGAGGTCTGTAGTTGGTAGAACAATCTTTGGAGGGTGTAGGCGCTGTTGGACATGCTAGCCTCATGCTCGGTTGGAATTTCGTAGATGGCCTAGATTGGTAGGAGAAGACAAATAAGTCAGCATAAATCTTCCACTCCAACTGTCGTACCACCGCATGCCGCTGCAGTACTTAGGGATAAAAGTCGTGTGGGAGACGAAGAGTACCTTTCGAAAAGCATTTGTAAAATACAGTGACTGAAGCAGAGAGTTAAGGTAGCAGGTGGCACCCTGGTTCTTGAGGCCCACATATCCAGTCTCCTTCTTGGAATCGTAGTTGTTGAAATTGTGCCAGAGCACACCGGTTTCATCTTCAACAATACGGAGGTAAACCGTGATGTTGGCAGCGTCGTTCTCGCAAAGAGGTCGGGTACCCCGGTCCCAAGGGGTGTTGAACATCTTCCGCAGCTCGACGAAGCGCGTGAAGCCCCAATCGCTTTCTTCCTTGGTGAAGCGATGGTGGGCATGGTGGAATGTGTATAGGGAGGGGTCGTTCGGATTCCAAAGGACGAGGGCAAACTGGACGCAGCAGCTCCAGTTCTCGGGTATGCTTGTGGTCTCGAAACCATGTTCGACGTATATCGAGCATTGATCTACGTTGTTTCCGAAGGGGAAGAGGAGAATTCGCCTATACGAGAAGAGACATTAGTCACAGAACCACACGCGGTCCACCCGGGACTTCATAGCGCTGGAGGAAAACCGGAGTTGCTAGGAGGGCATGCGGCATGGCCGGGAAGAGTTCCGAGGCTAGGAAACGTGTGCGAAGAGAGCGGATCGAGTTTGTCAATAGGACTGCCATACCAAGGATATCCACCGGCGTGAAAGATGGGGCCATGTTCCTTTCTCGACATGGCGTTCCAAGACTCGATGGACCAGGTGTGAACTGCATCCTCAAGTATGCGTGGCTCCTCCAGGAGAGGAGGTAGCACAAACTCTTTCATGGAATCATCTGCCATGGCGATGTATCATCATTAGTGCCCAGACACAATACGATGTTGAAGCGGGGTTGGACGTAATGGGTGAGGGGAGAGGGGGTTTGAGGATGAAGGTATGGAGGGGTAGGATGTGGTGCGGTGCAGCGTACAGTCGTCGGCGGTTGGGAGATCCTGTAATTGATCTACTTCGGCATCGGGTGTGTCGGTATTGATGATGGCGATTTGATCTTTCTCGGATGGGTGTGCGACACCGACATAGTCGTCCGAGTCGAGCATCATGTCATTCGGTGAATGGATGTTTGGATTATAGCTCTGGAGGAACGGGTTGGACGTCAGCAGGCAGGCAGTGAGAAGACAGGTTCACCCCGGAATATCGTTCAGTTTCAGTGTGAGGTGGTGCAGGGTAAGAGAACAGCTGAGGCAGATTTGATTAATGGCAGGCAGTTGATATCTATTTGGAGGGGAATGAAGCTGAGGAATGAAGTTCACAAGGACAGTCTTGTCGAGAAATTACTCCCGGGGAAAGTGGTGGACCTGAGGTGGCGCGGTAATGGTGATGGTGACAGTGATCAGAGGTGCAGGGCGGGGGAGAGAAAATAATACGGGCAGTGGTCTTGAGAGAGGCAGGAAGGGGAAAGGGCTTACCATTGTGGATGACGAAGACCATCGAACTAGGCGATGAAGTTAGGATAGCAAGAGATGAGGTGGAGAGCGAGGGAGGGAAGGAGAAGCCCATCCATCAATCCACGGGGACTGCCAAGGTGAAAGGGGAGGAGCAACAAAGACGAGTCGAGGCGAGGCGAAAGGCTACAAGCACTTGATGTTGATGTATGAAGTAGTGAGTGTATTGTGGTTGAAGAGATCAAAGTCGAGTGGATTGATCAAAGTCGACGTCCCACCTTTTGCTTTACTTCGTACTTTTGGGCCTTCGGAGTTTTGCTGGGAGCTACGATTTTGTACCTTGTACGTTCACTGGAAGGCGGGGGAGATTTTTCCTCTGGGGGTTCTGAGAACATGAACTGGGCAGAGGCAGCAGGAGGCAGCAGAAACAGCTCCAGCCAGGCGGCACCAGATACCATGTACAAGCACTGCAGGTATGACTTGGAGCCTCCTGGCCTATTATTTGGGTGACCAAGCAGCTCGGGAACGCGTGTGGCGAGACTTGGATGAGGTGAGCTACAATAACACAATGCAGTGTCCGACTGTGCACAGTCTGCTCACGAGAAGCGACAAACTTGGAGGCACACTGAAAATTCCATGTGGTCAGTGGTACTTGACATCTTAGGCTCTCGAAGCCCCCACATGCTCGCCCACACTGTAATGGAGTGATTGTACCTTTGTACTGACGTTACCTCTGTACGAAGTACCTCTGCCTGAGATCAATTTCGTGTAACATGCTCGATGGAAAATCGATAACCTCTCCAGAGACCGTCTTGGAGAAATGGTTTCTTCTGAAACGGAAAACCCAAAGAAAATAAACCCCAGACTTCCATATGCCTATCTACACCTTCTCCTACCCATCGACGTCAACCTGACCGATGACTCTAGGCCTCGAGTAGACGTCACGTCTGGGATTCTTAAGAGAAGGAAAACCAGTGTGAAAAATGACCAAAACGAACCACTCGTCACCAGAGACCAAGAGCGCAGATTATAGTGGCAACTACAACGGTTCTCTAGAACCCCATGGCGAATCAGACCAGTGTGCTGGCCCTCCCATCATCTGCTGCCCGGCAGCAGCCGAGACACTGTAGCCCCTCTATTCGACCAGCAAGGCAGGAGTATCAGTGCAAGCGCCTGTTACAGCAAGATTGAGGCCCTCAAGGCGTGCAATTCGACGCTGCTGATGTTAGGGATATCAAAGTTGGGGCTGATTCCTCCAATACAATCGTCAACTGTGTCATAAAAGCTCCCACAAACCTAGCCCTAGCAGCATCGATGGGACAGGAATGAGCCAACAATGCATTTCGAATGAAGCAAGCATGTGGTTAAAAGCTGTCGCTGGCACCAAACACACAAAGCGCCTTGGCCGAGCCACGGCCTCACTTGCTTTGTACTCTCTTTCGCAGTGTAACTTTGCACTTGTGATGACGTTTGGTTGGAGGCAACATCCCACCTCTATTACTTGATACACTCGGATAAAGAATATCAAGAGCCCCGAGGGACCATTTAAGCCCTATTATCGTAACTGGTTATTATACGAAGTACATCCATCAATTGGCCAATTTCAACCCGATTTGATTCCGAGCCCTCAGGCGAGGTGACCCGATGCAAGGAACGGTCAGCACGACAGTAGAACACGACCACCTGCTCAATGTAGCCACGGCTTATCGATGGCAAACAGAGGCAAGAGGCGAGAGATCTCACCGGCTCTTCACCATCAGCATCGATGGGTGCCAGTTTTGTCCCATGTTGACCGGAAGCCTTAGCACTTCGTAGGTCTGGCTAGCAACGGGTCAAGATCAAACATCAATCTGCGCTATTCGCTTGTGTCAAAGTGCACTAAAGAATCTTGACGACCTCAGTTCCTCAGTGCTTCATCCTGTACTCCATACAATAGTGTAATAGTGGCTAGATAAATAATAATCATAATGCAGAAGTTGGTGCTGCAACTTGTGCTGGTTCGACTGCATTGAGCTAAGTTGGTTGATGACTCAACCCCACATTTAGCACGGAAAGAGCACCACCAGCATCTCACGTCCTGTTGCCATTCCGATCTGCTCCACTACTCTATACTTGCAATAGTTCAGATGCATCCTATCCTCGGGATTCCAAGGTGATTCACCCAGTCACACCTCCCGCCCCAGCGAACTCATTAAATACTACGACCTACGGAGACATCTCAAACAACTCCTCTGCTTCCTCCCAGCTCCCAACGAACACGCCCTCTCCTCGAAGCTGCAACTGCATGGTACAAGCGTAATGCCTCCCGTCGCGGTCCGACGAGCTTCCACAGCTCGTCGCATAACTTTCTCCGCCGCTTTCGCCGCCTCGCCAGCCCCATCCCAGAGCATTCGACGCCCGCGATGTCGAGGGGACCGCTCCCATACCACAGCGGCATGGCGCCCTGTCTCTGTCCTTGACGAGTAAATGCCCACTCCCTTCTCAAAATAAGCTTTTTCTTTTCCCTCCCATTGGCGAGTGATAACTGACCTTTGCTTGCTTCGTTTTCCCCGTAGATGGGTTGCCAAGGAGGCTCGACCTATCAGTCTTCGGCAATTGATGGTCTTCGGCCGCTCACTGACCGAGTCTCGTTTGATCAATTCGGCCAACTATGTCCGGACAGAGCTTCCCACGAGGTTCGTATCATGTGAAGGTGAATGAGGAGGGGTCCGTTTCTTTCCGGCAGATGGGCTAACAAGAGGTCCCACCTCTCTTCGTCTAGAATTGCGCACCGAATTCGGGATATGCAACACCTACCCTACGCCGTTGTCAAGAACCCCCACATTAGCGATGTCTATAACCTTTACTATAATGCCTTCGATTCTTTCCGAAAGATCAAAGAGATAAATACCCTAGAAGAAAATGACGAGTTCTGCAAGACCATAAGCAAGAACCTCCAGGCCCACCTGACCGTCATACCCAAGCTTGCCATGGGGATAATAGAATGTAGCGACCTTATGGATGCACAGTCTCTCGACAAGTTTATGAACACTATCCTAAGATCTGTACGCAATACTCCCGCCCTCCCCTCCCCTCCCCCCTAACCACCTCGTCGCCTTCCCTTCTAACACGTGCCCCCACACGTGTGTGTAGAGGATATCCCGCCGAGTCATCGCAGAGCAACACCTAGCTCTAACAGAAACCTACAACTCCCCCTGGTTCTCCCCCGGAGCCAAACTCTCCGAGGCCGACTTCATCGGCGAAGTCTTCATCAAATGCGTCGCTAAGGACGTCATCGACCGCTGCGGCCTCGCCGTCCAAGCCCTCGCCCGAGCCACCTACGGGCCGGAGGTACAAATCCCCGAGATCAAAGTCGAAGGCCACCTCAACGCCAGCTTCCCCTACATCCTCAGCCACCTCGAGTATATCGTCGGCGAGCTCCTCCGCAACTCCGTCCAGGCCGTCATCGAGCGCCAAATCCGCGAAAGCGAACGCCAACAAAAGGACAACCCCGACCAAAGCCACCCTGCGGCACCACTACCTCCCATCGAGGTGACTATTTGCGAGTCCCCCCAGCTCATTATTATTCGCATATCCGACCAGGGCGGCGGCGTACCCCGCGACGTCCTCCCCCACCTCTGGTCCTTCAGCAAAGGGCCCCGCGGCCAGAAGCTGCTCGAGAACCTCGGCAAGGTCCCCAAGATGGCTGCCACGATGCAGGAGCTCCACATCCATGATGAGATCGCGCGGGCCGACCTACGAACACCGAGCAGCTACGAATCGGCGCCCATCACGTCGTCGTCGTCCCTGTCTTCCCTGTCGAACAGGCCGCCGAATCTCCAGCTCGGCATGGGTTTGCCCCTGAGTAGGGTCTACGCCGAGTACTGGGCCGGTAGCCTCGAGCTGCATAGTCTCGAGGGGTATGGCGTCGATACGTTCCTGCAGATTTCGAGGCTGGGGAACAAGAATGAGCAGTTGACTACTAGGGCGACTATTGATGCTGTTTGAGAGTCTCGGCTTTTTGGAACTAAGCCTTTCTATATTTTATTTTATCCTTTCCTTTTCCCCTTTTCTTCTTCTCTGGTTATTGTCCTCCTCCTGCTCCTTTTTATTTTCTCTAAGGAGTAAGAACCATTTGTCGGGGATACATGTGGGTGAGATGGACTCATACTATGCATGGCGTATCTGGTGTTGGCGGGTCAGGGGGACTGGTTCATGTCATTGTCTGGCTGGCTCCTCTTGGGGGCTTCATCTGAGATCTGAGATGGGAAAGGGACCAACTAAATGCTTCGGGTACTTCCCACAAGAGCGATAAAGAGAGTATACAATAGAGCAGTATCCTTTCAACCTGCTTTCTCTTCACTCTCCTTACATCCATCTGGTAGGGAGTGCATTTTACAGTCAAAGGGAGCAGGGACGTAACTTAGGGGCAAAAAGGTCAAGACTCTCTCATTAACTGGTATCATGAAAGGGTGTCGATGAATTACAGAGTTAAACGTAACTACCTGGGGAGGCTTAAAAAAAAAGAGACTCAAAGGGGGATTTTGGTAAAAGAAAAAAGACAAAAGACGTAAACAGGCACTATAGAGAATAAACGGAGGAATGTGGGGTTGGCAAGACAGAGAGAGCGATGAAGAAACAAGGGTCCCGTCTCCATTTCCTCTATCCAAACCGCTCCCCCATTCCACCCTGCTGCATAAAAAAAAAAGGTGCGTTTTGCTCAAACAGCAGCCCGTACCAGACCAAAGCATCCATAAGGTATTTCCGAATTCGCCGTCAATTTCCAGAGCAAAACATCAGCCAACTGCACTGTACACCTTTTATAGCGATAGGCCCCCCTCTCGTGAGCATCTATTCCATCCGAAGGAAGATAATTCGTCTTCTTCATATATTGGAGTAGACATGGTCAACCCCCGGACAGAATTCAACTCAGATTAAGAAGAGGGATTGTGGACACGCGGGTAGGAAGAGAGAGGAGCCAAAAGGAATAAGTGTATGAGAGAGAGAACCATTCGCCCAGGTATAACAGATAAGAAGCTGCAAACGGAAATTGACGAGCAGGGCGTAAAATTGAAAAACAAGGGTATAAACACTTTAGCGGCGACCGTGGCTGCGGACAGCGCTGCCCTGCATTTGCTCGAGTTCGAGCTCCAGCTGCTTAATCTGGGCGTGGGTCTGTTCGAGGTCCTTGTTAAGGCGGTCACGCTCGGCGATAAGCTTCTGCTCCCATTGTCGGAAGCGCTGCTCCTCAATCTTGACCTGCTCGGTGAACCGCTTCCGGAGCATCTCCTCCTCCTCCTTGAACTTGGGGTTGTCGAGCTTTCGGGGACGGGCCTCGCCGAACTTGCGCGTCTCCATTTGCTGGGCGCGGTAGGCCTCGTAGTGGAGCTCTTCGGTGGTGTGGATCAGGTCGAGCATGTGCGTGCGGATGAGGATGGAGCGGAGCTTCTTGAAGTCGCAGTGGTCCTCGTTCTCGACCTCGGCAACACCCCACGAGTACTGTCGGCCCTTAACGATGCGGCCGTCGCTGGTCTTGACGTCCTTCTCGGAACCGATAACGGCGAAAGGCATGGCGGCCATGAGGCTTCGGGCGTGCTGGGCAGCAGCATCGTCATCCTCCTCGATGGGGGGCTGGTAAATCTTGATGCTCTGGGCCTCGATAACGGCACGGACCTGAAGATAGTGGTTAGTATTGATCGAGGACGCAACGGGCACGGGCGCAGGGATGGGAAGGACAAACCCTCTGCTTGAACTTGGCAAGGTCGGCAGGGCTGAGGGTATCAGCCTTGGCGATGACGGGGATGAGGTTGACCCTGGAGCAGAGTCGCTTCATGACCTCGATGTCAAGAGGCTTGAGGGTGTGGCCGGTAGGGCGAATGAAGTAGAGACAAGCGTGGACTCGGAGGTCGATCTTGTCCTGGCGGCGGGGTTGCTGCTCCTGCAACATGTACGACTCGTGCTGGTCATCGAGGAACTCGATGATGGGCATCCACGAATCACGGTTGTTGACATAGTCACCGAATCCAGGGGTGTCGATAACGGTGAGGCGGACTGTGAAAAAGAAGAGTGGGTTAGATGACTGGTCGAAATCGAGGATGTGGTCTCCCGGGACGCGACAGGAAACAAAAGGGGGCCAGGAGGAGTTGTCGAGCGTGCGAAGCTCAGGACATGTGCATACCCTTGAAGAACTTCTCCTCCAGCTCGGCCTTGGTGATCTCGATCTCGACGGTCTTGTCGACCTGCTTCTGGTGGCGGCGCTTATGGTCCGCATAGTTCTTGATGGTGGTGGAGAAGAGGGTGTTGATGAAGGTGGTCTTGCCCAAGCCCGACTCGCCAGCAACCTACCCATTAAGGAACAGTCCAAGTTAGCATGAACTACAAAAAAGCAACACGAGATGGTGATATTGATCATGGGAAGTCATACCATAATAGTGAAGGCTGCACCTCGCTTCGCAACAATCTTGTGTCGCTGGTTAGGGAGGTTGGCAATGCCAATCGGTGAGGCACTCTCAGCAACAGACGGGGCCATTTTGAACAGCTGTTACTGGGGGGAACTTCTGGAGGATTAAGGGGATGCGGATGATGGGAGTCGCGACAATTGGAACGAGGATCAAGAGACTCTGCGTCAGAGAAATGGAAATGTGCAGCTCGAAGCTGTGGGAAATGGTGTTCAATGGACGGAAGGCGACCGTTGAATGGGGAGAGAGTTTACAAGTAACGAAGTCGAGATGGAGCAAGAGATCAATAGTACGAAGCGGAGCCTGTGCTTTCAGGGGAAACAGAAACACGGCGAAATTTCCTTTTGGCTGCAAAAATCAATTGGACGAGGGGGTTGGAAGGTTCAATCAGTTTAATGTTAATGTTGGGTTGGGCCACCTCAGTTGTTCCCAAGCCAATTCAAGCCAATCCAGCCCCTGTCGTGTGAGGCCAGTTCGCTGATTTGATTGATGTCCCCTCCACTAGTTTAAGTCGCTCAGTGCCTTTGTGCCTGGGGAGACCTGTCAGAGGGAATGGGACTTATTGAGACTTAGTATGGGACGTATAGGGACATTGAATACAGGGGTCGGCAGTCAGATTGGCGTGCATAATGGGTGTTGAGAGTGTACACCGTTTGTACACTGACCTGACCTTTTTTTGTTTGGTTGTCTGGTCGAAACTGTTTAGATTGAGCTACATACCACGGACGGACCTGCCCTGCCCACAGTAATCCATGGACTTGTAACATTGCATTGTCCCTCCCAATCTGGATAAGGCCAGGCGCTGCTTACCGAACATTACCCGATCGGCTCATGTTGCCGCTCTCATGTTAATCCACACTGTGTATCAATGCACAAACTGAGCCATCAATCTGCAGTGGGTGTAAACTACGCCACATTTATGCACCCCACCCTGTGGCTAGTGACAACTCCCCAACTGCTCTCTCTACATTTGATGTAATCGATAAGAAATTCGAAAATAGAAAGAAAAAAAAAAAGTTGCGAAAACTCCACGACACATTGAAGAGCGAAGAGGGACAATTTGGAAAGCTTCTTCGTGAGGATGAAGACTAATTTTAAGGCATGTTACAAATACATTCCCTTGCTTGTTTCTTGCTCCATATTAACTGTCCTTTCTAGTTTTCCAACCTCTTGGGGACGGTTTACTGCCAGGGAAACCTGCTCTACGACCCCGAAGGAACCCACCTCTTCTCTCCAGTCGGCAACAGAGTCACCGTCTTCAACCTCGTCGAGTATGCGCACCCGGCCTATTTCCCCTGTCCCATATCCTACATAGGGCAATTTCATTACCAATTGCTAACTTCTTAAACTTCGTAGTAATAAATCCTACACATTTCCCTTTGCGCACCGAAAGAACATCGCCCGGATAGGACTCACCCCGCAAGGCAACCTCCTCCTCTCAGTCGACGAAGATGGCTACGCGATCCTAACTAATGTGCCCCGCCGCATCCCCATATACCACTTCTCCTTCAAATCGCCCATCACAGCCCTATCTTTCTCCCCGTGCGGCCGCTACTTCGTCGTCGGACTCCAGCGCAAGATCGAGGTCTGGCACGTGCCGTCGACGCCCGACGCCAACGCCGAGGGCCAGCTCGAGTTCGCGCCCTTTGTGAAACACCACACGCACACGCAGCACTTCGACGACGTGAGGCACATCGAGTGGTCCAGCGACTCGAGGTTCTTCCTGTCTTCGTCCAAGGATCTGACGTCGAGGATATGGAGCGTAGAGGCGGAGGAGAACTTTACGCCAACGGTGTTGGCTGGACATAAGCAGGCCGTCATCGGGACATGGTTCTCGGAGGATCAGGAGACTATTTATACCGTTAGCAAGGACGGCGCCGTATTTACTTGGAAATATGTTGGACGGCCGAAGAACGAGAATGAGATGGAGGATAGCGACGACGACGAGGAGATGGAGGCGCGGTGGAGGATAGTGGACCGCCATTACTTTATGCAGGGCAGCGCGCACGTCCGGTGCGCGACATTCCACGCTGCCACGAACCTCCTCGTTGCGGGCTTCTCCAACGGCATCTTTAGGCTCTACGAGATGCCGGATTTCAACATGATTCACAACCTCAGCATCTCTCAAAACAACATCGACTTTGTTACCATAAACCGGACGGGAGAATGGCTCGCATTTGGCGCGTCAAGGTTAGGCCAGCTGCTCGTGTGGGAATGGCAATCCGAGTCGTACATTCTCAAGCAGCAGGGCCACTTCGACTCCATGAACTCCCTAGTCTACTCGCCCGACGGCCAAAGGATCGTCACGGCGGCGGACGACGGCAAGATAAAAGTGTGGGACATCGACTCCGGATTCTGCATCGTCACGTTCACGGAACATTCGAGCGGCGTCACGGCATGCGAATTTGCCAAGAAGGGCAACGTCCTTTTCACGGCCAGTCTTGATGGATCCGTGCGCGCGTGGGATCTTATCAGGTACAGGAATTTCCGAACATTTACCGCTCCTACTAGGTTATCCTTCTCGTGCATGGCCGTCGACCCGAGCGGCGAGGTTGTCGCTGCCGGGTCGCTGGATTCCTTCGACATTCATATCTGGAGCGTGCAGACGGGCCAGCTGCTGGATAGGCTATCGGGACATGAGGGTCCCGTGTCGTCGCTGGCCTTCGCCCCCGATGGAGATGTCCTAGTGAGCGGAAGCTGGGACCGCACGGCTCGTGTATGGTCCATCTTTAACAGGACCCAGACTAGCGAGCCGCTGCAACTGCAGGCCGACGTCCTGGACGTTACCGTCCGTCCGGACTCGCAGCAGCTCGCCGTATCCACGCTTGACGGCCAATTAACGTTCTGGAACATCAAAGACGCCGAGCAACAAGCCGGCCTCGACGGACGTAGAGACATATCCGGCGGTCGCAAGGTGACGGACCGCCGAACAGCCGCCAACACGACATCGTCGAAGAGCTTCAACACCATCCGATACAGCACGGATGGCAGCTGTCTCCTAGCGGGAGGAAACAGCAAGTATATCTGCCTCTACTCAGTGAACTCCATGGTTCTCCTGAAGAAGTTCACCGTGAGCGTCAACCTCTCCCTGTCTGGCACGCAGGAATTCCTCAACAGCAAGCTCCTCACCGAAGCCGGGCCCGCCGACCTCATCGACGACGAAGAAGCCTCCGACAGGGAAGCCCAGCTCGAGAAAAACGCTTTGCCGGGTTCGAAGCGGGGAGACCCCTCAGCGAGGAAAGTCACCCCTGACATCCGCGTCACGAGCGTCGGGTTCTCTCCCGCAGGAACGGCGTTCTGCGTCTCGTCGACGGAAGGTCTTCTAATCTACAGCCTCGACAACAACCTCCAATTCGACCCCTTCGACCTCAACATGGAAATCACCCCGGCGTCGACGCTCTCCGTGCTCCGCAACGAGCGCGACTACCTCAAGGCGCTCGTCATGGCCTTCCGGCTCAACGAAGCGAGCCTCATCAAGCAGGTCTTCCTCTCGGTGCCGCACACGGAAATCCCCCTCGTGGTGCAGGACGTCCCCTCCGTCTACGTCTCGCGACTTCTCCGCTTCGTCGCCGCGCAGACCGAGTCTTCCCCGCACGTCGAGTTCTGCCTGCTCTGGATCAAGGCGCTCGTGGATAAGCACGGAGCTTGGTTGAGCGCGAATAGGGGCAAGGTCGATGTTGAGCTGCGTGTTGTGGCGAGGGCTGTGGCAAGGATGAGGGATGAGATTCGGAGGTTGGCGAATGATAACGTGTATATGGTGGATTATCTACTGGGGCAGGGTGGTGCGGCGGTGAATGGGAAGGGTAGCAAGGCTTTAGGATGGGGTTCGGAGGGTGCGGTGACGAAGTTGACGGATGGGGAAGACGAGGGGAGCGAGGATGGATCGGATGGGGATGAATGGTTGGGATTGGAGTAGGTAGGACTCTTGCGGGATGGGATACCCCCAATGTTGGGACGCAATATTTTGGTATTTATCTGTATTTACTAACTGGTATTACAATTTGGGGAGTTTTTGCCTTCATTAGAACTAAAAGCGGCGTTCTGTTTCTCTCGTGGCCCTTTCTGCTTTATCCTGACACAACTTAGAAAGCTCACTTACAACCTACCGTTTCTCGAGCTTTGGAACATCCTATTTTCCTGAACGTCAGTGATCCGTCTTATACGTCAAGTAGTCAAAAACTAGTCACTTACATCCCAAGCCGAATCGAAGCCAGCATCGCGAACCCACCTGACCCCCTTGGGATCCACCGTCACATCAACAAGCAGATGCATCAACTTTAGCCACGTATCTTGGCCGCGAATGCGTACCCAGGGTTTATCCTGGTACTTTTGCAAGATGTTGTGGCATAAGACGGTTGCTCGGGCGAGTTTGATGGAATGGCCGTCGTCAGCGATATGGTAGAATTTAGGGAGGAGGTCTAGATAATACACATTTTAGCTGAAAACTGGAAGCTTTTATATGACGGCAAGGCCTCTCTTTTATTTTCTTCCTTTTGAGAGGAGACGTATGGATGAGACTTACCCTCGAGCTTAGAAGCAGGAGTCTTGTCCTTGGGCGTATATTCCATCGCCTTGTCAAAGTCAAGCGGCGGAGAACCAATACCTAGCCAGCGCAGAATATCGGTGCGGATCTTCCATTCGAGGATACGGACTTTCGCCGAGGTTGGGATCCAGGATTGGGTGTTTATGGTGAGGAAGATGGGGTCGAGGTTGACGTGATGGCTTGTTTCCCCCCCAATGTTAGTTTCTTACATGCTCTCTTTTCTTAACCCCCCCAAGATAACGGACATTACTCACATAAGGAAGAAATCAAACCGCGGTTCATGCGGAAGATGCACTGTCGCCGCCCCCGCAACAACCAACCCCGCCTGAAAAGCCTCCGCCGTCCTCTCCTCCAGCTCCTCCTCTTTCACCCTCACCCTCGCCGCAAACGGCGCCGCGTCATCGATCCCCTCCGTCACGAGCTGATACGTGTTATTGTTATCGGGTGATGTGACATGGCGCTTCAGTGCTTCATTCTCGCCGGCGTCTTTGAAGAGGTCGAGGATGGTCCCCATGGGCTCGATGTCCGGGCGTGCGGCATCTTTCTCGGCCTGTGTTAGGAAGGGGCCAAGCTGGTTTTTGTGGATGCCGGCTTGGGCGAGGGCGGAGGCGAGGAGGGCGGGTTGTGCCCATTCGATGCCGTAGAGGAGTTGGATGAGGGGGTGGAGGAGTCCTGTTCTGAGTTAGCTACAGTTCTATTTTATATTTACGTACGTTTAAACCTTGATATGGGATAGTCCTATTCGTACCAGCAAACATCCTCTGAAGCATATCATCGCTCCTTTCAGTGCCGGCAAAGAGATGCTTTTTCAATGCCTCCTGCCATCCTAGCTTGTCCATCTCGCGCTGGAAGTAGATGAAGAGGTCGGGAAAGTACTGAGGCTTTCCAAGGTAGTTAAGGGCCTCGGGCCATTCGTCGAGGCGGTCGGCGACGTGGTCATGGGGAGCGTTGAGGTCACGTTGGTAGGTCTTGTTCTGGTCATAGGCGAACTGGAGGTCCTTTGCCGAGGCGCCGGTGCCATAGAGGCTGAGGATGTGGTGGACGAGCTATTTGAAGGGGACCGCCATGTAAGTAAGACGAGAATAACTTGGCCGTGAGTTTTCCCTAAATATACTTACATGATTGTGGTATCCTCTATCGTTGAAGAATGCATGGTGAGTCTTTAGCAAAGCCGTGTTAGTCGCATCACGGCGGCTGACAGTGTCTTGTACTCTTCATAAATTTCATCTCATTCAAACCCACCTCGAGATCCTTCTGCAGCAACTCCGTGGCCTTGTCCGCCGCCTCCGCCGTCTGCGGCACATGGAGCAACCCCGTATTCTCAGGGGTAATGTGAACCTTGAGCGAACTGGCCATGGTCGAAGCAGCACGTTGCGATGCACGAATATGCGGCGCTGTATTGGGAGGAGTCTTGGCGACGGGAATGGGTCGGATGGGAATGCTAACAACTCGGGGTGACATGATGCGGCGCATTTGCTTTTCAATCTTTTTATATCCTATGTCCGACAATTGCTCGGAGTCTCTGCGTTACGAAGGGAGGGGGGAGGGGGATTTAAGCTGCAGGAGGAGGCCAGGTCACACATAAAGTTTCGGTGCTGGTTGACGCGAGGGTGTGAAAGAGAACACGAGGCAACGGGTAGCAAATGGTGTAGGTGGAAGTCAAAGTTGGTATCTTGACATCACTCGCCATAAGACTCGGGATGTTTCTTGTTTCCGGACTCGAGCCGACGCGAAGCGAAGCGCAGAAGATCCACGAGATTCACGGAAGATACAAACAGGATGCACGAGCTGGTCGATCCGCTTTTCTCAATTGACGTATTTTGGGGTTCTTTTGTGAAGACCAGAAGCGACATCATTTCATGTCCGAAAGTGGCTTACTTATTTTCCTGCAGAAGAACGAAAAGATTATAAATCAGATTTTCGATCTCCGGCGGCGGGAACGGGGAAAGGAGAAGAGGCGGCCGAGTTGATCACGGAGAAGTCGGGCAGGGAGAGCCGACGATGCTTTGCACCGTGACATCAATTGGTTACTTTGGGCAAATCTGGGGTAAAGAGAACGGGGAAATGGCCAATCCAATGACGTTGGCGTGGCGTCGAGCATCAAGTGACAATAGAGTTGTTGCAGATGCAACAGGTCGACTGGTTTAGAAGGGATGGGCAATGTTTCTCTGAGCATGATGGTTCATCAGTGATCCGTCATCGATGATCCGATGGATTCAATCGGAATCAATCTGCATGCATCGGATGGGTCTAGAACGAGTCAGAGAAAATAGCCACAGTCTCATTGGTTGCTGCGTGCCCTGCCAAGCACGTACGGAGCATGGGTACTCATAGTCGACAGACACGCCCATCCTCCAGGGATGCGAATTGTCGATGAGAAGCAAAGAATCAGAATGAGAATCAGTCTATTGAAATGACCGTGTCGCCTTGCGAGATCGCGAGATCCACCACTCGTGCCCTTTTTTGCTTTGTAGGCCGCTTTTTTTTGTTTCAACTGTTAAATGTACCTCCTAAACCACCGAAATCACCTTCGAGTAGAACCTCCCAACGTACGTAGTAAAGTAAAAACCATCCCTATCCCGGCGCCGGGACCATGTTCGACGAAATCGAACCCTCCACTTACGCCGCCTTCCTCTTCTTGTTGGGAGGAGGCGATCCAGCTGCATCCTCACCCTCCTCATCCTCGTCATCAGACTCGAAATCTATATCGCTCAATCCATCCTGCTCTTGAGCGTTGGCTACACGAAGGCCTGTTAGTCGGAGGTCACTTCGGTTGTGTATATATAGAAACTGAAGAAAAGAGAGAGAGTAAAGGGGGAGACAAGGGGGCAAGCTGGCACAAAACTCACTGAAATACTTAATCGCATCAGGCCAGAGCTCCTCCGAGATGCAAACGGCGAGATCATCACCCTCCGGGAAAATCTCCAAATCCTCCTCGATAGCGATCTCATCATCGTCATCCTCTCCCTCCTCCACCGTATCATCCTCAGGCACCTCCTTACCCTCCTGACGCAACTTCCTCCTCTCCTTCTCCTCAGCAAGCGCCGTCTTGCTCTCCTCCGCACTCACGCGCCTACCAACATAGCCGAACCACGCAAAGAAACTAATCCCACCAAGACCAATGCTCTCGATCTTTTCCTTGAGCGCCTTCCGGTCATCGGTCCATCCTTCCACCTTCTTGCCCCCACTAGCCGCCTTCTGCTGCTCGCCGTTCCAAAGCTTCACGGCCTGCGCTAGCAAGCCCTGGGTTAGGTCCTGGTCCTTCTTCCACCGGATGTCGACGGGCTCGCTAACAAGTCCCGCCCAGTCGCCCTTGTCGGCGTGGCGGTACCAAAACTTCTTCTCGAGCACCGAGTCCTCGAAGTACTCGTTCTCGCTAAAGGTGAACTTGATGGCGATGGAGCGGGGGTCGCCTTCGGGGTCGTCGAGCTCGAAGTGGGTTACCTCGAGCGAGGTGAGGGCGGAGAGGAGGAGGGCAGCGTCCGACGGCTGGATGTGCTCGTCGACGCCGGGAGGGGCCTGCTCGAGGACGAGGGGCCAGAAGCCGGGGATCTTGGCGACGAGGGCGGCGCGCTTTTCGTAGAGGGCCTTGGTGGCTTTTACTTGGTGGCGGACTGTTGGCGCGGCGAGGGAAGGATTTGGTTAGATGTCTGAGGCTTTCCAGCAGAGGCCATGCTTTCTTAGGGAATAAACCGTCGCATTGAAGGGCAATTGAGGGCCATTGAGCGAGCAATGGGAAGGGTATCACATACTTATCTCAGCATCGGCATCCTCGAACTCGCGCTCAAGGTCCAAGAGCTCCTCGTAGGTGACGGAGCTTTCCTGTACGGCTTGTACCATGGTGGGGCTAATATGAAGGACACTAAGATTATCCGTGGGAATATTGATCTTATCAAGTGGTAAAGAGAGCTGGAGTTTGGTATCCAGATCTAGAAGATAGCCGTATATAATAACAGGAAAAGAAAAAAAAATGATCAAAACTGTTGATTTATAAGTATTTGTGTCTGGGCAGAGAGGGTTTGCGCCTGTTGGGTTTTGCTGGTTTCTTGATAATTTTTGGCGGTGTGCGAGAGCAGAATTTCTTTGGAGGAGCTAAGCTGGACAAAGTAAGCTTCAACGGGTCTGCCAAAGTAGCCAAGTGTAGCTTTGTAGCTTCCTGCGATGAGAGAGTGGGGGAGTACTTCCAGATTCGATCATGTTGGATTGCAACATTTGACGTTTTGGGAATTCCAAGTCCTCGCAGAGCCAAGCCCCACTAATCTACATTGTACTCGTACTTGTCTTGTTGTACCTGCGTACTGTACGTACTCAACTACTTCGCATTTTCAATGTTCTTCAATGCTCCAGCCCACTGTTGTGCAAGTGTCTCTCTGTACCTTTGAACGTTAGAATTGCTATGATGACGGGTCCTATACTTGTGCATAAAATTCATAAAATTATACACTTAAGAAATCCAGCGCAATTGATCAAGCAACTGAGCTGACCGATTTTGGTGTCCTTCATCAACGTCAACGACACGCGCCGAGGCTCGCGGACAATGGCAAAACGGACGTCACCCAAGGCACTAGATTGATTAATCTTTACGAACAATTGAGGCTCTGCGATAAAAACTCGAAGACATTTTCGATGTTCACCATCGTGGACAGTCTGCTCTCACTATATTGCCGTCTTCGATTATTCCTTCTAGCATTTTCCCCCGATCTCCGATTGTCTTTGACATCTCAACATCTTGCCCAATAGCTCTCACCTCACCTCATCTCATCTCAGTCCAAGTCTCTCACCACCATCCTCCTCACCCTTCCAAAATGACATATCCAATCTCTCTCCGGTAGAAACTTCTCACTCAAACGAAGAAACCAAACCCCGAACTCAGTCCCCATCATGAGCGAAGTCTCCCTCCTCGTCTTCGTCACCACATCCCTCACCTCCGCCGTCCCCGCAATCCTATCCTTCCTCACCACAGCCAAGGACTCTCTCTCCGCATTCCTTACCTCCTCCGCCATCCCCGCGACTTTATCTTTCCTCACCGCCGCCGGGTCCTTCCTCACTTCGTCCTTATCCTCCCTCACAGCATTCCTCGCCAATGCCTTCCCCGTAGTCTTGTCCTCCCTCATCAACGCCGGCCGCTTTCTGACCACGTCCATCGCCTCCGCCGTCCCCGTAATCTTATCCTTCCTAACCGCAGCCGTGTCCCTTCTCACCGGCGCCGTATCCTTCCTCGCCGCAACCCTCACTACCCTCACTACCCTCATCGTCCCCGCCATCTCGACCATTCTCCTCTCCATCGCCGACCTCGTCTCTGCCATCCTCGCCTCCATCGAATCCGTCCTCACCCTAATCCTCTCCCCAACCGTCCTGGTCACCCCTCTCCGCGTCCTCCGGGCTACCCTCTGCCCCGTTGTCGATGCGCTGTCTTTTGTACTTGCACCGTTATCCTATCCTGTTGCAGGGGTAGCTCTCTGTGCGACGACAATTGCGTCTTTCGTTCTAGAATTTAAGGTCCGTACTCCTTTTTTCATGATTATATTCTATTATTTTCTTCTTTCTTTCTTTCCTTCTAGTGCCTTAACAATATAACGATTCTTCGCAAGACCGATATAACTAACGTCACTTACTAGGCCCTCTACACATTTGTAAAGTTCTCCCCAACTAAAACTAACACGCCATCCGTCCCCGTGCGGGAACTAAAAGCATGAACTAACACTAAATCCTCCCTCTCCGAATAGCTCTCGACCGCCGCCGTCGTCGGCCTCATCGCCGGCGCTATCCTCTCACGCCTCTCCCACTCCATCTCCTACCAACTCGGCTGGCTCGACGAGGGAGAAGTCGTCGCGTACGAACCCGTTCCCGAAGAGTCTGAGGCGCACACTGCGTCACAACCACTACTCCTAGAGCATGTACACTGGTCTCCTCCCCCAACCCCGCGCTCTCGGCACTTTAAAAGGCCTGTCGCGATGACGGCGGGAAGACTAAAGTCTAGGTGGGCAAACGGCAACGGTAGCGGCGGCGGAAACGGCGAAGTGTATTAACATCTCCGTCTCTCTTTCTCTCTCTTGTTTTTTCTAAGCGACTGTTGTATATCAGGGCGCTGAACGCTGACTGGTTTCCTTACGATGTACCTACGTATAACACTCTTTTTCTGCAGGCAGAAGAAATGGAAAATGAGCATATTGATGTAAATGGTCATTGTGCCCATAGAAAAGTGACGAGCAGAGGCAGCTTGTTTTTTTTGTAACGTGCTCCAGACTATTGGATCGGGAATCCGGGCCAACAAGTTGAAGTTTCCCTTCTTCATCACAATAGCGGTGGTCACTGTCAACGATCTCTAGGATAGTCGTCACTCCGCGGATCCCCTTGGCCGGGAACAGCTTTCATGATACTCGAAAAGGGCACCAACCGCGCTATGCCGTGCTAAGCCAAAGGGAAGGAGCATCTTTCGCGCCTCCTACACCTTCCTCGACAACATCTAGACGCCGCCATCATCCTTCATATACGAGTTTATGGCAGGAACTTCCAACCGAGCAGCTCAAGCACCAACACTGCAGCCAAATGGCCGAGCGGTCAGTTGGAGCGCTCAGGAAGTTAGAAAAAAAGTATTGTTCGTAGCTACGTGTCTAGCGGGGAATCGCTTCGTTCGAAGTCTAAAGCAGCGCATGCGATCTTTTTTGCATTCTTTCTTTTCTTATTTTTCTCTCCTTTTTCCTTTCGTTATCCTTGATTGAATTATTTGATGTTTGGTTGTGATTTGACACTCTCTTCTACGTGGCCGATCGGGGGAGCCTGAGGGATGATGTCGCCAGAGGGTCGGGACAACGAGAGTCTCTTGAGGGCAGAGCACAAGACGGTGCAATGGGACTATGCGAAGGTCCCGAGTCAAGTGGATGGGCCAACCGCCATAGATCAAGTAACTTCTTGCAATGTTCGTCCTTGTGTCGAAACGAAAGTACACTTGTTTATATTAGTTCTCAAATACGCTTTCTTCTTCTTCTTTTCAGAGTTCTGACTTGGAGGAAACGCATTTTTCGCTCTTAGCTATATGAAGCGACCTTGCTTCGCTCTCATCTCATGCCCGTTTCCATCGCTTTTCTTTTCTCGATGCAATTATCATGCATAGCAGAGTACAACCAGAATGTCTGCCAGGCCAACTAGAGTACAAGGGGGGATAGTAAAAAAAAAAAATTCATAAAGAACAAAGGGGACGGAGAAAAGAAACAAATCTATCCTGGTTCCATTGCAAGAAGAAGGAACAGGGTGAAGAAAAAAAACAAACGAAGAAAAAAAAGAAAAAGAAAGAGAAGGCAACGCGCGTATATCCCTGTCCGCTGTTCCCCCCTGTCCCTTACCCAGTTTGTCTCAATTCCATTCCTCGTCAACGCCTTGGCCTGGCCTTCCCTAAGAATAATAGCTCTTTGTAAAGTTGTTTCGAAAAAAGTATTCGCTGGGGTATGTTGGTCATCGAATGTTCCCAAGGCTATGTCGATGTATCTGCCTTGGTCGTGGTAATGTTATATGTCGTATTTGGCCTCAGAGACTTGCGCGGGTCTCTCACGCCTTCTGAGCCGGATTCGTATTTAGGTTGGTTAAAAAGAGGGGGGTATCAAGCCTTTCGCCGGGGCTTCCGGGAGTTGTGGCCCCGTCGGTTCTATCGACGGGAATACACATCCCTGTCCCTAACGGGAGACCTGCTTCGGCTCCTCGTCCGACGATCCCGGTCCCTTTCTCGGTCCCATCGATCCCGATCATCCCTACTGTCCCTGCGTCGGCGATCATCGCGATGCGACCACTCATCCCTATGCCGTCCGCCACCACCGCCACCGCCGCCAGGGGGAGCACCACTACCGTAACTAGGGATATAAGTGTCGATATCGGCACCACGGTTTCCTCTACTCCTAGGTCGTCGATCACGTTCCCTGTACGGATCGCTGTCGGCAGCGTCCCAGCCATTCTTCTCCGGTGGAGGTGGTCGCGGGGGTAGGCCACGTTCGCCTCGTTGCCAGGCAGGTCGTCGGTCGTCAGTACCGTTACGCGAGGGACCGGTGCTCCCGTACCGACCGCCGTTAACGCCATTCCTGTTACCGAAGCTATCGGTAGTATTGAGGCCAGCCGTGGCACCGTTGGCGCCTTCGGGACCTTTGCCGACCGTTCCTCCCTTGGGTGCGGGTGGCAGCCCGGCCCTGCGATCCTGGAATTTCCTCCTGTCGAACTCGTGGCTCTCTTCGAAGCTGGGTAGATCGGCTGGATTCGCGGGAAGTGGCGCCATCTTGAAGTAGTGATGTTGGAGGGCATCGACGGCGTTTACCCTTGTCCTCCAGTCGAGCTTGAGGAGATCCTTCAGTAGAGATACGGCTCCTGCGCCATATCTAGTGGGGTGGATGTGTTAGGCCGGAGTGGAAAAGGTTTTTAATTTTTTCACTCCTTTTTCTCAGGAGCAAGAAGGAATATTTGACTTACTCCTTGAAGCGCGTAGAAAGACAACCCGGTCTCGGGCGAGGTGATAAGACATCACCGCCAGGAAGGTTCTTCCAACCGGGCATATTCTCCTCGGTCGGTGATCCGACCAGGTCCCAGATGAGCTCTAGCTGGTGACCATCCGACTCACCCGTGAGAATCGGTTTACCGACGAGCATCTCACCGAAGATACAGCTAACGTCAAAGTCGTTAACATCAACCGCTCCCTAGAAATGGACCTGCGCCTTTGTTTGCGGCAGCGAGCACAAAACTTACCCAACTCCCCAAATGTCAATCGCTGTCGTATACCTCTTCAGGTGCAGCAACAACTCGGGGGGGCGGTACCAGCGCGTAACTACAAGTCCGGTATACTCTCTCCTGCCTTCGCCCATGGCCAGGCCGGGTTTGGGCCGGGGTCCTTCGTAGAATCTCGCTAGGCCAAAGTCGGCGATTTGTAGGATGCCCTTGTTGTTGATGAGAAGATTGGCAGCCTTCATGTCGCGGTGGAGGATTCGGTTCTCGTGCAGGTATCGGAGACCTTCGAGCAGCTGGACCATGTAGCACTTGATCTGCGGCTCAGTGAAGTGTACAGAGGGATTGTCGAGTAGACCGGACAAATCGTGATCCATGTAAGGCATGACCATGTACATAATAGGTTTCCTGCGTTTGTCCGCTGTGGGTCACGAAGCAAAGTTAGTGGTGAGGTCCCAACGGTTGGCTTTGCCCACAAGAACAGGGCGAATTGGGGAGAGGGGTGCACTGGCGATACTGACTTGGTCTCTGTGAGTGTTCCACGGCCATATCTTCAAGGCTGAGGACGTTCTTGTGGGAGAGGAGCTTGAGTAGGCGAATCTCTCTTAGCGCTGTGATGGGAAATCCATCCTTCTCGTGGTGCATAATAATTTTCTTCAGCGCGACGAGCGCATTCGTCTTCTTTGAGCGGGCTCGATGGACTTCACTACAGGTTTGCGACTCGCATTAGCATCATGGGAACTGGGATCAAGTTAAACCATCCCGGGGACGTAGCCCGCATGCCCATTCCAGTATGCGGTAGGTATGCGGCGTGCAATCTAAACTTACCCAAAGGTGCCCTCACCCAGCTTTCCCAACAGAACATAATCCGTAATCCTCGAACAGCCCTGGAAGCTCGACTTAGGTCGCTGATGTGCCAGGGCGAAGGACACGGGCGACATCCCGTCCTCAGGCGATCTGGAATCCATGATTCCCTATCGACGGCGAAATTCTACCAGGATATTTCCAACTCGCGTAGTCCACCGTGGCGAATACGCGACGGAAAAAAAAAAATGGTACTGCGTCGAGGGAGGGTGCGTCGTTTCGAAGCGTCAAAAAGGTGGTATGCCAGAGAGAGGCAAACAAACGGCGACGAAAGGCAAGAAGGTCGCTTCCGCCTGCAAAGGGAGAAATCGCTCGCGTAATTCTACGGCGACATTTGAAAATTGGAAGGCGGATGTTCAGGCTGGGATGAGAGGAGGAAGTCGGGGCGTGAACGGGGTGGCTCGCTCAATGGCCGATTTGTTCGGTGGATGATGGGATAACCGTACTTGATCTGCAGCTGGTTCTGGTTTTTTATTTGGTGAAGGTCCAACAACCAAACCTTTTGAATGGCGAAACGAAGCGTGAAAACTAACTCCAGTCGACCACCACCTTCCGTGCGCGATTTGCTTCTGACACTGTTGGTTTATCTCGGCTGATGTAAGGCAAGTGTTATCAGCCGCCCAATATTCATAACCGGGGCACATAGGCACATACGAATTTGCATTTATCGGGGCAATTCACGCTTCGGTTGAGCATACAACACCTCAACCATCCATGGTCATGGAGGATTGAGGCATCAAATGGGAGCTGGGGCATGGAGAGACGAACGAACTGAGAATGATTTCGGAGATGTCAATTGATTCATGGATTAGTCTCCTTTGTGCTTATTAAAACTGAAAACAGTGCCGCCATGACCACATGTAATGATTCTCAAAAACCTGCTTCCTTCAAGTCCCTGCCAAATACACTTTTGAAGGCCTTCTTCCAAACATGCTCGTGGAGATACATCTGCAAAGAAGAGAGAAAACAATCATGGAGAAAACGAAAAAAGAGAAAAAAAAACATAAAAAGAACAAGAGACGACACAATAACAAACCCCGAGTTTACCCTCCTTCCTTCCTGAACTCCCTTAACCGGCCGCTCCCCCGGGCCAGTATAACACCAATAAATCATACAGCAGGGGGATCTCACTCTCCACTCTTTTCCCCTTTCACCTTCTCCTCTTACAACCACGGCATCCACAGCGCATCACACTGGGCTAGATTAAGCGGGTTGACCGCCTTAGCAATCAAGTCGATCACCGTCTGAGTGGCCGGCAGATTGCCAGGCGGGCTTTGCGCGAGACTAACGGCACGCTTAACGATCTGGTCTGTGTTCAACTGCACCGTCTCCCGGATCGTGTCCGAGGGCACCTCCATAAACTGCTCCTTTCGGTGGCTGTACGTAGTGAACCACACGAGGATCTCGTCGCGCACGAAGAGCGTCAGGTTGTGCTCGAGCTCGAGCTCGGGCTCTGTCAGGCATCGCGCGATGGCTAGCATGGCCACGCTGAAGATGCCCTCCGTTGCCAACGGGCCCATGAGCGTCTGGAGGTTGGGCGTCAATCGGAAAGGCACGAGCTCGGGATTGACGAAATACGGTTTGTTAACCCCCATGTACGCCATGAGTTCTGAGCCCCAGATGTTGCCCGATCCGCGTGCAATGTGCATCTTGTGTGGGTATCGGTTATGCATGTACAAGATGTACGTCATGAAAGTGAGTGCTGCAAGTTGGTACGAGAATTGGCGTCTGAACAGCCAGAAGTCTTCGAACTCAGGGTAGATGCGCTGGAAGTAATCGAGAACCACCGTGTGTGGCACCCACTTCTCCTCAATGGCGTTAAGAACCTCGAGCCGAGCGGTGGCATGCTGCTCTGACGGTCGGTGCTGTAATAATGTTAGCGGTGAGTGTATGATGAAAGGTTCTAGTCTGGTACTATTACTTACCGATGTCTTCGGCTCCAGAATAGCCCGCAGCTTTTCCATGGCGAACATGATGGGCTCATCCTTGGACATCTTGTTCCTTCGGCAGTGGTCTTCGTACACGCCTTGTAGGGTGACCCAGCTGGCATCTTCCTTGACGATTCGGATATGTGGCGCCAGAGGGACCATGATGGGCAGCGTGAACTGGAGGTCTCGTCTTCGGCTCTCCTTCTTCTTACCAAGGGTCTGATTGAGATGGCGGAAAAGCTGAAGGATGCGCTCCTCGCGCCTGCAGTGACGCGCTGCCGGGTGCTGGACAGCCCATGAGTGGATGCTACCGTCACGTCCCCTCATGCGCAGACGCCTGTAGGACGCGCTGCTGGTGCGGACGAGATCGACGTTGGGCAGGAAGCGGTCAATCTTGACAAAGTCCTGGTTCTTGTCCTTGTGCAACAAGTACTGTCCGGGGATGTCGACGTCGTCGAACTTCTGATACTGGAATTCGCTAAGGTGAAGCGAGAACGACTCCAGTGACACGCGGCAGTGCCGCCTGTCGAGCTTTTCCTCAAACTTGTTCCTCCATCCACGAAGCTTGTGAATGTATTCGTACATTGTTGGCTTGACCTGGACAAAATCGGCCTCGAACGACTTCTTGATGTGCGCGGGCAAGATCGTCTCGGCGAACCGCGTAATGTTAGTCTCCGTCGCCGCCGGCAGCTTTACGTCCTTAGCGAAGGAAGCTGGCATTCGGCTGACATAGGCAAGAGCATCGTTAAGCAGGGCAACAATGAGGCGATATGCATCTTCATCAGGTGGGCACTTGAAGTGCTTCTGGATCTGGTCCACCATGGTCTCCATCGACAGCGCAAGTAGCGGGAATGCCGTCTTCAACGTGGTCATGATCTCGTCGTTGAGTTCCCACGGCTTTCGTTGACTACCCGTGGGGGGTTGGTTTTGACCTGGTTGAGCCGGCTGTTGCTGTTGTCCAGGGCGGGATTGACCGGCCTGCTGCTGCTGTTGTTGTTGCGCCGTTGCCGCCGCATTCTGGGGAGTTCCCTGGCCTTGCGTCGCTGGCGTTTGCGGCTTCTGTCCGTCCTTAGTACCTTCAGTCTTCACGTTGGCATTCTCCGTCTTCGCTGTCTCGCCATTAGCGGTTGCCGGCCTAGACGTCGAACCTTCGGGCTTCTCCGTCTTGGCCTGAACAGGAGATTTGGATGCGCCACTAGCCGCAGCCGCCTGCTGGGCCTGCTGCTGGGCCTTTCGAACCTTTTCGGCCCTCTCCTTAGCCTCCTGGTTCTTCTTGATCGTAAACATGTCCTCGCGGTTCGTCCTGAGCTGGAAGTAAAGCGCCTGGGGGAAAGACCGGGCAATTCTCAGTAGGATGTTAAGCAATCGTGGCGCCTCCTTATAGCCCAGCCCACTGAGCAGCTGGGGGATATAAGTGATCCAGTACCACACCGGTGTGTCTCCCTTATAGTCGTCAAAGCCGGATGCGATAACGCCTTCATTGTTATCCAGAGTTAACAGCCAGAGGATTCGCGATATCAGCTTGCGGCACTTGTGGCTCTTGTAGCTGCCAACAGCCTGAAGATAAGATGTCAAGGCCTGCTTAGCCGAGTTCAAGTCGGTCGGATCCTCCTTGAACTTTCGCTCATTGAAATAGCCCCACTCGGCCCACGCCTTCGCAGCAGTGATGTCGAAATACAGCGCCGTCCCGAACGCGGCGTCAGCCTCCTGGTTTTCCTTCAGTTTCTCCAAGAACATGCCCTTGAGAGTGTAGAATTCTGCCTTTTGGGGCGCGGAGAAGTAGTTGAGGTTTGTGTTATTGATCACATCCAACCCGCTACGCAGCTCATCAGGATTCTCGTAATGGCATCTCGCCTGCTCTCTGAGCTTAAGGAAGGCCTCCTGAATTTCGATGTTGGGGAGTGTGTAGATCCTGCTCAACTGACTGATACAAACCTCGGGAAGGTTGTGCTTCCTAGCAACGTGCGCGAACCGGTTGATAATCCAGGCTGTCTCATGGTATCCTCTGTAAGCGAACGATGCGCCGCCCGCGTTTTGGCCACCAGGCTGGGGGAGCAGCTGAAGATACTTCTGATTAATGAGACCGAAGATATGCTGTCTCCAGGTGACCAAGTCCTGCCATGACTGGATGTCGTCCCAGACGTTGGGGAGTCGATCTCTCCAGGCACCGAGCAACAACTTCAACTCACCCGACTTGACGTCGAGGTTGCTTTGGGTGGTATTGGCAAGACTCTGGCAGATGATGCTAGCATCGTGAAGCTCCACAAGCTGCTGGAAATTTTGTAGCAAAGGGACGTGGGCCTTGGTCAGGTTCGCCGGTAACTGGTGCCATTTCCGGATCGACAATTGAATGGCTTCGTCGCAATAGCGGCTAAAATCGTGTATCGTCTCCTGGCCGTTGTGGAATCTCAAGAGCGACATGAACGCCTGGAAGAATAGGCGACGAGGTGTCGGCGCGTCCATGAAGCCCTTGATAATATTGTCCAAGCCCTCCCGGTGCGTGGGATCCTGCCACATATCGTGACACCTCCAGGCGCATTCGAGTAACAGATCCTGGAAGTTCTCGTGCTTGGCAAAGTCTTGAAGCATGTCCCACTGCTGAAGCTTCTGAGCGCAGCGAACCCAGTGGTCTTCCCAAAGCATATATTCGGCCTGGGAGAAGGGTGTGACACCAGTACGAGCCTTGATTTGGGCAGCTTCGTACATCTTCTGGGCCTTATCCCACATACCATTCTGCTCGTACGACAAGGCAGCGTTTGACTCGACAAATTGGCAACGGCGGCGCCACGTTCCATAAAACATGTCCTCCTCCTCGAGAGACGCATACAAGTCAACAAGTGCGTCGAGGTTGCTCTCACGTACCGTTGGCGATTCGAGCTGAGGCTTGACAGCGGCTTTTTCAAGCTGGACAAGGCCAGTGTACCATCCGCCGTACGTCTTAGAGACGAACTTAACGACGTGCGGTGGGAGTCTGCACTCTGGCCAAGCCCTCGAGGCGCCTTCCACAAGAGACTGAACCACGTTGGGCCGCTTGTCAATCTGTCGATTATGGTAATCCTTGATCAATAACGCTACCAACGACTTCTGGAGATCCATCCGTTCGTCCTTAGCAGTGGCGGACCAGAACATTGGGAAGAGCGTAACCCAGAGCTGGTGAGCGACCTCCAAATCGACGTGCTGCAACTGTGCCAGCGGTTCGAGAATATCACGAACCTTGACGTCACCGAGATCGGTAAGGAATTTGCGGTGCTGTGCCATGAACGCCTCGAACTTTTCATCGCACATCAGGCTGGGCTGTCGCGAATCCTTGACGTACATGCAGGTGAGCTGTGAAGGAGACCAAGTCCGATAATCGTCGCGGTTCAGCTGGGCAACAGTGTTTGACTCGACGGCGCCGAGGAGGAGCTGCGAAGCTTGGACAAGCCAGTACGAGTCTGCAAGACTCATCCAATTCTGGTCGGAGATGACATAGGCGAGACGAGCAGTCGCCGTCTTTGATAAGCTGCGATCCATAATTGTCATGAACCGGTTCCTCATCTCGACATCTTGAGCCCGAGTGCCGATAAGGAAAGCATGTTCCATTCGCACAGTCAACTCGCTTCTAGCGACTTTGGGGTCTTCGTAGATGCGAATGACGAGCTTCAAGAACTTGGTAAGCATCGTAGGGTCAGGACGGTGTTCGAAGGACAACATCTTGTGGAGGACAGCGGTTTTCTCTTTGAGAGTAGGCCAAGTCCCTTCCGAACGGAATACCCAACCCTCGACCATATCGAGGATAGCTTCGCAGAGTGGAATGTGGTACGACTTTTCAACAAGCGTGGCTAAGACGCTGAGGAACGGTCTTCTGTTGTCCCCGAGGACTTCCATGCGCAAAGCAACGGTTCTGATGGCCCTCAACATAACCTTTGTCTGGATCTCGAGCTCGTATGGCGACATCTCGCCGGAAGGCGGCGGGTTGGGATCTTGAGAGCGGGGTGGCGCCGTCTGAGCGGTGGCAACGGCGGTGTAATGTTGGACATGCTCTCGGGCAAGTCGACTTTGAAGTGCCTTCATCAGGATGGGTATGTGCTGGTCAATAACCGGGGGCTTGCGTTGACCCAAAGACCAAAGTAGGTTGACTCCAGAGGAATAATGGCCGTTGGCCATCAACTCGCCGGCGATGGAGGAGAGAGAAGTTATCGTCTCTGACGTCTGAACCTCCGATTCGCCCTCGCCGTCGGCATCCTCCATAGGAACGTCCTCCGGAACGGCATCCAAGATTCTCTTAATAATAGGCACGATCTCGCGACCCTCATCACCATCATTATCCGGGACGTGAAGGCAGTCTTGTATTTCAGGGTTCTCAGACTTGACACACTTCTCGACGACCTTCAGTACGGCGCTGAGGTTCTTATTGATCCACTCATCCGATTTGAAATGCAAGATGACCCTGACAACCATGAGAGTGTTGATGATACTGGTCATGAACTTATCATCATACTTCTCCTTGTCAGATGGATCAGCGGTTAAGACGGTCTGGGTCTTTTCGGACGCGAGGAAGCCGTGGGTCATCGCGGGGAAGGAGTCCAATTCAAGATCACCCCAATACTGCGGCTGAAGTAGATTGTACAGCAATTGAATGGCCTTTTTGGCGAGATCGCCATTGAAAACGGCTGGAGCAGCCAGGCCGGGCAGCGTTGTATCCCTGGGTTTGGCAGACTGAAGAGGGAATCGGTCGTTCAACTGGGCGATGAACTCGATAAGATACTTGATCATCTTCTGTCGTGCCAGTGGGGGGATGATGAATTCTGCCTTCTCCGGTACCGCCAGATGAGGAGTTTGCCGGGAGGGCGCCGAGGGAGAGGCGGATCCCATCTGCTGATCGCCTTCGAGCTTCCTCTTCTTAGTGTTAGGAGACTCTGACAAGGCTCTGGCACCTGGCACACCCGGTCGAGCCATGACTGGTGAACCGGACGACCCTGGGGTTTCGGAATCCGGCCTTCGCTTCCTAGTGGTGGGCGATTCCGGTGCAGGTGTCCCTGCAGCCGGCTTTCCTTCAACTCGGCGTTGCTCCCATTGCCAAATAAGCCACATCATGCTCAGGGCAAGCTTGCGGTTCTCATTCGTAGAGTTGGGGGGCAGCGCCACCTTCCGGAGGTTGGAGATGATGAGCGTCACGTACTTATCACGAGCCTCATAGAAGAGGTCAGGGTGCTTCACCAAGAAATGGAAGATGGAGGTCGTTTGATGGCCCTCGTCGGCAAGGACACGCCGGGGAGCGAGAGCCCAGGCATTGCTCCTCTCATTGGGAAGAGTATTGCATCGCTTAGGGAGAACAGGTGCCACGAGCTCCAAGGCTTGACTGACCAGAGCTCGACCTTCGTTCTGGTTGATTCTCAGGAGCGAGAGGTATATTTGCGTCGGGATCTTGGCTGGCGTCTCAAACAGAGCGATGAAGTAGCCGATGACGACGTAGGCCGCATGCTTGATAATCACGTCGTCAAGTCGAATGTAAGTCCAGCCGAACTTGATGATATCCTTCCGTGAGTCTTGGAGAGACGTGTGGTAATACTTGACAATCATGGCGGATAGTTGCAAGACTTCGAACCGTGTATGATCAATACCGGGCTGCGCCGTGTCGTCGATATTCATGTCAGAGATGACCTTCCACATCCTAGTGGAAACGGCATCCAGAACGGAACGGTCCATCAGCTTGGGTCCCTTTATTGGCTCCGTCTGGTTCCAGTTACGCATAACATCCATAGCGATGATTGGGTTGACGATGTTGTGCAAGAGGAACCATTTGGTCTTCTGGGGAGCCGTCTTATTGCCGTAGACCTCAAGACACTTGAAGAACGTCGCCTTCCAGAAGTCTATCGAGTCGCTGCAGATGATGAACTTGTAAATGTACGCGTAGAGGGGGTGAGTTGCCCTGAACTCGCCAGCAGTGACAGATTGGATCAGGCTGAGGAGGGGGTCAAGGTCCTTAGGCGACTGCTCGAGTGTCTTGACAAGGATTGAAACGAGCTGCTCAGCCGCCTGATCGGCCGGAAGACGAAGCTGAGGAGGTAGTGTGAAGTTGCGAAGGGTTTGCTCGAGCTCTTTTCCGGCTTGTTTCAGCCAGGTAATGACCTCCGGCTTTTGCATCCACGCCTCAGCTCCAGGCCACCTACTCAAAGAATCGAGAATGTGTATGGTGTTGATGACTGCGGAGAACTTCAGATCGCTCTGCTTCTGCCCGATCTCGACGCACTTCTTAATCAAGCTCTCCACGTCCGCAGTGGCGGCCTCACGCAGGGGGCCACTGTTAGGATCGTCTAACGCCTGCGCCAAGAATCGCCCATACTTGAGTTCGCCCAATTTGCTCAGCAAGAAACCCCACACTTCCTTGGGGTAGCGGTTGATATACTTGAACAGGGGTGGCCTAAATGGGCTCCTCTGAGTTCGCCGAAGCTGTTCCTCGAGATCTAGGACGGTGTTGATGAGGCGCTCCTTGAAACCATCGGCTCCATCGGGAAGCAGGTGGAAGACGTTGAAGACAGCGGCGATGACCTTCATGGGAGGGGCTTGCTCGAAGAATGTGAAGGAGATCTGCTGCAGCATATTGGGGTCCGCAATCGCCTTGATGTGGTCGAGTAACCGAGCACCAATCTCCAATTTGAAATAATTAGTTAGGAGTTTGAGGATGCGTGCAAGGTTGTTTAAGCCATGCTCGGTAAGCTTCTTAGAATCGGCGAGGTTGGCGAGAACAGGCCGCAGTCCGCCTTGGAGCAGCTCCTTAGGCAACTTAGTCGAAGGGGAAACAATCGACTTAAGAGCATCGTTGGCCGCGTCAATAGTCGCCTGCGACTCAGAATAGAGAGATTTGAAGAAGACCGCAACGACTTTTGTCCTGGTCGCGATGAGGGCCGCCTTCGAGAAGTCGGGAAAGGCGACGGCGGTACTGAGGAGCTTGATGCATGCTACTCTGAGGGCCACGATGTTCTCCTGAGTTCTGTACTCGGCGGGTTTATTAGCCAGGGATTCGTCGCTGGCATCCGCGAGAGCCAGACACTCCATCAGCATGCGGTTTAGGTTCTCGTCAAAGGTAACCCAATCCTGCTTGAGATTCATGTGATAAGTGACGGCATCAATATAACCGATTTGGACTGCGAAGGGAAGAGCTCGCAAGGGCTTCGCATAAATCGGCTGAAGAAGCCTGTCCCTGTAGTGTTCGACGAGCTCCCAAACCTGGCATTTGGCAGCCGAAGCGATAAGTTCAAGAGACCGCTTCGCCGTTTCCCGGATGTGCGGGTTCATGTTGCTCAGCTCGCTATTCAAGAGCATGCAAATCTGTGCGAGACGGTGTTGCTTTACCTGAGGCTGCCCCGGTTGCTGTCGCACAGGAGTGAGATCCTCCTTTTTGGCGTTCTTGGCGAGTCGTTTGAGGAGAATCTCGAGCGTCTCCTGTGCATAACGTCTCGTCTTCTCTGGTAGGTCCTGCGGTATATCCTTGATGACATATAAGAGGGCACGGATAAACTCTCCTTGCTTCGATGCGAGCCAATATTCTCCCAAGTCGAATTCAGTGAGCATAAACTTGATGCCCAGAGTGCCGCCGGTCTTGGTGAACCACTCCTCCTCATAGCAGCTATGGCAGAACGTCGTGCACATGTAACTAAAGAAGGGTAGTCGGGCCACGCTCATCTCGGAGCCGAAGAGGATGGCGGTCGACCTGTGGATCTCACGCAGCGCCGCCTGTGCGACCTCGCGCACTTCAATTTGGTCGGAAGCAAGAGACTCAACAATGGCGTCACCAAGGACTCGAGCATCGATACAAAGAGGCCCCTCTCCAGCATGCTGATCGAACGGAGTCATGAAGCGCTTGACATCAACCACGGCTCGCCCAACCTCGATGATTGTGAAGTGTCTGCACACGTTCATCAGGAAGCCATCTGATCCCTCTTTAAACTCGGGCATCGCTTCGGCAACCATGAGAGCCTTCAATAGACGCTTAACAAGCGTATCTTGACCATCTTTCTTGGGAATGGAGCAGTCCCGAGACGAGGTGATAAAGGGGGAAAAGTCGAATTCTACCTTCCTACGAAATAGATCCTGGACCTGGAGACGGAGTAATCGTGAGTAGTCCTCCGGTAAGCCATCGAAGCCAATGCGTAGCTTGAGCTGGGCTTTGAGGAACTGCAGAGCTTGCGTTTTATAGTACGAGTCGTACTGGCGGCCCTGATTAGCCTTCGTGGTGGGCTTGGGAACCTCGGTAAGCTTCCTGATCGCAAGATCGATGCCGATCTCGGCAGGGAATGGGCGGTCCTTCTTCGATCCAACGAGGCGGAGCTGTAGACTGGCAGGGTCATCAGCAAATTCCTGAAAGTTGAGCTGCTGTACATCCGTCATGAATTTCCGGTTTCGTCCTCCGAGTTTGCCAAGAATGCGCATTGTAGTATGAGCGTGGAAGTGGCTGTAAGGATGAGGCTTGAGATGGTCAAAGAGTGCAGTCATCAACTCATCAACTACAGGAGCCATGATGGGATCCAGATAATCGGCAGTCAAGTTATCAACGCACAGCTCCAGTGTCCTTAACCCTTGACCAACCAGATCTGTGCCTGAACGCAGTGCAACCACGAGGGGTCTCATCAAGAAGCTGAGATGGGGAAGCAGGTTGCTCAGCCTAGCAGGAACTGTGAGACAGAGTTCAACATACAAATCCCGTTCAGAAGGCTTTCTGGCAACCATGAGAAGGTTGTTAAGCACATCCAGAAGCATCTCGAGGAGAGGCAGGATTTGCTTGTAAAGATGTTCAAACTTGCCACCACCAATACTCCTAAATAAAGACCTTAGAAGGAGGAAGTAGTTGATGGGCTCTTCAGCCTTTGAGGACAGGTCAATAGACTTTGTAACTATGTCCACGACATGTGGGAGGAGGACCTGTTCGTTGTGGCTGGCAAATAAGGTCACGGCCATAAAGGCAAGCTTGAACAATCTCAACAGGATAGCAGACTTCCGGACATCAGCGGAGCCGACCTGGTCGATTCGGTCCATCAGGAAGCGGAGAAGCATGCCGCAGAAGCTGGGAGAGGTGGCTTCGCTAGCAAGGAAGAACTGGGGGATGTGGAGGAGGGCGGTGTGCTCGAAAATCATGTCGTAAAGTTGGGGTATCTCTTGTTGAAAAACTTCATGGAAAGTAGCGGGATCGATGTAATGGAATACAGTTGCGAACGTCTCCAGGAGGTCCTTTTCCTCCTTGCTGCAATTGGCGTTCGCAACATACTCGACAGGGGATGTAGCCTGCGTCTCCGTCGGAGGCTTCTCCACCTCGTAGTACCGGAAGACATGCGCACCCTCGCGGAAAAGTTTGGTTATAACTTTGACTTCTTCAGCCGTAAAGCCAAAAGCCACGTCCTGCCAGTGAGGCGGAGCATTCTTAGGGTCGACGCCCGGACCAACGTTGCATGTTCGAAGCTGGTAGAAAGTATTTTTGAGACCATTCATTAGGTGTCGGAATAAGAACTTGTTGTCGGTGATCGGGTCGGGTGGCCGGTCTCGCGGATTTGCGGTTCTAATCGGCGTGGCCGTGAAGATATCGATCTCATCCCAATCAGGAGGGAACCTCTTGTCGGGGAGATATGACTCTGTAACACCGTCGGCCGCCTGCTGCGCATACTTTTTGGAAAGCTTGACAGCGTTATGGTATTGTCGGTTCATGGCTGCAAACTTGTCTCCAATCGAATTCAGAATCTTCATCAAGTAATGCCTCGCATCGACCTTGTTAGGCATCTTTGCGATGCATTCCGCCATGTTGAGAAGAAGCTTCGCGCTCATAGTTTGGAAGCTCGCACCAGGGAAGTCGTCCTGCAGATTCTTGGTATAAACCTCGACCGTCTTTCGAATCTGCTCAGGCTGCAACAAGTCCCGAACGTGGTGGATCAGGTCGGCCAGCATGCTGTACGCGAGCGGTCGCATGGTCTCGTACACAGTCACGCCATCTCCAGTTAGTGTCCTCTCATCTAACAACTCGTCAATCTTGTTCAAGAAAATGCGGGGAGAGGAGTAGTTTATGATATGGCGTATCGCGACGAGGAGTTCCTTTCTCGCGCTGGACTTCTCCCGAGGACAATCCTTGAGCAGCCTGACAATAACGTCCGGCAAGACTTTGATGAAATCGGCCAACTGGTTCTGGTATTGCCGCAACAAATACGCCAAGAGACTCATAGTCTTTACCTGGGCAGTGATGAAGTCGCCGAAGGCTGCTCGGTTCTTAATCAGAGGGCTGACACCAGTGAATATCTCTCCCTTAGCCTTCGCCTCCTCGTGGGCCTGTTTCTGCGCACTAGCTTCCAGGAGCAACACGCTTGTGATCGTTGGGACGAAGAGCTTAACGTTGTGCGCAACGAGTTGTCGTGAGACTTGGAAGATGGACACGACGATTATGGGACACTCGGCAAGGACCTTGAACGATTGCATACCCTTAACAAGCATCCGGTTTTGCTGCTGGGGATCTGGTCCTAGATCGTTGACGGAGGCTACGGGTGAGCCCGGTCGCGGAGACTGGAAATTCGTTTGGGTACTGCCAGGTGTAGAGGGCGCTCCATGCGCAGTGCTGGTCGACAGGGAGGTGTTGTCGAGCTGTTCCCGTACCATCGACTCGGTCCGATCAAAGATTGCCTGAATAAGGGACAGGAAAGGCTGAATCTTGCTAGAGAGCTGCCGAGGCAGATGTCTCAGGATCTCAGAGATGATCTTGACGCATATGACGGCATTCTCTTCGTTATCTTGTCTTATGAGAGTCATAAGAAGATCGACAATCTCTACGGCGTACGGTTCGAGAGCTGTAGGCGGGTGTGGGGGGGCCCCGGCAGGAGGGGGCGCTGGGGCGAGAGGAGTCGGCAATCGGTGGAGAATCTCCAAGATGCAGTTGCGCAATTTCTATTTCATGTTAGACAAACATGCAGCGTGTTCATGGAGAAGAGGAAGGGTGATACACACCTGCTCCGGAGAGTTGCTCTGGAAGATGCATGGTCCCCTCAGAATATTGATGAATACGGGCATAACCCTTCTAAGGAAGTTCGGGTATACAGGGCCGACAGTATAGTGGTCAAGACTGTCGCGCAGGACTGAGGCGGCTTCTATCCTCAGTCGAGGCTCTGTAGTCAAGACGGTTAGCCGAAGAGAAAAGAGGATATATTTGGAGAGGGTGGGGAGGGGTTCATCAATCAGCCTTACCAAGCTCTGGGGTGGCTAGCCGTTTCACGACATCGTCTATGTTCGCCATGGCGGCGGCTTGCGCATCAAATAGATGCGCAGCGCAATTCCATGGAAGACGGGAGACGAGTGGCCAAGGGCCAGGCCAGGACCAGCTCTCTCTCGATGCGACTGTCTACAAGTCGATAGGTAATCGATGAACTCGAAATGCTTGGAATCAAGGTGGGCCGCGAGGCTGATAGACGAAATGGTAAGATTGAAGAGGAAAGGGTAGCTCAAATGATCGCCCAAATCTCGACTGTATTAAGGTAAAGTGTTGAGCACGGAATTGTCGCCCTGGATGAGATTCGGGGATGGTGTTGTGGGAGAAATGGCGACGAACCCACTGGAGGCGATTTCGTGGGAGCTCTTTCGCAAGGCCAAAGCTTAACACAAAGAGTTGGCGTGGAAATTTTGGAGGCAGTCGCGGTCGGGGGCTGCTGTCGCGAAATCACATTGCGCTAGGCGGTGGATCAATATTCTTCCGGACCAATCAGAAGGTGTTCCTGGAATGTGGCTTTGTCAGCGGCAGTTCCCGGTTTTTTCATGTGAATAAGTGGATGTGCCTGGGGCTTATCGATAAGTTATCTACAATCTACAATCGCAGCTTCCCCCACCTACGAGGGGCCCACCTTGCTCAGTTTACATCAGATTGAGATACATCAATCGATCTTGGTCGTGACACAAAAGGGATCCTCAGCTCAAAGACGTTGAGGTCTAGGCACCGCAATTGAAGATTCATTGTTGTTGCAGCTTAAACAATAGTCCGTAGATTACTAATCCAGGAAGACTCAAAGCTCCAAGGCTCAAGCCTTCCAAAGGTAGCGGTGACCATCACAGTTTGCTCCTTACCAGTTCTCCTCCAAGACACAACATCTTTTTTTCCCTTTGATACTGCTACCAGTGAGCTGTTTATATCCAAGGATCTTCGCCAACCCACCAACATAGTCTTTTGAGATTCTTCGCCGCACAGCGTCCGAGGTTAATGATGTCGAAGCCTAACGGTACGGAAAGGCTGCGGGCCGTCGAGGACACCACTCCTACTCCCGAACCCAACAACTCCAATGGACCATTCACCTCCTTCTTTTACGGTATGTAATTGGCCCCCGTTGACAGCAGTCGACAACTCGACCTCTCCAAAGCTAACACGAACTGACCATGTCCCTCCCGCAGGAACCTTGGTATGTATCATGATGCTAGCTGGCCCGCTCCTTGGAGCGTGCTCTTGCAATGTTCAGGGTACTAACATGGTATAATTTAGATGGCCCCTGAGGTCCTCTTTTCTGTAATATACGGACGCAAAAATCCTGGAAAGGTGTTTGAAGACCTACATACATTTCACCCAGCGATTCTTGATAACCATGCCCGGCGAGTGCTCGCCTTCGCCGACTATCCAGGTGTTGTACCGCAAGAGGGCGAATCGGTCCAGGGAGTTTACGTGACGGGACTCACGGACGCCAACATGGAAAGGCTCGATATATTTGAGGGATCGGAGTATGTGAGAGAGAAGGTCAAGGTTCGGCTCCTTGAGAACGGCGAGACAAGAGAGACAGAAGTGTACATCTATCTGCACGCGGAGGATCTCAAGGAGGGAGAATGGGACTTTGAGCACTTCAAGAAGGAGAAGTTGGCTCTCTGGTCGAGAGAGTAGCTCCATCGCAACGTCAACATTTGGCCGGTCCCCGGGCACTTAGGCCGCTCCGCGGATTCGTCCTATATTTTGTCAGTCGATGAATCGAAGATGGGATGGCACGCAAAACGAAAGCGAGGTGCGAAGGTTTTGAATTTGGGAAGCATCGAGACATTACAGCTAGGATGCATTCGGCCCGATGGGGGTGCTCTCGGAATCATAGGTAATACTCTGAATACCTACATGAACTGTTAAACTTCATCTCAAAACCATTCTCTCGGAGCATGCCGATGGTGATCCTTCCTAGCACCAGCTCGCCCGACGTTCAGGGACATGAGGCGAGATCTGCTTCGTAGATGATCGACTCATCTCGCCCGGAGATGAGATTGACGCGCATGAAAGCCATTAATCTAAGACCCTATTCAAGTGCGCTCCACAAGATCGACCGCTACAGTAGCATAGGGCAGGCAGGCTCTCAATTCGACGTTCGATACCAAGGCCCACCAGCTCTGTAACCTTGACTGGCATGTTGCAAGCATGAAGCTGGCGTGTTATTTCGGACGATGCCTTCACTACGAAGTAACAGGGAGGTGGCTGCTCGGCCTCCGGTGCAACTCTTATCCCATTCTTCAACAACACAAGAACGACGTAATATGAATGGTTGGAACAGGAGTTCGTGAGTGCGGGGTGCTCAAGGAATCCCGGCGTGGTGCCACCGCGCCAAGGATCCAGGGCCCACGCATTCTGAGTGCTGGGCGTTCGTGAACCCACATATCATCGTCGAACGGCGAACAGATCCCGCGATGGAGTCTTCAATTCCCTTCTTGCCTCGTCGCAAGTGCAACGATCACCTTAACAACACGCCCGTACTTTCGTACACGTATCAACGTGACAACGATGTTGAAGTTAAGGGATATCTTGCAAGCAGGCATACTACATTAGTGTCGTCGTCACATTCTGGGCAACTGCCCTCCTCCTAGCCAACACCACCCCCAGTCCAGGCCAGTGCGCCCCATCTCCCTTCATTTCGGCTCTCCCCTGCTCGCCTATTTCAATCGTTCCAGTGCGTTCCAACGTAAGCGGATCCGGTCAGAGCCAGGGTTAGAGTGCCGGCTTGAAGATGATCTCCAGTACAGAGTGGCAACAGGCCGTTAAGCGTCAGGTGAAAGTCCCCAAGACATGTTGACAGTGGCTTAGGGTGGATCATTCATGCGTTCTCACGCACGCTCCATGATCTCCCAGATCCGCCACTTTGTGGGGTTTCTACCCTGAAATTGGGATAATAAACGCTAGGCCTAGAGTATTTCGAGATTTCAAGAGATCGGATCGCTCCCGCTTCCTAGCAAGGCAACTCATATCATATTTAGATCCTAATAAGGCAAGACTCAACCCAGGATGAGTCTCAGGACAGACAACTGTGAATAATTTCCGGTGCAGCCTTTTTAGCCTCACTTCACACAAGTTTTACACTCCTCCCTGGCTTGACCGACGACATTTAATTTTATGTGGATTTCCCTTGGAGGGTCCTGGTGAAATTGGAGGTCCCGCATTGATTTCCAACGCCTAGGTCCTGACGATGGCCGATGGTTCCAGGGAAGACCCGACCGAGGACTAGTAGTGTTCGACTTCTTAGTTCCCGAGGACCCTGAGGCCAGGAGTATCAATAGGCCATCTACTCCGGAAATGAAGGCACCTTTGAGGGTGGCACGCCGTTTAAATGACGGGCACCAACGGGCCGTCCTGGGGACGCAATTGGGCAATTTCTCAAAGGAAGCATAAATTAAGCAGTCACAGTAGTTTAGTATGTAGCGCCAGGGGAAGGCTACCATATTACCCAAGACCAGGTTGCAGATGACTTGGTCAACCATTGATGCTGGTCAAGATGCGATTCCTTTGACCAACTCAAGTGAAGTGCTCAGGTCGCAGCTCGGGTCGACTATGTAGGAGCCCTTGCCAGCCCAATCCAGCCAGCTGGCACGACCGGTCACTGAATCGGCCGCATGTGTTTTCCAGCCTTGAAGCTCTCAAAATAAATAGGCCGCAGACAAAGTCAAAGCGAGCGAGGCCATCTTTCAAGGGCCCATGAAGAATCCACGTGTCGGTCTGTTTCTGGCCGCGAACAGCTCCATTCCATTCCTAATAGGGCAAACCAAACAAAACAAAGGAAAAAGACGGTGAAAGCAAGAAAGGCTTCTTGCCGCCAGGGAGGATCCTCAGCGAAAACAGAATGCATATCGCAGCATGTTTCAATTTACACCAATAAAGTACGGTGAACAGGAGTGACTGGAGATGGCTAAATTGAGATGAATCTGTCGATGCGACAGATAATAGGGACACACCTTGATGCCTGCGCCGCGGGGAAACGGAACGGACAAGAATCAAGAGAAGACCGAGAAAACAGGGAGAGGAAGAAAAAAAAAAGAGATTTTTTTCCCTCCCTGCTGAAGACGCAACAGACACGCGGCCAATTCTCGTAGGCAGCACAGTCTGTGGCTATCACCTTCGGTAGCTTCCTAATCACCGGGTCCTCAAGACACAAAAACTAGAACCGGGGTGGTCATCACCAGAACCGCGTGGAATCTCACAAGATCACTAAATGTTGTCGCTAAGTAGTCCAGTTTCACGCTGTCCTTGTCTCGTCCAATCCGACTGGCTCTCACGATAGTCCCGTTGTGACGAGAAGCCGTACCTTGCAGTGGCTGTCGTTTACCTTCGACCACTGATGGACTAGTATGCCCAATGCGCCGGAATCGATGGCCTTTGGGTTTTAATTCGGTGTTCGATTTTTTTCGGAACTGGAGAGAGAACTTGGGCTTCTCCGCTTGCTTTTCCCTTTTAGGGTTAGGGTCGGGATGAGTAAGGAGAGGGTTGGCATGCCTTGGAGTTCCCCTGGTCTCAAACAGATGGCGTTTCACCATCTTAGACTAGGCAGGGGTACCCGCATCCACGATCCCGGACTCCGAATGCAGGGGTTACAACGGCCCAAGGACGAGGTCACCACCTCCACTTCCACCCACCCACCACCCACGCCATTTGGGGGGGCAAGATCTAAAGTGTTTTCCTTTTCTGGAAAGGCCTTTTTTGCAGGCCTAGTAGTGCCGGCCAAGGGGTTCGCATGTGTAAGTCGCGCTCGTAGCCCAAATCGCAACGATGCATTATGAGCAGAGGGACGATGCACGCAATGATGGTACATGAATGGACTCTACTGTAGATGGATGGGTGCACGCTAAGGTTTGAGCGCTTAGTTGTCGGTGCTTCACCATAACTCATCACCTTGCGCCCGACTTGGGATGACAACTCAGGGGTCAGCAATCGCAGGCCACTGCCCGAAGAAGGACGGCGTGCGTGTATCGCAACGGCGGCGAAACAAAGATCATGCCCAAGGCAGTTTACGTAGTATGGCCACGCAGCAGGTATGGGGTAGCGCATAGTGCTGGCGTGATCGGTTAACGACTGCCGAGAGGGGCGACGGCATCAAGTTGACTGGATGGGATTTTACTGTGATATCCTTCATCAAGATCAGGAGCAAAAGCGGTGCATATTTATCAATCGACAGGTTCGATGTTTCTGTTCCCGCTCCTGCTTAAGCGATGACTGGAAGGAAGAATCTCTCAGTTTTCCATCAATGCAAAAAATCTTCAAGCCCCGAACAGATGGGTGATCCGAACATGAACCCTCAGACCTTTCTTGGTGGTACAAGAAACACGTCACACCCAAGCTTAATATCTCGAGAAACCAACAAGGTGTACTTTTCTGAGAAGCGAATGTGATACTGGGAAGATCAGTACCTGAAGAATGTGTCGGCACCGAGAGACGAACCTTGGAAACGAAACAATTGTGACGAATGCTATTTTCAAGGTTTGTTTAATGTATTTTTTGGTTTCAATCGGATCAATCCTTCTCCCCTCTTACACTGAGTGATGTAATGTTACGAAGGTCAAGTGAAGTCAATGTCCTCCTTGAGACAATGGAAGTCCCCATCAAATGGATAATGATGACTGTGGCTGTGGATACTAAATCGAGGGTGCTGAACTGGCGCAGCTAGTGTCTATATTTGTACCCTCTTCCTAATATGGCAGAGCATGCCTCAATTGATGTAAACTATTACTGATACTATTTTCAACACTTGCACCGTCCTTCCGCTGCGGTCAGCGCGATTCCGGTTGTCTTATATTTTTCCATCTAGATATTTCCTCGTGAGGTTCGGAGAAACTAATGGTTTCGACTTACTCCCCGTTCTGAACATCGGTTGGCATGTGCGGATTTGATGTCGGCTGGGCAGCAAAGAAGATCGAAGATGCCGCATCGATCAATTCTCTTGTTCCCCGCCCCGCATTGTACTTCTGTCCAGTGGCAATCGCACGGAGTACAAAGGAATTGATGAAGCCAAGGCATCAACGGATTTCTCCTTCTCCTTCTGTAATCGACGCCGAGATTCTCTGGAAGACTTCGTAAGCCACGTTGTCGTAAGCTACGATGAATACTCAATCCTGTCAATGCAGGGACCGCTGGAGGCCCTCGCATACGTAAAGCATCAAGCATCAATCCACATTGTACGAAAGGTCCTGGTCCTTGTCTAAGACCGCCGAAAATACACCCAGCCTCCCCAGTTTTTCCAAGCCATCCGTCAAAAGTGCTGTGCCACTACGACGCCGCACTTCGCGAAAACAAGACCACGCTAGCTGCGAAAATGGAAAGAAGTCTGAGACTGAAGAAAACCCCGACAAAAGGTAGAAAAAAAAATCCAAAGAAAAAGCGCTTCGTCATTGCCCGACGCCCGGTTAGTGGCCTGTCGCTGTCAGCCATCACCCTGCTTCGGCGTCTTGATGTCTCGGTCGGCGGGCCAGATGACTTCGTACAAGCAGGACGGGGTCCTGCGAAGGGGCTGGGCGGGCATCGAAAGAAGCAAATCAACGAGCTGAATGACAACTTAGTGCCAAGCTGAGCGGGGGAATGCCCCTTTACTGGACGACGGGTTGACACTTTCCCCTCTCGCCCTGCTTTTCTGGCGTGCCACTGGTGCCCCCTGAGTCCCTGACGCTAGCAGAAATCTGCCTACTATTGGCTCGTGAGGATACACCGACAGTCTTTCGGGATGCGCCGTCGACACGAACCCTCTCGTCCGTCTACGATCCGGCAACAAGAATAAGACTCGTTTCCCTCCCTTGTTTATCGGCTATGATTGGTGGAACGACCGGCACGTCCAGTTGAAACATTCTAGTCAAGTGAGTAAACGCCCGAACCCAGGAATGGGCTCACGAGAAGTTGAAACTTGAAGCTAGAATCACTTGATGGAGTCTCCTATTCCTCTTCTAAAGTCGGATCACGGCAACTTGCTTTCTCTTAGTTTCTGCTGGCTCTTGTGGATTATCCTTGACTTTTCGCAGGTCTGTGTCCTGGTCGTCGATCCATGCCAGCCAAGAATGCCCCCGCGAGACGCACTGACATCACTGACGGTGGCGGGAGGACCGAGGCTCTGTTCCAAGGAATTGGCTTCGCTCGGTCACTTTTACGAAGTATTCTCGACTGCTTTCACAGTACGAAGTAGGCCTCTGATAAATTTATCCGGCCGCAGTTTTGGTCTCCTTTTTTCAGACTCAGGTGATGGGCATCTCACTGGGTAAATCTAGAACTCGTGATACACCACACCCGTACAGATCCTCTCACACATACCGCCAAGAACCTGAAGGCCAGACAAAAAAAGTAAATCCCGGATACCATTTAGTAAAAAATTTACAAGATCATCGATTTTTTTACGAGTAGCTTCTAGAGGTTATTCTGGCCCGAACTTCCAAACGCCGAAGCCAGAGGCGATTTAACGCCGTCACCCTGGATAGCTCGGGACTCGACATGGAATTCTTCTAGGCCTGATGACCAAGGGTTACTGAGCACCTGAAGTGTGCAGATGGCAATTGGGTTTTTGCAAAAATCCAGGCACTACCCATGGCTGCGAGGCTCGGTGTCCTTCCACGCATAGTGCAACCCTCCCCACGACGCCAGAAAAGTTAACATGGTCCCTATTCCACTTCTAGCGGTACATCGCGCTGGATCAACCAAAAGGGAACAGGGGCAAAAGGGGCCCTGCTGTGGAAGGCCTGGCGGCGTAACGTTTCTCTGAGGTGGTGGTACCCAGTCCACTTGGTCAATTGATCAATACCACGATCGAGGGTCTCGCGACGAAGTGAGACCTCCACAGCTGGTGAAAGTCAGTTGAGGCGCTGGACTCAAACCCTTGACCGACCGGCAGGTCCCTTGACTGCGCGGGTAAGTCGGGACTTGAGAGGTCTCAAAAAATGGCCTTACACTGCGAATCACTACTTTTTTTTTTTTATCGGTTTAACGTTCTTTTGTCACTCGAGACAGTGCACTCTAAGGCACGAGAGCGTCATATTGAAGCCAAGATGCATGCTGCTGTCACTTAACAGAAAACCCCCTGTCTCAGCGGGTCGGGCGATCTCAAGTGAGAGAGGCCTCACCAGTGGGAAAGGCAGACGGAGCACTGTCGGTGACAGCCGCATTCCATCAACGCACTGCACTGTCAAAGCGAGTGGTGCTCTTGGACAGGCTTGAACACGAGTGGGAATTGGGCTAGGCTAGCCAATCGCTTCCTTGGTAACCCCTGGCCCTGGAAGCAGGTTTGCCCTGTTCTCCTATTTTTTCACACTTTCGCCTCTCGGGAGGCTTTTAGCTCAGCGAATCCACAGTCGTCATGCTCGTCGTACCGTCGTACGAAGTACACTGTAATATGGGCAGGCCGGAGTGGCACTACGGCACAGTACGGAAAGAGTCATGACATGTACTGGGGTACGAAGCGACATTCGCCGACGGGGTTTACGAAGGACGAACAAGACAAAATGGATCATTGGATCCAGGATGGGGGCTGCCAAGCATTCAATTCTGCACGCCCCTGTCCATCTGACACGCCCCCCTCATCCCATCTTACACCCCTCATCCATGGTTCCCACACCTTCCAGCTCTCACTCCCTCACTCTCTCTGTCCTCTCATCCTGTCTTCGTCGAAACATCCCGCATCCCGACTAGTCTGGTCCTTGCCTAATAACCTTCGAAAGGGGAACATCCCCGCTTACACTTCCCCCTTGATGCTAAGAATTCTACCACACACCCCTGCGACCCTCCGTTCGCCGTCGATCTAGTATTATGCCTCAAAGTCGGACACACATACCGCGATGGCGCAGCACCACTGGCTAGAATCGAGGATGGAACCAGACGACTCTACCACCTGCTCTAAAAAGGAGCGCCACTCGCTCCATCTGTGATGTTCTAAGTGGACCATCCGACCACTTTCATCGTCCAGGGTGGTGGACCATTCACATCCACATTCCCACCTTCGACGTCGAGCCCCGGCTACGAAGCTCAAGGTTGCCCCATCCCCTGTTCTACTATGATCCGCTAGAGTCCAATCCCTGTGCCATTGCCACTCGTTCCTGCGGCTTGCTTGTTTGTTCCTGGGTCCCAAATTACTATTCTGGATTAGACTAATCGTCCGCACATTCATTTTTTTTCTCTCTCGCTCTCTCTTGCATACTCCACCTTGGCTGGGCTGGTTCCACAACACGCTCCCCTCCCAGAATCTGAGAATCTGGTTCGCCGTCGCTCGTTTGTCTTCTGAGTATAAGTTTCCCGGTCCATCCCATCTCAACCCTGGCTTCTTGTCTCTTCCCTCCTCATCACCAAAGCCAAGCTCTCAGTTTGAGTCAGTCTTCTTTTCTTTCCAGAAACATTTCTTTTTGGTTTTGTTGTTTCAAGCAACATCCATTACATTCCTTTTTCAGATATTCAAGGCTAGGCCTGTATCACTTCACTCTGCACATATCAAAACTCAACGCGCCTGCGGCGTTCATCACTCTCCTTTCAGAACATCGGTTCTGCTTTGCAACTGACGACAAACCATCAAACGTCCGAAGACCAAACGAAACAGCTTTAACGCTTTCTTTGCTCCTCTTTTTCGACTTTGCTTCGCTAGGCTTAGACACTCTCTTGAGTATTCCTTCGTCCGGAACGTGAGGAATCGACAATCCCTTTGCTTCAAAATGCAGTCTACTCTTATCTCTATCCTTGGCTTGGCCGCCGCTGCCAACGCCCACATGAAGATGGGAACCCCCGTCCCCTGGGGCCCTATCAGCAACGCCCCCTTGGCCGGTGATGGAAGTGATTTCCCTTGCAAGAACGTCGCCTATGACTGGAGCGGCAGCGCCCAGATCAACGTTATCCAGAAGGGCCAGAGCTCTCCCCTGACTTTCATCGGATCTGCTGTGCACGGCGGTGGCTCTTGCCAGCTCTCGCTCACCACCGACTTGAACCCCACCAAGGACAGCGTCTGGAAGGTCATCAAGTCCTACGAAGGTGGCTGCCCTGCTATTGGCGTCGCGGGCAACGCTGGTGACAACGCCAATGCCCCCGGTCCCAGTGAATACACCTTCGAGATCCCCAACGACGTCCCCGCTGGCAACTACACTTTCTCCTGGTCGTGGATGAACAAGATTGGCAACCGTGAAATGTACCAGAACTGTGCTCCCGTCCAAGCCGTCGGCTCTGGTGGCTCCGAGTCCTTCTTCAACTCTCTTCCTGACATGTTCGTTGCCAACGTCGGTAACGGCTGCCAGACCAAGGAGGGCGACGACACTGCTTACCCCAACCCTGGCAGCGTCGTCGAGCGTCTCGGTCTCCAGACTCAGTCTCCCAGCCCCATTCCCGACAGCCTTTGCCCCAACGCTGGGTATGGCTCCGGCTCCGGCTCCGGCTCCGGTTCCGGCTCTGGCAGCGGAAACGGTAGCGACACCCCCGCCGCTCCTACTCCCCAGCCCACTCTCCCTGGCAACGTTTTCATCACCGTCCCCGCTGCCACTCCCACCGCTCAGCCTGAGGCTCCCGTCCAGAGCCAGCCCGCCGCCCAGCCCGAGACCCCTGTTGAGGAGACTCCCGTCGAGACCCCTGTCGATGGCGGCAATGATACCCCTGTTGTCGATGTTCCCGTCAACAACGGAGATGCTGGCTCTGGCTCCGGCTCTGCCTTTACCGCTGGCACTGCTTGCAACCAGGATGGCTACTGGAACTGCGTTGGTGGCAACTCCTTCCAGCGCTGCGCCAGCGGCATCTGGTCTGCCACCCAGCAGCTTGCTGAGGGCACTACCTGCTCCGGCGGTATTACCCAGACCATCCAGATCTCGAAGCGCGATGGCACTCCTATGCGCTTCGGTGCCAAGTTCATCATGTAAGGGGATTGCATGAGTAGACTACAACAGGTTTGTGGGAGGTTCGTGTTGGGTATCATTGGGGCGTTGGCTGTGGCCTCGACTTCCATTCTTGCATAGATTTTTGGGTGATTTCATTCTTGTACATACACATTTTCTTGTATTTTCATACCATCTGGCACCATCTGGGGGTTCGGATACCGTATACATAGGGACTATGATCGAACAATAGACCCCAAAGGGAATTTTGCATATCAACATCTTAACCGAGCTAAGTCGAGTCCTCAAGTGGCTGCAGAATAGTAAGGTGAACTCGACAGTGACTTTGGGTGAGGTTGAGCCTAAGTTGTGGGTCATTCTGGTTGCAGAATCACGTGAGTGGCCCACCTGCGACCAGACAGCCAGACCGGAGCCCGAACCATTGCACCGGAAATGGTCGGGACCGACTGGCCGGGGTCATTGGAGACCAACTTGTTGGTGGCGCTGTCCCAAGGTGATGGGAAATGAAACCTTCCAGAAGGATTGATGGCATACTATTCTAAAAAGGAATTTTCGAGTTGGTCATTTATCATAATGTTCTGCCCATTTCGGTGGTCAGAAGGATCTTGGGCTAGATATTATCGACTCAATATGTCTTAACAAAAATATAATTTTATATCACTAGCTAGTTCCTTACATTATATAGTATTTCGTAACGTTCGTCTCAAGCCTTCGACCTGGGGTCATCTCCGATCAATGTATCAGAACGCTTACACCTGCCGAACAATATTCTATGAGCTCGGCTTTTGCTGCCCCTTTTCAAGGCAACCGTATCTATCGGCACCACAAGTTCGGCATACTCGATACCAACGTGCCGCCGGCCATCCCGGCCAATATACCTCCCAAAGGCGAACCTCGTCTCAGAAATGGGGCTATCGTCGCGTAGCGCCCTGCTCGGTGCCATAAACTCAAGGATAGAAGCTATCGTCGTCGGCATGCGCGGGAGGAAGAAATCCATCGAGAAACCGTACATGAACGTAGCCACAACGACGTACAGCGCCAGAATACTAACGCTAATAATGAAGGCGGAAGTTTCCATGAAGATTCGAGTCTCGGTCGAGAATCTCGTGCCACCGAAGGCGGGCTGATTTTCTTCGAGCGGCTGATATGGCACGGCGTCCGACGCGAGGAGATATGCGAATGCGCGGCGCCAAATATCCATTGTTGCCGGGAGCATGACGGATGGATCCGGAATTGATTCGTTGGGGTCGAGGATTTTCTCCCCGAGGGAGGCTTTGAGGACGTCGATGAACCAGGAGAGGGACATGGAGTTGGGGTGCCAACTCACAGCGTTGGTTGTCATGTGCCCGGTGACCATCTCCACGAGCCGAATCGTGTCATTCCAAGACCTATCGTAACCGAGATTGTCGGTGAAGTCGCTGGCCCTTTCGTAAGACAGGATGTGTCCATCGGAGTCTATAGTTACGTCGAAGAGGGCTGTCTTGAATTTCGATTGGCATGCATATGCTCTATAGTCCACAGTTCGCTCGGGAGTGTAAGTCATTCTGCCCCAATATAGTATCATTGCCCCTAATTTGGTGCAAGAGCCCCAAGCTCCTTCGGTACTCGAGGTCTTATTCGACATCTCCCCTCTGCCCAGCTGGGACAGGCCGGGGCAAGCTGGATCGGTGATTCCATGTTCCTCATTAAAAGATCGCACGTCGACTATGATCTCTTTTGGGAGAGTGTCGTTTACCGGCTTCGTTGTCTGTGCCTCGCTGCAGGTTATGTCGAGCCCGTAACCCCTCGTTCGACCTCTAAACATCTCTGTCGAGTTGTGTGGGTTAGGCGAAATCGCCGCGAATGGCTGGAAGTAGTACTCTGCCGTAGCCCAGGGAGGCATCTGCGTTCCCAATGTGAAGTTTGACTTAACGGAAAACATGTTATCATCCTGCCTGGCGTCGTTGTTGGTACTGCTGCCCATCTTGTCCAGCTGGAATCTCTCTGAGCGTAGATGCACGAGATCTATGGGATGGGTGACTGGAACGGGTTTTTCGTTGAAGAGACCACCTAAGCCGACCGCCAGAACATTTGCGAGAAGAGCAACGAGACAAACTACGGAAATGAGGACGTGTCCGGCTCTTAACGCTCGCCAGATAGAGAGCTGCGGAGGTAGAGACGTATAGTCCAGATTCATGGCCTTTTTCGCTTGGGATGCTTTCTTTTGTGGTCGCAAGTCATTAAACGGTTGGAAAATGCAGAGCAGTCGGGTAGCTAAGACCCAAAACGGCTCTATGAGTGTCGCAATTGCTGTGGGTATGTAGTTCTCCAAAAGCTGAAGTACCTCAAAACGGTCCGTTGGGCGGGGCAAACCTATAGGCAAAATATGTTAGTATCGTGATGGAGACAAGGAAACGGTATAATAGCGCAGTTTAACATACCCCCTAGTCGCTTCTCTTGGTTCTTGAGGAACGTCAGAACCCCCAATGTGATTGCCAGCAGAAGAACGAAAATAATTCCCGACACCCTACGGAGAATGAGGGGTCTCACAGGCTCGTAATACTCATCATTTCCATCTCCCGACTTGGCCCTTCGTTCGACTGGTATGTCAAAAGGCTTGCGCGTGTCGGTTACTCCTATCATCATGGTGCCATCCGAACGAGAGCAGCCGCACTTAAGACGGAGCCTTGGATCACTAACACCTCCAGATTCGAACTCGCTCTTCGTCTTATCAAACGTTCCGTATTTTGGTGAAATCACATCGAGTAGCTGTGGGCTGTTTCTGAGAATGGTTACGAGATCGCCAAGTGTGCTCGGGTCTGCGGAGAGGTTGCTCTTCAGTCGCAGGGCGAGGAAATGAAGCAGAATCGTTTTGAGACCAACTATCACCAACAGTGCCTCTACTATGGCGGAGATAGTTCTGCTGACAAGAATTCCGTAAACAACAAACTCCACAGTCCCTTCCGACGGTTGCGCGGAGGCCACGGCCTGGTCTGCCTGAGGGACATCCGAAAGCAGGGAGTTGAAAGCCAGCGCAAAGACGGATTTGTGAATGGCTCGGAAGCGGTCTTCCATCACTTCGGCATCGAAGTAGTCCTCAATGGGCCTTTCATGCTTTCCAACGACAAACCCAACCAAGGGAGATAGTGGCCAGTCCCATCTCGTGTCGTTCAGCTGGTCGAACTGGTCGAGGATGATATTGTGAGAATAGTCGCGAGCAGCATCCTGGACTTCGGAAACACTACTTCCGAGCAGATATTCAAATCCAGTATTGTTGAACTCAGTGGGTGGGAGCTCCTCGGGAGGTGCGAGTTCCTCTATCGAGGCATCATTTGGATGGAAGGTATCCGTGGGAACTGTTACCTGAACTCGCTGCTTCCAATAGCTTGGTTCGCAGAAGATCGCCGTTACCCGGGGGCTGTCAACTGGCCCAACAGCCATGGTGGCAAGAAACTGATGGGCGTACTGTGCAGGGCATGTCGTGGAACGCACGAGGAACTGGCTTGAATAGGCACTGTTATGCCAACCAAGATACTGCATTCGGTAGCGTGTTTGAGGTGCAATGTCAATGGTCTCAATGCTACTAGCATTGCAGCCTTGACCGTTGAGGAAGTCATAGTACGCCTCATAAGCCGGCCTCTTATCTTGGACAATCTCCGCCGGCCAGCACTTAAGATCCGTCCAAAATTTTGTAGTTGTGGCTGTCCAGTTGGCTTCATCTGGGAAGCCGTTGGTCTCCATCTTGAATGGCAGTAAGGCGTATTCAGGCGTGGTAAATTCCGGATATGGTTGAGAAAGGTACTTCACCGCGTACATGCGATGAAGAATAGAAGTGTCTAACGCCGCCGACTGTGCCTGGATCGGAATCGTCTCTGCCGATATAGAAAAGGAAGATGGCTGGCGAAGCTGTACCGGGCCTGTACCGAAGATGGCACCTTGAAGGGGAGTTAAGGCCCAGAAAATCAGCAATAATACAGTACCAGAAACAGACACTGTCCAGTGTCTAGATGAAAAGAATCAGCAATTGGAGAAGACATTGGTAGGGAGATAGTAAAGATCACACATACCTTCTCTTGGTTGCCTTGAAGGGGACCAGAGCAATGAAGTCGTATGGGTAATCCAGACTTAGGGACTCCTTAGCTAACGCACCATTTTCGCGCGAGAGTTCGAGCCATGGTTGGATCCGTTTTACATCTAGATCGACCCAATTCCATATGATGCTGTACATGACGGCGATTATCGTCGGCAAGTACATATATGCAAATTGGGCGCTGGAGGGTATGTCGTCTACGTTCGAGGAAAGAGATAAGCCACCTTCGCGACGACTCTTCTGCGCCAGGAATTCAATAACTCCCGCTAAGGCAAATGTCCATAGCGCAAGGGGTATTAAGACTCTCTTTTTCGTCGAGACTGGTTTCCATCCATGCTTGCAACCTACCATGACGGTGTTAGTATCAACACTACCAAGTGACAGGGGTGTAATCAAGGTGCATTAGACCATACCTGGGAGTGAGGCAAGTGTGGTCTCGGAGTCTACCCTGAGATGGGTCTCCTTTCTGAGGATGCCCTGTGGTGAAGAAGGGCTCCATAGATTCTGCGGACTAGCCCACGTTGAGTTGTCCGAGCTGTATGTGCGACCCGTCACTAGGTCTCCTCCGGGACCTTTATGAGGATCTGGCCAAGGGTGATCCGTGTAAGCCATTGGAGAAACGGAATGGCGTAGGAACCCAGAGACACAACAAGGACGGAAATCCTTGATTGAACCGAATCACAGAAGCGTCCATAGTGGGCTTTATGTATAAGAGAGAATTGGACATTCATTGGACTTCTATTTACAACCTCCCATGTTGGCCCCCATCTGGGCCGGCCCCTCACCAGGGGAGGGTGTGCAGAAAGCGAAACATCATTTCTTTCTTCGAGCCAACAGTGGTTCGGGTCTCGGGAGGTCTGCATTGGGGGGGGCCACCTACAACCCATGCAATGCAGGTCTTCAAGAAGGGCGCCTGGGCGGCCTAGTCTCGCGATGCCGATAAGCGCCCGGAAAATTTGCCCATGGGGCCAATGGCCGCAAAGACGACCTACCAAATCGCGGCTCAAAGACCGATGAAACCTCGATTCTGCATCACTGTAAATTTAGAATATAAACGTCGACATTTAAACCACCCCGCAGCTGATGTTGTTTACACTGTAATGCGTTGGCATCTGCCATGGCGTGTTTGCTTGTTGAAATGGGGCAAACACGGACCTTCTCGGGACGGGATTCGACTCTTGTCGTTTGAGAAATGTTGCACTGCAGAGGCGACAGAAAAGCAAAATAGCTGTTTGCCAGTCTGTTTGCATTGGTGATTGGGCACTGCCTCTCGGCTAAGGCCTGGTTTGCACGAATCAGAGTAGTTGACCGTGCTCGCTTCTCACGATGGATGTGGGACATAATCTTGTGAGCGTCTACGAAGTAAACTACGCCCCTTCAAGCATCTTGGACTTACGAGAGACTCGAAGAGCAATTAGTAGTACGATGACTGTGTTAATTTTTCATGCACTGTATATAATACTGTACACTGGTATCTCTTGTCCATTGTCCCGTCTTGAATATCCTAATGTGATGACTAAGCGTAGATTGGTTTTCTAGGTGTCATCCAACAAGCTCAATCCTGACCTTCGTCATCACGACGCTTTCTCGATTCAACTAAGCCAGCCGCTCGCGTTGACTGCCTCGACATTTCATCCATGGACTTCCGCCATCCCATCGCCACGATCGCATAACCTAGCTGACATGATACGAATTATCGATATATTCCATCCCCCGAAGATAGCCGTGATAATTTTACCGCTTTCTCTTCTACTCCACCAAAAGAACCTCGGCGCGTAGCTATGGCTCCAGATGATACCAGCCCCTGCGCAAGCGAACTGCAGCTCCGCCTAGCTTCGGCGACTGCAACACCCATCTCAGAACTAAGCCCCCAACTTAGCGACCTCGCATCGCGTACTATTCATGGCATAATTACGGTCATTTGGCCCTACAGCATCATCAAAAAGTCCGTGGCATTCCAGCTCGCAGAGCCTGATTTTCGGTTACGGCGGCAGAGAGGCCAGGTCCGGGTGAATTTTGTTGGCGCATGCGCCAAGGCGATTACGGATGCTGGATTAGGTAGTGGCGATGAGATTCTCATTAGTCTGGACGGAGCGGAGTGGGTGGAAAATGATGCGCCGGCGAGGATACCCGGAACGACCCTAGAGTGGCAGCTCAAGTTCGTATCCAGCGCGCTTTTACAGGTATAGTCGCCGAACAACAGTTTGTACGCACATGCCCTAACCTTAACCCTAGGTCAAAAAAGCCGATGCAGAAGAACCGACAGTCATCCATGTTGACGCGGTCGGTGTGGGTGCTGAAGATACCAAAGCCCCCCCTGCGCCAACAATAGAACCGATCGAGGAACTTCCAAGCACATCCGAGGTGCTGGCAACTCCTCAACGCGCGCTACCAACGAAGCGACGATTTTACTCCGGTCTGGATGCGGACGAATACGCGTCACCCGCGTTTATCAAACGCGCGCGAATGTCGTATGGCTCGCTTTTCGAGGGCGGATTCGACATTTTCGACGAAGATAAAGCTGCGACTTCTCGTAACCGTAGGCGTTCCGGATTTGCAAGAAATAGCAATGCATGGAGATATATGAGTGAATCTAGAAGCCCTACCCCGGAGTCCCCACCGGAAGCTGTCGAAGAAGTCCATCAGGAACTGCCAAGGAGCCCATCGCGCACGCCTCCGAAACCTCTCATGGCGGACGAGGGGGTCCAAACATCGGATATTGACATTCCAACTTCTCCAATACCGGCGAAAAAAGCAGTGCATGTCTCGGATGAGAGTCGCATAATGACGGAAACCGTCTCGGAAATGACAACCACAACGGGCAGCTCCGATCACCATGTTCTAATACCCGACCATTCAACGCTTCCTACATTAGATCGTGCTCACGAACCCCTTCCTCCGAGCTTTGTCCACTCTCCGACTAGAAATCGGTTCGCGCTGGAACACGATGATATCCCAGCTACCCACGATACCACAGCTTCTCCGCCAAGAAATGGCGACATTGGCTCACAGCCGTATCACACCGACGAGAACCAGCTTCCTGTAACCTCTCCGCCCAGCTTTCCTGATCACGCCACTCCTTGGGGCCAGGCACACTCGTACCCGCCTTTACCTGTTTCCCATGCAATGGAGGTACCCTCATTCGCGTCGCATTCCTCTATAGATTATCCCGATCTGCATTCTTCGCTTCCCCCAACCGTTGACCCTCATTTGGCCACTGAGCGTCATCTCCTTCCCTTTGAAGAAACCAGCCACGATGATGATCGGCGCCACCATGAGCCATACTTAATATCGTCTGACGTCCCATTAGCGGAAGAAGACCATGCAATGGGCGCCCCTGAGGAAGGCGGGTCGCGCGAAGATGAGAACACCGAAGAGCCTCAGACTTGCTTCCAGCAGAATATCGGTACGCTAGTCCGCGGCCCAGAACAGGAACAGGAGCCTCCAGTGCCCGCGGGTGATACAAAAGAGGAGGAAAATATCCCGCCTCTCGCTGGCTATGATGATCCCAATGTGGGAGGGGAAGAAAGCGAAGAGGAGGTTGAGGCGGAAGAGGAGGAAGCAGGAGGAGATTATGATACGCGGAATTACGCCGACGTGCAAGATGATGACGAAGGTAATGATTACGAAGATATGGAACGGGACGAGAATCCACACGACCCTGATGCGCAGACGTACGACGAAGATGAGGAGACGTATGAAGAGGAGGAGGCCGAGGCGGAGGAAGGTGCAGAACTTGACAGAGAGGAGATGATGGGTGCTAATGACGAGTATGGAGAGTATGAGGAGGGGGAGGAAGACGATGAGCGGTATCGGGGGGAGGAATATGGCGATGAGTACGAAGACGACTATTACGAGGACGAAGAGGTTGGGGGGGAGGATGAGGACGAAGACGAGGAGCCTTCGAGGTCGCCACAACCTGCGTCGTCAGCTCCGGTTTTTATTGATTTAATATCAGACTCGGAGGATGAGGAAGAAGAAGAAAAAGAGAAAGTTAAGCCAGCCGGAGGTGAAGGCGTTGAGGAGGAGGAAGCGCTGCAACCAAACGGGTATGATGATGATGATGATGATGAAGAAGAAGAAGAAGGAGAGGAGGAGGAGGAGGTAGAAGAGGAAGGGGAGGCTGAAGAGGAAGGGGAGGCTGAAAAGGAAGAGGAGGGAGAACAGGCGGATAAGGTAGGGGAACAAACGGAAGAAGAGGGGGGGGAGGAGGAGGAGGAGGAGGAAGACGATGCCGAGGAAGGCGAAGAGCAGGATGAAGCAGAGCTTGAGGATGATCACAAGGACGTGGTTCATAAGGATTCCCGAAAAGGTTCATCTCCTGCCCCTCCCTCTTCACCACATCAGCCTCATGAAATAGACGAGGAAGAAGTGCAAGTAAAATCGCCTACCCCTGAGCCGGTGGAACTGCTTCCATCGTCTCCTCCTACCACAGAGCAACCTCACGAAACCGAGCCAGAGCGGCCACCAATCTCATCACCGAAACCTTCTGAAAACTCAGGGGTTCCTGAAGCCGCCGAAGTCGAAAAGCCGCCGGACTCTGTTCCATTAGCTGACGAAGAACACGTCGCTGTAGAGGAATCGGAGCTCCAACAACCTACGGTGGAAGAGGCGGATGCGGATGAGGTAATGGAAGATGCCCCCATGGTCGAGAGTATGGAACCGGTAACCGAACAGCCAGAAATGAGGGAAGCTACGGATGAAGTCATGACCGATGGGCTAGACGCCGAGTTACTAGAAGATCAGGTCGATTTGATACAGAGGCCCCAGGACAAGCAGGATACGGACGAGTCCATGGCTGGGTCAGCTGTTGAGGAAACCGTTGAGGAGCAGATGCAAGCCGAGTTAGAGAAGCAGTACCAAGAGGAAATTTCACTTCTATTAGAGGCGGAAGATGAGGGTACTGGCATGGCTGAGGACAAAGACGAACAGACCCAACCAATCTCCATGGACTTTGCAGTACCGACCAAGGCTCGTGCAGCTGCGCCGGATGTACTGGCACTTGCGTCTCCTCCTTCGACTCAACATGCATCGCAGGGTGAGCCAGAACCCGAACAGGAAAGAGCACCCCAGGTAGATGGGGAGACTTACCCCGAGGCTCCCACCCTTCCCCAGCTGCCAACCCCAGATGCCTCCCAGGTACATCCGAGTACACAACTCTCGCAAGAAAGCAACAGGGAGGAAACCAAGGACGGTATTGTTGTACAGCTACCTCGGAGGACAACACCAGCGGAGGACATGACTGCTGAGGAGGGTGCAAACGAGCCGGCTTCCGGGGACGTTGCACAAAGTCCAGCTCCATCCGAGTCGCAGTCGACCATTGCGGCATCGATTGAAGTTGCAGAGGAAGTCCGGGAGGAATCGCACACGAGCTCAGCTGTCGCGCCGGATGGATATGCGATTACGGTGAAATCGCTCAGAAGCCGAAGTCACCGTCGCATTTCATCGACAGAAAGGGTCGAGAGCCCCATTCAAGATCCTAGTGCCCAGCTCGCCAGAGCATCATTAGCGGCGAGAAGATCGATTCTTCCGGTCGAGATGAGCCCTCCACAAGCGGTTGTCAGAGCCACGCGGTCACGGACGCAAAGCGTCCATATGAGCACGAGCCCCGAGCCAGCGACTCATATAGTCCCGCGCTCTCCCGCTGCTTCGCAATCGCAGCACTCAGAAGCGGCAGCTGAGGAGGAAAAGAGCGAGTCCATGTCGGCGCTAAAACTGCAACTGAATAAGGCTCTACGGTTTACGCTGCCCGACCTTACGGCCCTCAAGAACCTCCGACAAGTCGCCAACGCGAAGATCGACGTCATCGGTGTAGCGACGACCCAGCCCCCGCCCGCCCAGCGCCCAAAGCACGGGCCAAGAGACTACCTACTCGCCTTCAACATGACGGACCAGACGATGGCGCCCAACAACGTGATCGTCGTGCAAGTCTTCCGCCCCCACATCGAGTCCCTGCCCGTCGTCAGGGAAGGCGACGTTATCCTGCTACGGCAGTTCGTCGTTATGGCGATGCGAGGCCGCGATTTCGGCTTGCGGAGCTGCGACGCATCGAGTTGGGCCGTGTTCGAGAAGGATCGCGAAGATGGGCTTCCACAGATCAAGGGCCCGCCGGTGGAGGTTACGAAGGGGGAGGATGCGCAGGCGGCGTTGCTGCTTAGGTGGTATGCGGCGCTGGGACCTAAGGCTAGGGATAAGCTCGGTCTGGCGAACCAGAGGATGGATGGGGCGCCGGCGGCGTAGGGGGAGGGTGCGATTTGGTTTATGGGTGGGCGCATGAGGGTTTTGGCAGTGTGTTTGGGTCTTTGTATAATAATTTGGAGGGTACCCTGCTCGGTGACCTAGCGCCTATAGGCGTGGGGGTGAATATAACCGTCGAGACTGGAGATATATTCTTCTACTATTTGCCTAGTGATATCCAGACGATGAATTGCAGCGCCCCGCGGAGACCTGCTTCACTTCTTAGTCAACTAGGATCGGCCCATCTCATTCTGCAGGATCACCCTCGGGTTGACACGGGCGTTCTGGGTCTAGCAATGCAGCTCGAGACGTTGAACTCCACTACTGCAAGTCTCCAAAGGCGTAGTTAGACGCTGTGTTTTTTCCTGATCCCCGATGAATACAGCATAACCCGGATGGCAACTAGTATTCTCAATCTTTATGATATCCATCCTGTAGGCATGGGAACTAGGACCCGGGACCTAGCCACAGGCACCAAGTCTCTACTTCGTATACCACTACATGGAATGGCTGTAACTCTAAACTGACTTTCAACCTGTGATAACTCTCCCGAGTTTGACTCCCGGAAATGGGGCAGGGGTGTTTGATGGCTTGTCCTCCCGACATTAGCACCAACTCTATCACCTTATCGACGAATGTGAAAGCCACCCACGAAGGAAAGTCGGAGACTCACCGAAGCATACTAGAACTGGTATGGAGACTTCGAGAGTCCTTTGATGCCTTTCCATGGCTCCGAGAAGGCAAGGCGAGCCTCTTCCAGGAGACAAGCCAGTAGACAAGCTTCCACTATGAGACAGTTCAGCTTATATCAACATGGCTGAACCATATGACGATAATCAGTCTCAATTAGGTTGGCCTTATTCAACCTATCTGGTCCATCAGGGTTTGGCCCTCACTGTCGCCTCCGCCTTTCACAGACATGCGACCCACATACCCCAAGATATGCTCGCAGCCAAGGCTGACATTACCATGGAAGATGTTGGACTCTCACGTCATTGAGAAATATGCAAACAAAGGGTCCAGCCAAAGGGCCTTTTGAGGATGACGTACGCAGTACTGTCATCTTGGGGTAGTATGAAGTTTCTGACATTCCAACGGCCGGAGTGTCCTGGCCAGTGAGAACTCAGGAGGAAGAGCTTCTGTGGACTCTCCACCAAGCTTCAACATGCTCTCTGACACTTGGCTGTTTGTGAGGGCTTCTAGTGTCCACCGAGGATCCGTTTATACTCGGACAAAGAGGTAACTACATATTCGTATACGACATTTTCATCTAATAACCAGTGCGGAAGCCTCTCCAAGAGACATCGGCTGTCTTCCGAAAAAAGCAACCAGCCCAAATCAACGCACCACAGTCCAGTACCGGCATCGCGGTCCAATTGTTCCTGAGCCATACGGGTCCCCAAGAGCGGGACCGAACGGGTTCTCTCCCTCAAGGTTCCCCACTTGATTGGTGTTCTCTACTAAGGAAACAGAGCCACGCTACTACTGTGCTTCGATCTGGTCAGTTCGCGGATCTCACCCGGAGTCCCATTCCCTTTCTCAAACTCGAGATGGACAGGGTTAACCGTGATCTAGTTCAAAAATTGCTACTCTGGTGTCCTCCCGAAGAGACCTGGAAAAGCTCCCTATCACACTGAAGAGTGATTCGACGTCCCTTCGGTGTCGCGGACGACTCGACCACGGGGATTATCCGTGTAACAGCCACGAGGCCGGGTGTTCCGGCCAGCTTCCGCTTCATGCCCGGATGCTCCGGGCAGAATCTTGGAATTTTCCTTCAAGAAACAGGGCAAAGGGGATCCACATCTCAAACCCCAAACTTGAAATTCCAACTTCTTCACTCACCGAAAAGAGGTCGTAACCAAATCTCCCACGAACTCAGAAACGGCCCCCGCAAAGCGAGTCAGCGCGCCCTAGACCAAGCCCGACAGATTCGTCGAGATCTAAAGAACATACGGTGAAGAGAGGCTAGGCATGCTTCGGGGATAGATAGAGAGGCCGTTTCTTCAGCTGCTCATCAAGAAATATCGATGGCATGATGGCGAGGTGAGCTTAATTTCATTAGGGGACAGATTTCCATCTTTCCGGAGGCGTGTCGATATCGCGAAGGAGGCTAGCTAGTGCTCTGGGCGTACGAAGTAAAAGGGGTATCTCACGATAGTTACACTACACTACACTATAGTGGATCACTGGATATATGGAAGAGTAGCACGAACAAGCAGGAAGATGCAGTCTGACGATCTGGAAGGCCATCTCGACCAAAATGGGCGGCGGGCTTAGTTCGGGGAGCGAACCCACATCTTCCCCAAGGCTCTAAGCTGGGGCTAGCGATGCCCAAGAAGGATAGGAACAGGGGTGGGAAGAGATTGGGGTTGAGGAAAAAAAATCGGTATATATGTGGGGAAAGTGCCTGCACTAATCCACCGACAAGTCATGGTCGAGGCATAGGGGAGGCATTGGGAAAGCTAGTTTAACGTCCCCAGCTCCGATCATCGCTTCAAAACATGACTACAAACAGCTAGTGAATGCAACGTTCTCACCGTCAAGGTCTGAAGGATAAAGCGCCTCTGAGCGATGGCGGAATATAGGAGAGAACTTCGGTCAACGGGGAGAATCCCTAGTGACCAACCTCTCTGGCCAAGGATGAAACAGCCACCCTTTACAAAAGAGCTAAAAAAGCTATGATCAATGAGTGCGAAGTCGTTCCGGTGGTAGTCACGGTAGTTGCGGCAGTCTACACGCCAACTGGAGAGGCAGATGATGTCAGCTGTGGTCCGTGGGCACGTACATGAGTGAGGTCAAAGTGTACATACACTTGAACCTCCGAGTCGGAGTGTGATTTGAACTATGGTAGGGATGAGCATGTACATCGTACTCTTCAATACTTCGTGCATCGATAAAATGAGAATGCCTCATATTAAATTGCTTCCTCATCCTCGAATTTCGCTGCCCTCAGAAAACTCTCCGAAAAGACCCCAAGATTCTTGCATATACGAAGTATTCAGTACTCCTCCTCGCAAACGGGACCAACCGCGTTCTTTTGCGATTATTAACAGCAAAATGACGATGGACAAGGCATTGTGCTACCGTCATGAACGAATTGGATTGCATCAATTGGCTTTGGCTTCTCCAATGGTGGCGTCTCAGTACTGATGACATCCTCCAAAATTGGGCTTTGCACTATTGGCTGACGAAACCAAACCCCGCTACGGTCTGCCTCCCGATAAAGTACCAAGTACCTACACCGTGACCGGCCCCGTTGGCCCCTCCTGATCGTCCCCATCCGGCCGGACGCGTCGGAAGATGCACTTTGGTTTTGTGTCGCCAAGGATAATACGTACTCCGCGTCCGCATCCATCTGACTAAGGAAGGGAAGGGGTCGGAGGAGAAAAAGAACAATTGAAACAAATGACGAAAAAAGACTATACACTTGTCGGGTACGTACCACACCTCTTTTGAGCTCATGCCAGCCTGCCTCTTCGTGCTTGGGGAAGGAGGTGGGGCCAACCAACTTGGAATGCACTAAAAAGGGCAATTGGGCTCGTAACAATCTAAATCCAGACCAGGCCGATGCTCGGTCGCCGACCGGATCCGCAGCCTATGGCCGAGCTTTGGAGGGAAAAGCTTTTGCTGCTACCATCTGCTGATGGGTGCATTTCTCTTTGTTGGATCCCGGTCGCCTTTTGCCTCTCTCTTTGGACACACCTTGTGACACCTCAGTTTTCAGGGGGTGGGTTCATCCATATCTTTGTAAAGTTGAGGGTGGTTTAGTTCGTGTCGTGTGTGTATGTGTGTGTCTATGCCGTCTTATACATGCTAGATAGGAGGGGAGGGTGAAGTGAGGGTAAATAAGTGAGGTTTCATTTCGTCTTCCGTTCTTTTTCTGGCGGGATTTTTCCCCTTCTTTTTTTTCTGTACCAAGTATACTTTCCCCAGAAAAACCTTCTACCCCTTACTGATCGGTGATCGGTTTGTGTATTGGTGGATGTGAGGATTAGTCTGCGAACCCACCTTACCCCCTTGTCGAAGGGTCATGAGGGGTTCAAGCCTTTCTCCAAAATTCCCCAACACGAACGGAGCTGGAGTGGGAGGTGGGAGGAGACGAAAAAAAAAGGATTTCTGGGGTTTGGAGGGGAAGATCCCCAAATTTTGTGTGTTTGCCGTGCCCCATTCCCGTAGCCCCGGACGCGGGGCTGATTCGGTGTTTGGTGAGGGGTGGGGAGAAACACCACCAACAAGAAATTGGGGGAGGGGGAGTGGCGGAAGCAGAGTATTTGCGGTAAACCTTTCTCAGACGGAGGGAAAAAGGAAGTTGAGGGAAGCTAAGAGAAAAAAGATATGCATGCTCACGTAACTTTTTTGTACGTTATGGGGAGGGTATAATTCCGCAATGCACGGCGTATGAAAGTACGAAGACACTTCGCAGACCACACAATACCCTGCTGTCCTCCCCGCTTCAATTTGCTTGGCTGGCCCCTTTCCCGGAGCAAAGGGGAGCATCACTGGTGGGACGGGTCTCGGCCGCATGGATCCCCCCTGTCACTCATTATTGAAAACGAAAGCCCTCGGCAAATCCGAATTGGGAGAAAATCGGGGCCATCTATTCCAGGTTGTTGTCTTGCATTTCGATCGAGGCTGGAGATGGACCACTTGTTCTCGCCCCCTTGTCGTATTGCCCTCGTGACGATGAAAAAAAGAGAGATTTGAGACGCCGTTCAAAGCCCTTAACATTATTAGCTGAATGCTGAAATGCATACGAAATCGACGATGTTGTCAAAGAGTCAAACACGACCAAGGGGGAGGAGGGAACCCAGCATCTGGAAATAACCATTCGTCATTTTGCGTACGGAATATGCCACAATCAGCACCTGGTTATTTGGTACTCTGGATGCCAAGTCGGCATAGGGCTTAATGCTGTCAGTTATCGACCCCTCTCGACGGGTGATATCGGCGGGCAGCTGGCAGCCTGGAGGGAGACGCGTCGGCGCCTCCCGGAAAGTTGGCCC